CTGCTGATGAGGGTGGGTTTGGAAGGAGGAGACGGTAGCAGCAGTAACAGCAGTGACGGAGGTATTCATTCGGGGCATCTGAGCATCGGGGCGGTGGCGGCTGACGGTCAGCTGGACGCATCGGCAGTTGAAGTAGCACTGCAGGACCTCCTGACAGCCGCAATTGCTGGCATTGAGGAAGGGGGTGGAGACAGCAGCAGCAGTGCCGACGCCTTCCTTTGGCCGCCGGTGTTGTCCCTGAGAGGATCGCTGGAGGGTGCTGACGGTGGGGACGGCCGTGCGCTTGAGGAGGCGCAGGTGCTGGTGCTTACCCCCTCCCGGTCGCTGCGCGGGCTTGGCTCCGTGCGCTGTGTGGTGGCTGGACGCGTGGGGGCGGCAGGAGGAGGAGGCGGAGCAGGAGGGCGGCAACAGGCGGTGGTGCAGCTGGACGAGGTGGTGGAGGTCGCCGCGGCTGTGGAGGAGGGTGCGCATGTTGCTGTGAGGTAGGTGTGTCGCACCTCGTTGCTAGAGGGGGTCCATTACTCAGCTAGAGTAAGGGAAAAGAGAAAAAGAAACCATGACAGTAGCAGGGGTGTGGTAAAAGGCGCAAAAGGGCGCTATCGACCCATGGGTCATAGCCTTAACGCCATGCAATCCGAGCGACACAGAAACAGTCTGTGCCATGCGCATGCGAGCATCATCCCGACCCATGGGTCATCTGAAATCCGCTGGTGAACGACTTGGGATGTAGTACCATGTAACCGTAAATCGCACAACTTTCCTTGCCTCAGGCTGTCCCTCCCCCCCGCCGCCCTGCGCACCCCCGGAGCCCTGACGCTGCACCTGCTGCCGCCGCGCAACCCTGTGCCGCCGCCGGACCCGCAGCAGCAGCAGCAGCCGGGGCCTGACGCGGCAGCCTCAGCGGCTGCGACGGCGCCGCTCGCCACCCTGCCGCTGCTGGTGCTGCCCGCCGCCGCAGCCCAGGAGGTACGGCAGCTGTACGGCAGTGTGCTCGGGGGCGACACGGTACGGCAGCTGGAGGGGATGATGATGACGAAGGATGCGGCGGCGTTCGACCGGCCTGGAAACTCTGCTGGTGCTGCAACCGCAATCCACGAGAGCGGCCTCATGAGCCTGGCATACGACATCGGTGACACGCTACATCTGCCGTACCACACAGATACGTGGACGGCTCAACCAGCAGACCCACTCGTCGTTGCCATTGACCTCCTGCGCTTCTTCATCCATATGCGCATGTTCGCCTGCCTGCTGGAGGGTCTGCGAGCGCTGGGCAGTGCGGGTGTGGAGGTGCGGGATGTGGTCCAGGAGCTGACGGCTGCGGCTGAGGAGGGCGGAGAGGGAAGCGGCGAGTGGCTGCAGGGTTTGGAGCGGCAGTTGGGGCAGCTGGGGCCGGTGGAAGCTGAGCGCAACGAGAGCCAGCAGGTGCGGCTGGCGGCTACGGGACATGTGTGGGAGGCAGTAGCTGAGGAGGAAGGCGACAAGGATGCTTTGCCAGCTGCGTCGCGTTCCGTAGGAATGAATGGAAACAGCGGCAAAGAGTGTGACAGTGGCGCGGTTGGTGCTTCTGTGCTGCACGGGGCCGAGCCTGCGGATGCGACCACGGAAGAAGCGGCGGCATGCGGCAAGGACGCTGCGAAGGGCGGCGGCGATGCAGACAAGCGGCATGTCGCAGCCCCGCTTGGCACTATATGCGACGACAGCGGCTGTGCTTCCACCACCAGCGGCAACGGCGGCTTACCGTCCACAGCTACCGCAACCGGCCCGGCTCCTGCTACCAGCACTGCCCGCCCTCCCCGCCCTGACGCCTCTCGCCGGTCCCTGCTGGTCTGGTGGCTCCACACGCTGCTGCTGGGCTTCTCCCCGCCCGCCCTGGAGCGATCCTACCAGGCCTTCAAAGCGGCGCAGTGCCATTGCGTGGACAAACTGGGTTTGGTGTTGACGTTCGGCATTCACCTCTTGTCGACACTGCGCACCTGCCAGGGAATTGCTAGGGTGGCCGCCTCCACAAACGGTATGGGGACCCGACGGATGGAGCATGCTCAGTTGCAGCTGGCGTCACAGCTGCTTGAGGCGGCACCTAGTGCACTAGCCGTGTTAGTTGTCTTCTTTACCTCCCTGCATGTCAGGTGAGTTGTTGGGGTTAGGACTACGGGCTCAGCTACATAGGCTGCCGCTGTGGGGCTCCTCACTAAAGTCACTTGTACGCCCCCCCGCCGAACGAGCATGCAGAGGCGCTTGTAGTGTTGCTAAGGTCATAGGGGATGCCCATCCATAACCTGATCATGGCTCAAGGAAGGACATGCCATTCGCTTTTACACGTACAAGCCTAGTCGTGTCAGGATGACGTTCCCCTTCGGATGGGACATAAATACACCTGCCCTTGAAAACAGGAGCCGCAACGCGCTGCTACTTTCCAACAGCTACGTGGACTCGGCCGCACTGCTCCTCATGGTTTTGCTCCTGCGGGTACCGGACGCCTGGCTCGAGGCGATCCGTCGCAGGGGCATGCACTGGATCTTCTACAGCCTGTGGAGGCCAGCCATGCAGCAGGTCCGCTGGGCGGGTTAGGGCCGAGGTATGGTTAGCCTAAGAGAACCACACATCCTGAGGCAGGCATTATGACTGCACGTGCAGATGTGTAGAATGCACATATCGTCATTAACTGACCACCCGGTGCCTCAAAAGAGCGTGCGACCGCTGTGCCCCTACTTGCAGTTGTCACCGTATCTCCAGATGCGGGCTACACTTGCGTACCTGCTGCCGACTCTGCTGCTAGTGCGGAAGGTCTACGAGGGTCGCTGGGCACCAGCTCTAGTCTTTGCAGTAGGCAACGCGCTGTGCGGCACGCTGGTCTCCGCCGCAACCGACTTGCCAACGCGCTGGTGGTTTTGGCGTCGGCATGCAAGCGTAATCAGCAGCTACCAAGCAGGACGTGAAGGTGAAGGCCGGAGCAGTGTCGTGATGAAGAAGTCCTCTTAGGCTGATGAAGCCTACCTTGTAGCGCAAAGGATACGGCATGGCATATGTGGTTAGCAGCTGGTGGCGTATGCGGTAGGCATCGCTAGTGGCAACGATGGGCGTCGGGTTTGTTGTGAAGGAGCAGCTAGGGTTGAAATCAGCTTCTACTCCTATGGTTACTCATAAAGTAGCCTGTGGACGAAGCGGTGTGGTTACTAAACTAATTTAGCGACAGCTGCTGCCCATCCAAACATGTCTGATGCTTAGTGCATACTGCCACGCCTGTAGTGTAGCTGTTGCATGTGTTAAGTAGTCTATACAGGTCAACATTGTTATAAGGGCCGTTTCCCTCTTAAATTACAAGTAGCCCAATCGTGGCTTTGTCATTCCCAAGGTACAAATGCCGCGCTCTTAGCCTGCATACTTTGTTGTCCTATGCTCCTTCTAAAATTTCAGTATCTTATAACCTGAGACCGTTGTCTTGGAATTGTAGATATCTTTCCCATACTTCACCATCCGAGAACCAGGTTCCTGAATCCAGGATACGAATTCGCGGCGGAGCGCAGAGCCGCAGATAGGGGTCTCTTATGCGATATGACCTAGAAGGACAGGAAAATTTCTAGGATACTTTTGGGGACGCAGAGTTTGCGGTAAAGATTGAATCGCACCAGGGTTGTTACAATCGTCGTTGCTAGATGGCCTGGCTTTCCTCGTGCCTTATTCCGCTCTTCTACAAAGGCGTTTCTTAATCCGTTATCGTGCGAGAGCTCCACTCTGTGATAGGCCTCATGCATTCTCACGGTAATCGTAGACCTAGCGTGTCGTTACAATTATTGCCTGTTAGCCTTGGTAGGCCACCTCCTGCAGCGCACCATTTACGTCAATGCGATGGCATCGTCCGAAACTGCGGACACCGAACCATGGGACTCGAAAGCGGAAACTTAGCAGGCGGCCGTGAGTGATGCTTCTATAAGCTGCCGTATACGATATCATGGTCACAGTCGTTTTGACTTAGGCACCTCCTGTTCACCAGCACTCCCCTTCCCCATTGGCATATATACGACCCCCACACGTCGCCGATCAACACTGTCATGCTTCAGCAACAGCAGTAGAACCGCATGCAAGAGTACTAAACATTAACGCACCAGTTCGCCAACAAGGTGTGCTCGTCATTGTGCGTTTCCCCTGACGTATCAACCCCGCCCAAATACACATGTCCATAATGCTCGGAAAGAGAATCACAGGATTCATCCACCTACCGTAGGCTCCGGCGAGTTGCCTCTGTCTACCTGCCCCAGTGCCTTCATACCTAAACCCAAGTACCCATTCCCTTCCGACTTATTAAAGATTGTTACCCAAAATTGTTCTCTTTCAAAGGCGCATGGCATAAGCGAGCTCATCTAATCACGCCCAGTTCATGTTAGGACAGTACTCAAGGGCTTCGTCTCGAACATATGTGCTGCGCCCAATATAAAAGACACAGGAGCCATGTTCTTTCATCACAAGGGGCATGTATGCATAAGCAATTTAATAAGCTATCCAAACCTTCCACCTTCTCCCAATCTACCTCCACCAATCCCAGCCATAAGGACCGTTTCATCTCCATCAATCCTAGCCATCAACACGGTTGCACCCGATATCCCCAACAGCCCATCCAGCCATACCCCATACACATTGCATCGCATCTCCACCAATCCCAGCCATAAGCACCGCCAGCAACTCCCATTCTTCCAGCAACTCTTCTTCACTCTGCGCGCACATTCCCTCGCTCCCACCCGAATCCCCCACTGCTGGCTCCTCGCATTCTGCTGCACGTCTTGCATCAATCAGCACCGCCCTGAATACCCGGGCTGCTTGCTGCAGCAGGGTAGAGGTTCGTGGGCCCTGCAGGCGGTCGGCATAGTCGTGGACATGCAACCCCACCCCACCCCGCCGCCGCCCCAGCAGGTATGCCATGCCAGCTGCTCCCCGCCAGCTGCTTCCACAGCAGTAGCGTCATCTGCCTCCCCCATCTCCCAAGACCTCCCCCCATGCTTTAGACCTCGGCGGCAGGGGCTATTGCTGCTGCTGCTGCGTCGTCGTCCCCTGCATCAGCGCCTCCTCCCGAATGCCCTGCTCCACCCTCACCAGCTCCTCCAGCACCGCAAGCAGGGAGGGCCGGGCGGAGGGGACGTGGCTGAGGCAGCGGCGACCCAGCGAGACGAGGCCGGAAGTCAGGGAGGTGGCGGGAGGCCAGGGCAGCTGCAGGGTGCCCTCGGAAACACCCAGGATGACGGCAGCTGAGGGTGGGGGCATGGTGGGTGTGAGGGGTAGGGGGAGGGGCAGGGTGTGAGGGTTAGCCCAGGTTTAGTGTCTTGCAGCAGCCGTGACGGCAGGGACGCAGGGCAACACGGTAGGATTTCTCAGCTACGCCCAACCCTGGTGCGGGGGATGCCTGCAGTAAACTGCTTGTGGCCAGTTTTGTTATTATCGGTATCCCCAGCAGCCCCCCCCGGTGTCACCACACGCGTCCTGCTCTCACCCTGCTGCATGCCTGCGTGGGGCCGCTGGCCGGTCAGCATCTGCCACAGGCACACGCCGAACGACCACACGTCCGCGGCGCGACTAACCTTGCCGGAAAACGCCTCCTGCGTGAGTGCGTGCGAGCGTGAGTGCGTGCGTGCGAGCATTAGCGTTATTACATCACGTCATGGCACAAGCGAAGCCATCAGCCATCAATCGCCAGCAAGCCACAACCAACCAGCAGAGCCCCACGCCTGCTCGTCTTGCAGCAACTAATAGCTACCCGACGGCTCGACAGTGTCAACACACGGCTTGTCAGCACAGCTGCACTAGTTTCTTCCTTACTTGAGGCTTCCGCTTTCCCAGCCCCCTCCATGCATCCACCTAGTCCCCCGCCCCCGCTATCTCACCGGTGCCATGTACGCCACAGAGCCCCACGTGTCGGTGAGGATGCTGTTGGCGGTTGGCGGCAGCACGTGCGACAAACCAAAGTCGGCAACCTGCAACAGGAATGTCAGCAGCAGCAGCAGCCGGGAGGCACATGCAGCAGAGTCAATGAGCCATACATGCAACCCATCGCGGAACAGCCAACCGACTGCATTCGATTCCGCCCTTGCTCCAGTGCCCCTGCATGCATTCGCCTGCCCCACAACTATAACGGCTGACTAAACCCCTTGCAAGCCTATGCCCCCACCCTGCAGCTAAATCTCACCTTGGCGGTGAAGCCCCGGCGGTCTTTGACGGAGCTGCTGAGGAGCAGATTGGCGGGCTGTGAAGGGTTGGCGGAAAGGCGGGAAAGTGAGGACAGTGATAAGTTGGCGAAAGCGGAAAGTGGAGGCGAATGGAAGAAGGTGGAGGCAGCAGGGTGTCCGTGGGTAGGCTTGGGTAATGGGGGCTGGGAGAGGGGTATTCTTCGCGAGCCCACCTGCCCTGGCAACAAGGGCCCGCCCTGGTTACAGCACCGTACTAAGGACCCCATGCGCAGCCCACCATACACACTTTCAGCAGCAAACATACCGGTATACAGCTGTCACCAGCGCATCCCTTCCGCCTCCCATCTTCCCACCTCCCTCCCGCCTCCCCCCTACCTTGAGATCGCCATGTACCACCCCCGCGTCGTGCAGGTGCAGCAGCCCCCGCGCCACCTCCGCAGCGGTCCGCAGCAGCGCCCGCATCGCCAGCCGCTCCGACCAGGACGACCCCGGCTTGAAGAGCCCCCGCTCCAGCGCGTCTCGCAGGGTGGACTTGTCGCAGAACTCCTGCACCACCACCACCACCATCTGCCCCACCTTGGCCTGCACAGCGGAGGGGCAGCAGCAGGGAGGAGGTTCGTTGCGGACTTGGAGAGGGGGCGTGTGTAAAACAAAGTGGCCGCAAGTAGGAACGTACTGGATTTTCGGAAGTTGGAGGGGGCGTGTGTGAGTGCAGGTGATGTGCAGGCAGGCAGGGATGGCAGGCAGATGCGGCGAGGGTGTGAGAGAGCCGCGTGCTGTGAACTTGCGTCATGGGATTCCATCATGCATGTTGGATGGAGTGCCACTATGATGGCAACCATACATTGGCTGGGCGAGGTTGGCTGGGCCAGGTTACATGGGCGAGCCTATTCCCTCTGCTTGCCTCTAACCCGCCCCACTGCGACTCACCTGCAGCTCGTAAAGGATCTGGTGCAGTACCAGATGGGGATCCAGTCCGCCATCGTCCGCACCAGCGGGGTCTCCAAAGCCCTCATCTGAAAGCGTGTGGATAGGCGTTATTTAAACAGTTCATTAGTCAATCAGTCAAGCATGGCATGGAAAGCCGCACCTGAGACGATGGGAACGGGTCCTAATGACCGGGGGTGGCCGGGGTCGCTTGACTGCTCCTGCCTGCAGCAGAAAGCAGCAGCGCGGGAGGGTACCCCTTTGCGTGAACAATCCTGGGGCTTGCCTGTTGGCAGGAGCTAGCGGAGCAAGCCCGGAGCCTACCGCATGGGGGTGATCGCTGCTGCCTTGCTTACCGTTCGCCCTCGATGAAGTCGAAGAAACCATCCGTTAACGTGGCGCAACGGCTTGTGAAGGCCTGCATGTCACATGCGAGGTAAAGCTGTAAGCATGGTGCTGCCTGATGCTTGTTGCACTTGAGCCCCCGTTGCAAATTCGCATACCGTTCTACCAGTACTTCATCGCCCCCGGGCTCACCGAGACGACGTTTGGGTGCACCAAGCTAGGTGCCAGGATCAACTCCAACAGCGCTGCCCGGCTCAGGCCTTCCGAAAGCATTACCTTGACCGCGCATGACACGCCTCGGTAGTGTCCTGGATTCAGTATAGGCCGTAAACCAGTACAACTTGTAATGGGGAACAATTATACCCGAAGCAGAACCCGCAGCGACATTCTGAGCAACCAACTAACCTGGAACGACGACACCGTATGTTCCGCGCCCAAGTTTTCGTGATGTAAGGCGTAGGCCCTCCAGAATATTACGCGCGTCACAGAGTGCGACGTTTCCGGTCTCAATACTGACGCGAGATGCATGAAGGCAGGCATTGGATGCAGCTGACAGGACATTCGTTGCTAAAAGACTGTTTGCAATAGCCTTGGCTGTTGCTCTAACAGTTGTGGGGTTTTGCGGCTGAGCTGACTCATGAGACTGACATTCCGAAGGCGCTGCCACAGTAGCAGCACCTTGCTCATTAGGCGTGTCGTCACTAGCTTTATAAGCCTCTCCTGGAGCTTCTAATCCAAAGCATGAACGAAGGAATTTCATTAGGTGGGCTGAGGTCGCCTGGCAGGCGCGGCAGTTACAGGTACTAAGATGCTTCAGCAAGCTTCTTTCCTTCTTATAGTTTATGCTGGCCTGAAACAGCAGTTATGTCCATTGTCCATTGTTTGAAGGATGACAAATTTCCGTACGTACCTGTAAAATATTAACGGCGAACGGCGATGCACAATTGCTGCAAGCAATAGACATTCTTAAGATAGTGGTGAAATTTATGTACAGCATAGGAGTCCACAGAAAAGCGGAGGTTACTGTGGTGGTGCGGTCACGCAGGATTTTTCATTTGAACCCTGAAGAGCGTGAAGTGCACAGTTAGAGGGAGCATTGCCCGTTATAGGTGTCTCGTCATGTAGAAACGTAGAGCTGCATTAGTCATGTTCCTTTTCGCAGCTGTTACCAATCAAAGAAACGCCTGCAAGCGCACAGTGCACTTAACCGTAATGGAAATAAGCGAGTCCTGCTTTCAAAGATTGGTCATGGAAGATAATTGGCACTATTACTGCTGAATGCTGAAGACTCCCTACATCAGCGGAAGCCACTCCGTCAGTGTATTTTGGGGAACCATTGTAACGGCGATTCATTCAGCTATTTGAAGTTTAAAGTGGGTTGCCTTCCGCTCCAAGTCCCTATCATCTTAGGCGATAGGACGTCTCCTTACAAAAATCGCCTTTTGAAGAGTTCAGGTGATATAGGCCCGCGGAAACCACCATAAACTAACGACACGCGTTATCGGGATACGGTGAGTCGTAGGAACGCGACGGCATTGACAACGCCTGTCAAGGCGATGTGGGCTAAGGCATGGTTGCCAGCAACAGTGTCAGCATCCCCATGGGTGCATGGGCCTCCCCCAACAGTACATACGAAGAAGCAATCCATTTGCACATCATGATCACTTTGCTGTGTTCCCCGCAAACTCTTGTAGATGAATTTTTGGCTTCGAGTTCCCCCACCAGAGTTCCCTTAATGGACACCTTCCTTCGCCAAAACATGCAATAATGATACGGCTAACTGCACCAAATGCAAAACGAGCAGCTCTAGGGCTGCGGTGTCCCTCCATACCGTATACTTCCCACCCACCAATCTTATTTCGCTGCGCCTTTCCGTTACCCACAGTACTACTACACTTATGATGGAGGCAGAGGAGCTGGCAGAGGAGCTTCGTTGGCCCCTCGAAAGCCGCTAGGGCACGCAAATACGGATACCCAAGATAATTCGAGAATTCACGGATTTTTAAAATGCAAGCCCTAACAAAATTTAACCCTCAGCCAGGGCTACTGTCTGTCCTTTATTGCCATCCTAGCATTCAGCACAAGCCTCCGTGCAAGGAGCGGGCAAACGTGCCATCCCCCGTCTCCTCAACACCTCAACACCCGCACTCCCGCAGCCCCTCCTCTTGCACCGCCACCCCCCGTGCGCTGTTCACTCGTTGACGGGGTAGCTGGGCGCCTCCCGCACCACCTCCCGCCGCTCCGCCCCGAGCAGCAGCCCGCACAGCTCCGGACCGCACACCTCCTGCGCAAGTGGGGCCGTAGCAAGTGAGTCGCTTCACGCAGTTCCACACCAACGGTCACACAAGCTTCCCCGACCCGGCTACAGCTGGGCATGCGCAGTGCAATCATTGTACCGCACTGGCCAACCGCAACCTCCCATTAAGGATCCGCCCGCCCGCTTCCCGCCCCCCCTCACCTTGAGCAGCTCTCGCACCCTCGGCTTCACCTCCAGCGCCGCAGGGCGGTCCGTGGGTCGCTCCGCCAGGCAGCTCCGCAGCAGCGCGGCGGCGGCGGGGGGCAGGTCGGGCGCCATGTGCCGCAGCAGCAGCGACCAGACGGGCATACAGGGGGTTGCGGGCAGCAGGTGCCGCAGCTGCCTGCGATGTGGGGGCGGCATGTAGGGGACACGGAGCGAGGACGGTAGTGTCAGTGCCGTTGAGGTTCGGGTGCGCTTCAAAATCACGGCTGCTGTACGGCAAACCACACTCCGTACACCAGCATACACAGGCTGCCATGTGCCCTTGTCGCATACACACACCCCACTTGTTCCTACTCCCCACTGCACTGCACCGCATCACACACGGCCGTGCCCCTCTGCTGGCCTTTGCCTGTTCGTTGCACGCATCCCATTGCACAGTCGTCTTGCTCCTAGACAACGCTACAGTCGTCTTGCTCTTAGACAACGCTACTTCTCAGTGCGGTTCAGCTGACCGCTGCAGCCACAGCTCAGCGCCTGCTCGACCACTCGCGCCGGTTGTGTTGTTCTTGTTTTCTGCAATTGCATTCATGTTGTGTTGTGTTTGCTTTCGTCCTGTCTCGCATGCCATCCTGCTTTGCCGTACATTTTGCACTTAGATATAGGTTCATTTTGTCTCTAACTCTGTCCCCCTTTCCTCGCTCTGGTTCATGTTTCTGCGCATGGCATTCCTCGCATTACTGCAGCTGCTGGTACTGGCGCTGACTACGGCGTCTTTGCTCGCAGGTACGCCATGCGCGTTTGCACGCACGCATGCACAGCATTGTGGTGTCTCGTCTGCGTGACCAGAGCGGGGGCTCCCGGCGTCGAGTTGGTCAGCGAGCTAGGTACTCAGCAGTAATTAGTTCCCGACACCATCAGCATCACCGACATGCGTCGTCAACTCGCCACTCTTCTTACATCCAGCACCAGCGATTTAAGCAGTTTTTGAGTTACGTTTCAGGTTTGTCTACCTCTGTTTTTCCTCTGTTTTGCCTGTACTCGCGGTTCACATGCGAACCTATCCCAACTGCTTGCTCTTGTTCTACTCAACTACACACCCCCCACTTGTTCCTACTCGCGGCCAGTTTTCTTAACACACCCCCCTGCCGCGCACCCACCCTAGCGACACGCCGTGCATCAGCAGCCACAGCAGGACGCCGAAGCTGTACATGTCCGCTGCCGGGGACATGTGGCCCGACATCATCACCTCGGGGGCGGCAAAGAAGGGGGTGCCCTGCGCCATGTCGCTGACGTGGCTTGCGGCCAGGTCTGACAGCTGCAGGCAGTCGTGGTACAGGGGAGGTGCAGGGCGGTGTCAGCTAAACAGAGGGCGCAGGGACTGGTGTGTTCCTTGCTTGACTGCGCATGTCAACCTGTTGCAAGAAACAGGTTGACATGCGCAGCTTAGCAGGCAAGGATATGGTTCCACCGTGTACAGCACTGCCTGCACGAACCCGTTTCAGAGATTTTGAAAAGTGACACGCCAAGCTCTTACCAGCCTCCCCCAGCGGCCTCCGCCCCAGGTACACCCGCCGTCCCCACCTGCACTGACAGCCCAAAGTCGGCGATCTTGAACGAGTAGCTCAGCAACCGCTCGGCAGTTGCGGCAAGATCCGGTACGGCAAGCTCCGCTGACCGGTCGTCGCGCGGGGTGCCCACACCCAGCGTCCGCCTGTGCGACCAGACGCGCTCCTGGCGGCGAGCACTAGCGCTGGTGGGCTCCCTGGGTGGGTTCCGGGCGTCCCCCGTGTTAAGATTCGGCAAAGGTGCCGAGGAGTCGAAGGACGCCCGCGGGGGCGGGGCAGAGCCGTCGTTCAGCGCCGCACTGCCCGTCAGGCTCTGCAGCGCCCAATCCCCAGTGCTCGGGCGTCCCCGGACCGCCGCTGAGTTGGCAATGGGGGCACTCGCGGTCTCGGCCGCCTCGGGAAGCATGCCGGTGATGCCGTTGCGGCTGCCGGTATCGCTGCCCGAGTCGCTACCGCCGCTTCTCCTCACGCTGATCTCCCTCAGAGCCGCAGCCATCATTCCTGCCTCCGCCCCCACCGCCGCCGCTACCTCTGTGCCGCCCTCGGCAGCACCCACACCAAAGTGCGCCGTACACGGCTCGAGCCGCTGCAACTCGATATCCGAAACTAACGCAAGGGGCAGGGGCGCAGCTAGGGGTGGTGGCGATATCGGCCGCCTTGGGCACTCTTGCCGGCTCAAGTCAGGCGCTACTTCCCCTGCACCGCTGTGCGGGTGTGGCGCGTCATGGCCTTCGTCAGCTTCATCCTCGGGCAGTATTTCCAGCCGAACCGACTCAGAGTCTCCCGGCCTCCCTGCCCCACAGGCCGGCTCAGCCGCCGCCGGGACAAGGAAGTTCCCCAGCCTGCCTGAACCGCCGGCGACCCCGGGGCCTCCGGTGTCCGCCACCGTGCCGTTGTGCAGCTGGGCTCTCCACAACGTGGGGCCAGCGCCCAGGGCTGCATGCAGGCCGCCCGCCGCGGCCGCCGCCCTTGATGCGGGTCCGATCGATGACGCCGGCGAGAGGGGCAGCGGCGGCAACGACACGGGCGCCGGCGGCAGCAGCGGCTGCACCTCCTTCAGAAGCACGTTGTTCTCCGTGAGGTCGCCGTGCACGATACCCCGCGAGTGCAGGAAGGCAAGACCGCGCAGCATGTCCAAGGCGGCAAGCAGGGCAAGGGGCTGTGTACGGCAGGTGGTGGGAGGGGGAGAGGGGCGGAGGAAAAAGTTACCAACTGTCTGCTGATAATGACCGCGCGCCTGCCTCCGGAATCAGCTGGTCCGCTCCCATTCCTAACACTGGCACGGACAGTTGTTCGCCCACTTTCCGGCACACCCGACCCGCGGACGACGCACCATGTGTGGCGTGGCCCTCAGGCAGCCCCAAGTCATCCGGGGGTCGCCCCAGGGGCCCGCCGCCGCATCAGGGCCCCGGGTTGTCCTCGGCGGCGGGGGCGGGTCGGCCCATGCGGCTGCAGCCAGCAGGGTATCCGCGGCGAGAGGCCCCTGCTGCGGCGACGGAGCTGCCGGCACCTGCGGCCTCGGAGGGGGCTGCGGGCGCTGCCGGCTGCCCCGGTTGCCGCTGAGGGGCCCGGCCTGCAGCGCCTGCCGCAGGGAGCCGCCCTCGCAGTACTGCATGGCCAGCCGCAGACACACCGCAGCCGCCTTGTCCGCGCTGGTCTGCCCGGTGTCTGGAAGCCAGTCGCCGTCCTCCAGGTACGCAGTACCCAGCAGCCTAAGAGAGGGGGCGGCAGGTAGGGGCCGCGTGGGAAGAGGGTGGCGAGATGCCGTGCGTGCTGATCTGACGACACAGCTGATGCCGTCAGGCGCACCACGCGCCGGCAACTAAGCACGCCATACCCCCTAGCCCCTCTCCCAAGGGAATCGCTACACCCCGCCCCCGCCGGCACACCTCGCCCCCCAAGCAAGGCTCACTCACACGCTCGACGCGGTCTTCTCCGGCACCGCCCCCAGCGCGAACTGGTAGGTGGGCACCACATGAGGGTGGATGAGCGCGCTGGTGATGGCCGCCTCGCGCGCCAGCTGCTCGCGCCGCCGCGCCGGGTCGCCGGGCCGCATCACCACCACCTTGACTGCAGCGGGCAGCCCGCGCCAGTGGCCTGAACAGGCAACAGCGCGAGGCAGGTGAGGGAAGATGGGTGGGTGCTCGCATGGCTTGCCGCAGCCGATGGGAGCCGGGCCGGGCCGGGCCGGGCCGGGCCGAGGCCTGCATGGTAACGCAATCCCAAGGGACCCGGGCTGCGACGAGCCTCCTCAGCCACAAATGCATGCAGTGCCATCCGCAAAACAGCTAAAACAATGGTGTTGCGGCGCTCTGAGCGTTCGAGGCCAACTGCTACCCACCCATATACACAGCTCCATGCGCTCCTCTGCCAAGCAGCCGCCTAGGTGTCCGACCTCCCACGGGGACAGCAGCAGCGGCCTGTCAAGAGCAACGCAAGCGTGGGCAACAGGCAGCGCAGTGCGGTTCTGAGCAAGGCGGGCATCGTGCGCGGCAGCAGGTGGTACGATACCCATCGCAACCCAGCCACCCTTACCTGGCACTTGCGAGCCAACTGCTCGATCTCTTCCGCCACGACAGCACGGACTTCCGTAGCGAGGGCATCCAGCGAGCGCCTTGCGACCCGTGGGCCGGTGGCGCAACGCATGCGATTGTTCCCCCCTGCATTCCAGCAGCCGTCCAGCAGGACCGTGTCCAACATCGTCAGCGCATTGCCACGGGCTGCGAGGCTGCCGGCTTGGGAACCCTGGACGTCAAGGGAGGGTGGAGGGCAGGCTGGAGGTGAGCGGTTGGCTGTTTGCCTGGAAGCACCTGCAGGCTTGGGAGCCGGGGAGCATGCACCGGTGCATGGCGCCTGCGCACCAGCAGTAAGTGACATGCATGCAGGACTTCCACGTAAAGCAGTAAGTTCGCTGCTTTCCTCACAAAGTCCTGTTCTGACCTGAACCGTGCTGAAGGTAAGCCTTTCCTCGTCATGACGGAAACCGCCGTGGCCGCCGGCGCCGGAGTCAACCACCATGGCGCCTCCGCCGCCGTACGACACGCCAGCTCCCCCCTCGCCCCTGCCCGCGTCGGTATGACCGGTACCACCGTTGGCGCTCACAGCTATTCCAACCAACGGCGCCTCGGAGCCCTTGACAGGGGGCCGTTGCGTCGAAGCGCGTCGCCGCCTATGGTGCCGTACCGCAGCCACCGCCGCCGCCAGCAGGCAAAGCGCCCCAGCGGCTCCGCCGCCAGCTGCCGAGCCCGCCACCACCGCCTTATGAGCGCTGTGGTGGCTTGTTGGAGGGGGGCTGCTGGGCGCGGGAGGTGGTGGTGGTAGGGGCTGCCGGAGGAGGGCTTGCGCTAACAGCAAGACTGTAGGAGGTGGCAGGGAGTAGAGGGTAATGGTAACTAGGTGACAGGAAGTACCGGTAGCTCTAAAACATGCACCAGCGCATGTTCGCTGCCCTGACATGCATTGCGCCTTTGCCATGCAGACTCCCAATTGTTTCAACTTAGGCGGCAAAAATCCTACAGGACACATCCAAAGCTTTCTGAACACAGACGCGGCTTACGTGAAACGACGCTGCATGCGGGGACGTCACTGCCCACCGCCGCTAGTGGAGCCGCAGCGCCCCCGGTCGCCACGGCAGTGCTGTTGGCAAGCAGGACCGACCCAACGCGCCCCGACGCAAGCAACACGGCCGAACTGGAAGCGGGAGATGAAACCACCTGGCATGGGGGAGGGGCACGGGGGAGGTAAGGGCAGGCTTCTCTCTGCGCGTTTGCCGTCTAACATTACTTTGCGTATAGCCGCATGTGTAGGCCAGCCACCGTGGTACGACAATCCTCTTCCATCGCCGCCGCCCTCTGAGCCCTGTCTGTGCGTTCCTCACCTGCCCCGCTAGCGAGCGTCCCAGCAGGGTGCGCAGTGGCCGTGGGAGCGTCAGGCCGCCGCTGTCGTCGCTGCTGCGAACCATCTGCACCAGCTTGCAGGCAGCAGCAGCAGCAGAGGAGGAGCTGCCGCTAGCGCCGCAGGAGCCGTTGAAAGAGGCAGCCAGCAGCAGCAGCGAGGCTGCAATAGGCAGGGACGCGCCGCATGGATGTGTACGTTGTTGGCAGGTGGTGAGCACAAAGCATGGCAGGCAGGAGCAATGGCGACCGGCTGAGGAGGCGACTGGCGACCCAACAAGCCGCGCACCCCCCACCTGCGCTCATCTCCAACGTGCAGTTGCGAACCTCGATCGTCACGGAAGCTGCCGCAGTTGCAGAGGTTCCGGAGCTGTTGTAGGACTGCCCAAGGCACCTGCGACACCAGGGCGTTGACATCGGGCCGGAAAGACCGTTTCGTACGGAAAGGACGTAACAACAGTAAAGCAGACACACAACATCTTGACACGCGCATGTGTACCCCCGCACACGCACCGACCTGTCGCGCCACGCCCCCAGCGCCTGCGACCCCGCAAAGGCGCCCAGTGCCGCGGCCTCTGCGACGTCCCCCTGGTCCGCTACCAACAGCGGCGCAAGAAAGCCCACCAACCGCAGCCGCTGCAGCTGCAGCACGGCCGGGACCCCCGAGGATGAAAGGACGAGCCGCATGCCGCCAGCGTCCAGCCACACAGGTGACCCGTTCGCAGGGCCCAGCAGGGTCAAGTTGTACGACAGATTGGCGCCATCCTGGCGCGACAGAAGACCGCAGGCAAGGGGGGCGGCAGCATTAGTGGGCCTCTTTTCGGCAAGGTGCTCGCTGCTCGGGTATCGTGGCTAGCGTACAAAGCGCATGCGATTCAGTATGTCACTTAGGAGACACAGATTGAGGCCGCTGGCAAGTTGCACAGGGTCTGTGTTGTAGCAGGTCCAATGCCCGGCAGCACATATCAGTTCCCTTCCTGTCCACCAAACGGCTAACGGGGAACTGCAGTCAACTAGCCGAAGAGCGTGCATAGGCCCATGTCCTGAGAATTCTTCTGCGCAGAAGCGTACCTGGGGCCACTCGCCTGCTCGAAGGGTGATGTTGGCTGGCAGCAGGCCGACCCGCGGGCCACCTGTCCACGCGTCCTGTGGACGGTGTGCGCGAACCGCGTGCATACAAGCAGGATTGCTATGAGGCTGGTACCGGCCTAGCGGCTTCCATACTTAGTCGTGTAACTCCCAAACCTGGTGCCGGGGCCAGTCCTCATCCCTGTCACAACCCATTCGGCATTTGAACGCCCCGCCGGCTCGCACCGACCCCACGCTGCTGCCGAGCCCCCGGCCCACCTGCAGCAGAGCCAGCAGCTGCGCCGCATCCCGCACGACCTCAAAGCTGGTGGGCGGGAGCGGGGCCGCGGAGCCGCTGATGAGCGCCGAGGGCGACAGGGACCACAGGTCGAAGTCGGGCTGGGATGCGGGGGTCAGCAGCGGAGTGGGCGTGATGGTGATGTTGAAGGACCACATAAAGCTCCCGATTGAGTTGAACGAGGTGTGACCTCCGTCGGCGTCCGCAAACTGCATTCAAGCATGGAGGGATCGAGTTGAATGAATGGCTGCTACGTTGATATATGTTTGGTCGTCTGGGAGGTGAAGCGGCAACCCATCCTCACTCCACCGCTCACTCCACTTGCATGCCGGCAAATGCCAGGGATGCAAAGCCATGCAGCCCTGTGCGTCTGTGCAGCCATGCAGCCCTAGGAAGCTCCACTCCCCACCCCAAACTTGACCTTACGTATTGCATTGTCCTCATCAGTGCTTGCAGCCAAGCGGCGCTGCGCTGCTCCTCCGGGTTCAGGGACATCATGCGTCCGAACCAGTAGCTCATGTAGCTGGTGGCAGGGAGGGTGGCAGGCGGGGCGGCAAGAAGCGTGTTGAAATCAGGCGCAGGTTCAGTAGGTACCGTCCCTGCGCGCCCATAGTATGGATGAATGGTACGTGCAGCAACCAACTTGTCTCGCGAGCCACGCAGCCCTCAAGCGCCCAGCTGCACACCTGAACTCCCCCGGCGTGTGCACCGTGCGCGTCCGCAGCAGCATCAGGCGAACCCCGGCAGCACTCCTGCAATGATGCGAGGGGAAGTTAGGTGTGATTAGGGAGCAGGGGGCTGAACAGGGGTTCCACACGTCTGACATGTGGAGCTCAGTACACGTGGGCGCCGGTCGGCTACTCACCTGTTCATTCCCACGTAGTAGTGGTTGAGGCTGAGCAGACCCAGGGGCCAGCTGGACGGCGGCCCTCGCGGCACGTTGACGATGTGCACATCCGCCAGCGTTATCACCGGTCCGCCTCGCCAGCCAGCCCCCTGCTCGGGCTGCTCCTGCTGCCCCGCCGACACGTCTAGCAGGCCAAAGGCGTTCTGCCGCATCCTCACATCCAGCTCCGTGCCGCTCCCACCACCGGCGCCCGCCAGTGTCACGTTGCGATAGACGCTCACCAGCGGCTGGGCGCCATCGGTCGGCGCCTCCAGCCGCTGGGGGGTGGCGTCCGCGGGCAGGCTGATGTTGGCCGCCAGCGTCACCAGCAGCCGCGAGTGGCCCGGTTGCAGCAGCTGCAGGGCGGCCAGCAGCTGCGGACCGGAGGCCACGGTGGCAGTGCCGCAGGGCGCCAGGCCTTGTGCGGAACCGGCCAGCAGGCGGGCCCAGTCGCCGGGCGGGCACGAAATGTTGAGGCGCTGGGCGGTTGAGGTGGGCCCCGTGAGGCGCTCGTAGTAGAGGTAGGCGGGGCCGGCCTGCGGCCAGTTGTGTGCACCCAGGGCAGTGGGAATTGGCATTAAAACTGAGGACGGAAACGGTTGGGGGCGTGGCGGAGTGCCTGGTCTGGGACGAAAGTGCGTACGTAGTACACGGGACCCTTGCGTCGTGCCTGTGTAACTGGTACCGGTATCCGTGCGGGCCGAAGCCTTGGAACGTCTACAAGCACGCGCACCTGGAGGCCAGTGCTGGGCCAAGTAGCCGATGGTAGGAAAGAGCATTCCCTGGCGCTCAAGTTCCATAAGGGCTCGCAAAGTGGCAATTGCAAGTTGACATCGAATAAGCGAGCATGGACTCCTAAAGGCGGACGAAGATCCAAAGGAAGCCACAAACCGGGATCTCTTTTGCTGTAAAGGTTAAGATAGTCGGCCGTTGAGTTGCTGCTGGATATGGTGCAGCTTGACAACACCGGTTGAGCTGCGCCTGTCGTTGACCAAGCGCATGTATTCAGCGCCTCCGCTTTTCCGAATACAAGTAGTAAGATACCTAGCAGTTTCAGGATAAGGAGCATCCCGTATGGTGCGCGTATGGGAATGTGACTAAGCAATTGGTCGGAGTGTAACAGCCTCTTTTCTTGTGCCATAATCCTAGCCAACATCAGAAGTGCGGGAGAACAACAGAACTTGATTGACAACACAGCTCAATATAGGTAAGTCCGACCTGAGACGCCGGACTATGACGGTCGCATTTTGCTATTACGCTGTCCATGAAAGCTATGATGGCACCGTGCCTATAAGGCGGTCTTTAAAACAAGCATTCTTTGTGTTTGCAGTTGAAGTTCTCATGAGCGGGCTGTCCGGCATACTGCCTATTGGGCCCTTTGCGAGATACGCTCTACTAATGCTAGTCATGTTTCATCTAATAAAGTAACGGAAACCTCACACATCTGCTTGCACGGACCCATATCGTTTCGGCACCCGGCCTATCTTGCAAGCACAAGTGGCTTGGTGCAAGGGTCACAGGTGGCCAATCTCTACTAACGCTGCTATTTGCGCATGCGTGTCCACTATCGAAGGAATGCGGTAACCTGCCTGAGCATAGTAGGCTCTAGGGCACAGCGGCTGGGGACTTAGGTGGTTCTTTGCATAACGGTAAATTATTAAGGCGCGCCCTTCCGTTCTATCCCAGGAAGCTTGGCGCCCCCAGCTTGCGGGCCTTCGCGAACCACGCTGTTTGCGGCCTTCGCGAACAGCGCCTGTGCTCCTTGGAAGCTGTTATTGAGGGGGGCGTAACCCCTGTAACCCCGTGGGTGTACGATGCCTGGAACCCCTAGGTCCTGCAGCAAAACGCATGCTAGGTGAAAGCATGCATAATATTAATGTTTTGGGCCATTTGGGGAGGGTTACGGAGAGTTTGGGCCGACGGGAACTTTAAGACGCAGAACATAAGCTAACAATTAAGGAAAGTAGTTGTTTAGTTATTACTCTAATGGTAGATGCGTACCTAATGCTGTAAGCTTTGGTTTATGGTCGACTCGTTGCCATTGCCATAGAAAAAAGCGCCCAAAAGGCAACGTTCCCTACGCAGCCCAATTAAAATTATATAAGAACGTAGTCCTAGTTTGCTGGAAAGAAAAGCTGTCACTGTTTTCACCTACAATATCTGGCCCGGAACCCCGACGACCCCGACGAGCGTACAGTCGTCGGGGTTCCAGGCCGTACTCGTCGGGGTTCCGGGGGGTTCCGACAGCCGACATATGTTCCTGATAGGGAACCTTCCAGGATAGGGAACCTTCGACGACCGGTACTTACCAGACCGGACCTTAGAGCGGCAGAGTTGGGACTGCGGCTGATAACATTTCTTAACGGCTACAAAGAGATATAGATGTTCTCTTTATTGCGGCTGTCAGCGCCGTGTTGACTCCAGCTGCACGGGATGATGTGTCAAGACCCCTCTGTTCAGCATGCTAGTGCGTCCCCAGGCGCAAGGCAGCTGGGCGTGAGCTTTATGCGTCTAGGTCCAGCACGACGTGTGCTTAAGCTGAAAGGTACCTGTCGTACTCCGGGCGCAGGTAAGCTCGCTCCCACGCTCTTACCACCAGGTACGGCAGTACGGCCATCACAATGAAGAGCCCTGCGGCTGGGAGGCCCCGGGGGCAGCAGCCGGCGGTCCACCGCGCGGGTAGCGGCTGCAAGCGACGGCGGCATGACGAGGTGGGGAATAATCCGTGCCGCAACAATGCCTGAATGTGGTTGCGTTTTCAGGCGTTTGCTCCCTATACACCCAGGCGACGGGCCGCGGCAATTGCTTCGGCCCGTTCCTTTGAGACCTTGTTCCCGTTGCCTCCGCCGCTCTTGGATCTCTTGGTTAGGCTGTGCACACCATCCGTGTACGGCAGAGGTTGGGGTCGCGTGTTGGTTTCGACGGGCCGTGATGTAGCGGTGTATACCAGTAGGTTGCTGTCTTTGATGTTTCCTCTACCGGTATCCTGGGCTTTGTGTCTCGGCGCGGGTACCGGTAATCTGCACTCTTCGACTGCTCAGCCATATGATCTCGCGTGTCGTGACACTTCACTTGTCGGACAAACGCTTGTTCGCCATACGCAACTCGGGCGCACACGTTCACAGGCGGGTAACGCACTGCTGCGGCTGCTGCTGGCGGGACATCTGGGCGCCCTTGTACTCGCTGTCGTCACTTTCCCTTCTCCCTGGGCCTGAGACTTTATGGCTGACATACGTACGACACAATCGCGTGCGTTGCCTGCTGAGCCTTTTGGATCCCGGCAATTTCGCAGGTAAGCTGTCTGCCACAACAAGCCGCAATCTTTGTTGTATACGGTTAGGCCCCGTAGCCAGGAAGCCCATCTAGTGGGCGTTTGCATGCGATCCTGCTCGCCCCTGAGCCAGCTACGTGGCACTACACCTGCAACCAGTAACCCGCCCATTGCATGCAGCTATCCCCGCGCCTGCAGGCAGGGATCACCCTGGCAAACCTGTTCCCGACAGCGCTGGTGATGCGGCGCGTGTACGGCGGTCGCTGGCGCCCTGTGCTGGCCTTTGCTGCTGGGCACGCGACGTGCTGCATGCTGGTGTCGGCCGTCACAGACTTTTGGACACGGCGGCGCTTCGTGAATACCGGTGTTATGCGGAGTCGTCAGCCTCGTCATCCGGACAGCAGCAGGGACGATGATGGGGGTACCGGTAAATGACGGTTTGCGGTATCCCGAGCTCAACAGGTGTGGGATTGGATCAGTATCAGTACCGCTACGTACTGGATCATGACAACCTTTGTGCGTGTTGCTGTTATATATATCTAGTTATATGTAACAGCATTATATGTTGCCATGATAACTGGTTATCCTTTCCGTACTTGCTTAATGTTGGGTCTTTTTGCAGCGCGTCGTTGGCATGCATGCCCATGAGGTTCGTACAGGAAATGATCACAGCAAGCAGCAGCAAGGCCAGCTGTTGATTGATGTTGTGGCATATAATGGAAACCCAGTTGAAGTCGAGTCCTAAGCTGTTCCCGCCTTGCTATTAAGGAATGTATGATGGGTAGGGCTCCCGCGTAATACTCGCATTCTCCCGCGTCCCGTAATGGCGTACATGTTGAATGTTCAATGCGTGCCTTCCTGCAGGCAAAGAAAAGGAGTTATCGCGGCGGCGGTTTTTGAATGGACGCATGCATGTACCTGTTAAATTGCGACGGGGCTGCTGCGAGTGGCTTAGTCATCATTACCAAGTGTGGGTGGGACGCCATGTGTCCATTGTTGGAAACACAGCCATTCCATGCCAAAAAGCATGACGAACAGCATGGTAAGCAGAAACGGTTCGGTCATTTCCTGCGAATGGAGGTTTGCACGCCGAAGGCCCCCAGAAAGCCAGGCAGGAAGTGGATAGACCAGAGTTCCAGAGCAACACAACCCTGTGCCCGTGCCCCTTGTTAGTTCCTATACCGTAGTAACGGAGTAACTATGACCAGTGCTAGATTGGCGTAGCAATATACTTTGGCAGGTAATGAAAAACTTTAGAACCTATCACTGTCAGCATGGACATTGCTGCTTAGTGCAGTACGCACTTTGGGTGAAGAAAAAATGAACGCAGCGATTATGTATAGTGAGTGCTGCGGGAAGTACTCTTCCAAGATATACAATACCGGTATCAGTACACGACATGTTGGCACCTAATCGCGGGGAACTGCCATGCGCCTAAGAAAGGTAGTTGCAATATAATGGGCTTTACATCGTAGGTTAAGCATGCATACACAGCAATACAGCGTCGTACATGAGCCACTCCTGCCTCACAGCATTCCTGCCACGCCAGCACTTGTAAAGTGAAGTTAACTTTACTACCAAAGGTTCACTCCCTAGAAGATTGTGTATGATTCCCATAACGATACGCGTTCGCAAGTTTGCTCGGGGCGCTGCTTCCTTACGGACCCTGAAGATGTGTTGTATACGATACACGACCTGACAAGGACAAGGAGGATCTATAGTTTGGCTCGGCTTAACCCGACATGGACCAAACGCACTCCCACGAGCGCTCTTTCTTCGAAGGAGGAGGACTAGTGCCTCCTCCCGGAAGGCTTCATAAAGTACTTATAGTGGGTGCGGGTGTGGCGGGCCTCCAGACAGCTAGACAGTTCCTTAAGCTGGGAGCTCAGGTCCTCGTTCTAGAGGCGAACGACGATGTGGGTGGCGTATGGATACGAAATTACTTCGGATTCGGCCTACAAGGTATGCCCATAAATCCACAGCAAGCCAGGCGTTGTCTATCGTAGCCCGAATTCCGTGATGGGCGCCATGTCTTCGTTCGCGGCTTTGCATTTACCCATTACGCTGGTTCAACTGGGCAGGTCGCTTGCAATTCTGTATATGAGGCCAGGTCACCTGCTGCTGTTGTGTGCGTGTTAATGTTCTGTGTCTTCGGGGCTGAGCTGCGTTAGCTACCTGCGAGCATAGAGGGTGGAAGCCTGTGACATATTAAAAAGACTTACCAAGGACATAAGCCTAACAGCTGCGTAACACAGGCATACGGGTTGCATGGCCGGAGCCATCCAACACGCCATCCCGCATAACGTCAGCCCGAGAGTCCATATCTGCCTTCTTCTTTCCTATGTCCTACGCCCTCACCCCATCGCTTACCCCAACCCCCGTTTCGCATAACCCTTCGTCCTGTTTTTTCTCTCAGTCCATCCCTCTGTATCCTCCAAGGGTCCAGCGTCTTCCTTCAATACCCTCCTGTTCTTTCCCCATGTTGACCCGTCCACCCCCGCCCCCCTGCCTGCCTGCCCGCAGTCCCCTGGCGCATGTACCAGTTCCCCGAGTACCCCTGGCCCAAGGACCTGCAGCCCACCAGCGAATACCCAACAGGTGCGGGCGTGCTGGTGGTGGTGAGGGGGCTGCCGCGCTCGGGGGAAAGAGGAGGAAAGGTGCCAACCATGTGACACATAGGGTAGTTGGGGAGCGGGCAGGGTACATGGAGGGAGGGGGGCTGGGGCGGTGAAGGGCAGGTGGCGTGGAATCGGGGAGGGGTGTGGGGTACACAGCAGGTGGTGCAGAGGAAGGGCTGGGCTGGGCCGGTGTGGGGGTGGGGGCTCCGATGGAATATCGGCCTGGCATTGCCGCAATCTACGCGAGGAGGAGGAGGAGGAGGAGGCGAGCTGGCTGTTTGTCAGGCGGCCCCTGAAGCAGCTCCCCTCCCTTGTATCCGCCCCCCTTGCCATCATCTGCCTGCTTGCTGCCCGCCCACCCACCCCCACACACACCTCGCTGCCACCCACCCACCCCCCCTCACCCCTTCTATCCCAACCCCCCCAGGTCAGGAGGTGCAGGAGTACGTGCGCGCCTACTGTCGCGAGTACGACCTGCGCCGCTACGTGCGCTTCAACTGCAAGCTGCTGCGGCTGCGGTGGTGCCCGGGCAGCAGGCAGTGGGACGCGTTGTACTGCGACACGCTCAAGGAGAAGTTCTTCAAGGTGCCAGGGGGGGAGGGTGAAGGGCGGGGTGGGGGGAAAAAAGAAATTCCAAAGAAATTCCAAAGAGGAGGAGAAAGCTGGAAGAAGGAAGGCGTGAAGAGGGTTGGGGGACTGTGGTGGTGTGTTCTTATTATCATTCCCTGTGGCTTTTCTCACATCAACGAACCTCTGTGTTCCTCCCAACATGAGCTCCCCTTCGCGCCCCTCCACACCCCACCCCACCCCGCCGCCAGGTCACGGTGGACTATGCGGTGGTGTGTGCGGGCATCTACAGCCAGCCGTACATCCCTGACTATGAGGTGCGTGTACGGCAGCAGAGGAGCCAGGGTAGCACGCGTGTATGTGTGTGGGGGGTTGCCTTGCATCACCAGCTGTCAGGAACAAGGGGCGAGGAGAAGGGGTGAGGGAAAGGGCGGGGGTGGGCCGAAGATGCGGACAGGGGGTTGAAGCGGGGAGGGGGTGAGGGTGGGAGGGCGTAGGAGGTGCGAGGGTATTGGGAAGGGAGGTTTCTGGGTGGGGAGGGGCCAGGGGACGGGGGCGGGGAGGGAGGGGGCGATGCCTGGGACAGCTCTGTAAGAGAGGTGGGGGCAGGGAGCACGGCCGGACATGGAGAGCTTGCGCTGGATACTCCTCCTCTCATCATCACCATCAGAGGCGGGCATCCTCCCTACGGGGGTCACCACCCATCCTTCACACTGGGGCACAGGTTTACCACAAGGCAAAAACACCATGATATGTAACCCCCTCCTCCTCCCCCTCCTAGTTGTTTCCTCTTTACCCCCCTCCCCGTTGCTTCACTTCTCCATTTATTTCCCCCTCCTCCCCCCTCCCTCCCTCCCCAGGGCACCGACTCCTACGCCGGCATCCAGCTGCACGCCAAGGACTTTGCGGACCTCTCGCTCGCCCGCGGGCGCCGCGTTGTGATCGTGGGTGCCGGCAAGACGGCTCTGGACTGCGTGGGCTCCATCATGGCCACCAACACCGCCACCAGCGTCACGCTGCTGTACCGGCAGGCGCACTGGCCGCTGCCGCGCCGCATGCTGGGTAGGGAGGGGGGGGGTTGGAGGGGCGGGGGGCGGGTGGGGTGTAGGGGGATGGGGGATGGGGGCGGGGCTCCCTTGCCGCTCCTTGGGTGCGTAGAACAAACCCTTTTCTGGAGCCATCTGGGGTGGTCATCTGGGGTTGTGTCTTCTGTGTCCACTTCTTCCCACCTCTTCTCCCCCCTACCCCCCGCACCCCACCCCCCAGGCACCAGTGTCCGGCGGCTGCTGTTCAACCGCGCCATGACCTCCATGATGCCGCCCTACTACACGGCGGGGCGGGCGGCGGCGGGGGCCAGCAGGGCGCTGGCACCGCTGAGGAAGCTGTTCTGGAGGAGCATGGAGGTGGGGGGCGGGGGGGGGGGGGAGGGGCGGGGTGAGGGGACGGGGGGTGTTAAAGAAGGGGCGAAGGAGGGCCTGCCGACACGCTTTACCCCCTGCCCTACCCTACCCCACGCACACTGCGCGTACGCGGACTGCATGGGTCCATGGGCCCCCATCGGCTAGCAACAACTGTATGTCCTCACTCCTTTTCCTCCCCCCAGTACACCACCTCACCATACCCCCTCCCACCTCCCTCCCCCCCTCCCCCTCCCTCCCCTCCCCCCAGTCCCTCATCAGTCGCAAGTTCCGCATCACGGAGCAGATGCGCCCGCGCGTGCACCTGCCCACCGACCTCTTCTACGGCGGCCAGATCCTGGACAACACCATGGACAAGCTGGTGCGCAGCGAGGCGCTGCTCACGGTGAAGGGTGAGAGTTGTGGGGTGGGGCGGGGGGGAAATTATATAATAAATGCAAACAACTAGAGTCCCAATCCCATATCCCGACTCATGCAGTGAGTGCATTCGGAGACACTATCCTAGACACGCAGATAAGCGTAACTTACCGAAGGCTTGCTTACCAGAACCTTTGGCGACGTGCGGGAGGAGCCGCCTTGCGTAGGAAGACATGTGCCGCGCCGCCGGTCACTAATTCTTAAGGAGCGCAGTTAATGGACAGATAAGCATACAATACATGGAAACGCATTTTTGGTAAACGTACGTACCTGGAGAGGGAAACCCTGGCGGGGGGGGAGTGGGGACAGAGACCAGCCCAAACCATAGGAAGCCACAGGTTAGGGCAAAGCAATGGGGAGAAGAGGCGGCAGGGTGCCACGGGGGGCGGGGCGGGGGAGGAGGAAAGGACGAGGAGGTGATGGCAGAGGAGGAAGCTAACCGTGTGACACGGGCTAGGGTGCTGGTTTCGGCGAGTGGGGGCATGCTTGGCATGGTGTGTAAGACGTGACGACCTGGGCCATACTACCCTGCACCGCCCCCCCCCCATCCCTGCATTCCTCCTTGTTCCCAGCTGAACTGGCAGTCCCGGCCCCGCTGGGTGGAGACAATTACTCGGAGACCCTTACTCCGCTGCTCCGCCCCCCTGCCCCACGTAATGCGGCCTAATGCCTAATGCGGAGTATGTATCTCGTTAATCCCCCCGCTCCTCCCCTGCCCCCCGCTCAGGCGAGATCAACCGCTTCGTGCGCAACGGGGTAATCCTGCAGGTGAGCGGCGGGGAGCAGCAGGGGGGGGGTAGCGGCTGGGGAGGGAGGGAGGTGGCTGTGTCCTCACAGGGGGGTTTGGACCGGTTGCGTGTAGGGTGGTGGTGGTGATGATGGTTGCATGAAGCCGTTGTGGAGGAGGAGGATAGGGGTACTGCAGGCGGTGTGGGAGGTGTCACAGCGCAGTATCGCGCAACATGTCCGCTCCCCAACGCCTCCCTCCCTCCTCCCTCCTGCCCCTCCTGCCCCCCCCCCTCCCCCTCCAGGACGGCAACTTCGTGGCCGCCGACCTGGTGCTGTACTGCACCGGCTACCTGAAGACGTACGAGTACCTGGAGGGCGACATGCGCGCGCGGCTGGACCTGCAGAAGGACGGACTCTACCTCTACCGCAACTGCCTGCCCTACGCGGTGCCGCACCTGGCATTCATTGGCAGCGAGGTGGGGGTTGGATGTGGGGAGGTGGGGGGGGGTGAGGGTCAATGATTAGAGCAATGGCTTGGATTTTCCCTTCCCTTCCCTACCCGAACTAATGCGGAAGATTTGCCCAACCCCTCCCCCAACCCCGCCCCTGCCTGCCTGCAGGTCAGCACCTACAACAACATCCTCACAGACGGTCTGCAGGTGAGATGAGCGAGGGGGGGTCAAAGACCATACCGAACCATAGGAAGCCACAGGTTGGGGCAAGACAATGGGGATAGGAGCGGCAGGGTGCCACAAAAACAAGGATGGGTTAGCGGTCCCTACCGATACCGAGTCCGGGATGACGATGAAACAGCGACCCTCCAGCGACCGAGCTGAATGCTGGCTGTTGTAGTTGTCTACTACGATTGTCTTGATGTCAAACATCGTCACCAAGGCCCCATATGTGAGCGAGGGGGGGGAGGGTTGGGAGGGAGCGTCCTGGGGTTTGTTCTGGGGGGGTTTGTCCAGAGTGATGTCTGGGTAGAGTCACCGTTGGGGGGGGGCACTAGGGCTGTGGGTTTGGGACGGCGCTGGGGGGCCCGCTGGGGGACCTTAGCAGCCACCCTACCTCATCACCCTACCTCATCCAGCCACACAGCATCACCCTACCTCATCACCTTACCTCCTCTTCTCACCTCCTCTCCCCCCCCAAAGGCTCTGTGGCTGGCGCACGTGCTGACGGGCCGGCTGCAGCTGCCGCCGCCTCCCGTGATGGCGGAGGACGTGCGCGCGCAGCAGCGCTGGCGGCGCACTGTGATGCCGGCGCAGCGGTCCCGTGGGTCGGTGCTGATGCTCTACCAGATGCAGTACCATGACCAGGTGCGGATGGGCTGGGAACCGGGGGGGGGAGTTAGATTGCTGTGTTTATGTGTTTGTGTGTATGGAGGAGGGTAAAGCCCCTAGGTGGCCCGGTTGTGGGACCCGCCGTACGGTGTGTAACCCCATGCGGAAATGTACCCCAAGGGTATTTGTTGCCATGCCTCGTCCCACCCTTTTACCCTGTTCCACCCTACGCACCCTGCCCTCCGCAGCTTCTGGAGGACATGGGCATGCCTCCCCGCCGCAAGGGCCTCAACCTGCTGGCCGAGTGCTTCGGAGCCTACACCGCATTCGACTACCGCACCATCCTCACCGACGACGACACCGTGCTGGCAGCGCGGCGGGCGGCGGAGCAGCTGGCGGCGGCGGGGGTGCCGCAGGCAGTGCTGGCGGCCACGACAGCCGGGCGTGGGGGGGTCATGGTGGAGGCGGCGGCGGCTACGCCTTCGGCGGCGGCCGCGACGGCTCCGCCGTCGCGACATGGTACGGCACTTCATGACGGAAGCGGCGGCGGCGGTTGCATATACGGCAGTACGACACGCCACCACCACGGTGGCGGCGGTGGCGCCAATAATACGATTAGTGTACGGAGCTTGTTGGCTGGTAGCGATGACCCGAGTGGGGAGAAGGTGATGGGGGTGACTCGGTCGCCCTCGCCGTCACCGCTACCGGTCCGCGGCGGCAGCTTTGGCGGCAGCGGCGGCGGCGGCACGCATGTGGGTGCTGCTGCCGCTGCTGCTGGTGCGCCACCCTCCGCCTCTAGTGCTGCTGTGGCGGCGGCGGCAGCGGGACTGCTGCTCGGACGGAATTTGAGCCACAACGGCCGGTCCTTTGGGCACCATACGAACCTGCCTTTCAGGTAGGGGAGCCTTTCCTGTCTCCCTGTCTTGCCCTCTCCCTCCCTTATTGGCCGCTGTCCGACTTGCCCGCGGGTATCCTGGAGCTCTCCCTTTCCGCTGCCAACTGCCGCTGCTAGCGCTGACGCTGACATCGCTCCCTCGCAACCAACGCAGGATTACGGAGGGGGACTTCGAGCCATGCCGACCAGGCGGCGGCGGCAGCGACGAGGCAGCGCGGGGTCCCTCTGCAGCGGCGGCGGCAGCTGGCGGCGGCATCGGCGCCGTCAAGGGCCGCCGTTACAGCAGTACGGCGAACGGCTACGACGCAAACCCCGCATCCGGCTGGGCCCGAAACGAGCAGCAGAGGCTTTCCTCTCGCAACATTGGGTCGAGGGCGCTGGCCGATCTGGCGGCGTCAGGACTGCGTAACGGCGGCACCGCCAGCGGCGGCGCTGGCGGCGGCAACAACCGCAGCGCCAGCGGCAGCGTCGGGGCGCATGTCAACGGCAGCGCTAGCATACCCTCGGGCGGATCCGGCCAAGGCGTTAGCGGGTACGGCGTGACTGTGTACGGAAACAGCGGCTTTGCCTGCGGTGCGAGTGCGGTGAACTCTGGTGGTAGCGGCGGCGGCGGCAGTGGCGGCGGCGCCGCCGCGATCATTGGCGTCAACTTCGCGCATTTCGGGGGCGGCGGCGGCGGCGGAGGCGTCGGCGGCGTGTCACGTCGGCGGAGCTCAAGCATTGGCTCCGTGCCTGGTGGAACGATGATGAGCTGCGGGAACGCTGTCATCGAGCAACAACAGCAGCAGCAGCTGCAACAGCAGTTGCCGCGAAAGTGCGGTGACGGTACTTCGTTGCTGCAGCAGTTTTCAACTGGCGGTGGCGGCGGCGGCGCCTCCGATGGCTATCGCCGGCCGTCGCCTCCGCCACCGCTCGAGCTTTCGTCCGCTTGCGGCGGTGTTTTCAACAGCAGCAACAGCTGTGGCGCTGCTATCACCACCACCACCTTCACCTCCGCCACCATTCCACAAGCTCAACGTGTGTCGCCGTCTTCAAGCTCACCCAGAGCCCAGAGGCAGGCCGCCTCGACGTCACCCTGCTTAGTTCTGGACGACGACGTACGAACCTCACCGACGTCCACGGCGTTGCGTGACGTCGCCTCCGCCGCCGTTGCGGCCGGCGGCGGCGGCAGCCCGTTATCGTCAGGCAGCGGTGCCGACGGCGGCCGTTGCTTATCCTCCGTGACTCGAGGCTGCCGGGAAAGTGCTTCCGGCTCCGCCGCCGCCGCCGCGGCTGCCGCCGCCGCGGCTGCCGCCGCCGCTGCGGCATCCACGTGTGCTGCGGATGCTTCTGCCTCGTACGTTCCGCCCTCCTCGCCCTCGCGCCTCTCACGCCACACCGGGCCCTCGTCTCCGCTGCCGGAAGGATCGCCTTCCGACGCGTCTCCTTATTCTCCGCTGCATCCGCGCACGCTGTCAGAATCCCAGACACAATCGACATCGCACCCGCCGCCGCCGCAGCAGCAGCAGCAGTACGGGATTGCTCGGCGGGAATCGCTGGACTTCTCACAAGGGGCCATGGCGTGCTGTGCTTCTCCTGCCGCCCCATCCGCCGGTGCCTGCTGGCTTGAACAGCAACCCCACCATTGCCAACAACAACAACAACAACAGCAGCGACAGCAACAAGTACAACACATACAGCATTCGCAGTCCATGCCTCACCACTCGCAGTCGCAGTCTTCAGACAGCAGTCGACCAGCAGCACTGCTGTCGGCGGAGGCAGTACTGCGCAGCTTGGCGACGCCGCCTGGGTTAGCGCCCCGCTGCATGAGCAAAATCACGGACGGTGTTGCAACGGCTGCCAGCGGCGGCGGCGGCGATGGCAGCACCATCTCTGGCGGAAGTCAAGGGGCCGGTCGCGTCAGTGATGGAGGCAATGGCGGCGACAACAAGTGTGACTTGTACGGCACATCATGGTCAACTCGCTCGTCAAACGGGGGCGGCGGCGGCGCTGCCGCCGCCGCCGGTTCCGGTGGTGCCGCTAGCGGTGCTGCGGGTGGCGTCGCTAGCGGTGGCTTCGGCGTCTTGCATGAGAGCATGTCCACTGAAGCACGGGACGTTACCCTCTGCATGTTTACGCAATCGCAATCCAGATCGCGGCTGCGGGCGCCGTACCGAGTCGTTAGTAACACAGACGACGGCGCCGCCGACGGCATTCCTGGGATGGTTTTCCTCGGCAACGCAAGCTGCACGGGTAGCGGCAGCGGCAGTGGCGTCCTCGCCGCCGTCGCCAGCAATGACGGCGACGCCGTTGCCTTCCGCCAAAGCTCACTAGCCGCGCCGCCGCCGCCGCCGTCGCCGTCACCGCCGCCGCCAGCGGCGACGGAAGACTCGCATTCACACCCGCATCCTCGCCCATCTCGGCCGCTGGCGTCGCCGCCGCCGTCTCTGGGGACGACGCTACGCACTGCCTCTGCGCTTGTGGAAGCCCCTGCCGGACCCCTCAGCGGCTCACATGTCAACAGCTACACCGTCGGTACTAGCGGCGGAAGTGACCCCGCCATTACCACCACCACCTCCACCACCTCCACCACCACCTCTGCCACCTCTCCCAGCTCGCAATGTCTAAGCGCGCGCGTCAGTCGGTGTTCCGACGGCAGCAACAACGCCGACGGAGTTGGGGTGGGCGATTGCGGCAAGCCGGGAATCGGCGGCGGCGGCCTGGCGTCACTGTCAGGTCGGGCTTTCAACACAGCCGTGGTACGGCAGTTCATGACTCCGCCACCGCCGTCGCCGCCTGTTAAACCCGACGTTGACGCCGCCGCCGCCACCGCCTCGGAGCGTCGCATGGAGGAAGTAGAGACCACGGCGCAAGAAGCCCGGCTGCAACTTACACCGGAACCCTCGCACCCAACACTGCTGCCCCAACCGACGGCGCCCCGACAACAGCAGCTTCAGGAACAGCAGCAGCAAGAGCCCCGACACCCTAACAGCGAGCCTAGCCCGCATGCATCCCAGCAGCATGCAGGCAGCAGTGTTGTTGCCCCCTTGGGGCACCTGTCCGAGGATGTTGGTGGCGTGGTTGCTGATGAGCAAAGGCGTACAGCACCTGCTGCTGCTGCTGCTGCTCGATTAGACGGAGCGGCGGCGGCGGGGCATAAGACGGCACCGACACTGTCGTCGGCAGAAGGCAGCCACGCCTGCGTGAGCGCGGTGGCGAGGGTGGAGGAGGTGGAGGTGGCTGGTGCGGAGGCGGAGGAGGCGCGACGCACGTACGCCCGGCAGCTGCAGCAGCCCGACAGGGATTCCCTTCAGAGACTACATGGGGGGAGGCCTTTCGGCATTGCGGAGGAAGAGGAGGAGGACATGGAGTTGGATGAGGACGAGATCCACGTTCTGCTTGCTCGTTCCGAGACGCCCAGGGAGCCACTGTCATCGGTGCGGGCGTCAACTGCTCCAGCTGCTGCTGCTGCGGCGGCGGCGGCGGCGGCGACGGCGGAGCAGCAGGAGGGGATGAAAGAGGAGGTAGAAGACGCGGCGGACGACGCTGCGCAGTCCCCAGCGAGGCGCAGCACAAGCCCCGCCGCCGGCAGCGTCACGGCTCTGCAAGGGGACACAGCGTCTCAGGCCGTTTTCGACGGTCCCGACTGCGACGCCAACGCCGCCGGCAGTCGCGCCGCCAAGCCCTCCCGCCGCTCCTCTTCCGCCGCCAGCATCGCCGCAGCGTCAGTGGATTCCACTGCAACCACCAGGACCGCCGATGCCACCTCCGCTGTCGGCGCGAAGCGTACAAACGACAGCGGCGGCGCCGTCGTCGCCGGCGCCAACGGCAATCCACCTCGGCCCGAATGGCGCCGTACCGCTAGCGCAGGCTACAGCGCCGACTACGTCCCTGTCGGCGCCGCCGCCGCCACCGCCGCCGCCGGCGGCGCCGCTTCCGCCGGACAGTGCTACCTCCCACACGGCGTTAGCGTTGGCGTGCTTAGCACCGACAGCAGCGGTGCCCTGTTACAATCCTCCGTCGTCGATTCCTGCATCAGTCTCGCGGCCGGAATGGGCGCCACGTCATCCGGCGGCACGAGTAATGCAGGCGGCCCCGGCCTGGTCGCGGGAAACAGCCCTGGGGCGGGCGTGACAGCTTCGGCGTCGGCTTCCGGCATGGGCGGCAGCAGCAGCAGCGCCTCCCCTCGAACGTGGCTTCAGGAGCCCCATCGGCAGGTGTCCCCGATGCTGCTGCCGCTTCTGTCCAGATCCCTCACCAGTGGCAGCTCGACGACGCTAGATGGCTGGATGAAGCGCGCGTCAACAACCTTATCCCCAGCTGATTCGCCGGTGCTACCGGCACAGGGGGCAGTTGGGACTGCGGCGGCGGCAGTAGCAGGGGCAGCCGCTGGAGCCTCAGCTGTCACGGGGCAGGGGCCTGCTGGGGCGGCGGCGGGAGGAGGGGCGGCCCGATGGCTAGCGGCGCCGGCGGCGGGAGCAGCAGCAGCGCCGCCGCAGGGGTCTGCAGGGGCTGCAACGACGAACGGCAGCAGCAGCGGTATCGGCGCTGGCAAGGTGTTGCAGCAGCGGGGGCTGCAGCAGCGGGGAGGACAGCAGCAGCAGCAGCAACAGGGGCAGCGGGGGATCTAGGTAAGGCTGGTGGCGGGGAAATAGCGCTTTAGCTTGGCGAACAGACCCGCGCGAGAAAAGGCTAGTAGCAGCAGCAGCAGGTCAAGATGCCTTCAAAGTGACCCGTGGGTCCTTGGATGAGGACTTTGGAGCAAATTACAAGCAAGTGTTGTGCGGGGGGCAGGAAAGCACTGATTGCCTGCCTGCCTGCCTGCCTGCCTGCATGTGCTGGTTGTTGCTGATTCCGTGTGATGGACGACCACGAGGATAGTTTCGATGCTGATGGTCTTATGGTGATGATGTTATTTGACGGTTGGACGCAAACGGCGGGGTTAAGGTGGTGACACGGGGCGCGCGGCGGTTCTCTGTTGCCCGTTGTGACGGTGGTTACGGAGGCGGAACGCATGGGCTTTGCTGCTGCTTTCTTCTCACTACTTACCGCTGCCTTCCTGCAGTGTATGCATGCATGGGAGGGGGGCGGAGGAGGGTGCTTGCGGACGCTTGGACGATGTGCGTGTGGTTGTGTGTGCGATGATATATGTCGACGGAAGGAGATCAGCGGATTGGAGGATTGCCCAACACAGAGGAAACGGGTGTAAGCGGGCTGGTATTGCCAGTAGTACGGCGGGGCATTCTGGATGCGCCGTAGTCTTCCTAGAACCATCAATCTTTGTGTGACCGAAACTTATGGGCAATTCAGGCACACCCATGGGGGTGGGGTGGGGCTCTTGCCAGTCAACTGAATCGGTGTTTCCTTTGTTCAGGTTGGTGCTTTGACTTGCAGCACTGGTGGTTATGTACCTTGATGGTGGGTAGCGGTGAGTTGGAGGAAAAAAAAGTAACACATAGATCTACAAACAGTACACAACTGATTTCCCAACAGGAGGTTACACCTCCTGCCGTATCATGGCCCCTCCATGCGCTGTTTACTGAACCTGCCATGGAGGGTCGTTAGGGTGCGTGTGGCGTGTGTGCGTGTTGCTGGGGCCTGAGCAACGAGCATGCTGTTCGCCTGTTGCAGTTGCCCCTAGTCCCCAATTGGTCACCTGTGTCCCCTTCTTTCGAGCACTGCTTTGCAGGGCCGGCAGGGCCCTCGCTTGGCTAGCTGTTTTCCTGATACAAGGGTTTCATTAAAGGGGCTTGACAGCATTTGGTTTGCTTCGGTTTGGTAGGTGTCTGCGTGCCACGGGGTTTTATGTGGGTGGCGGGGGAGTTGGTTCGCGGCAAGGATGCTTGGATGCCTTGCTGGAATATGGCTGTGCTTGTCAACTCGGCTGGGGAGGGTGTCTGTTGCATGGAGGAAGGAGGAGAGGGTGGGCTACAACGGTGAAGGTGCACAACGTTTGGGGTTCAGAGCGAGGGCGGGCAGTTGTTGGACGCCGGCGTTGGAGCTCTGCTTGAAGCCTGATATGGCGACGGCGGCAGTTGGGGCTCATTAACACGGGGTTTCGTACTGGTCGGGAGGATGTTGTCTGTTGCCCATTGGTTTGTTTGTTTGTTTATTTGTCCCCTTGGTGTTGTGGTATTGGGGATACACAACAATGCATTATAACCCGACGGAATCAGAGGACTGAATACCCTGTTGACAGGAACGGCAGGAGCGAAGCGAAGCGCATGAGGTTAGGTTAGATAGGGTGTGTGGTTGAAAAACCAACACGCCGCTAAACTGTGCGTGTGTGGTGAAGGGGCTGTGCGGCTCGGCGTTCATTGAAAAACGAACGACAAGCGCTCCTCTTTGAGTAGAATCAACTGGCCGCCGCAATCCTGTATGTGTGTGTGTGCGTTAAGAAAACTGGCCGCGAGGTGGAACGTACTGTGGTTTAAGAAAACTGGATGTCATGGTGGTTGTGCCTGGGGATGCGCGTGTGTGAAACTGTGGATCCATCACTGGATTGCGCCTGCGCCTGCGCGTATGGAGGTGCAAACGTGCTCAGCTGGAAGGCACACAGTTGCTAAGGCCAAGCAATTGTGTGTTGAGAAAACTGGCCGCGAGTCGGAACGTACTGCAATTGTGTGCGCCTGTATGTGGGTGTGGGTGTGGGCGTAATGGACAGCAGGGGAGGATAAGGCGTTGGCGCCCGCTACCTTTGGGCCTGTCGTCAGACGCCTTCGCGCCCACGCCGCCCACATGCGCTGAATGTATTGGTACCGCGCCTGACAGTGCCGCTTGTACACCCACACAGCCTGACGGTGTTTGCTGATTGGGGTGCGGGACTGGCGGTGGTGTTGCTGGAGGATTGCGTCGGCTCTGTGGTTTCTTTCTGTGGTTTTCACACTTGCGGCTGCATGGCAGCACCAATCCGTGTAGCAGCACGGCCGGAGGGCATTGCGTGCGACGTTATACAGTTAGCGCTAGCGGTTAGTTGTAACGCCTGCTCCGGGGCAGGAGCAGCTTGGACGTTGCCTTTGGTTGGTTCATGCATGTTGGTGGTGGATTTAAATACACAAACTGTCGACGTAATTATAGCAACAATGACATGAGCTTATGGTGGTGGTGAAGATGATTGGGGCGTTGCAGGACACGTTGGCACCAGAGGGACGAGGGATGGAGAGGACTGAAAAGGAGAGCCTTCATGCGCGCATGCAGGTACGCAACGGCAGCTGCACACAAAGCACGTGTCATACTGTGTGTCTTCTGGCGTTGCTTGGAGGTCTAAACCCTTACTAGGAATGACCGTGTTGTGCTGAATTGTGCTGCGCTGCCCTTTTCGCTGGCGCCATTTGCGACGTCTTCTGTCGTCAGTCGCATGCCGCTTACACAAATAGCACAACCTGGGTCGAAGCAGCTAATGTGGATCTGGTCTTGTGCTGTTTGGATTTGGATTGCGATACGTGCTCTGAGAATCCAACGCAACCATGTTTGAAAGGTTTGCTCAGTTCCGGCATTGGCCGGTTCCGTCCTCCTCGTCCTCTTTGACTCTTCACGCCGGTGTGTGCTGCAACACATGCAACACATGGTTTGCCGCGTGTCCTGGTTGCCTGCCCGCTGGCAGCAAGTGCCCCCCTCTGCCGCCCTCTTGAGTGTGTATGGTGTCCTCATGGGGTGCTGATTTTGGCAGACCGGGGGAGGCCTGCAAAGCGGGAATTTTTAAGTTCACTCGCTGCCATATTTAGTTTGATACTGCACACTGTCTTTTGTTTGTTCGTTTGTTTCTTTGCACGCCGGCCGGCCGGGGAAGCCGGCCGGGAGTTTCAGGTTTAGGGGACTTCGCATACACCGGTATGGGCTTTGTGTGGGGCGTGCGTTGGTGGGGGTTGGCTTCATGCGTTTGGTGTCATGAATTTCGCAATAAGAAAACATGACACTCCGCCGCGTACGTGAAGTTGTGTGTGTCGGTTGCGTCGTCGGTTACACTATGTATAGCTCGGATGGTTGGATGATGTTTTCGGTTGCGGTTGGTGGCTATGTAGTTTTGGTAAAAAAAGATTGAAGAGGTTGTGTAAGATGGGATATATACACGCTACGCGCTCCGACGCTGCAGAAGAAGGGCGGGAATTGTGTACGACCAGGTCCACACGAGGAATCAAGCTTGGGTGCTGTTTTTGGGGTTAAAAGGGCGGCAAGGAGGTGTTTGTGAGTCCTGAGATCCTGGATATATATAGTCGCTGGTGTGATGCCGGACATCCTCTTTGGCCTTTAACAAGACAGGCAGTTCGCATGTTATATGTTTTGGAACTGCTGGGATGACGAGGCAATGAACAAGACGGTGATATATCCTATTAATGTGCTTGTTGGAGGGAATCGTTTTCCTTTCCTGGAATGCGGAAAAGGTCTTTGGCTGCTGTTGTGGTGCTTTGGTTTCGGAGTGTTCATGTTGTTAGGGTTTTCGCCTTTTGCGCCGACATGCAAGACAAAAGCCCTAGCAAGGCGACCTACTGATGGATTTGATTAACGAATCTAGAAGAAGAGCTGTAAGAAGGAATAAAGCGTTAGCCAATCGTTGTATGTGGGGCCTTCTGCTGCGATGCACTAGACAGGCTAGATTGGGTGAGATGGTGGTGATTCCTTATGTCCCTCGTATGTCCTCCTGCGGTCCCTTCTCCTTCCCTGCTGCTGCGTAGGATACTGCAGTTGTGAATGCTACAATTATGCTATATCGCTGTGTTGTATCCTGTCGCTGTAACCATAACGATGAACGACGCCACAAGCCTTCGATGCCCATTCGAAACCGAGCCGTAACACATGTGCTCATTTACAACATGCAGGCATCTACTCTACGCATCCGCAGCAGCAGCAGCAGCTCCTCACATGCGACGTGTGCACAGCAGCAGCAGCTTACGCACCGTCCAACCGCACACCCACCTCTTTGGTGGGCACCTCTTTTTTTAACAAGAGGTGCACGCGTCCTACTCAACTATGTCATATCGGTACCGCTTCCCGTCCACCGGTGGCACCTACCTGCCGGCCTGCATGCACTCAACACACTCCTCGTCTGCGCTGCGCAAGACCCCCTGCAGACCTCCTGCATTCTTCAGCCCACTTCACTCCACTTCACTCCACTCCACTCCACTAGCCACTTCTCCTCCCGGAGAGCTTCAGAGAGGTCCGGTCGGGTCCCGCTGCTGCTGCTGCTGCTGCTGACACTGTCATCTCACACACCCTGCCACCCATCCATCACAACCCGCTGGACGCCTGCTGCTGCTGCCGCTGCTGCCCTGCCTGCTTGGCCCGCCTGGCCCCCTCCCTCCTTGTACACTGAGCTACCCTACCACAGGAGGGCCACCTCCCTGCTCAAACATAGAGGCCAGCAGTGCCCAGATACATGGTCCCTCCACTACACGCGCACTCCTGCTGTGCTCCGGCACCCCTCCTGATGTACGGCAGCGCCCCTCATCTACTCCAGGAAGATCTGGATCTTGTCGCTGCCGGTTGCCAGGTTGAGCAGCGGCTGGTCGGGCGGCGGCAGCACGCCTCCGGGACCCAGCGCCTGGTCCAACAGGGCCTGTGGGGGGTTGGGGTAGGAGGGCAGGGGGCGGGGGGGAGGAGGAAGGGTGAAGGGGAAGGAAAACTACCCATAACAGTTGGCCGTGCGACGGGGAACAGGCCGACCCCTCCGACCCATCACAGCCCCCCCCACGAATGCGCTCACTGCATGAGTCGGGATATGGGATTGGGACTCGTTGTTTCACATATTTAATTTTTTCCCCCACAGCAGGGTGGAGTGGGGTTGTCACAGCAGCTGATGCGGTGGTGATCACCACCATGCGGCCAGCCAGCGTACGGAGCCGTTGTAGGGTAAATCCGTTCCGCTGCCCGTAAGCTTCCCCCACCCTTTTACACGACGCGGCTGATCAGCTGGTTTGATGCACCCAGTTGGACACCGGTGTAAGCGACACGCTGCTGACAATCCAGTACGTTCCTGCTCGCGGCCAGCCCCCATGCCCCTCCCTCCCCCCTCACCTCAATGTTAAACCCCGCCACCTGCGGCACCAGCGCTGTGAGGCCGTTGAGGAAGCCCGCCGGCACGCGCGTCTCCAGCTTCACCAGACCCGTGGTTCCGTCCGTGATGCGCACTCGCAGGTTGCGATTGCGACGGGAGGAGGAGCTTGAGGAGGAGGAGGAGGCGGTGGTAGACGAAGAGGAGTAGGGAGAGTAGGTGGAGGATGATGATGAGGAGGTGTTGTCGCCTGCTGCGGCGGTGCTTCTAGGTGTGGAGCCTGGGAAGGAGGTGGGGGGTGGAAAGGGGTGGGTGGGAGGGAGGAGAGGGAGGGAGGGGGACAAGGAAGGGAAGGGGGTGGAAAGGGGTGGGTGGGAGGGAGGAGAGGGAGGGAGGGGGACAAGGAAGGGAAGGGGGAGGAGGAGCAGAGGGGGCGTCATGAGCCGCATGTGCTGCGGGGAACGGTGGGGGGAGGGTGGTTCATTGGGAGCCGTGGCGACCAGCCCACCTTCGTACACAGCCTCCGGCTCCACTACCGGTGTCTGAGGGGGAGGGGGAGGGGGCGGGGGCCGCTGCGGAGGCGACCGCTCGCCCCCCCCTCCCACACTACCACTGCCCCCCCATGACGCTGAGGACGGCCCCGCCCCGGGCCATGCGGCTGGGCCCGCTGACGACCAGGAACCGCGTGCCCCCGCTGCCCCTGCCCCCCATGCTCCCGCTGCCCCTGCTGCTGCCCCCGACTCCGGCCCCGCGGCGTAGCGCTGCTCCTCCGAATAGTACTCCTGTGGTGGGGGGGAGGGAGGTGCGGGGGCGGGCAGGTGTGTTCGGAACACCGGCCTAGAGGTGTGCGGGCGGGTGGGTGGCTGGGTGATGTATGCACGCAGGCGCCTGTGGGCGGGCGGGTGGGTGCGCTTCCAGCAGCCTGAACAGCATGCCGGCCCCCCATCCGCGTCCCCCTCCCTCACCGGGAAGCCCACTGCCGCCTGTATGTCCGCGAATGAGCCCAGCGCCTCCCGGGGCGGCACCCGGCCCCGCTTCAGTCCCACCAGCGCCTCCTGCATGTTGTGCGGGGGTATGTGGGGGGAGGGTTGGGGCATGGGGAGGGCAGGGAGCAGGGAGGGGGTTTGGGAGGGCAGGGAGCAGGGAGGGGGTTTGGGAGGGCAGGGAGCAGAGGTTTAGGGGGGGGTGCATGAGGTTCATAAACTGACGTCATTGAGACACGTTTACCCCGTCTCCCCTTGCCATCCATACGGTTAGTTGTTAGTTGTTTCCCCTCCCCCCCCCTCCATGGTTTCACTTCTTCCTCTTTTCCCCCTCTCCCCCCCTCCCCCGCACCTGCATGGCCCGCACCGACACCCCCAGCAGCGACAGCGGGTATGCCACCAGCTTGAAGCCCAGCGCCTGCAGCGCCGAGGGCGGCAGCAGCGGAGTCTTGCCGCCACCCTCCAACATGTTGGCCATCTGGGGAGGGCGGGGAGGGGGCGGGGGAGGGGCGCCATGCATACACAGGTGCGTGTCAGTTTTGCAGCCAGGGGTTGCTACATGGCATGTACAGATGGGGTGAGGGTCCCTCCCCCTCCCTCCCCTCCCCCTTCCCTCCCTCCCTCCCTCCCTCCCCACCTTTGCCACCCCTGCCGCCGCTCCCCCCAGCTGCGCCAGCGCCCGCATCTCCTCCTCGCTCTCCAGCGCGTCTATGAACAACACGTCAGCACCCGCCTCAGCGAATGCCTGCGGGGGGCGGGGCGGGGGTCGATGGTGAGGAAGAGGGGCGGTACGGGGAAGCTGTGGGAGAGGGAGATGTGGGAGGCGGGTAGGGTTGCAGGGGCGGGCGAGGGGGGGGGATGCGCCCGGGTGCTGCCTCCGACCACGGTAGGCTCAGTTCCTTCCTCATTAACCCCCACCCTCCCCACCCTCCCACTCGGGTATCCTTCTTTTCCCCACCCACCCGCCTGTCACCCCCCCCCCGCCCCCACCTGCGCCCTCCACAGCGCCTCCTCCAGCGACACCGCCTGCCGCGCATCGGAGCGAGCCACGATCAGGATGTCTGCGCCCTCATCTCTGCATGCAGGGATGAAGGGGGAGGGATGAGGGGGGTGGGGGAGGGGGTAAAAAGAAGAATATCCAATGTGTTGTGTGACAGTGGGAGGCTGGGAGTTGGAGGTTGGGAGGGGCTGCTGGGGGCGGGGAGCTGATGCGCGATGAGACGGAAGGGACAGAAGGGGCCTCCCGACCTGCCTTCCCAAAGCATGCCGGCCGCCCCCCTTCGCATACCCCCTCCCCTCAATCCCCACCCCGGTGCTCTCCTCCCCCCTGCCTCTCCCCCCCTTTCGCAAGTGTCTTCCCTCTTTACCCTCTCCTCCTCCTCTATCCCCATTGCTTTGCCCCAACCTTGTGGCTTCGGTATACCCCACCCCTCCCCCCCTCCCCTCCCATGTTTGCACCCCATGGTCATACAGCTCGTTAGTTGCCTCGTCAGTTTTCCCTTATTTCTAGGTTCCTCCCCCCCCCACCCCCACCCTCCCACCCCCACCTCGCATCCGCTGCCGCCCGGATGCGCTCCACCGCCTCGCCCCGCCCCACCACCCGCTTGCCGCGCACGTGGCCGCAGCTCTTGGGCGCCACCTGGTCCTCGATCAGGATTCCCGCCAGGCCGGCCTGCGGGAGGGGGGGGGAGGCGGGGGAGGCGGGAGGCAGTGAGCGACCAAACCACATGGGAGCCCACTTGCACCTTGGGGCAAAGCAGTATGGGTATAGGAGGCGGAGGCGGCAGGGTGCCACAAGAGACGAGGCAAAGCCCTCCTCATCTCCCCCCCCACCTCCCCCCCACCTCCTCTCACCTGCGCGTACCCCCGCACGGTTCGCTTCACGTTCATTGCGTTGCCGTACCCGGTGTCGCCGTCCCCGATGATGGGCAGCCCGCGGGTGGCCTCCACCGCGTTGCGAGCCTTGGGGGGAGGGAGGGGAGGGAGGGGAGGGAGGGGAGGGAGGGGAGGGAGGGGAGGGAGGGGAGGGAGGGGAGGGAGGGGAGGGAGGGGAGGGAGGGGAGGGAGGGGAGGGAGGGGAGGGAGGGGAGGGAGGGGAGGGAGGGGAGGGAGGGGAGGGAGGGGAGGGAGGGGAGGGAGGGGAGGGAGGGGAGGGAGGGGAGGGAGGGGAGGGAGGGGAGGGAGGGGAGGGAGGGGAGGGAGGGGAGGGAGGGGAGGGAGGGGAGGGAGGGGAGGGAGGGGAGGGAGGGAGGGAGGGGAGGGAGGGGAGGGAGGGGAGGGAGGGGAGGGAGGGGAGGGAGGGGAGGGAGGGGAGGGAGGGGAGGGAGGGGAGGGAGGGGAGGGAGGGGAGGGAGGGGAGGGAGGGGAGGGAGGGGAGGGAGGGGAGGGAGGGGAGGGAGGGGAGGGAGGGGAGGGAGGGGAGGGAGGGGAGGGAGGGGAGGGAGGGGAGGGAGGGGAGGGAGGGGAGGGAGGGGAGGGAGGGGAGGGAGGGGAGGGAGGGGAGGGAGGGGAGGGAGGGGAGGGAGGGGAGGGAGGGGAGGGAGGGGAGGGAGGGGAGGGAGGGGAGGGAGGGGAGGGAGGGGAGGGAGGGGAGGGAGGGGAGGGAGGGGAGGGAGGGGAGGGAGGGGAGGGAGGGGAGGGAGGGGAGGGAGGGGAGGGAGGGGAGGGGAATGGGGAAACAACTTACTGACCGTGTGATGGGGAGGAGTTGGGGGTCAAAGACCATACCGAACCATAGGAAACCACAGGTTGGGGGGGCAGGGGTACGGCAGGGGGGAAGCAGAGGGCACATGCAGGCAGGGAAGGGGAGGAGCGGGCCAGGGTGGGACAAGGGGGGGCGAGGGTTGGAGCATGAGGGAGGGGATGAGGGAGAGGATACCCCGGTAAAAGAGGAGGATGGGTTGCACCGTTGGTATCTTGGCTTGGCTTGGCTTGGCAGGAGGACATGGCCGCGGCATTCATTCACTCCGCCCCTCCGAAACCCGCCCACCGTTCCCCGCACCCTGGAGCACCCCCCTCCCCCCGACTTCTACTACTACTAGTACTACTACTGCCACTGCCGTACTGCCGTACTGCAGTACCCACCACATCCACCATCTCCGCATACGATATGAGGCCCGTGTCGGGTGCCCCCAGCCGGGCGCCTGCCGTACAGAATCCACTCATGAAGGCGAAGGGGAAGCCGGCCTGCTCGATGAGGCGCGCGGAGAGGCCGTCGTGGCAGCAGGGGCCCTGGGAAGGGTCCCCCGGGGAAGGAAGGGGGCAGGGTGGGGGGAATTTAGGGTTTTGGGAAGCGGTCGGGAATGTGGGGGATAAAGAGGAAGAAACACGTGGCATGTGGGGGTGGGTCTGGTGCCTTCCATCCTGCAGCATGGAAGGATGGAGAAAGGCTTGACCGTATGAGAACTAGCATACACCAAAGTGGACGAGGACTATGCGATACATTGCATAATAAAGGTTCGGGGATACCAAGGTAGGCTGCCAAGCTGTAAAGGCCGCTTGCCGATAATGGCGACGTGGAACCCTTCACCAAGCTGCGAGACTGTCTCGCCACAGCAGTATAATCTCACCAACAAAATCTCGTTACCACTCAGAAGCTTTCGCAACTCGGCTGTCCGGCTATTCCGCATCGCCGCTGACACCGCAACGCTGGTCCTTCGCCCAGACGCAGCGGCGCGCAGCCAGGGCGATCGGCGTGCGGAACCGGCCATGCCGGACCGCTTAAGGGAAGACGAGGGGTTGATAGATAGCGCTTGCATGATGGTAGTGCTGATGCAGCGTCCGCTAACTTCCGCTTCCTTAACCTTGCAAAAGACGGGCTTGAGAGCCCAATCGGTGTTTCTAGGCCAAGATCGTTGCAATAAGACTATTTCCGAAGCCGAATAATATCGGTAGGCTCAGCTACCAGTACTTGCGCGTCAACCGACAATTGTCACTTCAGGTCGATGCTTCACGCAATCAGACAGTTACCAAAACCTACTAATGGCGTTGTACATAAAGCGCTTATGCTGGATGCGTTGGATGCACGGAATGGTGTACTACGAGGCTGCGTGCTGCGAAATGGATCCATGCTGTGGCTGCACATGTTAGCAGTCGGCAAGCTTAGGGCTCGCTTTCCTTCAATATGTTTTTCAGAAGTCATCTGCTACAATGCAGACGCTGCATATGATAGTCGTTCTTAGACCCTTTGGCTGCAAGCCTTGACAGCAGGCGGCGCGTTCGCTCTTTCCTTAGCCGGAACCCTTATACAGATAGTCCACAAACGACACGATCATGACGGTTTCATGCTCCAACGGTGTCGAAGACATAGCCGACATAGAGGATTTCAGCGTGTCAGAGCTGGAATCGTCGCGACCTGCGAAGCCGGCTTACCTAGGATCACGCCCCAAACGTGTCAAAGGAGACGCCGACGCAAATGGCGTACAGCCAAGCCTGGATCCTTCCGGGGATTACAGCGTGGCATCAACGACATGTGTTCCAGGCACGCAAGCCATATGGGTTAAGACGTTCGGTTGCTCGCACAACGTCAGCGATGGCGAGTATATGGCTGGTCAGCTTCTGGATTATGGCTATCGGTGAGCGGCGGGAAGAGTACTTGCACGCGTCAGTAGTTCAACGGCAAGTGATGCTGTTGACCATGTTCAGGCGACCCTACTTCCGCCCCTGCAGCACAAACACCTTTCCACCGATTCACGGACCTACGTCTCCCCATTTCTCCCCACCTGGTATGCGCCCTTCTGTCTGCATCCCCCCAACACCCCAATCTCATACTCCCGTCCTCTCCTCTACCTCAATCTCCTCCTGCACACGCACACACACACACACCACTTCCCCACTCCACACCCCTCCTCCTCCCCACTCCCCCCAGCCTGCTGGACGACGCCTCCCGCGACTCCGCCGACCTGTGGCTCATCAACTCGTGCACCGTCAAGGGGCCCAGCCAGGCGGCCATGAGCAGCCTCATAGCGGCGGCGCGGGCGGCGGGGAGGGCGGTGGTGGTGGCGGGATGCGTGCCGCAGGTGGGGGGTTGGTTGGGGGGGGGCTGAGAAGTCAGGCTACTCGCAGCAGCCTTTTGAGAAAACAGGGAGGGCCCCGGCAGGGAGGGGGAGGCAGGGGGAGAAAGACAGGCAGGTCTTGGGGCTCCGCGGGTATGGACTGCGGAGGTACTGGGGGGCGCTAGCGGCACGCGAGGAGGGTGTGCCTCTTCCTGTGCTGTGCGAAGTTGCAGCGGACGGCGGCAGCTGCCAGCCAGGGCGCAGCCTGGGGGGTATGGTGCCCTTCATGGAGCTCAGGCACAGCCCTGACAGGCCTGACAGCCCGGACAGCCCACCCGCACATCGCCATCATCATCATGGAGCAGGGGAACGGTGCAGCATGCCGTGACCCACATGGCGCCGTGACCCACATGGCGCCGGCGGCGGACCGGTTGACCAGCGCGCCGCCACACACCCGCCCCGCTGCCACAGCTGGGAGCCCCCTCCCCCCCACACACACTTTGGAATTTCTCCCCCCCCCCCCCCACGCTCCCATGTTCCCTGTTGCCCGGGCGAAAGAGAGCCCAAGCCGTTGTTGCGGGAGAGCTAAACACCCTCCCCCCCACCCCCCACCGATGCAGGGCGACAAGAAGCTGCCAGAGCTGCAGGGAGTGAGCCTGCTGGGTGAGGGAGGGGTGGGTGGTTGGGTGGGGAGGGGCGAGGGCTAATTGGGGGGTCTGAGGATGAGTGAGGGCTGGGAGGCTGAGTGCCGTTTCCGCACCCCTTACCCAACAACCGCCAATGCAGCTGCCGAGCCACCGCATGATCGCGCCACTTTACCCCCCTCCTAAACCCGCGTGTCAGCACCCGTCCCCCCCCCGCCCCCGCATGCAGGTGTGACCCAGATCGACCGGGTTGTTGAGGCTGTTGAGGAGACGCTGCGGGGACACGTGGTGACCCTGCTGGCCAAGAAGCCCCTGCCGCGGCTGGACCTGCCAAAGGTAAGGGGGGGAGGGAGGGGGGGAGGGAAGGGAAGGGGAGGTTAATGGGGATGAACTAACTAACGGTGTGTCAGGTCTCCTCCGCACCAGGGGCGGGGGGAGTGTGGGGGGGAGCATGGAGATGGAGGTGAGGAAGTCCCTTCCGCCTCCCGGGGGTGCACCCCTGCCTTCATCGCCTTCACATTCTGCCCTCCCTGCCCTGTCCCCCCTCCTCCCCTCGCCATCATTCCACGCATGGGTCTTCCTCGTTCCCCCCCGCCTCCCCCCCCCGCCCCCTCCCTCCTACCTCCCACCTCCCTGCCCAGGTCCGCCGCAACCGGCACATCGAGATCGTGCCCATCTCTACTGGCTGCCTGGGCGCATGCACCTACTGCAAGACCAAGCACGCCCGCGGGCAGCTGGGCAGCTACGACCCGGGCGCGCTGGCGGAGAGGGTGCGGCAGGCGGCGGCGGACCCATGGGTCAGTTGGGGCGGGCGGGCGGGTGGGGGTTACATCGTGCAGAGAAAGAGGAGCTGAGGAGGGGCCGCTGTGAAGGGTGTTGCTGTGTATTGCTGTGCGGCGCTGCGGGTCCCCTGCATGCCCCCTGCATGCCCCCTCCTCTCACCAGCCGACCGTACGGCAGCGGGAGGAGCGCCCTGAAGGGTGGTAGGAGGCGTTGGGGGGGCGGGTAAGCTCCCCGCCCCCCCATTCGGAATCCCCCTCCCCCCGTACACACACGCGGCCAGTTATTTTAACACACACACACACGCTTCATTTTCCGACAATCACAGTACTCTCTCCTTCGCGGCCTTGAGAGGTACCTCTCAACACACACGCACCACCCCTCCACCCCCGCCAGGTTCGGGAGATCTGGTTGAGTTCTGAGGACACCGGGGCGTACGGGTGAGCGGGTGGGTGTGGCTGCAGCGCAGGAACTGGGAGAGGGGGGGTGTTGAGAGAATGGGTCAATCCTTGCTATGTCACTTGCCTTGTGTGCTGATGATGATCCCCCTTCTCCCCTATCGCTCGCTCGTATCGAATGCCGCAATGCCTGTGCCGCTGCTGCTGCTGCCCCTCCCTGCAGTCGGGACATCGGCTCCTCGCTGCCGGAGCTGCTGACCGCCCTAATTGCCGTACTGCCCTCGGATGGCCGTACGAGGCTGAGGGTGGGCATGACTAACCCGCCGTACGTGCTGGAACACCTGGAGGTGAGGGGTGGGGGGTGGGGGGTAATTTGGAAACAGAATCCGAATTAGGCTGGATATTTGGGTTAGCATATAATTGTAGTTGTTGTATAGTTAGTAGCATCAATCAGTAACAAACCGTATTGTAAGCTCCGTGGGGGGTGGGGGGTGGGGGATTGGGGACCCCACCCTTACCAACTTGGTTATTTCCTTACTCACCTCACCTCTTTTTCACCAGGAGCTTGTTATCTACCGGTACTTAACCATTATCATTCAACACATGGGGTCTCCCTTTTCCCCTTACCTCCCCTCCCCCTCCCCCCCCCTACCCCCATTGTTTTGCCCTAACTTGTGGTCTCCTATGGTTTGGTATGGTCTTTGACCCCCCCCCAGTCCCTGGCCGCCGCCCTGCGCCACCCAGCGATGTTCGCCTACCTGCACGTGCCCGTACAGTCGGGCAGCGATGCCGTACTGGCGGCCATGAAGCGGGAATACACCGTGGCAGGTGAGGGAGGGGGAGGGGGAGAGAGCAAGGGGGGGAGGGAAAGGGAGCGACAAAGGCCTCGGGCAACCATACCATTGTCGCTTGCCCCCACAAACAAGTAGCCCCGGCCCCCCACACATGCACCTATCCACATACCCACCTAACCCACAAACACACACACCCATTCACGGCGCTCACTGTTCCTGGGCTCAGTGTCAATGTTTAAACACACCGTGCCCCTCGGCCACCTCCTCCAACAACCCCCCAACAATTCCCCAACAACCCCCCAAACAAACAAACAACCCAACCCCCCCATACACACACACAGAGTTCCGTCGTGTCATAGACACCCTCACCGCCCTGGTACCCCAGCTGGAGCTCGCAACGGACGTCATCGCCGCCTTCCCGGGCGAGAGCGAGGGCGACCATGCAGCCACTCTGGAGCTGCTGCGCACCTACCGCTTCCCGCACACCCACATCTCGCAATTCTACCCGCGGTGGGTGGGGTGGGGGAGGGGTGGGGTGGGGGAGATGTTGGCGGGTGGGGGGTGTTGGCTGGGGGGAGTGTGTGTGTGTGTGTGTCAAACACACTGCGGTCCTCTGAGCTGATGCTGCTGATGACCCCGGGTGTGCCGTAGTAGGAGGCACGGTCACACCGTTTGTAGTAGTACAACTGTTGAAAACCCGAAACTCAAACACCATCCCCCCCCGGTGTGCTTTCCGTTCCCCCGGTGTGCTTTCCGTTCGGACGGTTTGGTTTCCCTCTTACCGCACCCCCCCCCCCCAACACCCCCATGCACATCAGGCCCGGCACCCCCGCGGCCCGCATGCGGCCCCGGATCCCGGGCCACGAAGCCAAACGCCTCTCTCGACAGTTGGCGGCGGAGGTTGACGGTTGGGGCGATGTGTACGACAGCCTAGTGGGCAGTCGGCAGGTGGTTGGGGTGGTTGAGGTGGCGGCGGACGGGCGGAGCCTGGTGGGGCATACCAAGAGCTATGTGCAGGTGGGCTGGGTGTGGGGGTGGGGGCTTGAGGGGAAGTGAGGGTTGGGTGGGCTGGGTACTTGAGGTGGGGCGGTGGACGGATGTGTGTGAGTAGGCAGCCGCGCGGGGCCGGTGCCTGCTTGAGCGCGCAGCTGACATCCCCTTCGTAGCCGCTGCCTTCCCTCTACACAGCCATCCGATTCCCCTCCCTCTCCCCCGCAGGTGCTTCTGGACCCCCAGCCGGGCCTGATGGGGTCGGTGGTGGAGGTGGTGGTGACGGGGGCGGGCAGGTGGGCGGTGCGGGGGCGCGTGGAGCGCTGGCTGTTCAGGTGAGGAGGGGACGGGGGGAGAGGTGCAGGGGGGGAGGTTGGGGTCCAGGGAGGGGGGAGGCTGAGGTACTTCCTGGCCTCTTCAGAGGTATTCCTTGAATGGATTAGCCCGCTCCTTGGCATCGGTGGCGGTGGTGGGTTTTGCCCCGCCCTTCCCCCGCCCCATCCAGTTTCCCTTAATTTTGCCCCATCCCGTAACCCTATAGCCTATGCACATTACCCCCGTCCTGCCCTGCCCTGCCCTGTGGGATCCGCAACAGGCCTGAGAACGTGGTAGCTGAGGAGGAGGAGGATGGGGAGGGGCAGTGGGCGGGGCAGCGCCGGACACGGACACGGCAGCAGCCCGGGCAGCAGCAGCAGGCGGAGCAGGAGGCGGAGGCGGGGCAAGGGCAGCAGGGGAGAGGGCACCAGCGGGAGGTTGGCCTGGCAGCCTGCAGCAGCAGCAGCAGTGGCGGCGAGGGCAACAAGGAGGGAGCCGCGCAAGGGAAGAACAGCAGCAGCGGCGGAGCCGGTTGTGGCGGGGGGCCCGGATGCTGCGGAGGAGCTGGAGGAGGAGGCGGAGGGTGCTGCGGGGAGCAGGGGGGAGGTGGCTGCGGCGGTGGTGGAGGTGAAAGTGCGGAGGGTTGCAGCGGTGAAGGTGTGTGCAGTGCGGAGGGGCATGCTGTCACACCAGCGCCCGCCGCGCCCTCTGTAACGGCATGCACAGCAGCGGCAGCCGCAACGACGGCGGCGGCGGCGGCGGCGGCACCGGCAGAAGCAGCAGCGGGAGAGCCTGCTGGGAGGTGCTGCGGGGGAGGCAGCTGTGGGGAAGGATGCAACGGCGGCGGCTGCGGCTGCGGCAGCGGGGGCGCCATGTGTAGCAGCAACAGCAACAGTGGCGGCGGGGGCGGCGGATACAGTGATGCTAGGGCCACGCCCGCAGCGGCGGCGGCACTACAACCGAAACTTACAACGGCAACAGAAACGACAGCTGTACCGTCTGCATCAACCGCTCCAAGCGCTCCTACCACAGCAGCAGCAGCAGTGGTGCAGGCGACGACCGAAGGCGGGGGAAGAGTGACGGCCAAGAGCGCTGCCTCTGGCACTCCTCTGTCGACCACCACCGCCAGCAGCAGCACGACGGCAACAGGAACAGCGGCCGTACCTGTAACAGCGGCGCGGCCGGCGGAGGTGGCTGGTAGTGCAGTCGCTGGCAGTCCCATGGGTCAGCTGTTGCAGCAGCAACAACAACCAACGTTGCAGCCCCGGTTGCAGCAGCGGGTGTTGCAGCCGGTGGATGCATTGTTGTGGGGCGCTGTGGTGGTGGGGTTGCTGGGAATGCTGTGGGCGACCATGCTGCTGGCACTGCAGGGGCAGGGGCAGCAGCGGAGGTAGCGGCGGCGGCAGCAGCAGCAGCCGACGGTGCTGTGTAGCCGCAGGTTGTGGTTTGACGCGCAAAACGGAGTATGATGGCGCATGATGGGGACGAGGTTTTGCACATGCGGGTTGTTCTCCTTCTTTCGAGGTTCGTGTTATGCGAATCTAGGAGTGCGATATTGTCGACATAGTTGCACGTCAAAGGAAAGGGGCCCTCTTTGGGCGGAGAAATTGTGCCTTGTGCAGTTGATTTCGGGAGCCTTGTTCACGGCTGCAAACGCTGTTGTCTCACTCAACGCATGAGTAGATGTCGCTCATCCTCTTCTTTCTCCGCGCCTCTGGCAGGCAGCAGGCGTGCTTCTTGCTCTTTATGCACTCCTGGGGATCCAGGGCGGGACTTTAAAGCACCCGCTCGTAGCTACCGTCTTCATCCTCCAATAGCAGCGGCATGTAGCGCGAGCAGTGGCACACGGTAGTAATCCCGATCCTTAGGGTGATAATTTTACAGAGATGTACAGCACACGAAGAACAGTCAAGCACGTAGAGTTTACTGGGCATTATTTGTCGCAGGAAAAGCTCAAAACACTGAAAGTGGCGTCCAGGTGGAAAAGGAAAGCGTTAGGTGCCCCAAACACCAACGGTAAGCGTCTAATGCAAATATGTTAGAGCCCCTTACACGGCTCTTCAATACCAGCAGACTTGAAACACAACCGGCACACCCGGCCACCTATCATCTCACCTGTCAGTAAAGAATCGCGTTCCCACACCGTAATCGTCGCTTTGCAGGCCCCCAAACAGTACAACACATCCTTCGTTTAAATTTGACGTGTCGAAGTGAACAGCTGGCAACCTAACCAGCAACAATAGCGCTCGCTTTTCAATTTACTCCTATAAACTTATTAGTAAGGCCTTGCACTTTATAAGAGAGACGCGCGGCGCCTAAGGCAAGGCATTTACCAACCTTTTGTACCGGTACGTCAACACTCCAACAGTTACGGGAAATTTAAGGAGCCCTGGAGCCTGTATATCCTCGATAGGCCCAACCTCGCTGTATCTCCAGTTATGTAATTAACGCCATGACTCAGGTAAGGGGACCTGGGAACGCAAAGGAACCCGAAAGGAATGTACGCCGCTCACACCCTCCACACTCGCACAAGACGCACCAAGTCCACACAAGCTTTCAAGCAAACCAGGGATGGAGCAAGCACACACAATTTTAGGGTAATCCGGGCCCCTGCGGCCCATATGTTGCTGCCATGAGTTGCCGCACTAAGCTCTTCGTCCTCATGTTGTTGCTTGAGGAAACCCCGTCAGACAACGTTGGAAATCCTGCTAGATGCGGTAAGGGAACATTAGTTAAGCAAACTTGCAAGCAGCAGGGACGAAAACAGGCATCATGACCAGAATCTCCACGTTCAACCCTTAAACACCCATGCCAATAGGGAAGACTGTTGGCAACACCCACTACAAAAGAACCGCTGGAACAGCACTTCTACCACCCAACCACCTACCCATCCGTGCATCCACCAAACCCGCCTTCATAGCATCCCACCTCTCCCTTAGAAACAGCGTAACCCTGCCCTAGCCCTATCACAAAAGCCCTAACGTGTCTCTCAACACTTGCCGAAACGACAATACGGTCCGAAACGACCGGTAAACTGCTTCATCACGGCTCACCGGTGCGCTAGGTCCTCAACGAGTCATAACTCCGTCCGCACCTTGCACGCTCTGCCGCACACGTAACGCGTCTCACACTCCACCAGTGAAACGCCGTACACCGCTGGGCAACCGCCCGCCGTACACATACCAGTGCACGTACACAGAAACGCGAGGACTAGTCCCTCATGCACGCGCATGCTCACACGCTCGCTTCCTTGCTACAGCCTACTGGAATATCCACGCGCCTCCTCCTCCTCACTCGGCATGCAGCAGGGCCGTCGCGCGCTCTAGGAAACGAAGGGCTCTAGGTTGGCGGCGTGGCGGCTAGTGGTTGCTCATGCCTGCGCTACATGCTGAAAGGCACTTGCACTTGCAAACTTGTAAAGGTCCTGTCCTTTCCCGCAACAACGATTTTATTGACAACCACAGCAACAACTCTCCCTCCTCCCTCGTGAAAGCATACAAGGATGTTCCCTACCCGCAGCCATGCCGCATGCCACAAGAATGTATGCGCGCATGGGCAAAAACCCTCCCTCCATGCATAAAGCATCAGCGCCGCCGGCGGCCCATTCGTTTGCCTTGGAATTCCAAGTCCATTCGTGCTGAGCATACTTGCAGGCAGACAAGCGTCCGCGCCGCTATTCCACTCCTCCCGACCTCTCCCTCCCCTCCTGCTTCTCTAGTGTAGGCATGTCATACGGCTAGCCAGTTTCTTCCTCTTTGACCTCCTGCTTCTCTTGCGTCGCCCCCCCCCCTCACCCTCCTTCGCCGCTCCGTGTTGCTCTGCCCCCACACCAGCAGGCTGGAAGGACGTACACACACATTACGCCCCACCACAGATAATTAATGGAGGCTTTCGTTGTATTCTCATCCCGGAATCACAAAACATGCGCACGTGCTCAATGGTAGACGGCACACTCGCCAACGGACAGCCAGCTGCGGACCCACACGCACTCGCACGCCACCTCCCTCACTTACAAGAGGTACTCTCCTCTTCCCTGTCTCTCTCCTCAGATGAAAAAATTTGCAAACGAAGCACCCCATCCCCAACTCAGTGTGGCCCACCTGACTTTTCACGCACCCACAGCAAGATTCCCAGGCCTCCCACGGACAGGATAAATCCAACCCTTCGCTTTCCAGAGCAACTTCATTTCCCGTTCTCGCCCTTTCCTTTAGGCAACATTAGGTAAACCGGGCCGAGATAAGGGGCCTTAAGCCGCGTACACTCACCACACCACATCAGCTTGTACATCCTCCCTCAAGACCATGTCCTCGTACGCCGAAGCCCAATAAGCAGCTGTGAAGGGATACGTCTACTAGACACCGCCGACAACCGTACGTTGCAACCACACCTGCTCAACCTACTCTCAACGCATGCAAGCATCAACCACCGTGCATCAACGGATAAAGGCGTCTGTTAGTTATAACCAATTTTCGCACGCTCGCCTGCTCGCACTCACAGCCGCAGCAACAGTGCTCACATTACCATCACATATAGAGACATGCAGAAGACGCCCTTTCTTGCAAAGCAAGCTTGCCACTCCATATCACAGGCAGGCTATCAGCTCTTCGTCCCTAACTCCTGCATACATGCACGCGTACATGCCTGAGTTGCATTGCATGCATGTGTCCCAAAGAAAGCACCCTCATCACGTCAAATCACATCCACCTGCAAATGTATTGTATTCAACCGCCGCTAACATCCCGCAACAACTGACTCGCATCGTGCGCCGTACGATTCCAGATTGATGCAGACTTGGTTCCTCGCGTTATACGGCGCTTGACAACACTACCTGTGCACACGTATCTTCGACAACCAACTGTTACTAACCCACAAGGGAACGACACCTCAACAGCTTTCACAGGCCGCGTTCATCTCCCGCCGTCGTACACAGCCGTTATACTACTAAGCCACGCTCCGTAACCGCATCAACTTCTGGTTGTTATGTAATTATGTTATGCTGCTGGAAGGAGACACGCGGGAAAAATAAATAAGGACCAACAGCCGCCACCTCCCTTTCACCCCAGCAGCACGTGCGCGCATAAATGAGAGCAAACAGGGACGACCCCGATGTATCATGATGATGATGATGGTAATGGTCATGATGATGATGATGGTAATGGTCAGGTATTACGATATAAGACATGATGCCGATGATGCGGATGCCACCTCCCCACCTGCGACACAGGTGCTTCCCCTCGCAAGGAAACACAGATCACGTATGTACGTACCACCAAGCGAACGAAAAGGTACGGTACGGCATCCCTTCATAGTCATGCGCACACAGGCTCTTTCTCCTTAACACATCATTCATTCGCATACAGCATCACATGCAATGGGTCGGTCTCGGAGACTCCATCAATTGATGCTGCCGCAATCGCCACCGCCACCGGCGTTGGAAGCAGTGGCAGCAGCCGCAATGGCGACAGCGGCAGCAGCTGCGGCGGCAGCAGCAGCGGCGGCCGGGTCTACTGCCGTCTCTCCACCGGCTAATCCTCCAGAAGCCTCCATACCTGCTCCTTCTCCAGTGACTGTGAGGGTCTCGAAGTCCCGTCCTAGGTCGGAGCTTCCGAAGCCACCTAGCAGGGAGCCTGCGGAGACCCGGAGATGTGCGGCGGGCAGGCGGAGAGGAAGGAGGACAGAAGGGAAGGCAGGCAAGGCGCATGCCATTAGTACCGGTAAGTGCTTCTGCTAACCCTCATTGGGCGTCTTGCTGCGTAAGGAACAAAGGGCTGAAAAGGGCAAACGCCGGGTTTGAGTGTGCGCACACCGGCACTGAGCAGCAAAGGTTGGGAGGAGCAAGGAGTGTCGGGATGCAGGCATGCAGCACACCCACCTGCAGCGGCTGCAGCGGTGGGCGTGGTGGGAGGCGCGCCGGTTTGACCTTGACCCTGCCGCTGCCGATACTCGATTTTGAAGTTGGCCTGCAAGTGAGGATAGCGGGACCGGAAGTCAATGGATACCCTTAATAGAGTTTCTTACTTGACGATTATTGATACATCAATCCAACAGGTATGTCTACAATCGTTCGGTACGGGGTCTTGTACAGCGTCTGCTAGGCTATGGTGTTATGCAGATATACGATGCGTCACAGGCCGGCGCAGCACGTCAAATACCGGTACATCCCATGCTGGTACTACTCGGTATTATATGCCCGTGGAGAAGCTGACCTGCCGCAGCTTTTTGACGCCTTCGTCGATGTCCTTGTCAGGATTGTCGTACACCTCGTCTCGGAACTTGAGCAGGCTCTGGATCACCACCTGCATGTTGCCAGAGGAGCAAGGTCAGGGTAAAAGGATAACACACCGGCCAGAGCAAGTTAAGCCATGTCAGCAAACACGAAACACCTCCCTTCCGCAAACGCGCAACAGCGTCCCTGCGCCCCTCACACACCTCGCATCGCTCCGCCCCCTCCAGATCAGCATTTGAGATGGCGTTGCGCTTGTAGCGCTGGAAAGACTCGATCAGCTTGGCCATGCTCTGCAGCTTGCGGTAGGGCCAGCGGGGCACGCGGAACTTGCGGCAGTACTTTTTGAGCACGGTGACGCCGATGTTCAGCGCAGCAGCAGCCTCGTTAATGGGTAGGTGGTAGACCTGTTGCGGGGGGTTGTGGCGGGTGGTTGGGTTGGGGTGTGGAAGGAGGATGGGAGGTGCGGGTGGGACACGAAGACGTGTTCAGGGATGAGTGGGTGGGATGTCAGTGCATGAGAGTTGCCAGAAGTCAAGCACACGGCAGATTAATGTCAGGAGGTGGGACATGATGTTTACCTTGCGCAAAGCGCCCTTGGTAATCTCGCGCCGTACACCGTCACGGACCGCTCGTACGACAAGCACTGAATCTTCATCCACATAGCCTCCAGCGGCGCCGCTGCCGCCGCGGCCGCCAGTGCCGTCATCGTCACCGCCGCCGCCCCCGGCACCTCGTCCTCCGCCGCTCTCGTCGCCGTCGGAGCTCAGCCCGTCATCGTCCTCGGCTTCCGAGTCGTAATCCTCATCGTCTTCGTCGCCGCGACCCCGGCGCCCACCACGGCCGCCCGAAAGCGATGTCAGCTTGTTCCCGCGGTTCTCCCGGCGACTGCGGCGGAGGGTGCCAGCCGCACTGCCGCCGGCGCCGTCGCCGGCGATGGGTGAGCCGTCGTCACCAATGCCGCCGGAGACGACGCCGGCAGCAACGGCAGCCGCCGCCGCCACAGCAGCAACGCCTTCCGAAAGGCCGACACCAACGGAGGCGCCGACGCCGCCGTCGATACCCATTAGCTCGCCAATCGCTGCCGCCACGGCGGAGGCACTGGGAAGCGATGGTACGGCAGGCGCCGCCCCCGTTGCCGTGCTGGCAGAGGCGCCGCCGCGAGACCTTCCGCGACCTCCGCCGCCACCACGTGGGCTACGAGCCGCCGCTGGCGCTGAGGAGCGACCGAATCGGCCACCGCGGCCGCCGCCGGTACCACCGCCCCTTGAGCCACGACCGCCGCCGCCAGCAGCGGGGCTTGACGGGGCCGACGGCGGCGCCACCGCCGCTGCCGTGGGCGTTGACGGCGGCTGGTTACCCACGGAGATGCGAGCGAGTTGCAGACCGCCGCCGCTGACGTCGACGGGAGTAGTGCCAAGGTACGTCAGGTATGGCATGCCGGGGGCCGAGTAAGCTCCCGTCATGGCGGCGATAGCACTGCCGCCGTTGCTCCCGCTGCCAGGCGATTGCAGGTGCGAGGGAGACCCGAGCATCAACTGCTGTTGCTGCAGGTGTTGCTGCATTTGTTGAAGATGCAACTGCTGCTGTTGCAGATGCTGCTGCTGGGTCTGTGGCTGGTCGCCGGCGACAGCAGCCGCCATTGCTGACTGTGGCTGGGGCTGGATATGATGTTGTTGTGGGTGATGATGACCCAGATCAGGCTCGCTTAGGCCTCGGATCTTGTTTTGTGAGCCGCCGCCGCTGCTGCCGTTGGCGTCTAGAGCCTCACAAGGTCCTAGCGTCTCCACCTCATGCCGGCCCCGACGGCTGCCGCTAATGTTGCTGGGGCTGTTGCAGCCGTACAATCCCGCTTGCTGCTGCTGCTGCCCTTGCTGTGGGTGCTGCGGACGGGGACTGAGGGGGCCCAGAGGGCTTAGCGGATGCTGCAGCAACTGCGGACTGGCGGGTGGTTGCTGGTTCTGAACCACAGGGCTTGGAACCCCGGGTAGCTGCTGGTGTTGGGGGTGAGAGTGAGAGTGCGGTGGCAGCGGTGAAGAGGAGTGGTAGTTCTGGTGGTGATTAGGATGGTGGTGTGGCTGCTGCGCATGGGCTTGCATGTACGAGGGGTGCTGCTGGTGGTGGAGGGGCTCGGAGGCAGGGCCAGCACCGGCACCGCCGACGGATGCCACGCCATGCACGCTCCGAGCCCGCATGGGGAAGGCGCCGCTGCCGTTACAGCCGCCGCTGACAGAGGCAGAGGAAGCTGGGACCGAGCCATCGACACCGGAAGCAAACCCGGTCAGGTTCCTGTGCTCAGGCGCGCTGGCCATATTGTCTAGTCCGACGCCGCCGCCACCGCCAACGCTGCCGTAAGTGTCCCACAGCAACGGCGCGGATGCGACGTCGCTCAAGGCGCCAATGGCGCCGCCGGCGCCATATCGCATATGTGCTGGAGGACCATGACCCGTGCTGCGGCTGTGGCTGAAGGGAGTGGAACCGTACGACAAATGGGTTTTGCCGCCGACCGGCGAGGGGCCGCCGGCGGCGGTGCAGCCACCAGCACAAACATCAGTGGTGAAGGGCGACGAGGACATGTTTGCGATCGCGTCGATTGCGCCGTGGCTGCCGTATTGTGCCGACACGAGGGCAAAGGAAGTGTTGAAAGGGTGTTGTTGCTGGTGCTGGTGGTGCTCGTGAACATCGCCACCGGTAGCAGCAGCGCCGGAGCCGGAAGCATGGTTCTCGTATCCATGGAAGGCGTTGTTGTTGTTGTTGGCCAAGCTCTTGCTGACAAACGACGCCGGGGAGGGCATGACACCAGCGCCGCTGCCGCCGCCGCCAGCCGACGTGAGGATGGCGGGTGCGGAGATCTGTTGTCGTACCATAACGTCAAAGTCAAACGCCATCATCTGATGGTCAACGGCAGCGCCGCACGGCGTTGCCGTTCCACCCACCGCGGCATGTGTCGTACACCCATGCGGCAACATCCCCTTCGCGCTGCCGCCATTAGGCAGCTGCTGCTGTTGTGGGTTCGAGGAGCAGGACTGCGCAGTGGCATTAGCAGCGCCGCCGCCACCTCCACCGCAAACACTCACGCGAGCGATTACATCCGTGTCGCCGTGCTGACCCTCCGGGCAGTGCCCCGCCGTCGCCCCCGCGGCGCTGCTGCCGTCGCGCCTGCCTCCGCCGGCGCCATACTCGCGGCCGTCACTGGCCGACGGGACCTTGGCAGCTGATGACGGCGGCATGGGTGGCAGCGGTACGGCGCCCAGCTGGAGGGACGGCATGGACGGTACGGTGGGCAGAGCGTCCATAGACATGAGGAACTTATCGGCGATTGAGGGGAGGCGGCCGTCCATGAGCGGGTCTTGGAGGTCCCACAGGAACTCAGTGCTCTGCGGGGTTTGTTGTACACATGCATCAACGAGGAGAACATGAGAAGGCATTAGGAGGAAGGAGCAGGTGGAGCAGATCCTTACGAGCGCTAAGATGTTGCAATGAAGTTTTGCGCACTCAGGATACGCGGCGCGTAGCAGCCACCCATGAACACCGACACAAAGGTTGTATGACTGGTATCCATAGGATAAAGACACACACCTAACCCTCGCGAATCTGATAAACAGTAAGAGATGGCATGCACATGGTTCCACAAGTGCCTAACAAGGCGACACTCGCAAGCACCCAACCCGACCCACCATCATCATGTCCATGTAACCGGCGGGGTTACCCAAGCCGGCACTTGTCTGGCGAAGAATTGACATCGCGTTACTCAATCGGGGCGGACTGACAGTCCCATGACGGGGCGGTGATGGCGGCGGGCTGTTGCACGTCGTAGCAAACGCGGAGCGCATGCCACCGCCGGCAGCGCCGCTGCCGCCGCCACCGCTAGCGGCTGCTGCAGCGGACTGAAACGTCGGCACATCACCGTTGACACCGCCGCCGATGGAGGCGGAGGGTTTGTCGTGCCCGCCGGCAGGGCCCCACATGGCTCCTGTGACGTCCGACGTGTTAGAGTCCCGAAGCGTGCGGCCGCCGCCGTCAGCATCGCCGCCAGCGGCGGCGCCGCCAGCCGCTGCCGCATTGCTGTGGTGTTGCTCCGCGGCAAGAATCTCGGCATCGTCAACCCAGGCGTCAATCATGGTTACGCTACCAGCGATGCGCTGGTAGGGCATTGGCGCGGGTGGCGGCGGCGGCGCCTCCGCCGCTGGAGGCGGCGATGGCGCTGCCATTCGTGCCGTTCCGCTGCCGTCACCGTGTTGCATGGACGACGGCTGCTGCTGCCGCGGCGGCGAAAGCGGCAGATGTAGCCCTTGAACGAAATCCATCATACCAGGAATCGCGCAAATGTCAACGTCGTCGGCCCTGCCGTGCGCGGCGCCGTTGCCGGCACCTCCAGCGGCAGCAGCGGCGGCAATAGCAGCAGCGGCGGCTGCGGCACCTCCGCCACTGATAGTTCCATCCTGCTCCACGAAAGCCCGGAAGGCCTCTTGCAGCAACTCAGTGACGCCCTCCTCAATGTTGACGTCGCCGATGCCGGCCTCTCCTGACGCACCGCCGCCGCCGCCGCCGTGGTGCTGCTGTTGGTGCTCTTGAATGGCCTCCAGGATCAACTGCTGCAGCTGCATTTGAGGCGCAGGGGCCTCCGGCATTGGCGTAGGTTGTGGGAGCGCAGCAGCCATAGACATCACCGGTGGCGCCGCCGCCGCCGACTGCAATGTCATGCCTGTAGCGCCGCCGACACCAAGGGTATCACCGCCGCTACCGATGCCTGCGCATCCAGCACTGTTGCGGCTGTGGGAGGGAGAGACGAGTATGTCGCCGGCGGCTGCATTGCCGGCGCCGCCGCCGCCACTACCGGCGCCCGCAGCTGTACCCGCTGCCGCAGCGGCGGCAGCAGCTGCATTGCCGGCGTTACCTCCGATAATGTCCCGTGGGTCAACGCCAGCCTTCATGAGCTCGTCGGTGATCTGGCGCAGGGCTTCAGCCAAGAAGATGGTGCGCCGGCTGCTGTCTGCGGGTAGGGAACGGAGATGGAGCGGCGGAGTGAGGAGCAAACATGGGATGGATGAATGGAGGAGCAAGGACTACCTTTGGGAAGGAAAGGCCAAGAGCTGTGGCCACCACTGCTGTAGCCACCACCCCAAGCTGTGACCACCACCCTGGTCACCACCCTGTAGCACTACACACGTACGCACACGTACTAACACGTCCATGTACGTGTTCCGACTGGAGGCCGCAGTTCGGCCGTACCGTAACACCCAGGCGCCTACCTAGCTGCGCGTCCGAGCGCTTCTCCGGCAGCATGCGCTCCATGGCGCTTCGGATCGTGGGGCTCAGGCCGCTGCACTCGCCGCTCGCCACGGCGGCCGAGCCCTTCTTCATGAGCTGCGCCGTGGCGGCGGCCATCAGCCGACCCGTGGTTCGCGCACCCACCGACTGGCCCTTGAATTCCAGTCGCGCCGTGTCTTCTTCCTTGTAGTTGGCGTCCCAGGCGAGGTTGACGAACTGGCGTGTTGGGAGGGGGTAGGGGTGGGGGAGGTAAGGGTATTTGGCGGGGAGGAAGCGTGTGTCGGTATCTTGCCGGAAAATGCCAACGGGGATTCTATACCTTAAGGTTGTTCGACTATGAAGAAAGGATACAACAGCGACGCCACAACACGCAACCCAGCTGCTGCCCTCCTCGCAGAGCGGTATCCCCGGCAAGCCACCGGATCCTATCCGAAGCAAGTAATGATAATGCAACACCTAGGAAAACACTACACCGCACCGCAAAACGTACCCGCTAACCACCCTCACCGCATGATCGGCCCTTTCCATACAACATCCATACAACCGCATTGAAAACACCAACACCGTGCATTAATGATCCCCTCCGCCCCCTACCAGGTCCACCTCTTGCTGGTCCTCCTCTCGAAGTTTGATGCCCTCAGAACAGCCGGCAGCGTCGCCGTCCGAACGACCATCGGGTTCGTCGCCCGTCAGACCCTCCATTGCCATTGACGCGCCGCCGCCGCCGATGTCGCTGATGCCGACGGCGTCGTCACTGGACTGATGAGTCGCCGTCGCCGTCGCATCCGCATTCGCCATCGTCATTAGCAGGCCGCCGCCGCCGCCGGGTGTTGTGCCGCCGCTGCCTTGCACGCTACCGGGATCGCTCTGCAGGCGCCATGGGAGTGAGAAGGAAGGCGGTCAGGACATTGCCACCAGTAAGGAAAACACCTGGAAGTGGGACGTTACTGCGCTTGCAGCAGCATATTGGAAAAGGATGCTTGCAGCTCTGCTGTGGAAGGGTTGTATGGTCGCATGCGCAACCCAGATCGCAGCAAAACGTGCGTCCCTCCCTCATCAACTTAGGAATGAACAGCAGCTGGCAGCAGCAGCAGCAGTGTGAGCAGCAGCAGCAATAGCAAAGCAGCGTATGGTCTCAGTAGAGCCAGCAATCGCACATTCCATCAACAGACAAGGCAACCAACCTCAGCAGTGCTGCTGTCTCTGTTCGTTGATGGCGCCCCGTGTGTGTCACCAGAGCTGCTGTTGCTGCCGTTGGATTCGTTAGAGGCAGTTGTGTTGGTGGCAGTTGTCCGTTGGCCCATGGACCCATTCGCAACGCCCGCAGCTGTCATAAAGTGCTGCGGATGCTGTGGCTGCTGCGGTTGCTGGTTCTGGTGTGGATGGGAGAAGTATTGCGAGTTACAGTGAAACTGGTGTTGTTGTTGTTGCTGCTGCATCTGTAGCTGCTGCGTGGCTTGCAGCGACGTTGGATTCATCTGCTGTTCCTGAGGGTGCAGGCGTGTGGTTTGTGACTGCTCCGTTTGCAACATTCCCTGAGTCGGCGACTGCTGCTGCTGCATATGCTGCTGGGACTGGCATCCCTGAGGTATGGGCGGTGGAGGGAAGAAGTGTAGCCGGGTCTGATTGCTGGCAGTAGTGTCCGCCTGCGTGGGTGTTGACGGGGGCTGGTGCCGTTGCTGATTCGGCTGTTGCGACGCCTGCGGCTGAGCACGTGGGGTTAGCAACTGCTGCTGCTGCTGCTGATGGTTGGATTGTGGCTGCGCCTGCTGCGTTGGCTGCTGGTGTGGCGCTTGCTCACCTCCAAGGTGGGTTTGCATCTGGGTCTGGTTGTTATGTTCGAGTGGATTCCAGTCTGCGGAAAGGGAGCGTACGTGCCAGGACGACACGGGAAAGGTTTAGGAAAGTGGAGGGCCGCAGTTAAGTTGCGCCATTTACGCTGAGGACCTCATCTAGGCAAGGCAACAAAGTAGCATAGCTCAACAGGACGGCAGGAGTAACAGCTGAGAAGCAGCTGCAAGCCTAGCATCCAGGGCAACTAACCATGCCGCGTCGCCTGAACTGGACCAAAGCCTTGTCCCTGTGGCATACGAAATCAAACATAATTCAGCAACACAGCAATTTATGGTTGTGGGGTGGTCTTCGAGGTCGCGCTGATAGTTGCTCTCCCGACAATGTACATACCTGCGAGACCTGGGAACCAAAGGGCGAAATGTGCTGAAAAGGATGAGCTCCTGTAGTCTGCTTCTGCGGCAGCCCGGCTTCTTGCGCCTCGGACAAGCTGGGTATTCCGTGGAAAGAAAAAAAGGTGGCATCTACAGCTGCTGGAGTCAAGGAACCTGCCGATAGTAAATCCTCGAGCCGTAAGCTGTCGGCGGTGCTCAGGTCCCTTGCAAACGGCAAGTGTGCTTGTGCAACTGCAACGTCCCAAAAAGCCAAGGGATTGGTCGAACGTCAGCAACGTTAGCCTTAAGCCAGTTTGGGTGTGAAGGATAGAACTGACCAGAAACCAGCACTAGTCTACCGGCTAAAGGTGCAAGCGGCTGAACAGCATGATGTACTCCGACAGATTTCGGTCCTGGTGCCCTCCAAAGATAATTGGTAATGATATTCCTCACCCGGCTCAAGCGTTTCAACCCTGCCCGCTGACGGGTGGAAGTCGTTCAGGACGTCGGCAAGGTCCGCCATGGCGCCTGCTTAGCGCTGCGACGCGCGACAGCGATAATCAGGTAGCGAGCTTGATCACAGAGTAGTAACCTGAGAGGATGAAACTGGGATCATCCCAAGCCCTAAAGTGCTAACGTTGTTATTGTCTGGAAGTCCTGGCAGGTCGGTTCGTATTCTGAGGGTACACTCAACAACTGGCGCTGAAGCTGTTACACATCTTTCATGTACAACTGATGCGCTGCCACAATTTCTCTTTCGTCCATGGGAACATCTGTAAGTAAGAAGTTCTCGCCTAAAAGGGTCGTACTGTCTCACCAATTGCCGAAAATACCCTGAATTTGGTAGTGATCAATTGATTGAAAATGCAGCAGTGGTTTGAGAAGAATTGTGAGGAAAACCTATCGTTTAGGCTACCTGGGAATCCGGGATCGCAAGCTGCCGTACAAAAGCCTTTGGGGTGTGAGGTATGAAATTCATGAGCCACCATCACATATATTAGCCAGATCCCAGTAAGTAAGGATCGACCAATTGTTGGGGTCTCCAGCACACAAAGGCGATGCCCTCATTTGCAACATCACATTAGGCAACTTTGTCCAGATGAACCAAGATACAGACGAGGGCCCAGATACGGAAGTGTCCTGCTTGCAAGCCTCCGGGCGTCGTCAGGAAGAGATGTCGGGAGCCTTACCACGCGTTCACAGTGCATATACGCTAGCGAGGCGGCAACCAGCAACAACATATGCATCAAATAAACCTTCAGCCCTTTCCCTACAAGAACATAAAAACTTTGTCGATTGGTTTCATGGTTGCCTCATGAGGTCTTTCTCGGCCGCGAATATGAAGCGCCGTAAGATTGTCAGTCCGACATAGGGGAGCAGGGCAAGTTCGCTATAAGGTTGAGTTCTGCAATCAGTGTGAACTATGATGATCTTATCCACCATGACACTCATATGGCGGACTCTTGCGGGGAGCTGCACGTAGGTTGCCGACTGTAATGGCGAACGTCTTCACTTCATCTAGCTATGCATCTAGCTACTGCCCAGGTTTCCGCGCAACACCCATTCCCAAAAATGCTGTCAATTACTCTTAATTAAGGCTTTGGAATGGCATCCAAATCCCTCCATGTAAGCCGTCAAAGGCAACAGCAAGGTTTCTTTCAGCCTATCAAAGACTCAGCGACATGTGACACCCTGTGATATTGTAGCTGCTTTCCTAACACGTGGTGCGCTACCGCGAAAAGCAGATCACCACGTATGCGAAATGCCTACCCGCGACAGAATTACGATGAAAGCCTCGCATGTCGTTCTGTACGTACCAGCCCGTGCTTGCTGGCACTTTCGTATTCCCGCCACGAATTAGGCAAAGAATCGGATTCGGTGATCTGTACCCAAAGGAATCCACCACAAAAAGCAGCCATCTGCTTCCGCAATCCTTCCGCATCTTTCTTGCTGCTTATTCCGGGCAAAACCAAAACAGGCACAACGTTCATGCGCCTGATGCCTGACGCCAGAACGCAGGAGCCCAATCGTTTCACCTTCCTTGGCATGAACAAGCGCCATTCCCTGACAGCTACATGAACGCCGGACGGCTGCCTTGTCGAGGTTCTTATACATCTGCGCCAAGATTGCGCAGTATCGGTCTCATGAGGAAAGCAAAGCAGATAAATAGGGCCACCTCTCGGGCAGAAATTACCGCCCGACTGCGGCTAGTCGGCTCCTGCTTGCTGCTGGGCAGAGCCTGCCCTAAACCCGCCCCCCTGAATACCTGGCCCTACCCCCTGCCTCTGTGGGAACACGCACGCACTGGGGGCATGGGCAGTGTCGTCGTTTACGCGGCTCAGTCGATAAGACACGCACTGCGCCTCATACTAAACGCATGCATACGCCACAGGCAGGTTGCCATCAGCGACCTGCTCTAACTCGCTGCCGCAACAACAACCCGCAACAATACCAACCGCCCGACCTTACCTAGTCCTGCAGCTAGCACCCGTGACACCCCCCTCCCCCCTTGGCCTCCCTGTAACTGATACAACCTCCTCGCCTTGCCACTTCTGGGGCACGCACAAAATAGTGTTTGCTGAGTATGTGTCAGTTAGTATGGCCTTCCGGTTTTGCTTACCATGAGTAAGTGGCCGTTGCACTGGCTCCCTAAAAGGGAACACGGTTGATGAACCCAACCCTATACTTTAAGAGAAACGGAACACGCTGTAAAAACACACAACACCATGTCTTACACCACAACCCATGCGGCAGCCCCGACAGGAGTAAATGCTGACCCCAACAACCCTTCAGTCGGCGTGGCGATGGTTGCGGTCGTGATGGTCGTGATGCCGATCTTAACGCCGGTGGTGGTGGTGGTGGTGGTGGTGGTGGTGGCAGTGTTGGTGTGCCCCCCGCTCCCCTTCTGACAGCACCACCAGCAGCAGGCCTCCACCGCCCGCCTGCTCCCCCGCCGCCCCACCCCGGCCCCCCTGCTGCGAACCACCCCCTAGCAGCAACCGCGTTTCGGCAGGAGGGGCCAGATGCAGGCTTATGCTGGCGCTGCTGCTCTGCCTCCAGTTTATGTTACCGGCGCCACTCCTGCCGCTCCTCCTTCCGTCCCCTGCTGCTGCTGCTGCTGCTGCTTGCGTGGTGATGTACCCCAATGCAACATCGCAACTGCCTCCTCCTCCTGCCGGGCCCCCCGCCCCACGGACGGCCTCACACACCTGCACATTGCAAGGCAGGGCAGCAGCGTAAGCAGCAGCAAAGGGCAGCGAGTTGAGTTGTACAAAGGAAGGCGGTTCACCACTCTGCATGTGTTGGGTCTTGGCCAGGTTCGGGAATGCTGCTCACGGTCGTGCCATCACAGCCTTCAACGCCCCCATGTGCCGTTGTGCCCCCCCTCCCCCCGCACCCACCTGCCCCCAGTTGGAGCTGTGTCTCAATCGGCGAGTTAGTTACTCTCTTCCTCCTGACCCACCCCCTCACCTGCCCCCAGGTGACGTGGCTGTACGGCACCAAGCCGTACTCCTCGGGCCTCCTGACGTACAGCTCGCACCCCTGCTCGTCCAGCAGGTCTGCCAGGCAGGGGCCCAGCAGCGGCTCGGAGGCAACCTGAGCAGCCATGCAGGGGGGTAGGGGGGCAGGCGGGCAGGGGGGTAGGCAGGCATGCAGGGGAGTAGGTAGGCATGCGTGCATGCGTGCGTGCAGGCAGGAGGGCCACCCGGCACCACTTTCACCCCTCTCTCCACCGCCTGGCCGCCCCTTCCGCCCGCCTCCTCATCCCACCTGTGCCAGCATGCCGCTCTGAAGTGCCGCCGGCTCAATCACCTCCACTCGCAGCCCTCGTGGGCGGGGGCGGGGACCACCTCGCCCCCTTCCTCCCCCCCTTCCTCCTCCTGCCGCCGCCGCCGCCAGCACCCTGCTGCCGTTACTACTCCTAGCCCTGGCAGCGTTCCCCGCAGCACCCGCCGCTTCCCCGGCGGCAGCTATATGTTGCAGTACAGTTCGGTTTTGGGTGTCGTACAACGAACACACAAACGTCAGCGGCGGCAGCAGCTGTGACGGCGGCGGCGGCGCTGTTGCTGACGTCCCCGCCGCAGCCGCTGAACTGCTCTTCGGGCCACTGGCGGCAGCAGAGCCAGCATCAGCGTGCGCGGCAGGGCTGACGACGGCAGCACTGGCCGCCGCCGCCACCTCAGCCCCCGTCATTGCCGCTGCCGTTACCGCCGCTTCCTCCGCCACCATCTCCGCCTCCGCCGCCGCCCGTGCCAGCAGTTTCTGCAGTGTGAGCGCCAGAGCCGCTGCGGTGGCATCTGCCTGCTCCTGGGGCAGGGAGTCCAGACCTGGAGGAAGAGAGGGGGAGCGGGGGACTAGGATTATATAACACTGAGATAAGGGGAGGAGGGAGGGAGAAGGACGTGGGTGGGGGGGAGGGGTAAGTGGCAGGGAGTCAGGTAGGAGCAGTACCGTGCACACCTACCACGCTAGCCTGCACGCATGTACACGTGCGTCAGTTCTGAGGCGAGTCCTGTTAAGACACACCAGCTTTGGCCAGGTTGTGAACATACCCCCGCCGCCGCCACGTCCATGCACCCCTCCCCCAGGTTCAAGCCCCAACCCACCGGTGAGGATGACCGCATCCGCCTCGGCCACGCCCGCACGCCACAACACTGCCTCGTCCCCCGCCGCCGCCGCTGCACCTCCCAAGCTGGCCCCCGCCCTTGCCCCCGCTGACAGTGGGTCCCCAACCAGGTTACGGAAATGCAGGCGAGCACCCCCGCCGCCGCTACCACCGCCAGGGGTGCTGTCACTGCTGCCACCATCACCACCACCCGCAGTCAGGTCCATGTCCATGTTGAGGTCGAGGTCGGGGCAGGGTTCCCTGTGCGGCGGGGAGACGAGATGAGGAGGCGGGGTAGTGAATGGGGTGAAGTGGGGGTTTGTTTGTTAAGAGAACTGGCCGCGAGTCGGAACGTGTCGGTTTGTGTGTGTGTGTGTGGTAGGTGGGGGAATGTGCTTGAGGTGGAGGCTGCATGCGCCATGCCCCGACATCCACACCATCCCGCATGCCTGCTTACCTGCCCAGAGCAACTCGGTACCCGCTGATGTTCTAGCGCGCACTGCCCCCACCCCACCAGCCTCGGTAGCAGCTAGCTCCCCATACCCATCTCCCTCACCCCCTCCAACCCCTCGTCCCCCCTCCCCTCCTGCAACCCATGGTGGAGCCTCGTCAGTTCACCACTTCCTCCCACACCCGCACACCCCACACTGTTTGTACCCCCCCCCATGGTAAAGCCTCGTCATACAGTTCGCCAGTTTTCATAATTTTACCCCTCCACCCTCCACACGTGGCTTCCTACGGTTTAGTCCATTTTGACCCCATCTCCCCCACCTCCCACCCCACCTCCACTCACACCCCCCCACTCACGGTGTCACCAACGTCACGGTGCTGCCCGGCCGCATGAACTCCCGCAGCGCCCCCCGCAGCGCCGCACCCAGCCCCCCCCTGCTGTCCAGGGACACCAGCACCAACTGGAAACCAGCGGCAGCAGCGGCAGGGGTGCTACTGCGGCTGCTGCCGCCAACTGCACTGCACCTGTCGCCGTCTGCTGTGCTGCAAAACCAGCAGCCAGTACGGCTACTGCCACCGCTGCCGCCGCGGCTTTCACAAGCGCTGGTAATTCCGTCATCGCTGTCATTGTCCGCTGCGCCACAGTCGCTGGCAGCGGTGGAGGCAGTAGCGCTGGCTGCAGCGGCGGCAGCAGTGGCAGTGGCAGTGGCAGTAGCGGGGGTGCAATCCCGTCTGCTGGGTGCCAGCAGCAGCAGCTGCAGCTGCCCGGGTTGCTGCATGAGCAGGTGGTCGGGGGGGCACAGCAGCACGGGGCCGGGAGGTGGTGGTGGAGGGGGCGGGAGGAAGGGGGACGGGGGCGGGACAGCAGTGGTGGAGGCGGAGGAGGAGGTAGCGGTTGAGGCAAAGGAGGAGGAGGAGGTGGAGGTGGTGGAGGGTGGTAGTATGATGCCGCAGACGGCAGCACGGGGGAAGTGCCGGCGGACTTGGGCAAAGGTGAGGCCTGAGGTGGGTTGGGAGGAGGTAGGGTGGGTATGGGGGAGAGAAAAAGAGTTGGGCTGGGCTAGGCAGGGGCAGGGGCAGGGGCAGGGAAACCCATGTTGGTGGCGGGAGCAGGACAGCGGAGGGACGCATGCGGACCTGTCGCACTGGTATGTGCTCGCTGTAGCATTGATTCCTCTGTAGGGTGCTAACAAGTCACACAGCAATGTGCAACCAACTATCCTGAATTGGCTTGCAAGTGTTTCGGATTACCCGCCGGTTGCCCCCACCCAATCCCATTTCCGCGACCCCACGATCCCACCTCCCATCCCCCACGAACACCAGACTGCAATGTGCTGTCCTCCTCCTTACCTGCCAAATGGTCCGGCAGAGGAACCACGTGCAGGGAAGCGCCACTACCGCCGCTACTGCCGCCGCTATCGCTACCAGCGCTGCCATTGCGGCGACAAAAGATGGCGTCGAATACGGCGGCCAGACCCGGTTGTACGGCACATTGTACGGCAACACGGCTGAAGGCGTTACTGAGACTAGACACGTGGGTGACCTGCAAGAAGGGATCTTCTCCCTCCTCCTCCTCCTGCTGCTCCTCATCATCATCCTCATCTTCTACGAAATCGTCGTTTACATAGTAACCGGCGCTGATCGTGTTTGTTCCGTGGAAATAAGCGCTGTCGAACAACCATGCCTCCTGCCGTGCATCCATGTGAGCTGTAGCAGCCTCGAGTGCCGTACAACTGTGTTCAACCACCACTCGCTGTCGCTGTTGTCGCTGCTGTAGCTGCCGCCGCAAGGGCCATTGCCAATGGGATGGTACGGCAATGGGGAACGATGACGAAGCCGCCGTTGCCGTTGTCGTTGTTTCTGAGTGTAGGGCCATCAACGCCACGAGACAGAGCTCTTGTTGAAGCTCCGGAGACAAAGAAGCAGTGTAGCCGTCGGAATGACCCATGGGTCCCTCGTCGCCGTCATCGCAGCTGTCCTCTCCCTCCCCAGTGGAGGGCTGCTGGTGACCCATGGGTCCGCTGGGAGCCAACAGGATCACGGTATGCGCTGCTGCGGCGGCCACACGGCGCAGGTCGTCTACCTGGAGACCAGGAGAGAAACATTTGCACGGAACCTCCGTACATCTCGGATCTTTGGATTAAAGCGCAAGCGGGCGACGCATTAACAAGGCAACTAACCAAACAACCAACGCCGGGCTCCTTGGACGGCCTCATCCAGATGTCCTCACCCACCCACCCACCCCTCACCTTCATGGGGCTCCCGTGCCGTGTCACCACCAACCGAGCCAGCCTGGGCGGTAGCCAGGAGGCCAGCTGCTCGTCCAGATCCGCCTTGGGCTGCGTGCTGAGTACGGCAATACACCCGGGGAACACCCCTCCCTGGCTCCCTTCCCCGGGCCGCCCGCTCTGCCGCACCGCCACCACCTGATGGGGTAGGGCAGGTGGCTTGAAGCTGCTAAAAGAGGAAGAAACTAACTAACTAACTAACCGACTAGGCGCCATCATGGGTTGCACGCCTTGCAACAAGGTAGCCAGCCCATGCCGCCCAGCCCGAATCAGCCAGGCGGGAGGCGGCGTGCAGGGGTCTCCATGAGTAGCGCGGGGCATAGGGGCTTCGGGTCGGGATTGTGGTACTTCACACCTGTATTATCTCATTCATGCGGTTAGTCAGTTGTTTCCTCTTTTCCTCGTCAGTTTTCTCTTTTCCGCCCTGCCCTCCCCCACCTCCCGCCCCCACCTGCTGCACCAGCTCCCGCAGACGGTGCGGTGGCACCTTGGGGTCCAGCAGCAGTGTGTGGCCGCGGGCGGGGAGCGGGAAGTTGCCGCTGGGATTAGGGTTTTGGGGGGGAGGAAGCAGGGAGGGGGGCCAGTGGGGGAGCAGTGGTAGCAAACACGGCCAGGATATAGGTATGAGAGGAACTTCCGGGCATACCGGTACGTGTATGGACGTGTTTCTCACCTCACTCCCCCCTACCGGCTCCCACACAGCACAGCCAGTATCGTCAGTCTCCGCTGCGGGCACATAGCACCTACAGACCCACTACTACTACATCTGCCTGCATCTTCAATACGCTACCGGTACTGGATTGCGGGTGACCCACTACACCCCTCACACGCCTCACACCCCTCACGCCTCACGCCCCACCTGCGAATCCCCTCCACCGCCGCCCGCACATCCTCCGTCACGAGCCCCACCAGCGCCGCGAAGCTCCACAGCGAGGTGAGGTGTACGGCGATGAGCACCAGTCGGGGCGGCAGGGAGGGCAGCCGAGTCACATCGGTGCCTGCAGCAGGGGCAGGGGTGGGGGGGTGGGGGTGGGGGGGTGAGGAGTGGGGTTGGGGGTACCCGTCCGTCATGCATGCTCAACATGTAATACACACAGCACGCTACCAGGTGTCATGTCCAGCTACAGGGGGTGAGGAGGAGGTGGGGACAAGGAGGGTGAGGTCAGGGCAAGGTGGGTTGGCACCGGGCTGACTAGCACCGGGCTGGATAGGGTTTGGATAGGACCCCTTCCATGCGCAGTCTCCTATGAACGTTCAAGTGATACAACCCACCCTCCCTCCCACTCCCTCAACCCCCCTAACCCCTCCTTCCAAACCCCCCTCCTCCCCCTGCCGCCCATACCCGGCACGTTGTTAAGCACGTAGAAGCAGTACTGCAGCGCCTCCTGCCAGGACACCTCAGACACCTGGCGGAGGGGGGGAGGGGGCGGGGGTGGGGAGGAAACAACTAACCAACCGCGAGAGGGGGAGGAGGCGGGGAAAAGGGTGGAGGTGACGGGGGGAGGTCTGAATGGGTGCATGAGGGAGTGGCGGGCGCGTGCGTCACATACTCACCAACGCACATGCACATACACACGCGGCCAGTTATTTTAACACACGCACAGCTTCCATCTCACACACACCCCCATGCCTCACCTGTCTGAGCCCCCAGCTGCCCGCCGCCACCACCGGCAGCCCGGCCGCCACCAGCGCCGCCAGCTTGCCCCAAGTGGGCAGCCGCAGCAGCAGCATGAGGCGGTACTGCAGCAGCTGGGGAAGGGGAAGGGGAAGGGAGGGGAGGGAAAAAAAAGAAGAATTCCCAATGTGTTGAATGAGAATGCAAACCAGACGACAAGTTGGGGAGGGGGGGGAGGGGGGGAAGGGGGGGAGAAGAAAACCCAATGTGTTGCATGAGGATGGGGCAGGGGATGGGGCGGGGGAAGGGGCAGGTACTAGTTTGCGTGACACGATGAAAAGTATTTGAGCAGCACTAGACAATCCTGTAAGCGATGACGAACCGATGCATACTACATTAATGCATGGAGAGGGGAGAGGGAGGGGAGAGGGAGGGCAGAGGGAGGGGTGGGTGTTAGCCGACTAGGTAGTGCGGACTGGATCACGTAACAAGGCACCAGGCGTTGTGATGGTGGCGGTTGCTTTGGCAGGCGCAGTAGCAGCTGCTGCACATAGTACAGCTGCAGCATTTGATGTGGGTGTGGGGGCTGTTGGCAAAACGGTTGGGTGTTTGGGATGGTTTCAGAGGGGCAGGAGGAGTTGGGTTGAGCTGTGGGTAACGGGGAGGGAGGGAGGTGCAGCCCACCTGTAAGGCCCATGCAAGCCAATCGCGGAATGCTTGGATCAAGCTCGTACGGATTCGGTTAAGTCGTACTCTGACAGCTCCAAAGTTAAGGAACTCACGAAGGGGCGCATTCGCTGTAGGAGTTGTTGTCGCCGCCGCACTCCCAGCAGTGGGTTGGGAGGCGGGGTTGACGCTTGGTTCAGTTGGATGCAGTTGCCCGGTCGCGGAACGAACGTAACCGTCAGATGGAATTTCAAAATTGCCAGCCCCATTGTTAGCGGCATGGGCATGCCAGTACATAGGTGTGCGGAATGTCTTTCGCGCGTGACACTGAGGGGCTGCAATGCAAGGAAACGCAAACCTTGGGAGCACTAGGCTCCTATAATGAGTTTGCAGACTGGAAACAATGGTTGTTCGTGACGCGCTGCACCGAAATGACATTCCAGGTATAGGGCGCTCTAGCGACACGCTCGGTGGTCGCATGGCTGTTGCCCGCCTGACCTAAGCCGAGGTAGAACGCGTCCGGTAACCTATATTAACACCAACTGGGCTCTTAAGCGAGGCATATGAGGTCTGTAAATGACAACGTTATGCAAGGATACTGTCCATGCAAGGATGCTGTCCTCCGCCCTCGCCAAATGCCATGCGAGGAGTTGACAATTGATAAGAGAAAAGGTAAAGTGATTATTGTCATGGCTGGCCATCTATTTCCCTTATTGCTTTTCTGCGTCAGTTGACGCGTACGTCAGAACGTCAAAATACACGAGGGTTACTGTACAAAGCTGTAGCCCAATTACCGTTAACGTTGTCCTTCCTACGGGTTGATGCTTATTCCTAGCGCTTCTTTAGAATTGATTGTTACAGTAGGTACACGCCCTTGTGTCCTGAGTAGTGCTTACAAAAGTAGGCAAAGATGCCAAGCGTAGACGTTATACAACCAGCAAATCCGCCGCCAGAAGAAGAGGAGGAGGAGCCCGAGGAGGTATGTTTCATCGCTGGAATTGGCTGGACAGTTGCTATTTTCTCCTTACCTGTCACTTTACGACCTAGTAAAAATGCTAAACACTGCTGTGCAGCCTGCTACTATCGGCTATGCAAACATTGTTGATGCGGCGCCGTCGCCATTGCCCCCAGTTTCTCTCTTTGACCCTGCCTGCTGCCCTCTTCCACAGCTTTCATGGAATCTCGGATTTGTGGAGGAGCCGGAGAAGCCGCACCTGCTGCTGCGCCACCGCTTCCCCAGCAAAGTCGGAGGCAGGCCGGTGGGTGCTTGAGGCAGGGCGCGACGTGCACACTTACCAAACACCACAACAAGATGCGGGGATAGTGAGGATGGTGGGGGTGGACATGAACATGGAGGAAACAGCGCTGGAGGCCGCCGGGAGGGTGGGAGGATGGGAGGGAGCCACGACGGCTAACCGGACGGAAGAGTATGGAGAGCCCTAGAGGAGCCCTAGCCACCCAACTCCCATGGCGCCTTGACCCCCTCATCGACCTGTGAGCCGCGGATAACAGCTGAAGCAGCAAGAGGAGGAGGGACCGAACAGACCCAACGCCCGTGTATGGCATCCAGCCCTCTGTTAACTCCCTCTCGCGGCCCTCGCCGCCCTCCTGCTGTTCCTCCCTCCGCTGCTCCACCCCCCCCTTCTTCCCCCCTCCCAAACAGGCCTGGCTGGACCCGGTTCACCTGCCCCCCCGGGAGATGCTCACATGCGGGGCTAGCGGCCGACCGCTGGACTTCCTGCTGCAGGTGGGCTGGGGCTGATGGGTCTTGTGTGGCTGTACTGTTAGGCGAGCCAAGCCCCGGCACGTGTTGGAGGTGGTGATGGTGGTGGTGGTGGTGGTGGTGAGGTGGGTGGGTGGGATGTAGGAGAGCTGATGAGCACCCGCTCTCCCTCCTCCTCAACCGCAACCTCACCGCCCCGCCTTCCCCACCCCCCCGTCCGTGGTCCCCACCCCCTCCTCCCCCACCCCCAACACCTTGGGTACCGTATTCTTTTTCCCCTCCTCCCCTCCCCCACCAGGTGTACGCCCCGGTTGACGCCAACCCGGTGGACGCCTTCCACCGCACCCTCTTCCTGTTCATCAGCCCGGAGGTGAGGGGGGCGGCAGGGAGGGGGGGAGGGGAGGGGGGTGTAGGAGGTAGCGGAGGGGCATGGGGGGTAACGTAGGGTGAGGGTGAGGGTGCGGGAGGGGGTGGTAAGACGAGGGTCCCATGGGTCGGAGCGACGTGGTGCCTTGAGGCGGCTTTCCTCTCCGCGCCCTCGTCCTCCTCGCCCACGGTCGCCACCCTTCCCACATAAACACCCGCTCAACCCTCCCCTCCCTCCACTCCCCCTCAGGGCAGCCGTCTGACCCAGCCGGGTGCCGTGCGGCTGCTGCGCTGCCAGCTGCCGCGCAACAACCCCTTCTACCCGCCCGAGCCGGCAAGGGAGCGGGACAAGTACCCGCCGCTGCTGAAGGTGGGGCCGGGGGGAGGGAGGGAGCGGGAGGGAGGGAGGGAGCGGGATCCGCATGGGAAAGAGGTGGGCTTATGGAGGTGTGTACGCCAGCACATACCGTAGATACCTCAGCAAAGCACACCGCACCGCAGACCTTCCCCGCTCGGGCGCCCCAACGTCGCCCCTTCCCTCCTCGCTTCCTTACCACCCACACAGCCTTCAGAGCTGGAGGCCAGTCGCGAGCGCGACCCCTTCTGGCGCTCTGTGGATGCTGAGCGGCCAGCCGCCTCCCCCTCCCCCGCCTCAGCGGGGCCCTCCGCCTCCTCACCCGCGTCTAAACGGAAAGGCGGCCGAGGCGGAGCGGCGGCAGCCGCTGCTGCTGCGGCAAGAGCAGCAGCAGCAGCAGCAGACACGGCCTCAGCAGCAGGGGGGCTGCAGGGTGGTGCGACGTCCTCAGCATCAGCAGCAGGGGGCCCAGGGGCTGCTGCTGCTGCTGCTGCTGCGCCTCTGCCGCGAGTGGGGGTGCGGGGCCCGGGGGGGTTGTACCCCGAATACGAGTTGGTGGTGGAGGCGGAGGCGGAGTTTGAGGAGGAGGAGGAGGATGACTCGGAGGAGGAGGCGGAGGGGCAGCAGGGGCAGGGAACAACGGGGAGGGGAGGAGCAGGAGAGGGGAGTGGGGAAGCAGCGGGAAGAGCAGCGGCAGCAGCAGCAGGAGGGGCGGGGGGGAGTAGAGGTGTGGAGGCGGAGGTCAGGAGGTGAGTGGGGGGGCGGCGGGTATGTGCATGTCGCGCGCCTGGCTTGCTGGCTGGGGGGGAGGGGGAGGGTGGTATCTGATGTGCGGGAGTTTGCTGCTGATAGGTGTGGGGTGCTGCGTCGGAGGGCGCCCCCGCAACGGGCATGCATCGCCCTTGGTGGCATGTCAGGTCTCTCACATCCCGCTCTTACCGGCCCCGTTGCATGCCCCGTTGAGTCCCCCAATACCACGCACAAGCCCCTCCCCACAGCCCTGCAACCCTTCCTGTGCTCCTCCTCCCCTTCCATGCAAACCCTTCCCCTACCCCTCCCTCTTCCCCCCTCCCCGCAGGGCGCTGCAGGCCTACCAGGCCCGTGTGGCCGCTGAGGGCGAGCTGGACGAGGAGGAGCTGCCGGCGGACGTGGTGGAGGCGCTGGAAGGGGCCACGGGGCCGGAAGCCAGGTGCTTCGCGGTAAGCAGCAGGAGGAGGGGAGGGGGCGACGGGGAAACCCGGAGGGAAGGGTCATCGCTTTCCTTCTCTCACTCCCTCTTTCTACATCTCTCCCTCTAAAAGCTCTTCTTCCACCACCCCCTTAAAGTCCCCTGAACCAACATCCCCTGCCCCCTCTTTCCCCCGCTCCCCCCCTCTCCCGCCCCGCCCAACGCCCAAACCCCACAGGACTTCCAGTCGCGCGTGTCGCTGGCGCCCACCCAGGTGCTCCGCTACTGCCGGCAGGAGGGCGCACAGCCGCTGTGGCCCGCGCCACACGCCCGCCCGCAGCAGCCGGGGGACATACCGCCCTGCCCTCACTGCGGAGGGCCGCGACGATTTGAATTCCAGGTGAGGGGCTTGGGAAGGGGAGGAGGGTAAGGAGCGGAGTGGAGGAGGGGTGGGTGGTGAATACTTATTGTACTAGGGTGTGGGCAGGTCTGGGGGCCTTGCCTTGCTGTTCTTTTTCCCCCCCAAAACCCCCACCTCCTCCCCCTCCTCCCCGCCCTAGGTTCTCCCCCAGCTGTTGCACTACCTGCGTCTGGACGAGGAGGACCCCGCCAGCCCCGACTGGAGCACCCTGGTGGCCTACACCTGCGCGGCGTCGTGCAGCCCGGCGGGGAGGCGTGAGGGTGAGGGAGAGCAGGGGCAGGGGCAGGAGACGGCGTACATGGAGGAGCTGGTGTGGGTGCAGCCGCCGGGGCAGTGAGGGGAGGGGGTGTTCCCCTGCCCTCATGAGGGGGATAGAGGCAGCGAGTGCGGGTAGAATGGTGGGGAGGAAGGAGGTGGGAGGCTGGATGTTTGGGAAGACATGGGAGGGAGCCGGAAGGGCTTCGGTGCGGGGTTTGCGTGGGGATGCATGGGGGTCCGGGGTCATGGGGGGTGCTGGTGCGTCCTGCAGCTCGTTGTATGCGATCGGGTACAACACACGCAGCACATGCAGCGAGGGGGCGGGGTGGGCCTCCTTAGGGGTAGTGGGCAGGTGGCGTTGCTGGAGCGCCAGTAGCTGTGATGGACTGGATGCGGGGTTGAGTGCTTGCTGCTGTGGCTGGCGGGGGCGCTGTGGTGGATGGAGGGCGCATGGGGCGGTGGAGGAGCCACACATGGCGGGAGCTCGGTGGCTGCGAGGGGCGCGGAAGACATGTGTCGGGGGGACAAGCATCCACAGATGACTGATGTGTGCCAGGCTGTCCGCTGCCTTCACACCTCGGGCCCCCAAATCGGGTTTGGAAGGGTCATGCTTGGTAGCTAAGACTACGATATGCTAGCTGTGTCCAGATGCAAGAGTTCATCAGGAGCTGCATGGAGGGGGCGAAACACCGAGCGAGCTATTGCCTTAATTTATCCGTTTCCGATTCTCCCCTCCAAACCCCAAGCCCCGAGGAGCGTCCATAAGGACACACCACCGCTTGCAGTGTTGATACCGGTGCCATACGAACAAATGCACTGGTGTCGTACAGACCATTATACTGCATACACGTGTCGTTAAAGCCGTCACCCTGAGGCATCATCACCAGCGGGACAGTACCACCCATACCGCAGCTGCGTACGTGCAATACCCGAAGGACAGCAGATGCCTACGAACCCCCCTACCTACCCCACCACCCCACTGTCCTTTCCCCCTCCAAGCGTAACCCCACCCCTCTAGTGACGGAACCCCGGGCCTCCTCGCCTCGCCACACTTCTGGTGTCACCCCGGCTCAGAGTGTGCAACCCTGCGGGCAGTGGGGTGCGGGGACAGAGGAGCGAATGTGGGGAGTGCTGGGTGGGGAGGAGGGCCGGCAGGAGCGCAAGAGAGCGCCCCCCCAACACGGGACAGGAAACCAACGACAGGTAGCGATCCTCTCATTTCCACCCCTCCCCTTCTCTCCCCCCCTGCCCCCTAGTTTGGTAGTATTTGAACCCCCTGTCCCCCGCTGCACGTCCCAATGTCCCAATGCCTACCGGCAGCCCCCTCCCTCCCTCCCTCACAGCTCGTTAGTTGCCTCGTAAGCTTCCCCATTTTTCCCCTCCCTCCCCTCCCCCCCCCTTCACCTGCTGCATGGGGCATTCCGCCCCGAGCTCCCCCAGCGGCCCCAGCTCCCCCACGTTCAGCCCCTTCACTCGCCCCATGAGCACCTCCATGGGCGCAGGCAGCCCCAGCGACTGCGGCAGCGGGCCATGCCGCGACTCCAGCAGCTGCTCGGACAGGGCGGCGACGTCGGGGGAACACCTGCAGCCCGGGGGGGGGGGGGCACATGCGGTATGGGGTTCTCTGACGGGGCGAGGAGCAGCAGCAGTAGTACGCAATGAGGCGCCTCTACGAGCGATTGACGGGTCCGATACAGCGACAACACTCTACGACACGCAACGCTAGCTGCCGTAACGTACCCCGCGGCGTGCCGGTCTCCTGCATGCCGGCCTACACCTCCCTCACCCGCAATCAACACCGCCGTCGCTGTGTTATTGCACAGCCAACGGACCCCACTCCCCTTGTGGCGTTTCTGTGGGCAATCACAGTACGCTCCGACTCGCGGCCAGTTTCCTAAACATACACACGGCTCCCACTCTTAACACACACCTGGTTGGGTCGGAGTTGGCCGCGGGTGTGGGCGGCTGCCTGGGCAGCTGCACCAGCCCCGTGTCGTGCGCGCCCACCCGCCACCCGGACTTCCACAGCCGCAGACACACGTCGCGGCGGACCCGCGAGCTGCAGGGCTCGTCTCCCTGATGGGAGGGGGGAGCGGAGGAGGGGGTTAGGTATGTACGTATACACGTACCAGGGGCCGCTGCGCTTATAACCCTGGACACTTTCCCCAAACCCCTTTCCCCCTCCTCCCCCCCCTTCCCACACCTGGGGCAGGTCCTCGTCCATGCCGCCCACCTCCTCCAGCGCGCTGCGACTGCGGGGGTCAAGAAAGGAGGGCGTGGGGGCGGGTTGGGGGTAAGGAGCAAGGGTGGGTGTGAGCGAGAAGTCAAAGTCACAAGAAGCGGAAGGACAAGCAGCAACCCTGCCTCAGCACCTCCTTCCTTCCTCCAAGCCCCCCCCCCATCCCGCCCCAGGAAACGAAACCCCAGGAACCCTCTTCCCACCCCTCACCCCCTAACACAACCACACCCCCTTGTTCGCCTGTTCATCCCACCCGGCCGCTAACCTTCAACCCCGTTATGTGGCACCCTGCTCCCCCTCCGCTCCATACCGCATTGCCCTCCCTTTATGCATCCCAAGGAGCGGGTTGGTTCCTCTCTGGCCCCCACGCCAGTCCACACATAAAACCCCATCCCTACAGCCCCCTGATTTGGGATTGGGACTCCGTTGCTTCAATTCTCACCCCTACAGCCCCCTCGTCCCCCTTCCCCTCCTCACCGGAAGGACATGGGCATCAGATCTCCGTACAGCACGTACTGAAACGGTACGGCAGTCACCTTCTCCTGGAAGTACATGTTGTTCCGCTGAGGGCCCCCGCCCACTAGCCCGTACGTGCTGGCGCTGCTGCTGCCGCTGCCGGCGGCTGCTGCAGCGGCGGCGGCGGCTTGCAGGGTCTCGGACGAGCCCAGGAGACGGAGGGAGGCGGTGGCGGTGGCGGGGTGGGAGAAGGAGAAGCGGCCGTGAGACATGGCGCCGAGCTGTGGGGGGGGTGAAGGGGTGGGGTGGGAGGGTTAAAAGGGAGACTAACGAGCTGTATGTCGAGGGGTAGGGGTGGGGTTGAGGGAGGGCGATGGGCATGGGGGAACGGGAGAAGCCAGCAGAGGGGCATGCGGAGGCGGCGGCTGAGAAGGGGCTTTCAGTTGGCGTCAGGGTGTGCGGGAGTGGCGACTGGGGGGGGGGCGCGGATGGGACAACCCGTGAGGGTGGGGATTGAGTGGGATAAATGAGGGATGAGCGAGGCGTGGCTGAAAGCATTGGGGAAGACCTTTTTAACCCTCCCTCCTCTCTTCCCAACTTCCCCACCACCCACCCACCCACCCAGCCCTACCTCCTATACCCCCAAGGTGCAGCCTGCTGCTCCCCCCATGCCCAGCTTCTCCTCCCCTCCTCCCCTCCTCCTACCCACTTCACCCACCTGCGGAATCCGGTGGTACAGCGTCACGAGGCGCTGCAGTGCAGCACACTCCGCCGGCACCCCCGCTGCACCCCCCTCCCCTCCAGGGATTCTTCTTTTCTCCTCTGCGGCAGAGGAGGCGGGGGGCAGCAAGTCTTCCACGGAGGGCGAGTCGGCTCGTAACGCCACCAGCACCGACCCACGGGCCACTGCGGCCATGCGGTTGAAGGAGTGCGCCTCGCGGTCCAGCGAGTCAAGCATGGGAACCACGAAGCCTGTGGGGAAGGGACATGGGGGGGGGGGGGAATACCGGTAAATGGAAATTGAAGCAACGGAGCCCCAACCCCAAATCCCGACCCATGCAGTGAGCGCATGGGGAGGGGGCGGGTTGCATGGGTGAAACCCAGACCAAACCATCATGGGTTGCATGGGGGGAGAGGAGGTTGCGAAGGAGATGGAGGGGAGCAGTCACGGTCGTACATGACGCCATCGTGTACTCCACTGCCGTTGCCTCATTACACATGTTGACCCCAGCTTGTCGCCTGGCTTGCCATCCTCATTCAACAAATTGGGTTATTCAACAAATTGGGTTATCATCCAACGCATGGTTTATCTTCCCTCCCCCCTCCCCCCCTAGTGTCTCCGAATGCGCTCACTGCATGAGTCGGGATATGGGATTGGGACTCGTTGTTTCACTTATTTAATTTTTTCCTCCCCCCCCTCCCCCCCCTCACCCACCCTCACCCACCCTCTGTCGTCCACGACTGCCAGGCCCACGTGGAGGCCTGCTGTACGGCAGCTCGCCCACTCAGCATCACAATCAGCTCCATGGGGGCAACGGTACGACACGCCATGAGGCGAGCAAGGAAGGCCGCTACGACCTGCATGCATGCATGGAAGCCACCGGGGGGCGGGGGGGGGAGGGGTAAGGAGGGCGGGGAGGAGGCCAAGCATGGACATCGACATGCACAATAAGGTAGCTGCTGAGCTGAGGCCATGGGACCGGACCGGGAACACAGTGCTGCACCCCCTTGTCGTTGACCCACCTCAGGTCCCTTGCCCGAGGGCGGCTCCTTGGTTCCGTTGAGGTTGGGAGTCGGCCAGTCCGCGGCGTTGGGCGCCTCCCCGCGCAGCCGCAGCAGCAGCGACACGGCGGGCTGGTCGGGGAACTGGGAGGGGTAGATCTGCATGCGGGGGGAGGGAGGGGGGTAGGTGGGATAGGGTGCAGCGCACTGGAGTATCAAGGTAGCAGTGTGTGGGGATGGGGGTGTAAAGAGGCAAGTTTGCAGGTGTGGTAACTGAGCCGCAACACTGACGCTGGAACCTTGGGAGTAGTAGAAGGCGCTGTCACGGGGTGATGTAGTCGTGTATGCTCTGTGGTCGTAGTACGCGTGTACAACCCTCCCCACCCTTCCCAAGTCCCGCCCCTTCACCCTACCCTGCGCATGATGCAAGGCGACAGGCCGTCTACGGTTGTCTCCGCCGGCAGCCGGCCCTGACCCTGCAACTGGGTCAGTTGGGTCTGCGGGGTTGCGGAGGGAGGGAGCGGGGATGGGAGGGGAGGGAGCGAGCGGAGGGCGGAGAGTGTCAGACAGGAGTGGCCCGCGCGACCACATGCCCCCTCGTTGACACCGGGGCGTGTCCTCGCTTGCAGCCCACACCAGCCAACCCTCCTCCGCCTCCTGCTCTACCCCTGGAACCCCTGCTGCCCGACAGCGGCTCCAGCGCGCTCCACATCACCCCGACATGCGCCTCACACGCGCATGCATGGGCCACATGGTGTGGCCCGCCCATGCATGCGGGGCCACACCGACATGTGTACACACGCGCTCCGCTTGCAAGAAACTCCTCACGCCTCACGGGAACGTGCAGGGGCTGGTGCTGGGTACCGAAAGACCAAGCAGCGACCCTAATCAACGGCCTCTCCTCCCAGGGTTGCTAGCGCTCGCAAAGACCCGCCTCTTTCATGTGGGGAAACCCTCTGCCATGCTTGACTCCACCCCTGCACTCCTAGCTGCACATGCCCAGCTTGGCTTACACGTGACGCAGCATTTGCTAGCGACACAACCCTGAGGTGCCGTACGGCACACCCACGTCCTTCCCAGCACCCGTCGTCTCATGCAGCGCCCTTTCCGATCTGCGCCCTCTACCGCCTTCCTGATGCGGCCCTGCCACACGATGCCAGGCATTCCTGCAGCGACCCCTCCCCCTCTCGACATCCAGTGACTTTAGGTCCTTTATCCCCCCTCGTCACGATGACGCCGTACCACACGGTCAGTTAGTTGTTTCTTCTTTACCTCCCCCCCAACCCACCTTGATGCGAGCCTCCATGCTCCTCATGGTGGAGTTCGCGTCGTCCAAGACTCGTGTCAGGTCCTCCAGGTTTTGACCCTGCAAGCGGGTACAAGGGGTGCGCGTTGTTGGTTGGGGCGGGGGCACACCGTAGGAAGAGGCGGTGCAGGCGGGTTTGGGGTGATCCATTAACATGGGTACATCCTAGCAGTGGCTGTTACGTGGTGACAGGTGCTTAGGTTTAGCAGCGGTACCGGCAGCAGCAGGCAACTGCACGAGGGGAATGGGCACCAAACCACCCTCCCTCCATCCTGGACGTGGGAAAGGTGCCTGGGATGCTGGACAACAGAATTATGCCAGGTTAATGAGCAAGTGGGTTACAATGATGCGGGTACACAAAGCGCGCATATAGCGTCAACTCGTGCAAGGCAGTATACTGGCTTTACCAGCAGCAGCGACGTCGTATTGGTTGTCCCCAACCCACTGAGTTTTGGTCCAATGTACCCCGTGCTCGTGTCACCCTAACACCCTAGCAGGTTACCAATGTAAAACCCCTATCGGCTACTTACAACCAGGTACGTTAGGTTCCAGCCCTGGCGCATTGGCTCGTCCTGGAGCCAAGTCGCTGGTCCTTTTTGGAAAGACTCATGGTTTCGAGCCGCACGCATGAACCTTGCGTATGCTGCGTGATACTGCTGATATGACTCCCGGAGCTGGTGCTGGTCATGAGGTGTGAGATGCTCCAGTAAGGGCTTGCAGTATGTGAAAGGAACTGGTAAGGCACCGCCCGCGTCGGCCGCTCCGCTGTGGGACTGCGCAAGTTGTCTGCTATCTACTTGTTGCGAGGAAGCACTATGCAAGGAAAACGCTACGACGGTGAGCAGGGCAACAGCCGCTACACGGAGGCGAGCCATCTCAAGTGCTCGTTGTTGACCAAGAGCAACTATTTGACGAAGTACCTATTAAGCTTGAGGCTAAACACGGACATAAGTTAGAATGGTAAGATATGCTAACCGAAGCATTTGCAATTATAAAGTTGAAGTTATCACGATAAAAGCTCATTATACGGTATCCACCACATTCTATACACTTGTTAATTAAAGCTCCATTAGATCAACGGCAGAATCAGTTGTGGGGCTCGACATGACCGCCCAATGCCGTACACCTGTAAGGGCGAAACGCTCTATCAAGAATTTTGCCAGGCATAAGTACGCTGCCGCTTAAACCGGTTTCAGCCATAATCATGTGCTTCCCTAACTGCGTTTGGCCAAAAGGAGCCAAAGACACATGTTGTAAACGTTGGTGTTTACGATATGGTTGAGGTAAGCCCCAGCTCCTAAGCAGCTCAACAATACAAGTACCTATAAGAACGTAACAAGGCAGCACGAAGAGCTCTGTGCTATGCTTCGCGGAGGGTGGTCTGTTGCACGACCAGGCTAGCAGATAAACCGTCGCTGCCCAGCATGTGCATTCTTTGGTTGATTCGAATTGTCGTCCAAGTTCAGAGCCGCACTCTGAAGTCGCTACCCTGGCTACGGTCAGTGCTTCCTTGAGGCTCAGTTTACCTAATACCGGTCGGGGCCCTGGTTGTTGGCTTTTAGAGCACTGGCAACGTTGCATACGCGGAAAGTTGCCAGGAGGTGCTCCGTCCCCTCTTAACCAAGAAACAACCCTCGGTATACCTACCGGGAGGCAGATCTGCACCAGAATTGGCTTAGCGGCTTCAGGGTAGCGGCATCCGCCTTGCGTCTCGGTATGTACAAATGTCAGCCTGCATATTCTCAGTAAGATGTAGATGTGAGGCATGACAGCTTGACAGGCTACGCTAGGGATTGGACCAAAACATGGTACCGATACACCAGGTGGTGTTTAGGCACAGACCCGTGGGCCCAAGGCTCACTACAACCATGGAGTAATCTTTCCATCAGGTGTAGCTTCTGTAGTTTGTAGTGGACGGAATGGGTCCCCCCGTCCACACTCTACACCCTAAAGGCATGGGTTGCATGGGCGGCTAGTGTTGTCGATGAGTGGGGAAGGGCCATGTAACCTTACGTGGATAAGGCGTAAGTTGTTGATGTTTTGCTCGTTATGGTTTATAAGGCTACTGCAGGATGTATTGCGGAGCATGCCACGATGCGGTGGAATCAACCTGTTTTGCAACTGCTACGGCCTGCAACTCCCGGACGGTGCGGATTGTGAAACACGTGACCCGGGGTCATAACCCGCCTTTCCCTTGCGTTATCGTCATACTTGCTCAGCAAAAACACCTTCCCATGGAGTTACTCGTTACTGCTGGTAATGCGGTCTAGAAGGCCGTCTCAACTCCCGAGCGCAACACAATTTAGTAAAGCTGTTCCTGCGCTATCATTATCAGCGTCATGAGAGTGGTATCTGAGTTCGGTGCTGCGATACTCGCAAACTCAGGAGTATGCACGCGGGGGGCGGGACCACTCATGCCGTACTTTCTGGAGAGGAGTTTAGCAGAGCGGCCATATGGCCCGGAAGCTTTGCGAAACCTTATAAGTCGCGGTGACCTTTCAGCTGTGACTTCGCAAGGCATACTTGTTGTTCTTCGGCGATACATCAACGTTACCTTGCACGGCTAAGCACGAAAGCCCCGCGCATCCATCATGAACAGTTTTGAAAAGTAGTTCGTGCCCTACCAGAAGCAGTCACAAATGCTAGGCTAGGGTGCTTACTGGTCGTTGGCAGCATGCAGTCTGTCAGCGGACGAGAATGAAAATGTTTTGCTGCTTCCGTGGAGTGTCAAGTGTTTCCGCTGAGCCTTCAGTATCTAGTCTACCTTTGTGCCTGCAGCAAGAAAGCCGTGGTGCATCTCAAGCCGATGGTCCACCACCTCCCAAGGCTGTTTCTGTCCTGCAGGAATCAGCGGTAGCACAGTCAAGCTTGCACTCATCCAAACTCGGCGATGCCGAGCTAAGTAGCGAATGTGTAAAGGGGAGATTGCCGCAGGAGAGAAGTGAAGCCCCTTCCCCAGCGCCACCAAACAATGTCTGGACAAACTTAGTTCATGAAGTGCAAGCATCCACGCCTCAGCAGTCCGGAGCTACTGTGAACGCACCCCGTCGGTGCGAGAGCGAGGTCGATGGTGTGGAACTGCGGCTGCCCGAAGGTGTGTCTGCTTGCGCATTCTTATGTCGTGTCCTATCACGCTCGTACGCTTGTTTCAAGCGCTTCACGTCTGATTTTCTTGGCATATACTGCTCGTCCCGCTTCCAGACGTCTGTTTGCTCCCCGAACCCTCTCTCGACTTTGCCATAGTGAGTTACCCCTGCGCTGCGCTGTGTGCCACCCCCATGTTGTACATGATGGCGCTATGGCCGGGTAGTCGTGATAGCCACCCTTCTCTACGTTATTAGTGATGCCCAGCCAGAAAATGGAAACTCGCACACCTGGCAGCCTCCCCCTCCCTCTCTGCCATGGCAACCCTGTCACCCCATCCTTTTCCCTACCCATATGCTCCCCGTTGCTACCCTAGGTGCCCGTTACCTCCTATCTTTCTCCCTAGTCTCGACCACCTGCTTTCCCTCCTAGCAAAACACCTCCCCCTACACCATCCACCCCTTGCCGCCACTCCCATCCTCATCCCGGTCCCAACGCCGCTTACTCCCCCAATACCCCTCCTCCTTCCCCATCCCCCACCCACCCGCCTCCCTCCTCCCCCCCCCCCCAGGCCTCAGCCCCATTGCCTTACAAGACCTTGTCTCGCAGCTCGCGACCCTGTCCGACCCAGTTGCTCTCGTCCTAGTGGAGCGGACCACCAAGCGGGTGGTCCGCACGCAGCGTGTCAGTCCCCACCTGCTGCTCGACATCAACCTAGAGGCGCTCTTCGCAGGGGGCCTGGTGCCGCCGCCGGTGCCGCAGCTGCCCTCGCATGCCCCCGTGCTGCTCTCCCTACCGCCGCCGCTAGTGCCACCGCTGGTGCCGTCAGGCGGCTCGCAGCTGTCGTCAGGGGTACAGGGGCTTGCACCCAAAGCAGGGCTGAAGGTGGGGCCGGGTGGGGGAGGAGGACAGCAGCAGCAGCCGGCGGATTACTCGGATCCGCTGCAGCGGTACCTACACCAGCAGCAACAACAGCAGCCTCAGCAACAGCAGCAGCAGGAGCGGTACCTGAAGCAGCCTCCTCAGCAGCAACAACAGCAGCGGCCGGAGGAGGTTCCAGGTCGGGCCGGCAGCAATGGAGAGGGGTCGGGGGCGGGGGCTGGGGGAACAGGAGGTACAGTGGTAGGAGGCAGTGGCGGCGGCGGCGGGCTACCGCTGGAGAGCGCGTCAGTTGGGGCCTTCGCCTCCACCACCTCGTCTTGCCGGTGGTGGTCGCCGCAGTGGGCGCTGCACAAGCTGCAGACCGTGTACTGCGGGGCGGAGGTGTTGAGGTAGGGGGGCCGGGGGGTGGTGTGGTGACGGATGTGCTGATGGTGGAGGAGTATCGAGTGCGGCATACCCGTGTTCCCAAGGTTCCCAACGCCGCTCACCACCACACGTCCTCCCCTCTTGCCACCTCCTTCCCTCCCTCCTCAGGTTGTCCGTGCACCACAGCAACCCCGCGCTGGCCTCCCTGCTGGGCTGCTCCGCCTCCGGGGAGTACGAGGGGCTGCTGGGGGAGCTGCTGGCGGGGGAGGCCATGCTGCGGGCCGTGCTGTACGAGTGCTGCCTGTGCATGCTGGAGGGGGTCACGGTGAGTGGGAGTAAGGGGGGTGGGGTACCTGGGTGGTAAGGAGGGCTACTGGCTACGAGTGTGGTGTTTGGGTGTGTGTTGAGGCCACTGAGCCCAGTAACTGTGCTGACGATAGCTTGTGTGAGACAGGGATATGGAGAGCGGAGGTGGTGGAGGAGGAGGAGGTTGCATGGCTCGTGGGAATGTGTACCGGTATTGCTGGAGCTCAGAGGAGAGGAGTAGGCCAGGGTGCCTCACTGCTGCATAGCAAGCTAGTAATCCCTTGACCGTGGCGCACTGGACACGCATGTGCGGGACGCGATGTTCCGCTGCCTTGGCTCCCACTGCACAACGCAGGACCCACTTCCTCCCCATGCCTGCTCTGCTCCCCTTCCTGCTTCCACTCACGCCTGTTCCCCACCTCCCTCCCCTGTGTTCCCTCTGCTGCGCTCCCTCGCATGCTTGCCTGGCTGTCATACCTGCATGCGGGGGGATTGTGCGCCTGCAGTCCCCAGCCTCCCAGGTCATGGTCAACCACCCGCTCCGCGGCTGCCCCTCTCGAGTGGTGCTCCCCATCACCGTGCAACCCGTCGTAGTGTGGCGCCCAAACAACACCGCTACTACCAACGGCGCCAACAACAACATCAACAGCGGGAACGGCCGCAAGCTGAACAACCCCAACAGCAACATGGGCGGAAACACCAGTAACGTGAGGCAGCCTTCTCCCCTGGCTGCTCCACCCACCACCGCTTTGGCCGCTACAACGACCCCATTTGTCACCGCCGCTGCTCTTGCTGCTGCGACTGCTGCTCCCAACTCCTCCTCAGCACCACCACCACCAACCACAGGCCCTGAACGCCCGCTCTCAACCGCAGCAGCAGCCGCGCCGGGTGCAGGCGCAGCAGCAGCAGGGGTGCAAGCCGATGCCGTACCTGCCATGGCTCTGGTGATTCGCTACAACCTGTCCAACGGGCTGCGCTCCTCGCTGCAGCAGCTGCACCGCGTGTACGCCATGCTGTCGAACCTGTCGGGCATCGTGACGCTGTTCACGCTGCGAGGGCGGGTGCTGCACCAGAACACGGCATCCATCAGGTGAGGGTGGAGGAGAGGAAGAAGGGAAACCATGCGGGGGAGGGGAGCTGCGCGTTTTGCTTCTGGTTGGGGGCGAGATGGGCCTGAGTCGCTGAGTTGGCGGGCGGGTGATGGGGCATTGAGTGCTGTAAGTGAACAGGTTGCAATTGGGTGCCCTGCGGATGCGCGGTTGTGTGGGTTTGGTTAGTCAACAATGCTCACAGCTTGCTGGCTTGCGTGCACCTGATGGGATACGTTGGCCTTAGTAAGCCTGGCGTGCCCAATTCCGTATGTAGCCGTCATTCTGTGTCCGATTGTGCGCGCCTGCACCCACCCCACTTCACCTGAACTCACCCCTTGTCCTCCACTTTTCACCTCCAGGTACATGGGCCTGCGTCAGGGCTGCGGCGGGCAGCTGGATGACCCACGGGTCAGTACCGACACCGACAACCCGCGCGACTCCACCGGCCTGTCCGTGGGCAGCCTGCTGGGGCAGATCTTTGCGCTCAGCACGGAGCAGTTGGAGGACATGTTGGAGGATGTGGTGGAGGGGAAGACATGGAAGGGCATCGTGCGGGTGCCGGCGCTGCTGACGCCGACAACGGATCCCGGGCCGACACGTGGCGTGTGTGGCGGCACGGTGGGCGGTGTGGGCTCGGTCACGGCTGAGATGCTGCAGGCGCTGGTGGCGGGGGGAGCCACGGTGGGGACGACTGTTGCGATGACACCCACGGGGTCGGGCGCACAGGTGGGGCTAGGGGAGCAAGAGGAGGCGTGGCGTGGCGGGTTGGTGGTTTAGGACAACCGGCCGGGCTTATGCCGCATGGTGGCCTAGTCAGGCCCCTCCACGTCCGCACTCCCGTTCCTACCCTGTACTTTGTTTTGCACTTGCAGTCATGCACGCATGATGTCTGCATGTGCCCAGGTGGGCCATGCGCCACCCGTGCTGTTGGGAGTTTCCCTAGGCCCGGCTCGGTTACGTCGTACATGCACCAGCCGCCATTCAAACCGCATGCAACTCCCAACCCCATGCACCGCCATCCCAATCCCTTCCCAACCCCATCCCACCCCCCATCCCAACCCCACACAGCTCCTGAACACCTGGGAGCGGCTGGGGCCCGCCCTGACGGGCGCGCAGGACGGCAGCGAGGGCGAGGCGCTCAGCGGGCTGGGCCACATTGCCAGCACGCTGCTGGTGACCAACCCAGATGACAACATGACCGCAATCAACACGGCGTCCTCTAACGTCATCACGACCACCATCCCCGGTGCAACAACAACTGCACCTGGTAACCGTAGCAACAACGGCAACGGCAACCGCCAAGACAGCCAACACCAAAAGATCGGGGCGGCAGCAGCAGCAGCAGCAACCGGCATGAGCGGCGTTTCTTCAGTGGAGACTTCCGCCGGTTCCGCAGCATCAGCAGGTGCTATGGTGGCAGCCGGTGCTGCTGGTTCCGGTGGGGGCGGGGTTGCCGGTAGGAGCCGAGGCACGCTGGTGGCGGGGGGCATGATGGCGGGAGAGGGCTGCAGCGGCTTCGCGGACAGCGGCGGGATCCTGCTGCAAATGGCGCTCGCCAGCAACAGCGGCACGGCAGCTAACAGCAGGCTGAGGCAGTGCTCCACCCGCTCCGGTGCGGAGTGGGCGGCGGCTGCTGCTGCGCCGGGGTTGTTGATGGATGGATCCACGGGTGCAACACATGCGGTGAGAGGAGAGGGTGGTGGTGGTTGGGGTGATTGTAGGATGGGGAATGAGACGGAATGGGAAGGCCGTTGCGCGGGGAGAAGGTGCAGGTTGTTTTGTGCTGCCGGAGGGAGGTTTGGGTTACCTGGTAAGGAGCAGGTGTGGCTTTGTCGTGGCGCTTTGCATTGTGGGAGGCTAGGGCGGAAGGATTGTCGGCCCTCAGTTTGGTATTGCTCCCCTTTGCCCGCACCATACATGCCGGCGCTGCTGCTGCTGCTGTTCCTTGGTGCTCCTTGCTTGCAAAACCCTTGGGTAGCAAGTATTAATCCTCGGTCCACACCATGCTGTGCATGGTCCTCCCAATCCTTCGCAATGCGGTGTTGACCTCTCTCTCACCACATCGCGCCCCACCCCACCCCACCCACATCCTCTCCTACGCTTGCAGGAAGGCTCCATGCCCACGTGCATCATTGCCACTGGGGACACTGTGGCAAGCCGCCCCGATGTTGGCACAGCCGCCTTTGCCTCCGCACCCTGCAGCCGCCCGCCCAACCCCTCCACACATGGCGATGCAAGCGCGACAGCCGTCAGCAGCTCAGCATCCGCAACCGTCCCTGCTACCCAGGAGGCAAACCCAGCCACCACCGCTACCACCACCGCCCCCAGGACCCAGCCCGCCGCCACTCCCCAAGCCCCCCACCACCTCGCCCAATCCGCGCCCGTGGTCCCCTCTGGCAACAAGAACAACAGCAGCAACAACGGCAACAACAGCCACACCGTTAACGGTAACCATAACGGTAACAACCTTGGGTACACCCGCTCTGCGATGCCGCTCCGAATCGGCCTGGGTGGTGGTGCCCTGAGCTCCAACCTCGGAGGCTGTCGAGCCCTCATGGAGAACGGTGGCAGCGGCGGCAACAGTGCAAACACCAGCGGAGGCGGCGGTGGAGGCGGAGGTTTGCTTGCGGACTTGGGAGACCTGACTTTAGCGAGGCTGCTAGAAGGAACGGGAGCCGGGCCGTCGGGCGCGGACGCAAGGCAGCACAGGACTGGGCTAACGGATGCTGTACGGGCGTCGATTGTACGGCGGAGGAGTGCATTGAAGCTGACGGCCGGTACGGCGGACGATAACCCGCTGTCCACGTCAACGTGGGGTCTGCTGGAGGGTGCCACGCGCGGCAGGTGGGCGTCGTAGCCCTTATTTGGATGCGCTCGGTAGTTCCCAATCTGGCCCAATGTCTTATATCATTATGTACTTGAAACCGGGTAAATGCTCCCTCGTTACAGCGGGGATAGCGAGAGCGTAGATGGGCGCAGTGTCGAGTCGGTGGAAGTACCCGTCGTGCCTCGATCTCCCGCCTGCATCTGCAACATGGTCAGTGTGGTCGATCCTTTTACAGCGAAGGAGAGAATAAAAAGTGATGATTGTGCAAAGGGAAAGTCTCAAACCCGCGTGCCCCAACCCCAACTCCCTACCCCGACTTCTCCTGCAACCTCAGGGTGGAGTCCAAGTCCTTTTCGGTGCGCAACACCGCCCGCATGCTCTCACAAGCCTCCCTCAAACGGACGGGAACCGGCACGTTGGGCGGCCCGCGCTCCTCCGCGGGCGCACACAGCCCCTGCGTCCTGGAGCGCTCCGCCACCTCCGCCACCCTGGATGCTTGCGGTGGCGGCAACAACGGCCTGGCGTTACTGCCCGGCAGCCCCAACACCTGTGGAGCCACGAACAGCTCTCCCAACGTGCAGAAGAAACGCCCGCCCAGCCGCCTCATGTCCTTCCTAGCGAACAAAAACATTGCTGGCACCGGTGGCGGTGGCGGGAACGGTGGGGGCATTGCCGGCGGCGGCGGCGGTGGCGGTGGCGGCGGGGGTACACTTGCAGCTACAGGATCCTCAAAGTCCATGTCCAACGGACACCACGACTGGTCGGCCTCCGCCACAGACGCACTGGTTCCCACAGACACGGGTACCGTGCCGGCTTCCTCCATCAAGGCGGCATCCACTACCGACCTAGAACTGGTGCCTTCATCATCCTCCCGAAGTGCCTTTCCAGGCGTCGGAAACGGCAGCGGCTACACCCCCCCACGGAGCGCTGCACCCTCCGGTACCGGCCTCCTGTCCTCCGCATCCTCATCCATGCTGCCGCCCTCGCTGTCCCCCTCCGTGGCGCCTGCAGCCGCAGCCATGCGCTCCTCACCCACCGCAGCAGCCAGCGCGACGGGCCCGGCTCCACGCAGACCCCCGGGTCGCCGTGTGCTGCGGCCGGCCATCGAGGATGTTGCCGAGGAAAGCGGCGCGGAGAATGGCGGCAGCCGCGGACCCACTTGCGGTCAGCTGCCGTTGCCGGCGGCCATGCTGCCTCACCTGTTGGCGCTGCGCAACAGCTCTCGAGGCGGGCTTGCTGCCGCCCTGGGGAGCAACCAAGGCCTGGGTAGTGGGTCCGATGCACCGCCGAGCTATGGTGGTTCGTTTGCGGGCTTTGGCGGCGCTGGCGGGTCGTTTGGGGGTTTTGGAGCGGCGAGTGCAAGTGTTGGCTGCGGCAGCGTCGCCGGGATCGGTGGCGGCAGCGTCGCCGGCGTTGGCGGCGGCGGCGGAACCAGCTTGCTAGAGGCCGCGGAGGATGAGGAGGATTGCTGGCATGGTACGTGTGTGTGTGTTGTGTGGAGGGGGGTTGGGGAGGTGGGGTTTCGCCGCGTGCGTGCACCGTGTTGGGCCAATGTGGCACAGTCGCTACTACTGTGGCGCTGCTGCGGTAGCTGCCACTTGAAACTGTTGCTGCCGGTGTACACCTAGGCAATGCAGTGCATGCAGGACACGTGGTTGACCAAGGCAATGTAGTGCTAGCGCCGCAGTTGTATTGCGGCCCCCTGCCGCTGCCACCATAGTTGAGCTTTTGTGTATGGGACCAGGTAACTCATGTCTGCTCGCCTCATGTTCTTGCTTTCACCCACACACAGAGGTCACGGCGTCGTGCCTGCGAGACCCGGTCAGCGGGGAGCAAACGCTGATGCTCATGCAGGTGTGTCCGGTGGGGTCTTTATGGGAGGGGGCTTCCAGGAGGGGTGTTGGTGGGAGCGGGGGCACTGGGTACGACTAGCTGTGATGTGGCTTGCTTGGGGAAGGGCCAGTGGTAACGCGTTTCGCAGCAGTAGCAGCAATGCCTGCCGTACGTATTAGGGCCGCCGAAGTGAGCCGCGAAATTGACATTGGCCCTGTGTGTGCTCATGGCGACAGTGGTGGGTAAAGTGGAAACAACTAACTGACCGTGTGATAAGGCGTATCATCATGGTTTACAACATGGGGGTGGTGCGCTTGGCTTGCATGGTCGTGCTACTGGGACCTGTTTGGCACAAGACATGACGTGGTATCGAGTGCCATGTACGGACGATACACGACCAACCCAACCGACAACCCCCCGCCAGGTCGACGTGTCGGCGCGTGTGCGAGCGGAGCGCAAGATCGCCGAGGTGCTGGAGGCGGAGCACAAGCTGCTGGAGAGCGTGTTCCCGAGGTACGATAACGATGCCGGCTGGTCTTTTGGGGCGGAGTGGGTTGGGACTTGGAGACGTTCTTTATCTCTATATCGCAATCCCATAGTAACCTCTTCCCAAAGAAAAACCCCACGCCCCGCTCCCCTTTGTTTTCCCAGGCATGTGTTGGAACTGGCTGCGGCGGGGCAGCAGACCAAGGGCGCGCGCGGCGGTCGAGGCGGTCTGGCGGCCAGCAAGTTTAGCCTGGCGGAGCTGCCGCTGGCGCAAAACTGCGCCTCCGTGGCCACCTACCACCCCATGGTGACCATCCTGTTCAGCGACATCATAGGTGGGTGGGCGCGGGTTGGGTTGGGTGGGTGTTAAGAAAACTGACCGCGGGTGTGTGATTAGAAAACTGGCCGCGAGTAGGAACGTACTGTGGGTGTGGGTGGCGGTGCCTGGGGGTGTGCAACGCACATGTGTTTATAGCATTCGACAACGGGGAAAAACGCGTGCCTACATGCACGGCTGGGTGAGTTGGCAGGTACCGTAGGTAGGTGTATGGGTGGGAACCTGGGAAGCATGGAGCCAGCGGTGAAACAGCTCTGCTGCCTGCCTAGCTGCCTACTTTGGTGTGCGAATGGGCGGGTGAGAGCTGTGTCCTTTGTTACCCTTCTCCGCTTGCTTCCACCAGCAGCACCTAACGGGTTTATCCCTCTGCCATAATCCACGCCTGTACAACTGTCCCGTGTATTTCCTGGCGCTGCTTCCCTGCTGTCTCCATTGCTACTGCTGCTGCTGCCCCGCTACCGCTGCTGCAGGCTTCACCAGCATGTGCCACGAGATCCCCGCCACCAAGGTCATGGAGTTCCTGAACAACCTCTACTCCAGGCTGGGTGAGCCGGGTGGAACAGACGCATGCGTGGGGCCCGTGTGGACTGGATGGGGCATGTGGTGCTGGCTGGCTGGCTGGGCTGGGCTGGCTGGACGACGGGTTGCACGGGTGATGCCGTGCATCTCAGGGTGGAGTGGGCGAGGACACTGGGCACTGCTGGGCTCTATGTAGGCGTCCGAGGGAGGCAGAGGGAGGCGTGTGGTGTGGTGGGCACCGCTGCATAGCTGTCTTGGTCTTGGGCGCAGGCAGCAGCTGCTTTGGTTCACGTGTCTCACATGTCTCTAAAATACAGTGTCTCGGGGGCATGTCTTTCCCACCCGCAGACACGCTCCTTGACGTCTACGGCGTGTACAAGGTACGACAGCGCAGCGCGTCTGGCACATCGTGTCCAACCCGCTATTAGCTGGCGGTACCATCTTGCCACGCGCCAAACTTGCCTTTTGCATAAGAGTTAAACGAAGACTGGTAGTAAAATACTAGAAGTCCGCGCAAAACGGTTGCATACAGCATTACCCCTTCCTGTTGCTGCGCTTTCCTAACTGCCGTATGCGTCCCTTCCTTCCTAACTTTCCATTCATGGCGTCACTGCTATGGCCCAAACAACAAACACTTGACTATGTGGATCTGGCCTCGGCTCCTGGCCTGCCTCACTGTTCGCCAGGTGGAGACCATTGGAGGTGGGCGGGGGCGGTACTTCCCGAGGCATGACGTGTATGCATGGCGGCGATCGAGTATAGCAAGCAGCTCTCACCGTATTAGCTTCCTCCTCCTCTCATGACGCCATAAGTGTTGCTTCCATGCTTCCAGCCTTGGCCCTGCTCTGGGACACATCCGCAATATGTCCTTTGCTCCCTTGGCTCCATCCAGGCCAGGCCAAGCGTTCCGCCGCACCCTTTCTTACAGCCACCCTGCGCTGCCCTGCCCTGCCCTGTCATGCATTGGCCATCCCTGGTTTCCCCCTCCCCCCGTTTGGCTATACGCAATCCTAAAATCCAACCTAATGCGGACTATGTATCCCTATTATTCCCCCCCTCCACGCAGACTGCTACATGGTTGCTGGCGGGCTGATGGCTCGTGACGCAGACGGCTTCATGACGGTTCGTGGCCAGGACAGCATGGATGAGCTGCACGCGGCCAAGGTCATGTCGTTTGCAAAGGTGAGGGGGGGAGGGCTGCGTGCTGGGGCCCTGCTGCGTGCGTCAGATGCGTGAGGGAGGGAGGGTGCGTGGAGGAGGGGGCTTGCCGTGAGGCGGCCCTGCGGGTGGGTGGCTGTGAGGCCCTTTTGCTTGCATGTGTGAGGATGGGCTGGGGCTATGTGACAGGGCTATGGAGCAAAGGTGACACGCACGTGGTCGGGGCCTAGGAGATGCCGATTTGTGCCCGTTGTGATGTATCATGGGTGATACCGGAAAGGGACATGTTAAGGGGCAATGAGCGTTGGTCCGCTCACCGGTACTCCTCACGCTGATGGCCGTACTCTTAGGCCGGTGTGTGCACACTTCCTGTGCGCCGCCCTTGAATCATGGTCACCCGGCCCCTTATCTGCCTTCACCCGACCCGCCATACTCCCCAGGCCATGCTCCGAGAGACTGCGGAGGTGCTGCTTCCCACCACCGGAGCGCCGGTGCAAATGCGAATCGGTGCGGAGGGTTGCTACCGGTACCGTCGTTGCGTGCCTGCACTGGGCATCGTAGCTGGCTTACACGCGGTGGTGGTGCTCAGGGTGGATGCACTTGGATGCCACTGCCGCATGGCTTGGGCCTGATACATTGCATCACTCTCTCCCGACATGAGGCATTTCAACTTTCTTTTAAGACGGAAGGAGCTCGGTTGGTTGTTGGTTCCCCTCGGGCACCTCCTGGGGAGCATGGGTTTGGTGGCATCGCCACAGGAGATAGAGACTAAGCTCCTGTTCATTAAACCTCCTTAGCTTCACCCTTCCACCCGCCACATCATCCCCATGCTTGCCCATGGACTAACCCATCCCCGCTGCCTTCCTGCCTGCCTGTCTGGCTCTGCCCCTCTCGACGCTGCCCAGGGTTGCACAGCGGCCCCGTCATGAGCGGCATCGTGGGCTCCAAGATGCCCCGGTTCTGCCTGTTTGGGGACACAGTGGTGGGTGGTTGCGGACGAGGGAAGGGCCAACAGACTTTACCGTTGGGGGCATTTACAGCGGGTACCCATAATGGTTTATTTAATCGCGCAATGCCTGTCATGTGCGTTTTCGATTGCATGCACACGTTTGGCATATGCCAATGAGCACACATCGCCTGTATTTTGCCCATGCACGCACACCCATGCACCTTACTTATCCCCCAGCGCCTCACTACCTGTTCCCTCCCATGTTCTCCATGCGCCGCCCTCGCCTGCCCCAGAACACCGCCAGCCGCATGGAGAGCACCTGCCCCCCCGGCTGCATCCACGTCAGCGCCGCCACACGGGAGATCTTGCAGGATGAGAGCTGGGAGCCCACGGGGGGCGTGCAGGTGGGCGCAGCTGCGTGTGTGTGCGTTGAGAAAACTGGCCGCGAGTCGGAACGTGCTGTGATTGCGGGAAGATGAAGTCTGTGTGCGGGGTGGGGTGGGGTTGCCGGGGGGTGCTTGGTTGGTAGGTCGGAACTTGGGATGCAGAAACACTGTCGCGCCCCAGGTTATGTTGGTGCTGTGTAGGGTAGGATGGGTTGTATCTGGGGTGCGTTGGGTGGTAGCACACTGGATGTTAGGCGGGCACCGAAACATGGCACCGGCTGAACAGCAGCTATAAAGCACATGCTGCATAGCTGCGCACATGCGCGCATGCATGACGCTGCAGGGCTGCAGCGCACGCCTAACCCACTCTTCTGCATTTTCCGAATCCTTTTTGTTCCCCATGCAGGTCAAGGGCAAGGGCTTGATGGAGACATTCCGCTGGATCCCACCCGACATGGATGGCGCGGGAGGCTGCGGAGGCCGCAACCGCGCCCGCCGCCTCTCCTCCGGCGCTTACATCGGGACCTCACACCCCACCCGCGACGCCTGCGACCCACAACTTCCCAGCCACCACCACCATCACCACCACCACCTTGGTAAGGGGCCTCACATCCTGTCCTTGCGAACATCTGGCACTGCTGCTGCTGCTGCTGCTGGTGGTGCAGGCGGAGCCTCATTGGTCCTGCATGCTGTTTTGCTCCTGCAGGTCAGCAACAGGGACACGCTGCTGGCGTGAAAAGAGGCGGGCATGCGCAGTTGGGTGGCGCATCTGCTGATGCCGCCACTGGAGCTAATAGCGGCGGTAATGGAGCTGCTGGTGGGGAGCCCCGGGAAGCGGGAGCAGAAGCAGGAGGCGAAGGCGGTGCTGCTGGGGAGACGGTCCAATTTGGTACAGGACGCCCGGCGGGTAGGAGCGGTGTGCGGGCGGCATCGGCGGTGGTCTCGTTTGCAACGGCGGTAGTCCCGGGTAGCGGCGGGGAGGGTGCTGACGGTGGTGGCAGGGGCCCGACTGCGGCGGAGGCAGCGGCCGCTGGGAGCGCAGCAGCAGCGGGGCTGGCACCCGGGTTTGGGCGGGGGAGCGCTGGTTTTGCGGCGGGGCCTGGTGCTGGTGCGCCCATGCGGCGGCGGCCGCATCGCAGCTGCAGCACCACTGTCCTCGCATACAAGGCGCATGGAAAGGTGTCTTAATTGTGGTACGCCGTCCTAGGTTGCAGGGGGGATGTTTGGAGGGGCATGGGGACTTGATGGAACGAAGGCCTGGTTAAGGGAGCGATGGAGGTCAACTGAGGCGCCTTTTATCATTTGGAAAGGACCGTGTGAAGGGTGCAGTGGAGAGCGAAGGACGTGGGGCACTTTTGGAAGCTGGCTGCACAAGCCGAGCGGAGTTGTTGTTCGAGTAAAGGGTATGGGGGTGCGACGTTTTGGTTGGCGTGGTAGGCAGGTTGTGGAGGGAGGGAGCGTGGTGGCGAGGGGTGAAGGCAGGAGTGCGACGGGGTTTGGATGGCTGTGGGAATGGATGGTTATGCGATGATAGCTCAACCTGGCAGGCGTCATTTCGAGACGAGATGTACGGTATACCTTGTTTAAATCCGATAACCCGGTGGCGCGTTGCAAAGGGATGTGACAAGGAAGTAGGGGATGTGCCTTGTCATGTGTGGACGGCTCAGCTGGAGTAGTTGACAACGCTCCTAAGCTGTCTGTTCTTTGAGTTCGGCAGCATTAACACCTTGACAATAACGCATGCATGGCTTGTGTAGCTAACAGTAATTGAGCAGAGCCCGGCTGTTTATTTCGGCATGTTTGTGTTGTGAGGATACGGCGCACAGATAGAGGGGCTGTCTCACAAGGGGGCTTGCTACCAGCCACGCTGTACATGTGTTGGGAGCATGGTGGCTAGGGAGCTGCATGAGTGTTGGCAGCTTTGCACTGCCGGAGCAGGATCCGGCCGCGGTTATTACGTGCTGTTGTCGCAGGCGCTGGTACCGTGTATATTGGATGGCTTTCTGTGTACCCTTGTTTCCTGCGTGCACGTTTGCGCATCAGCAGCGGGCCTTGCTTGATGTGCGATGTTGTAGCAGCAACTGGGGAGGCTCCCTTAGCTACCGGTATTAACTGCTGTACAGCAAGCCATCTTGCTTCTGAGTTAGCCTTGGTAGTTGTATTCGGTTGTGCACTCAGACTGCTACAGGCCGTGTTCACCATTGATGGTCATTGTTGATGCTGGGTTGGCACGAAAGTATCCTTTACCATGATTGCTTGCTCCTTTTCCTGACCTTATTAATCGATTTCACGTTCTCATTGAAGACATACCCCTCCCGGCAGCTATGTCCGGCTATGCGGCTGTGGGTGTCACTATGGTTGTCATTGCAGCTTTGGGTGTTGTTCTTACATGTCGGCAAGAACCAACGCGGCATCATGGAATCCAGGACAATATTGCATGGGTGCTTCATCAAATATAGTGGGGCAGGCAGGGGGCTACTTTGGCTTTTGTGGACTGGGAGGTGTCCAACGTGGACCCGGCTTCCGGCTGTGCAGGGGCCGTGGGTGGCTCAGGAGGGTTGTGGAAGTAAACCGTGCGCTTACATAGGCCGGTGTGCGGCCCGGCGTGTGTGCATTTGTATGGGTTTTCTTGACACCCGTGCACGTATGGGGAATGAGAAGCTCACAAGGCGCTTAATGTGGCATGGCGCCTTGAGTTTGAGCCGCGCATGGTGTAGGTAGTTGGGTTACAAGCTGCTGCTGCTGCTACGTTCACTGGAAGTACGGCGGTAGATAACAGCTGGCCAGACCGGGAAATCCCGTTAGTCCTCTGACAACCAAGGGGTGCGGGGCTTGGGTGTATGGATCTATTTGGTTTTGCAATCGAGAGGTCCTTACATGTTTAGTTGGTGTGAGTGGTGTCGGCCTAATTTACATTACTGCCATCGACAAACCCCGCCCCCTCATCGCTCGCGGGCATAGGGCAGCGAGGTGGCATGGCATGGGGAATGAGTGCCCTCTGCTGCCTGTGCAAGCCGTGTATGAAGGCAGGGTACTGAATCCAACTCCCCTTGGCCAGTGATGCTGTGTTATTAATTCATATGTAGCGGGATGCATGGCTAGGTCTAACAGTTGAACATTTTAACGTAGCGTACCGTAAAAGCCCGGAGCGGCAGGGATGGATGGTGAGTGTTGTGGGCTAGCCAGATGTGTGGTGCCCTGCCTTTCCCTGCCTTGGAGAACTCTGTTGGTGCTAGTTCCATGCCTACGCTGCAGGCCTCATGCATGCCACATGATGTATGGGAGTCGGGGCCCGGCTTGGCTGGGCCAGCTGGGCAGGGATCCGCACGTATCTGAGGACCGGGCTGAGTATAGTGTTGTTTAAATGTTGTTTGTGTGGTAGAGTTGGCGTTGGTGGCGTCGGGCATCTCGATCGGACATCATCATGTGCTATTGTATGGAAGGAAAACGATGGCCCGCTTAACGGGCCCACAAGATGAAGAGAAAAAAGGAGGAAAAAATGGGTTTATGTTGGTGATAATCGCGGTGGTGGTGGTGGTGATGAGGATGGGTGGTGGTGGGAATGGTATTGGGTATGAAGAGAACGAACCTGGTTCGTGTTGGCCTGCTGGAGAGTGTGGCATGGCGTGGTGACGTATGGCAGGGGCAGTGGTATGGATGGGGTCATCAGATGACTGTGAAGGCGTCATGAGGCTTCTATCTCATGTTGCCCATAGTGGGGATGCATGCTTGGCTTACTTCGGCCGCATCCCGGCCATCATCTGGTGTCGTTTTGACCTACACCCTTTCGCCCCTTCCTTGGCCTCTTGGCGGTTATTGAACTTCGGCTGATCGGCCTAGCGTGCTAACCTCAGGCAGCCCCCAGTCATCACATACTTTGTTAGTGGTGTATGCGCCCCCTTAATATCATGTGCGCCCACTTCAATGCTGTCGTAGCTATCTTGTTAGGAGCATTGCTGTGTGTGTGGCGCACACTGTTTTGCTGGGCAAGTCGTGAGTGCCCCAGTTGTACTCTTATTGTTCCTTGCAGGGATAACGAATGCCCATGAAACACGGCTGGTCAATGTCCAATGATCTGTTTACGCTAAGCCTTACGTACACGTATTGGCGTTGTCCGCAAGTCTGGGTTGGCGTCCTGATGCTGCGAGGATGAGCGAGGACAGGGCTTAGTAGGCTCATTAGCAGGCACTTGTTGTCAGAGATACGGAGATTGTAAACCCGGGAGGCTGGTAGGCTGTAAACCCGAAGGCTGTTTCCCATGTTAAGCAAGAACGTTCATACTGAGCAGGTGAGGGTGTTAACCACTGCAGTTAACAGGACAACGCTTGATCTACCCGTTTAAACAGTGTTGTATGTCTGGAGGAGGTGGTAAAGAAAGAATGTGTGTGCTTTCAATCTGCACCACTTACGAAGGCAATTCGAGGAATGTTAAGTGAACTGGTCTTTTCTGGTGGTAGGTGTTGGGCGGTCAGGTGGAAGAGGTGGGGTGATGAGAAGCTTTGGTGGTGCGTACGGTGCGGATGTGGTTCAGGGATGTATGCCCCCGTTAATTGTGATGATGTAACGTTGAAAGAGATTCCATAATACGTTTCACAATGCGTTATGTGATATAACAATGCCTGCAGGCTCGTCTGCATGGCGTGAGGAGGAAGAACCGAAGAAAGGCTAGATGGAGAAGAAGGCATGGGAAGTATACATGGTGCGCGGGGCAGGGGCCGTACTTATAGACTGTACCTCGTTATCAAACGAAGCTCATCAGGGTTGTTTGGCGGTAGGAGAGCTCGTGTGCCACTGGACGGACGGCCAAACGCGCTGTGACACGTGCACGATTGTAGTGGAGGGTGTTTGCCTTTTCACTGGCCCCTTTCTTTCATTGCTTGTACGTGTGCTTATGCAATGGATGGGTCCATACAACTGTCGGAGTGTGCTTTTAGGATTTAGCTAATTTAGGGTACCTAAGGCCACATAGGTGTACCTTGGCCGCAAGCTGCTTGAAGAGTCGCGGGCCGCTTAATCAGCTCCATGTGTCAATCTGTATGTGCAATTTACGGATGGTACCGGGATGGGTAGCCCTTGGGCTTAGTGCCGAGGAGCATCTGGCCAACCCTGGTCTGTTTGTTGATGAGGGCTGTCCCTGTAAATCCTGATAGAGAGAGTGTGTGTTTGCGTTCGTGAAAGAGAACACGGCCGAGAGTTCGGTGGAGGTGATAAGCAGATGATCATGAAAAGGGTCTTGTGTTTCACTGCTGACCTCCACACAGGGACCCGTGTTCGGGCTTAGCGAGAGGGCTACTTCGCGGTAATGTATTGCAACTATGATGCATGTCATTACAGGCGTTGGGAGTTGTGATGGGGTCCGTCAGTAAATGGGCGGAAATGCCAAGTCGCAAGGAAGTGCAAAGATAACATCGAAACGTGCTATCACAGGAGACTAGGACTCACTGAAGACTAGGACATCGACTCGCCTGCGCTTCCCCAGCGTAGCAACCGTGTTCCGTTTAATCGTTGACCTAACAAGCATTACTGGAATGGGCGCGCTAATCGAAAACTGCGCTAAATCCTTAGAATGCTATCCCTGCGGATTAAAGCATCCAGCTATGGTTGGTGTCTACACTTGGCGGATTGGATGTAAGTTCGACTTGCAAGGAAAGCCTTAACTTCACAATTACGGCCGCCTAGACAGCAAGTCAGTCTGAATCGCTTTCTCCTTCTGCGGTTCATGTCGGATAGAGCGATTCCAGACGCCCACAGCTGAGGGGCAGTTGGGCCGTTGTTCAAGGATTTTTTACTTTATATTTTAGGAAAGTTCAGTCCTTAAAATGGTGCACTCTTCTAATTGCGTTGGGCAATCTGTGCGGGACACTGCACTATGCTACGCTGTTGGATGCGGCTTAGCCGTGATTGCTACACCAGCACAAGAAGCACCCCACCATAACATTTGATGGATAGTGCGTATCGTCAAAAGCAATTGCTGTTGCACGCTAACCCACTAAAGATGGAATTCCGCCAAAAGCGACAATCCATGTCGACGGGACATGAGCATCCGTGGGGGCTTCGCCCCTCAAATGTTGCTCGCGCGGGGGCCACTTAGGAGCCGACCGTAAAGGAGTAGAGAGTAAGTAGAGATTAAAAAAAGTGCCATAGACCTTCTGCAGTGAAAAAGCAAACAAAAACGCTCCCATACAGGATCGAACTGTAGACCTTGCGGTTAACAGCCGCACGCTCTACCTACTGAGCTATAGGAGCAGCTGCTGTACATCCCTGCCTGAGCTGGGAAGGTCCAGATGATAAAAACATACCTTTAACAATATATATACGTAGACTGTCCTCGCATAATGCGATGTAAGCCCCTTAACGCTTAGTTAGCCATTTACGTTTTTCACACCCAGCTGAGGATATACGGTCACATAACGTTGGGGCAGGCCCTTTGCATCCAGTGCGTTGCCTTGCTGACCACCACCCCAACTCACTCTGCCATGACTCCCTTCCCCTCGCAACCACTCATCACGACCAACCTACCCCAACCGACTGCTTCAACTCTCTTCCTTGTTACGCTGGGCCCGCTCGTCATGCCTGGGCCCCCGGGACCGCTCCTAAGCAGCGCCCTTACCACTCCCCAATGACACCGGGCGGACGGGATACCCATGTACGGCCACCGGAGTCCCGGGCCCCCTCGCATCAGGAATCCAAAGGGAGACGCACAGCACCCCAGCAACCAAGGCTTAATGTGCAACACCCTTGGAAACCAATGCCACGCATAAGGTTTCCTGAAAAGTCCTGCGCCTGTCCCCTTGGCCATAATAACCTTTTACAGGACAGCTGGCCACGCACCCACCCCACTCATGGTTGTCCCCCATGCCGCAGGGCGCTCGACGTTCCAGGCCTACCAGGCTGCTGCTGCGGACTGTTGGATGGGGGCTGCCGAGGTTTCCTGATGGGACTGATGGGGCCTGATTGCGAAGGAAAGCTGCATAACCACGGCATATATATATGCCCGGTAGCTGCCACCTTCCTGTGCTGTTGCACCGCACGTGTGCGGCCGTGCTGCCGTGAGTGCATGCAGCACACGGCGGGTATGTATACAACCGGGACCGTATCCGCGCGGCTAGCAGACGCGCAGTGCATTCTACCAAATCTGGGGACTCCGCCAGGCTCCGCAGAAGAGCAAAGGGACACAGGCAGCAGGACTAGCTAAGGCTCCCAACCGCAACACAGCGGCGGCTTCTGTGCCAACTTGAACAACGTGTTCCATTCATTACTGCCCACCACCCAAGACATCTTCCGCTCTCTTCCGGGCACTATCACTGCTTACAGTGCCCTTCCTTTCTCACTGCGACAAGCAGATGCCTTCTTTCCCCGTCCGAGTGACGTACGAGACACATCCCTTTTAGGAAACCATTGTGACGGTCAATTCATTCACATACGACCAAAGGGCTACTTGCTTACAGTTCACCCCCTCTGCCCACGAGGGCTCCGCCTCCTTTATTGGCCCAACCTAACCTAACCTAACCTAATTGCGCGCGGCCCCTGCATCCCAACCACCACCACCGTCACCTGCCGGTACCTCGTGCTTGGCTCACGCAACACACAGTCAGCGTTCCTGATACAGCGCAGCGGGTGCCAGACGCCTCCTGTCCAAATACACCACCACCACCACCAACAACAACAACAACAACATGGGGTATATGCGCTCGTATAGCCTCCCCCCCCGGGCTCCTGTCTCCCTCCTTGCAGGGCCCCCGCCCCCCACCCATGACGCTGGTCCTTGGAAACCCGGGTTTCATGCTCGTCATGAGGGTTCTCATTCTTCGCCCCACGTTCCCCCCCTACCCCTTCCCCATCCCTCTCTCCTCACATCGCACGCCGCCTGGGCACCTCAATGTAATCCACCACACGCCAGCGAGGAACGCCCCCTCCTCCTCTGCCAGCACCCCCACCCCCACCCGCCGCAGCAGAACCCCCATTCCCGCCACCCCCACCAACGCTCATCTCCGTGTTCCCACCGCGCTTTGTTCCTTCTCCCTCCTCCCCGCTCCCTTGCGGCCTCCTCCCTCCCCTTCTCTCCTCACCCTCACCATGCCTATTCCTCCTGGCCGCCGCCGCTGCCGCCGCTGCAGTGGAGCGGTGAGCTTGCGGCGCCGGCAGCCAGCGGGAGGGGAAGAGCGCCTCGTGCGCGGGCACACCCGGCCGACCTGCACCCAGGGGGCCGCGCCAGCGGGGGTCCTCCTGCCACCTGGCAGGAGAGGGAGGGCGAGCGGGGTGGGGGCGGGAGAGAAAGGGTGCGAGGGTGAGGAGGCGCGAGGACGAGAGGGGGGGGGGGAGCGTGCATCAGAGTTGCTGCATGTGGATGAAGGTGGGGGTGAACGTGGCCGTACAGCTTGCAAAGGTTTTGCGCGGCTCCTCCTCCCTCCCCCATAGACCCCCTCCGCCTCCTCCTCCTCCCCCACATATACACACAGTACGTTTCGCCTCGCGGCCAGTTTTCTTAACACACACCTGGCGGGCACCTCATCCAGCGCGAGTGCGTACAGCCGCAGGTCGCCCGCCGCGCCTATGTGCAGCCGCACGAAGGACTTGCACGCCGCCTCGCGCAGGGAGGAGAAGGCCTCATCGTAGTGCACATGGAACCAACACACCTGGGGGGGGGGAGGGGAGGCGGAGGGGAGGGGAAGGAAGGGGAGGGGGAATGGGTTTGATGTTTGAGGTCCGGGGTAAGGTTATCCTCCCCCCTCCTCCGCTTTGGACCGAGTGTGGTTGTACATACCGGTATCCCGGTCCCCGGTGTCGTCTCCTATCCGCATAGCTTTGCCCTAACCTGTAATTTCCTATGGTTTGGGCTGGTTTTTGACCCCCTCCTCCTCTCCTCCTCCCCTCCCCCCTCCTCACCGACACGTAGAGGTAGAGTCCGAACACGAAGCCCATGGCGGGGGTGGCCAGCAGCCAGTAGTACGCCAGCATGCCCCCGTAGTACGACACAGCCTGGGCCGTCGTACAAGGTGGTTGTCAGTGTTTTCTTGTGAGCGATAGGTCGCGTTTTGACCGATAAATAATTGGTCCTAGGGCCGTGAGAAAGCGATAAGGTGTCTGCGCCCAGGGTATTCATCGCTCACACACCCCGTGCCAGACCCTCTACATGCTAGGGATTTGGGTCCAGGAGGGCACTGGGACCAGTGAGAAGCGCCTCCGCATTGGGGTTTAGGGGGCTATGGGCACGTGTGACCCCAGGAGGCCGCCTTAGCAAGAGATAAGCCCCGAAACCCCTCGGCTTGGCTGGTTGGGAAAGCGATACGGTAAGCGATTGTCCAGGCCCGATTTCTATCGCTCTAGCAGCGATGAAAAATAACCCCCTCGGGAACGAAAAAGATCGCTGGTGGTTGTGTGCCGTACAGCGATGAGTGTGGAGGGAGAAACACGAGTTGCGGATTTGGGGTGCGGGTATCCAATTCAACAAAATGCATCAAGACCTGTTTGATGGCCTGCACCCTCCTGGCATGAGCGCACACATCGGCATCCGGTGCGCCACCAAGTCTCAATTACGAAAGATGTGTGAACCGGCGAACCGGCATAACACTCCATGTGCTCCTTGCTTGTAGCGTTGTACGCAAACACGCAACGGTTTACGCAGCCGTTCAACCAACCCCCTGCCGTACAACCGTACAGTCGTACAGGTAGGGTCACATACACACTTGTACACGCACCTGCAGTCGTGAGAGAGGCTCCAGGGACCCTCCGGCGGCGCACATGGCCGTACGGGATACCGCGATGAGCTGTGCGTATTTGCACGACAGGCAGGGCGCAAGGGGAGAGAGACCCCAGCAGGGTGGTCAAATGTTGGTCAACCATTGGTGGGGTCAAACAGGGGTCAAACGGGCGTTGACCAGTAAAGCAAGAAACCATACACTGCCAGATGAGCGCAGCAGTAGGATTACTTCAGACTTTAATTCACACATAAACACACCGGTCAAGACGAAAACACACGCACACACGCATTTATGTGCCGTACCAACACGTGGTGCCGTACCTCGGGTACGTCGTACAGTCCCATGGCAGCCTGCATGTGGGGTGAGTGGGGGGGGGGGAGGGGGGGTTGGGGGGAGCATCAGCACTGCGAGCACTGAACACGCTCTAGGTAGCCCGCGGCTTCGCAGGCCAGCTACCGGTAACCAATTAACGATACGGTAAACGGTATATGATTACTCACCATACACTAGGCCGGGCCCCCCCCCACCCACCCACCTGCAGTGCTGAGGGGTAGAGCCCCAGCGTCCAGCGCTGTAGGAAGGCACGGAGGCCCTGAGGGGGTCGAGGGGAGGGGAGGGGAGGTTGATGAGTGCAGCAACGGAGTCCCATTCCTCCCAATCCCAAATCCCAACTCATGCAGTGAACGCATTCGGAGACACTATCCTAAAAACACGCAGGGGAGGGGAGGGGAGGGAGGCAGGACGGAACGTGTTAAACGTAGGGGGGCGGTAGCTGAAGCGGCCGAAAGAGGCAACATCCAAACATACGGTACACGCACACCTACCAGCATTACCACATACCGTGTTGTATCTACCTTCTACCACCTCAACCAGGGTCGCTGTCAGTCCTGGTGCTCCCAGCTGCGAAAACACCTCCCCACCTTTCTCCACATCCTCACACCCTCCCTCCCTAGTTTCTAACCCTTCCCCCAGGTTTGGTCTAATTCGGCCCCCCCCCCCAAGCCCACCATGGGGTCGGGGAAGTGCTGCTCCTCGTACGCCCGGTACCAGCGGTAGAGGCTGTGCGGGCCGTCCGCTCCCAGTCGCTCATGCCTGGGGGGTGGGATCGTGCACGGTACGGCAATGTACGACAGTGTAGGCGGTGGCAGTACGGCAGCCGGTACGACAAAACGCACACAGTTTGTACCCAATGTAGAGAAGAGAAGCCATTAAGCCCGGGTGGTGAGTGGTGAGAGAGCGCGCTGTACCACACAAAAGTGCAGGGGGGGTAAAGAGGAGGATCCTAATCCCGCCCCTCAACCCCTCCTCCAGAGGTGTTTTATTCCCCTCCCCCCCCTCCCCCCTCCCTCCCCCCCCTCCCCCCCCCCTCCTCCTCACTTGATGCACGTCTCCACCCCGAGCTCTAGCAGCAGCAGCAGTACGACAGCTAGTGACACGTGGGTGAGCGTGTGTACGGCAGCGAAACACAACTGCAGCGCGAAACCCCCCACACGCGCGGGGAGCAGCGGGCGGGGGGCGGTCACGATGACGTCGGCAGCAGAGCCGGTGTTGGTGCTGCTGTTGCTGGTGTTGGTTGTGGAGGGGCGGGAGGAGGGCGTGGGGGAGGGCGTGGGGGAGGAGATGACGCCCACGCCGCCTGGTAAGGGTTAGGCAGGGAGCGGCAGAGGCAGGAGGGGCCAAAAGGAAGTAAGAAGGCAGGTAGAAGACGAGGAGACGGCGCGTAAGGCGGCCCGGCGCCCCCCTACCCCCTCCCTACATCTTTTTCCTCCCTCCCTGCCCCTCACCTCCCCTGGCTAGCCCTAGTGCCAGTGCGAACATGAGGCCCAGCGCTGCCGCCGACACGTAGCTGCGCCCCAGGATGCCGCCCAGCGTGTCCAGGTAGGCGCCCCACAGCAGCCACAGCGCGGCAACTGCATGAGGGGGGGAGGGGAGGGGAGGGGGGGGGAGTCAAAGACCATACCAAACCATAGGAGACCACAAGTTAGGGCAAAACAAGCTGGGGAGGGGGGGGGAGGGGAGGGGGAAGGGTGGCAGGCGCACAGGGCGGTTGAAGAGGGTGCGTGAGGGGAGCGGCTGGGTGATGGTACACCGGGGAACAGCAGCACATCGTGAGGTGGGAGCCGGAGTGCGTGCAACTCCCTGACACCTCCCTGACACCCACCACCCCCAACTAACCCCTCCTCCCCTCCCACCCGCTGCTCCGCCTACTGCGTGTACCCTCCCCCTCACTCTCCCCCTCCCCCCCTCCCCAGCTTGTCGTCTGGTTTGCATCCTCATTCAACACATTGGGAACTCTCCCCCCCCCACCCGCCCCCCCCACCCGGTGTGTCCGCCTCCAGCACCTCTGCCAGCCTGCTGCAGCGGGGCAGCACCGACACCACCAGCAGGAAGTAGAACACACCGCCGATCACATCGAAACTGGGGAGGGAGGGGGGAGGGGGGTGAGGGGGAGGGGGGTGAGAGGGGTGAGGGGAGCAAGGGGAGGGATGCAAGTGAGGTGAGGCGCAGGCAGGCGGCAAGGTCCACACGGCCTTGGGGTTCACAAGGGACGGAACTTTCAGGGTACGGAGGAAAATACAGGCAGGGTAAAACACGCCGGCCCCTCACCCCTCACCCCCAACCCCTGGGCTTCCTGGGCTCCCTTCCCCCACCACCCCGCAACCCCCCTCCCCCCCCCTCACCGCGTGTTCCGCAGCCTGAACACGTGGATGTTCTTGCGCCCCAGCTGCAGCGAGGTGCGCGGCGAGGGGTAGGCGGCACGACACACGTACTCCCCCTCCGGACTGATCGGGGAGGCGAAGAAGAAGGGACCGCCACCACCGCCTCCGCCTCCTCCTCTTACACCCTCGAAGCCGCCTCCGAAACCGCCTCTCTCCCTTCCTGTAGCTACTGCCGGTGCTGCTAGTCCGGCGCTGCCGTACATGCCACCTCTGCCGTACCCGCCATAACCCCCCATGCCGTATCCCCCAGCTCCTCCAGTTGCATGGGGCACGGGCATGGAGGGTTGGTTGTACGGCGGTTGGTGGTGTCCCCCGGAGTTCACAGGTCGTGAAGAGGAGGTGGTGGCGGGGGTGGAGGTGGAGGTGGACAGCAGGGGAGGAGCAGGGGAGCGGAGGAGGCCCGGAGGGGAGGAGGGGCGCGAGGTGGGGCGTGAGGAGGAGGGTGGGGGGCCGGATGCCGCCGCCAACGCAGCTGCAGATGCCGAGCCCATGCCGGGGGGCCCTATGGTGTTGCCGGGGGGCCCTCCGTACATGGCTGCGCCTGGGGCGTATATCCTGGGGTGGCGGGCGGGGGGTGTCAGGGGCGGGGGGCGGAGAGAGGGAGGAGAGAGGGAGGAGAGAGGGAGAGGAAGGGAACACATAAGGCGGGGGCGGGCGTTGGATTATGATGCGTTCGGTGAAAGGTTAGAAAGGGGTCGATTTTCTACCGGTCGGCCACAGGGAGAGCTGCTTCTCCGCCTCCCTCGCCCCGTACCTCGCCTCCCAGCAACCCCCCCTACCACCCTAGCCCCGCCTCACTCCCCTCTACAAACACCCGCCCCCCCCCCCCACCTGCAAGTGCACGGCAGCGACACCGCCGCATACAGCCCCGCAGTCGCATCCGCCGCCGGGTCATGCGGCGCCGCGAACCTCGCCCCCGCAAACACATGCGTGGGGTGCAGGAAGGCGCCCCCGCCACCGCTCACCACCAGGTGCTCCGGGTCGTGTGGGTGGCGCGACCAGCAGGCGCGAGCGCGGCAGCCCTGGCACAGCGCGGTACCGCTGTCGCTACCGCCTGCGGCGGCGGCGGAAGCGCCCCCACCGCCACGGGTGAGGGAGATATTTAACGGCGGTAGACGAGGTAAGGGTGCTGTCGCCGCCGCAGCAGCAGCGGAGGCGGCGGCGGGGGATTGCAGCGGCACGGGTGCACTGAGGCTGTGGGCGTGTGGGCCGAGGAGGGCTCGGTCGTCGGCGCAGCCCAGGCCGACGGGAGGCAGGTGGCGGTAGCGGTCGGCGGCGGCGGCGGAGGCCAGGGGACCGCTGGCGGCGGCGGCGGTGACGGATCGGCCGCGGTGTCCCATGCAGTTGCCGTACGGGAAAACATCATCCTCTTCGTCACTGCTGCCTCCGCAGATGCTGCCGCTGCGACGACCGGTAGGAGAGCTTCCCAAAGTGATGCCGGCTGCTGCAGCGGCAGCGACAGCAGCTGCCGCAGCAGCCCCGGTTCCGCTGCCGTCAGCGCTGCTGCCGCGACCTGCGACGCCAAGGGCGGTTGGAGGCAGGCCGCAGGGCACCGGCAGCGGAGCCGTTGCAGCAGCCACCGTCGGCAGCGGAGGCGACGGCGATGGGGTTGGGGACGCTGCCGAACGAACACTCGATCCGCCGGCGCCGCCGGTGGGGGGTGTAGGTACAGCTGTTGGGGCGGCGGTGGCGGCGGCGCCGGGGGCGGTGTGTGCGGAGGCGTCCGAGGCGCCGCTGCAGCGAGCGAAGCGGCCGGCTGAGGTACCGACATGTTGGGTGTTGCGCATGCAGGCACACATGTGAAGTGGGATCCACACAAGGAGGAGGTAAAGAGGTTTCAAAACAGGTTGAGGGAGGGGCTCAGGATGGAAGCAAAGGCCCACAGCCGAGCACAGCCGGCCCCTGCGGCTTCAGGGCCTGCAGAACCAGTGTGAGAATGACAGCAGGAAGACCCCTCTACCCCCACTCCCTCCTTACCCTCCTCCGCCTCCTGCTGCCCCGCTGCCGCTGCCGCCCCCTGCTGCTGCTGCCTCCAGCTGTGCCGCATGTAGAAGTGCAGGTCTCCCGCCAGGTGCAGCCGCGCGCGCCCCCGCAGGTGGCCCCGCACCAGCTGCCGCAGGTTGGCCCCCGAGCGGTTCTGCCAGAACCACTCCAGCAGCCACAGCGGCTCGTGGGTGACCAGGATGACCTGGGGGGGAGGGAAGGGGTGGAGGGGGGGTGTACGGCAGCCCGGGGGGAGGGTGAGAGTTTGGAAGGCGATTATAACCTACGGTGGGAGCCTGGGAGGGGTACGTAGCACACCAAGCCCGGTTCGAGTACGACAACAAGTGCGGCGTAGGGGGGAACAACAAAGGGGGTGGGACAACCCGGGAGGTGAAGAAGGAAACCTTAAGTGGGTTGGGGGTAAGGGAGAGGTGGAGAGGAGAAACACCATGACAAGTTCCCACCATGGTGACGAAGGGGGTGGTGGTACGGTAGTCCTGATGGAGAACACACAAGTTCTTTCGGTTCCTTCCTCTTTACCCCTCCCCACCACCTAGTCCACCAGCCCCCCCCCCCCACCTGGTCGTCCGGCTGCATGCGCTGCTCCACCACATTGGCGAAGTAGCGGTACTGCTGCATGTCGATGTCCTGCGGCGGGAGGCGGGGAGGGAGGGGGGGTAAAAATAAGGAAAACTGACGAACTGAAAGACGGGGCTTCTCCATGGGTTGCTAAATGAACCCGGTCCATCCCATCCCACCCGGATTAGTCAAGCCAAAACAACAAAGAGGGAGGGGGGGGAGGGCGGGTTGGGTTGGGTTGGCACGAGGGGAGGGATGGAGGAAAGTAGAAAAATCGTGTAGCAACGAGTCCCAATCCCATATCCCGACTCATGCAGTGAGCGCATTCGGAGACACTATCCTAGAACGCTAGCAGCACACTACTGCGGTACCCGGCACCGCCGCACCCGACTCACCCCCACGAGCGCCAGGTCGAAGCCAAACAGCCACCACCCGGCGGGCAGCCGCAACGCAAAGTAGCTCTTCTCCTGCAGGGGGGTGGGCGGGTTGGGTTGGGTTGGGTTGGCAAGGCGGTGTCGGGGGTATCAAGGGGTATCAAGAGGAAGCTGGCGAGCGGTATAAAGTGTGGAGGAAGGCGGCGGGAGAGTGGCGAGGGCAGCGGATCCCTCAGCGCAGCGCCGCATGCGGGGGGTGGGCAGCAGGGACACCCCTGCTCAACAGCACCCCCAACGTCAGCACACCCCTCCCTCCCACCTGCGGCAGCAGCCAGCCGCCCAGCCAGCCCTTGTGCTGTATCTCCCGCGTGAAGGTCTGCACGCGGAGGGGTGGCGGGGGGGGGGGGAAACGGCAGGGGCGGAGCTAGCTGGTATGCCACAGGGCTGCACTGCCGTATGTGGTACAAGGAGCGGCGGGTTACTACCCCGACCCCATGCTCATCCTCCTCCTCTTTGCCCGCGGCCCGGTTTTCTTCTCTTACCCCGCCCCCCTGCACCCCCCGCCCTCACCTCCAGCCCGTCAATCCAGTCATGGTTGCCGGGTATTGCGAATGCGGTGGGTCCGCCGTACCTCCGCAGTGCCGCCGCGGAGGCGGTGCGGGAGGAGCGGGGGGAGAGGCCGCGCAGGTCCGCAGCGCCCTGCAGCACCGCCTCCTGCACTCCCCAGGCTGGCAGCAGGCGGGCAGGGGGGGGAGGAGGGGAGGGGGTGAGGGAGGGAGGGGAGTGTCCCGGCTGGGCAGGAGAGGAGGATGTGGGTGGAGGCACCGTTCCGTAGCCGGCGGGTTCTTCCCCTCATACGTCATACCCCCCAACGGGTCTTCCCATGGTCACGGTCAGTGTTTCCTTGCGGCTCAGTTATCCTAATCCCACCCCCCACCCCCGCCCCCTGTTCCCTACCAGGCGGCAGGTCGGGTTTGTGCACCACCAGCCTGCCCGGGTGGAAGTGCGGCGGAGGGGGCAGCGCGGCTTGGAAGGGACTGGGGAGGGGGGAGGGTAGTGGGCGGTGGGGGGGCGGGCAAGAGGGGGGGAGGGAGGGCGCATGGGAGCCTCTTGAAGAAATGGAGGGGCGACAGGAGGTACGGGGTTTCGCGTTACGTACCCCTAAACACAACAGCTGGGAGGGGAAGCCGCTGTGAAGCACCGCCCTCCCTAAACCTACACGTCACAGTGCCACACACGGAGGCACCCCCAGCCTACGGTATCCTATACCCCCTACCCACCCCTCACACCTCCTCACGCACTGTCCGCCACCCCGCCATCCTTCTACACCCCGCCATTGCTACCAAGGCACCCCCTCGTACGGCACCCCTCCCTCCCGCTTCCCCCCTCCCTCACCCGAACAGCCTCTGGTGGTAGGTGTCCCGGGAGGGGTTTGGGTAGGCCAGGTCGCCCCCCAGCACCAGCACGTCACCCCGGGGGAGGTAGAGGGTGGAGGGGGCGGTGTCGGAGGACTGCAGGGCAGGAGAGGGCAGGAGGAGGGAGGGGGAGGGTAAGAAGCCGGATGAAGACAAGAGGGGGGAGGGGGATGAGGGAAGAAAGTACGGCTCAACTCTGTACATGGTGCGGCAGGGGCCAGCGGGTGCACGTGCGAGCCGCAGCAGTCCGCGTCGCTGTCAGCGCAGCTTTGCAGTAAGATAGAGGTGGAACCCCAATCTCACCTTGGTAGCTGCTGCCGCCGCCGACTGCCCTTTGCCAGCTGCCGTCGCCGCCGCTTGCTGCGCCGGTTGCTGCTGCTGCTGCTGTGTTGCCAACGTATCTTGCTGCTGCTGCTGGTCCCCAGCCCTTGCCGCCCCCGCTCCCAGCCCCAGCCCCGCCATGTCCTCCGGCAGTGCCACGTGCAGGGCGGGGGCGGCCAGGGCGGAGGCCACCGCGTAGGTGGGGTTGCCGCCGTCGCCGGTGTCAGCGATGAAGTCCAGCCAGAGCTGGGAGGGGGGAGGCAATGGGAGCGGGCAGGGCGGGGAAGGGAGGGAGGGGCCGGGGAAGAGAGGGAGGGGACGAGGAAGAGGTGGGCGAGTGGCAAGCTTTAGTGGAGGAGTTGGGGAGCTGGTGGACTGGGCCCCGCATGTGCAGGACTGGACAATGTTGGCGGGGAAGTGCAGGGCGGGGATCGGGGAGGTGAGGGTGGCCTACTAACCGGTAATCCTCATTGATCGAATACCGGTACGGCCTGTGCACGGTGACAACCCGACAGCCGGACCAAGACTTTGATGTCACGCATGCAAGCATGCATGCAAGGTGCTTGCCGAACCCACAGAGCCCCTGCCCCGTCGTACCTCCTTCCTGTCGTCCAAGTGTTCGTACGTGAAGCCGTCGCCCTCACTGGGGGTGTCGTTGAAGGAGTCGGCCATGGAGGCAGCGGTGGCGGCCTGGAGGTGGGGGTCAAAGACCATACCAAACCATAGGAGACCACAAGTTAGGGCAAAGCAATGGGGGTAACGCCTGGTATTGGTTAGATGCCGGTACTGCCTTTTACCCCCTCCGCAGCCCCCAACTCTTGTGATTTGGGGGTAAGTTAGCCCCCCCCCCCCAACCGCCCCCCCCCCCTCACCTGCATGGTTCGCATGTCGAAGCGCCCCAGGAAGAGCTTCAGCGAGACCATCAGGTCAAACAGCGTCTTGAACAGGTCTGGGGGGGAGGGGGGGCAGAGGATGGGGCAGCAGGAGGGGGGGAGACAGGGGGGGACAGGAGAGCGGGGAGGAGTAGGGAGCAGGTAGCAGCGGGAGAGGAGGGTGTGCTGAGGGGTGGGGAAGGGTGGGTGCGCGGAGGGAGCCGGGGAGGTTACGGAATCATGCGGGATCTGGTTAGGGAAGTGACTCCAAGAAGGGTAGCACAGGGAGGGCACGGACAGCGGTAACAGGGAGAAGGAGAGGTGTGGGTTGACAGTGGAGAGGACAGCTCTTGTGAAACAGCAGTCACACCGGTCTAACCCTACACCCTAACCACCCCCCCCTCCATCCGGCTGTTCACCAAGTGCACAGCCCCACCTGCGCTCGTCCCAGACCACCAGGGAACCTTTCGACGGGGGCAGCAGGGGCGGCGGTTCAGGGGGGGCAGGGGCACAGGGGGGGGGGGTACAAAGTCAGCAATTGCTCTACTACAGAAAAACACGTCACAAGCTGCCATCACAAGCTGCCCTCATTGCAATCCTTACACCAGGATTACCAGAGGTTCAGGAGTACTTCGTGGACTCTACTGCTAGAGTTCGTAACTTTCGTCGACTCTACTGCTGATTTTCGTTGACTCTAGTGCTTGGGTTTCGATTTATCATCAATCTGCTTACCATGTCCAGGAAATCAGGCTGGGCCACCCCAACCTGCGCAGCGGGTGGAGGTGGTGCAAGCAGCGAAGCAGGCGACCCTCCCGCCGCAGCCATTGCCGTCGGAGTCGCGAACCCGTCAGTGGAAACCGGAGGCAACGGAAACCCCCACCCCAACTCGCGCCGCCCCACAACGCCGCCGGCGCCGCAATCGCTCATGCCGTACCCAGACAAGCCGTACGGCGGAGTAATTCCGCCGCCGCCGCCACTGGGGTTGTTGTACCCGTACCCGCTGCCCCCGCCGTATCCGTAACCATAGCCACTGCCGTACATTGGCCAGCCGCCAGGCGGCGACGACGGAGGCGACGCGCCTGCCGCCGCCGCCTGGTCTAATTCCGCCGCGGTTAGCAGTGCGGAGTAGGATGACCCACGGGTCAGTGCTCTCGCCATGTGTGGCGGCATGCCGGTAGCCTCTGCTAGCTCGGCTGCTAGGTGGTTGGGCTCTAGGGCAGCCATTCCCTCCCGAACCTGCAGCAAAGCGAACGAGGCAAACATGGCAAGGGTGAGGAAGGGCACAAAGAAAGAGGAAGGACGCAAAGGGTGAGGATCACAAGGAGGTAATAACCGAAGAGAGCAGGCGGGTCCAACCCCCACCCACTCCCCCACCCTCACCCACCTTCCCCAGCAGTGCTGGCAGGTAGGGGTGCGAGTGCCGCAGGTAGTCCGCCGCCGCGCGCTTCAGTCGCCCCGTGCTTGCCGCCAGCCGCGTGAGGGAGTTGAAGGAGCGCCGGCCCGTGGAGGCAGCCAGGCCGCCCAGCCCCACTGCACCCGCGCCCGCCAGGCGGGTGAGGGAGTTGAAGGAGCGGCGGGTGACGGAGGAGGCGAGGGAGACGGCGCTGGCGGCGGAGGGGCGCGTGGGCGCACCGCCGGAGCCGGATTTGCTGATGGGGCGCTTGACCTGGTGGGATGGTGGGCAGGGGAGGGGAGGAGAGGGAGGGGAAAAATTATATAAGTGAAACAACGAATCCCAATCCCATATCCCGACTCATGCAGGGAGGGGAGGGAAGGCGACATACACTTGGGTTACTACTGGGTGTTCGCTGTTCGGCAGCTTCCCACCGGCTGCTAGGTGCCGGTAACAAATGCAACGAAGCACCGTAACAAGGCGTTGTTGGTTTGTTCCCAAAAGAGGCCGTGCGACGCACCTCCAAAATCCGGAAGCGACCACCCTTGCGTACACCGCCGTCGCTACTACTGCCACCGCCGCCGCCGCCGCCACCAACCGCACCATCCCCCGCTATCGCCCCCATGCTTCCTCCGCCGCCGCCGCCGCTGCCACCACCGGTACCTGACGTCCTCTTGCCGCTCGACATCCGCCGATACGACGGAATACGACGGAACAAGGAGGAATACGAACCGCCGCCGCTGCTGCCGCTGCTGGTCAGCCCGCGAAAGACACCGCTGCCGCCACCACCGCTGTCTCCGGCTGCGGGGAAGTGGTGGCTGCGGTCCGGGGCCGCAGCAGCCAGCATGCTGCCATCCAGCATGCCCGGCTGGCCCACTAGGATGTTGGCTGGCGGCAGAGCGTGGCAAGGGTAGCCATGCAGCAGAGGGGTAAACCACCGCAGGAGGAAGTTGAGGGTTATGTGCGGCGGGTGTTAGTAGCACCGTGGGACGAAAGAGGGAAAGCAAGAGGGACGACCTAACAGCTAGGCTGAGAACACGGCTGAGAACGCGGTAAAGTGCAGCAGCTATCAGCGATTGATAACTGTATCCACTTCTTCACAAGGCACAGGACCGAGGTGCAGGTGGCAGGTGGTGCAAGGGACCGCCAGGGGCCAGGGGCAGGGGAGCAGCACATCTGCTCCCACGTGCCCATGTAGTGCCCTGCCCCGCGCCGCCCTCGCCCCCCCTCTCCCCCATCTCCCTTCGCCACTTGTTCCCTGCCCTCACCCACCTATGTACAGCACCACCAGGGTGATCCACATGGTGAACACCGGGGACAGCACCTCGCCAGCCGGCACCTCCCGCAACCCCCCGCCAGCGCCGGGGGGGATGCTGCTGGTGCTGCTATTACTGCTGCTGGTGCTGCTGTTGAGCTGGCTGGTGGTGCCATTGGCAGCGAGGGCTGCGGTGGTGGTGCTGTCGGCGGAAGAGCCCTCGCCTGCGGGTGATTAGGGCAGGCGCAGGGGCAAGGGCGGACGTGGGGTGGGGTTGGGGAGGCGGGTGTGCCAGCCAAATGCGCCCCTCCTCACACGAACCAGGGACGAAACGGGTCTTCTACCAAACCCCACCCTGTTCAATTACTAACCCCACAGTTTCTTCGCCGGGGGTACCCCGCACCCTCAAACGTGTCACCTAGTGTCGCCACCATCACTCAACGCATGGTGGTCATTCTTCTCCCCCCCCCCGCCGCTCTGGCCCCCGCTCCTACCATACAGCATCCAGCTCGCGAAGCGCGGGTACGCGGTGGTTGTGATGGGCGGCAGCCACCGCGCACACAGCGCGGACTTGAGTGCGGGCGTGTCGGGGCGTAACTGCAGCGCGCCGTTGCCGCAGAAGGAGTGGTAGGTGCTGGGGAAGGGGGGGCGGAGGGGGGGGAGGATGAGAGGTAAGAGAGAGGTGCGAACGGCTTCGAAGGGTTCGTTGTGCGAGACCAATCTTGTCCTGGGGTGTGTGCCCGCTCTTCTTCCCTACTCCCTGCCCCCTTGCCTCCCCTATCGCTAGCCACCGAACCCCCCACATATCTGAGTGCCACCCCAACGGCCGCTAGGCTGGGCTAGAGGGCTGCTGAGCCCCTGCCACGTCCCTCCTCCCCCCCCAACTCCCCTTTCCTCGTCCTCCCGCCCCCGCCCCATGTCGCCCCTCCCGCCCCCGACCCCCCTCCCCCCGCACACCTGCACGCCGCCGCAATAATCATGCTGTTGAGCAGCAGCAGCGCCCACAGCTCCCGCAGCCCCCCGCCGCCTCCGCTGCCGCCAGCAGCACCTCCGGCAGCACCGCCTCCACCCCCATCGCCCCCACCACCCACCACCCCAGCTCCTCCTCCCACCACCCCACCCCCACCCGCTCCTGCCACACCTGCCGCACGGCCCGCAGCGCCCAAGCCGCCTCCTACGCTGCTGCTGCTGCCATGCATGGCGCCACCACCCAGGCGGCCCCTGCTGCCGTGCGGCTGCAGCCCCACCCTGCTGCCGCCACCACCGCCACCACCGCCGCCGCCTGCTGCTGCTGCTGCAGTGACCGCGGCTGCTGCGATGCTTGCGCTGGTTGCCAGCAGGTGGGTGCGGCGAGGCAGCATACCCGCGTACACAGCAGCGGTGTGCAGGCCCGACAGGGCGACCAGGGCCTGGGGTGATGGGGGGGAGGTTGGTTGGCGGGTGGGTGATGGAGTGGCCTGCTGCTCTCACGTCTGCTCTTCTTACTCCTCCTCCCGTCACAGCACACCACACTCCTCCCAGCTGCCCTCCTAGCATCGCACAGCCCCCTGACAAAACCCCCATACCCCAGCGCTAGGCCAAGGACAATACAGGACCGCAGGACCAGACATCAGCCTGGACCCCAAACTACCTCCAATGTGTCGATATCGGTATGTTTCATCGCTAGGCAAGGCCCGGAACACAGGACAGGGCACAGCAGCACCCGCACCCCCTGCCCCTCTCCCATGTGGCATCCCCCGCATGCACACTGCCTGCCTCACCGCCAGGCTGGACAGGAAGGCCACAATGAGCATGCTCACGTCCGCCCGCACGTCCAGCCCCAGCTGCTCCAGGGAGGGCAGGTGGTAGAACACGGCGGAGCACAGCCACACAATGTAGAGCGTGGAGAAGTTGATGTAGCCCCTGAGGTCGGGCAGCCAGGGCAGCAGCAGCGGTAGGGTGAGTGGGTGGGTGAAACAGGGGGTGGGGTGGAGTGAAGTGAAACGGAGGAGGGAGGACGACTGTGGAGGCGAGTGCGGGGTTCGGTGCAGCCGTACGGTTTGGCAATGGGCATTGTTTGGCAAGCGGCGATGTGCATGTAGACGATAGCAGTGGCGTACGTAGAAAGGCAGCAACGACGCCATGAAGAATGAGGGGTGACGCAACCCCTGATGTGGGGCTTACAGGAGGCAAGAGGCAATGATCAAGCAGAGTTGCGAATGTACGGCAGGGACGCAGCATGACGTGGCATGATGTGGGTCGTACCTTTTCGCGGACCACAGGCCCACCCGGATGAAGGGGCGGGCGTACAGGTAGGCGAAGATGCAGAGGACGCCTGCGGGGGAGTGCAGGGTGATGGTACGATAGTTTGGGGCGTGGGTGCACAGTGGAGGATGTAGGAGCGCGATTTCGAGGGGACCAGGGGTTGAGGACGTGAGGCTTGAGGCGTGGGTGTGGGTATGAAAGCGAGATGAACTGCCTGGGATTTGGGAGTTGCGTAGGTTGGAATAGGGCGGTGTGTGGTAGAGCAGTACCCGTTGCTTTGCCCACGGGTAATTGTAAATAGTGGCTTGCTGGGTAACAGCGACTTTGTGTTGATTGATGCAGGTTTGTCTCGAAGCCAAGGGATCCCCGGCTCTCGAGCAATGGCCGCTTCCAGCTAGCGGTAATTGCAACCATCCCCACGTCAGCCCTATTGGTCCACGTCAGCGCCTACCATACAGTAATAGCCACTTGCGGTTAAGCTGGTTACGCGCTATCAATCCCTGCAAAATGGGGCAAGGGCGGATTGTTGGCAAGAGGTGTTGGGTTGGGCGCTGTTCGTTGTAATGCGGAACCCTTGTCACCAGAGACTGTGACGCTCTCCCACCGCACCTGGGCGCTGTCGGTGAATAGGCAAGCAACAGCAAAGCCTCCAACCAAATAGGAGCCCAGGTGCGTGTGTTCAAATTGAGCTTGGGTCATCGTCTTCGGCCCAGCCGAGGGCAAGCCACCCCCAAAACAGACGCAAGCCGTGTTACAGCGTAGGGCTCCGATAGCAAGTAGACTTATAACGTATGTCGGCAGTCAACCGCGTACGCTTGCTTTGCAAGCATTCTCAGCCCAGACATATCAACGCTAAGAAGGTTTACAAATGTTTAATAATCTGTGCAGAAGTAGAAACGTAATATAAAAGACACAAAGTATAGGATACTGTCGCTTGTAAGCAGGAATATCCCCGGATACTGTCAGGTACCCAAAGCTCCGCCCTTTTTAGGTAGCACTCCACCCAGTACGTTATTTGCGTTAATGGCATACGTAAGCCGGCCGTTAAGCGGTCATCGAGCACTTCGCTGGGAAGGGTAGCAACTTCCGTACGACGACTGTCCGCCTTCGCATTCTACCTACCTGTCAATCCCAACTTCTCTGGATTTAGTGTTTCCTCAGCAAGCCCTCAATTATGATCGCTTGCATCTGCAGATACTATCATGGAAGCTGACGTAGGCTAACAAAGGTACCGTCACCTGTCAACACCGTGCAAGATACTGGAGGTAACTGCATCCCATGCTGATGCACACAGCCGCGCAACCAAATGCATTACAGCCTCTGCTGAAGGCCATGCTTTTATCGACGCACGGAGGGGCTTCGCTGCCCGTAAAGACGCCTGCCGTCCATACCAGCGCAGTATGGCGATCAGACATCCACAAGACAGGCACCGAACGCGGTGTATGGCTTGATAATTAGTATAAACAGCATTCAGTCGTTCAGTGTCTAGCAGAGCCTGAACATGACTCACACGTCAAACGCGGCATGCATAGCACGGGACGTTCGGTAGAACCTGCTGTAACATCGTAATATGCCTTTTCGATGGCAAATAATGAGAGCACATTCAGCTTCCTGAGAACGGCGGACCCAATTACCGGTACCCGTACGAGGTTGGGCCCGTTATCGCTTCACGTGTTCGGCTCCGGAAGAAACGGTAGAGCTATGCCAGCAATGTACATTAGGCCTATTGGAGTTTCTCCCTCTAAGGAAAACTGAAGCCTACGTAGGCGAGCATGGCTGTCGTCATTGCAAGCGTTTCTAGGGACAGCGAGTTGGCTGCACTGCGGCTGCAGGAAGAGGAATTACAAGCACAGCAAGACGCCTTATTTGCAGAGCAGCTGGCATTTTCATTCGCTTTAGAGGAGGACGCTGCCGACTTTCAGCAGACCAGCGATGCAGCCATCCAGGTGCAAAAGCAGCGTGATGAGCTCAGAACTAAGATGGATGAGCTTCTTGCATTATCATTACAGGAAATTCTTTCAGAGCAGGAGAAGTTGGCTTGCGACGGGCAGCGCGTTGCGGATGCAGAGGACCAACTGCAGCGATGGAACGCCCGGATAGCCCAACATGACAGAGCGTTTGCGCGCAAGCTGGCTAGCACAGACGAGGACACATGGGAAGAGATTGGCGACGCCCTTGAGGAACCGCTAGACCTGCCCCCGCCACCCCATTTGCCGACCTGCCAAGATGATGATGCAGCAGTCCATTGCTCTGGAAGCGCTGCTGCTGTTCCGCAGCCATCGCGCAGTGGATTCACCTGCACATCGCAACCTACCGCATACCAAGAATCTCAATCACAATACTCCAGGAGCCGCGGGCCTTCGTTCCCATCGCAGCCATGCGCGTCCATCCCACAAGCCCCACAAGCGACCGCACCCGGGAGCAAAGCCAGCTCAGTCAACGCTTCTGCGCCTTCGTCATTACCAATACCCTCAACCTCAGCGAGCTCTGGAAAGCAAGCCGTTGCCGCTCCCAAAGCCGCAACAGCCACCTGCCAGAGCTGCTACGATGATGTTCCGCTGCAAGACCTCATGTGCGCGGGTTCCGACGGCGCCTCCTCGAGCACCGCCGCTGCCGGCTGCGGCCACTACTTCTGCACTCCCTGCATGACCGAGTACGTGCGCGGTGCGGTGAAGGAGCGCAAGTACCCCGTGCCCTGCCCCATGGCAGCCGCGGGAGGAGGCGGAGGGGCGGCAGCAAGAGGCGGTGGGGGTGCGGGGGGACGAGGAGGAGGAGGCGGCGGCACGGGCTGCAGTGCCAAGTTGTCCCGGGAGGAGGTGTTGGGCCTGCTGGAGGCGTTTCCCGCGGAGCAGCAGGTGCGGGGGGTGGTCCCTTGGTGGTCCGGTATTCTGGTGGAGTGGCCCGAGGAGTCACAGTCACCAGGCCCCCTGTCCTTGCTTCCAGCTCTTCCGTCCTCTGAGGTGCCCTTTCGGAACCCTCACCCTTTCGCTGGACGCCGCACCTTGAAGTGCCCCCTCCTTATCGTCGTCGTCCCCGCCTACCCTCCTCCCTGCCCGCCTCCCTCCCTGTCCGCATGCCTCCCTGCATGTCCCTTCCCTCCCTCTTACCGCCTGCCTCCCTCCCTGTCCGCCTCAGACCTTCCGCCAGCTGGAGGCGCTCTCCGCGCTGGACCCCGACCTCCTCATCTACTGCCCACACAAGGACTGCTCCAGCCCGCTGCTGCGACCCACGGGTCACGACGACGAATGGGACGCGGAATGGCTGCCACCGGACGAGCCGATGCAGTGCCCGGCGTGCAAGCGGGCGCTGTGCCCGCGCTGCCTCATACCGGGATGGCACAAGGTGAGGGTCTGAGGGAGGTGGCGGTTCTTTACTCATCGACTTCTGCTGTGTTCCCTAATCCCTAAACTGATGCCTCGTACGCCACGTGTAGGGTTGGGTTCATCACCCGTGTTCCCTTCTAGGGAGTCATTGTAAATTCCATTCATGCTCCACGTTTCCCGCCGCATTCATGCTCCACGTTTCCCGCCGCATCCCACAGGGCTACACCTGTGCTCAATTCCAGCAGCTGCCGCCCCACCAGCGGTCCGCTGAGGACGCTGCCGCGCTGCTCTTTTCCGCAAAGCAGCAGTGGAAGCAATGCCCCAGCTGCAAGCAAATGGTGGAGCGCAGCGAGGGCTGCAACCACATGAGGTGCCGCTGCGGCTGCGACTTCTGCTACGCATGCGGCAAGGCGTATCGCGACAGCAGCCCCACGGCGGATAACCAGCACGGCACCCCGGCATGTGGCTGCTCGCTGTTCGATGTGCCGGAGGAGCGGCCGCGGCCGGTGCGTGGCGGCCGCAAGGTGAGTCGCACTCGGTGCCGCAACTCGGCGTCCATCCACGATTGCCCGAATGGCGTGGACCGCTGCTGGTTCTGGCATGCTGAGGACGATGAGGTGGCGTAGGCGGGATTGAGTGGGGTGGGGGTGGGTGGGGCTGCTGGTTGGCTCTACTGCTGGCTGTAGGAAGCTGAGGGGCTGAGCAGTGGGCTTTGATTGCGTGGTAGGGGTTGCTTGCACTGAGTCCTGCGATGCACGCAACATGCATGCATGCACTGCGGCATGCAAACCCGTTTGCACGAGCCACTGCCCCGCGCTAGCAGCTGGGTTCAGGGGGTAGTGTGTTTGCCTGCCGGGCAGAGTGTTTGAGTTGCTAAGCGGGATGTGTACAGTATGAATGCTTGGTACCCTACTGCTTAGTGCACCAAGGCTATTGGTGTGTATGCGTGTCTGGAAGAGTGTTGGCAGGATGGTAGGGACGATAGGCGGCCGTTCCTGTATTTCGCTTCCGGCTTCAAAGTATTCGGATTGGACCTTGCGGGGGGTTGCCTTTGTTGCTTTACTCGTTGCATGGCTCAAGAGCGGAGTCTGTATGCCCTGCGGTCGCGGACCCTGCGGCATAATTGGACTAATGAAGCTAGGCTTGTGAAAGTCGGCTTCGATTTCTATTGCATTCTGGCTGTATAGTACAAAGTGGTGGGTTGGCGCTTGGGGTTAGGTGCGCAATAGGTGGCATCCTACGCTGTTCGCGCAATCGCCAACGCGGGCAGTTGAACCGCCGGCGTTAGGTAACGCTTCCAATTACCAAGCGCTGATGTACTACAGAGTTTTCCTGGCTTGCCCAGTCAACATAGAACCTTTAAGTTGGCGAGAGTAGCGTGTCGTAGTTGCTTTCAGGTTTCCCATTGGTTATCTTTGGTTGCTTGCACGCACGCACCGACTGCCGGCGGTTAGTTCCGGCCTGCGTAGTGAGCTGTCCTCTCGTATCCTTGTTTAACATATCTGTAAAGGATAGTGGCGTACATTCCTTACAAGTTTTGGTGAAGTTGTGGCTCCATAACTTCCCTATCGCGAATGGATGGGCTCAGACTGCATTGCTCTACGCAACAAGGAACAACCTTTGTCAGGCGAGTCAAGGATTGCGAGGATGAGCTTTCGAGCACTTATCTCAAAATGTTTCGGCCTGACGGGCTGTGCCGCTTGCTCGTGTATGTAATGTATGCTTGCATCGTCCTCCATTGATGGACTGGTGCTTCCCGCTGCAACTACAGTCCCACGCGCACATTCCGCTCATCAACACCCTTCCGAACGCTGCTTCAAATCTCGGCACCTGTTACACGGCGCCTTACCGTCGCAGCTTGCGCATTGCCGGTGGCTCGCAAGCGTGGGAGGCCCAGAGTCACCAGGAGCCCGGATAGCCAACCCGACCTAGCGGCTCCCTGTACCAGCGCTACTAGCACAGGGCCGGATTCTGTAGTAGACGGACGCAGCGAGCCAGCGCCAGCCGCAGCAGATGCCGGCACAGACCTTAAGGTCGCGTCTGAAGTACACGACCCTAACGGACTCCAACCCAGCAGTCATGCCAGCGTGCCGCCCTCTGCCCTAGCTGCTGTAGCTGCTGCTGCTGCTGCAGCTCCACGCCAGCGCCGGCGTTCCTCTGCTGCCAAGGGAGCGGCCCAAGGTGGCAGCGCGGCTCGGTCCCGCCGGAAAGCCGCCTCCCCAACATCCTCACCCCCTGGAGCCACACCCACCACCGCTGGTGCTGCTGGTGGTGCTGCTGCTGCCACCTCTGCAACCGCTGGTGACAACGCGGCCAGCAGCGACAACCCGCACCCTGCTAGCGGCGGCGCTAGCAGCAGCAGCAGCAGCAGTAGCAACAACAGCCCCCGGGACCAAGCTGAGGCAGCATCGCAACCCATCAGCAGCCCGCTGCCGAGCAGTCCAGATGCAGCGGCTTCCACATGTGCTCCTGGTACCGGTAGCAAACAGCGCGGCCGACGTGGCCGGCCACGGCTCGCCGCCGGCACCCAAGCAACCACCACCACCAGCGCTGCCACCTGCGCGAACGGGGATGGAGCGCCGCTGGCAGAGGCAGTAGATGCGGGTGCGGATGCTGTGAAGGAGGCTGCGGATGCAAATCCAGCTGCGGATGCTGCAAAGGAGGCTGCGGATGCTGCGAAGGCAGCCGCCTTTGCGGAGGCGAAGGCGGCTGCTGACCTGCAGGAGGTGATCGCTTTTTTGAGAAAGGAGGTAGGAGCAGCCTGGCTTGGCCCTAGACGGTTGGGCTGTGCCACGCTAAGTGGGGCAAGAACAGAGTTTGGGGGCCGTTGTACCATGGAAACGCAAGTACCATTCTTAGGGACCATATAGAGCGGTACCTTTATTGGGTTCACAACTCGATCGCACCGCTGCTCGACTGCTCCCCCACTTGGCAGGAGGGAGGCATCTCTTCTCCCTCTTCCCGTACACCGCTTCCTGCATACCTGCAATGCCACACCTAGCCCCCAGTTCTCCCTCCCTCTTCTTCACCGCCCCATTTTTAACCAGTTGGCAGACCGCCGGCGTAAAAAAAAGAACCACTGGGAACCCAGCAAGGCGCAACAACAAATGCTGGCCGGCTTGGACCCACGGGTCGCCAGGGAGCGCATGCAGCAACTCCAACAGTGTCTGCCGCAGCGCTTGCTGGTACAGCTGCTGCGCGCCAGGCCCGAATTGCTAGCGGCGCAGGGGCCGTGTGAGGCGGTGTCTCGGTTGATTGCCTTGGGCGACGCACTCGGCGTATCGGTGGTGGAGGCGATGGAGTTTGCGATTGCAAAGCCGGCGCTGCTTGACAAAGACCCGACAGACTTGGGGAGGCGGGTTTGCGAGCTGGTGCAGGTGGCAACAGAGCGCCTGCATGCCAAAGAGTGAGACTCTACAGTCGATTGCTCTTTTTAGGAAGAGGAGGAGGAGGAGGCGGGGGTTCGCGCACACGCCTCGCGGCCGCCCTTAGTCTCTTTTCCCAGCTAGCTGCACGCATGAAAGGTCGCAGGCCTCCTCACGGATACCCTCTCTACCTGCATCCCCTCAAACGTCAAACCACCCTTCCCTTTTCTTTCTGCGGACAACAGCCCTTGCATACCGAGGTCGGGCTGGCTCGCATAGGTGACGCTTCACCACGCGGTTAGTTAGTTGCCTTCTTTTTTTCACTCACTTATGGTCTGACACTTCTTTGACCCCCTTGACCTTCCCCCCCCAGACCCCGCGCCCTCATCCTTGCAGTCCTCAAAGCCCGACCCGCGCTCGTCAACCAGCCAACAGTGGGCGAGATGGTGGAGATCATGTCGATCATTGCGGAGCACCGGAAGGCCTGCCACAAAGCCAAGCTCCTGCACGGCATGCGCTATCCCGTGAATATGGCTGCGGAGTCGATGGCGGCCTGGCTGCAGGCGGGGCTGGCGCAGGCCCTGCGGCTCAAGTACATGGACCACCTGCGGTAAATTGCAACTCTGGTGGCTGTATAAATCCACACACACATGCGGCCAGTTACTTTAACACACACATATATATAGCGATAGGAATACATGCACCGTATACATTCATACATACCTATACCGCCGGCAGCCCATTGGGCATGGCTAGGATCCTATAAGCTCCCATCCTGCCTCCTGCTGTTTCCTACTTGAACGGCGCTGCTGCGGGTCCAATGGACACTACCTGTTTGGCCTCGGGTTCCGCTTCCTGTACAATCCCATGCGTGCGCCTCCCAAATGCGCTTCCTGTGGGTGCCCCCCATGCTCTCCCCACCCCGCCCTCTGTTTTGCCTGTACTCGCGGTTCACATGCGAACCTATTCCAATTGCTTGCTCTTGTTTCAGCTCAACTACACACGGTCAGTAAGTTGTTTCCTCTTTACCCCGCCCTCTCTGCCTGCAAACGCCTGTAGGTTGACCGCGCCGGGTGCCATCGACGATGCCAAGAAGAAGGCGCACCACCCCATGTTCGCCCTGCAACAGGACCCCATCCTGTGGCGCGGTTGCATCAGTGAACACTTTCCGGAGTTCGACATGTGGTTGGAGGGACAGCTCGCGGAGTGGCAGGCACGCAGCAGCGGCAGCGGCAGCAGCAGTGGGCAGCTTCAGTAGCGGCAATGCCGGTTGTGGGTGGGTAAGGCAGCAGGTGGATGGTAGGGGCGGCGTGTGACGGTCTGTTAGATGTGCGGGCGCCCGGCATGCGGCCTGGTGCATCCGCCCTTTGCATGGGGTGTTAGGAGGTGCCCTTGGGACCCGTGGGATGGGAAGGGAAAAGAAGAATCACAAGTTGTTGAATGAGGCTAGCACGACACGCCAACGAGCTCCTGGTGACGTGAACCAGGGAGGGAGGGAGGGAGGGAGGGAGGGAGGGAAGATGTCAGATGCCGTGGGAACAGTTGCAGCTGATAGGCGGCGGTACGGTTTGGTTGCCTGCTAGATGCTGCAGTGGAAGTTGGGTCGGTAGGTAGAGCCGCTAGCCCATGGTTGGAAGAGTGTGACGGACTGCAAGTTGGGATTGCAGCATGCCGGGCCGGGGGCCATCTTTATGGGACAAGGGACCCGTCGGTGGGTAAAGATAAGGTGGTCTCCAGGAACGATGTCAGACAGCCCTAGGGGCTTTGCCAGGATGTGCGAGGCCACCGGTACTGCTGGGTGTAGTACGCTCGTGGTGCGGGGGTTCTGTGAGTGTGTTCCTCGTCTAGGGTTGTAGCAGGTCGCCGGGTTGAGTGATGAAACACAATGTTCCCCTTGGCGCCAAGCATCAGACTCTGGGAGCCCCAAGGAGAAACCGGTCAGATGGCTTGCAAAAGCACAAGAAATGTGTGGTGGTTTTTTTACTAACACGCAGCTGAAGACAATACCATCATTCCTAAGCCTTCGTGCCCGTGCGCTGACTTGATGATGGCTGTACCACGTGAGAGATAGGCAGTCGAACCGTCGAAAGACGGACAAACGAATTAACTTCCGAACGTAAGCACGTCACAGACCTCTGCAACCTCTGCGTCTGACAGCTGCTGAGTATGTCGTCAAGGGTGTTTTGCTTGCGCCGGATAGGACGAATTGCAGCCTAAATAGTAGAACGTCCTTATATAAAAACTATCTAGCGTGACACTGTGCGGCTTTCTTTCTGCGATGGCGGGACTGGGGCTGCAACGCTTCGCGGCACTAGGAACAACCGTTGCCAGGCAAGCTACGAAATGGATTCTCTTATAGAATTTATTTAAAGAGCATATCGCATAGCGGGATTTGTGAATACTTGCGTAAAGTTGGTCCCGTTCGGTTGATCCTTGATTGCTGCAAATGCAGTCGCACGCACCCGCTCTTCTCGACGACACCTTTTCCAAAGCTCTTACGGTGTTCAGCACGTGCGTCACGGCGCTTTGTGGTCGCAGCTTGTACACCGCCTGTTAAACGCAAGCGCGGCAGGCCTCGGCTGAATCCGGAGCCCAGCCCAGCAGACCCACCTACCACCATAGCAGCGGATTACGACACTGCAAGCTGTGGAGAGCCAGCGGACAACGGCACGGGCCTTGAGCCTGCGCTTGGCAACGACCCAATTGAACAAAGTGTCAGCACTGCCAGCACGGCGGAGCCCTCTCCAGCTCCGCCTGCCCGCCAGCGGCGGCGTTCCTCTGCTTCCACATCCAAACAGGGAGCCGCACCGCGGCCCCGCCGGAGAGCCGCCTCCACAAGAGCGCAGGCGGAGAAGGAGGAGGAGGGAGGTGTTGTTGCTGGTAATAAAGAGGAGGAGGATGGGTACGGAGAAGGGGGCGTGTTGTCGGAGATGGAGGCAGAGGCGGGGGCGTCAGGCCAAGTCAGCAGCAGCAGCAGCAATGCCGAGATGGGTGCTGTGGAAAGGGCTGCCGATGCCAAAGCGGCTGCCGATGCTGTGAAGGAGGCTGCGGATGCTTTGAAGGCGGCTGCGGCTGCGGAGGCGAAGGCGGCTGCTGATGCGAAGGCGGCTGCTGACCTGCAGGAGGTGATCGCAATGATTGACGTTCAGGTGGGAGCAGCGGCCTTCAGAAAAAGCAGGGGGGGTCTGTTAGGAGGGGCGTAGCTGCAAGGATAGCTTGCGCAGAGGTGGCCACTGCGCTGGCGGGTGGGACGGGAAGGACCCGCTGCGTGCCGGGGAGGGGAGAGTAAGGAGCTCGGGGGTACAGACACGCGGAAACGCTGATACGCAGGATAGCCGTGTAGGGCTCTGCTCCAGCCGGCGAGCTCGGGATACCAGCACTTTCCTGGGGGGTACGTGAGGATGGCACATTCCGCATCTCGGTCCTTCCCCACCCGACCCCGCTTTGCCTTACTGCACAAGCAAACAACCGGCAAGAGGCCACTCCTCATCCCCCTTTTCTCTTCCTTCCCCGTGGCCCACGAACTGTGTCCGTCCCTTCTCCATGCGCCCCAGTCGATACCCCTCACACGCCGATCTACGATAGGCCGCTGGAAGCCCTCCCCCTCCCAGCAGCGGCTGCTGCTGGGTCTAGACCCCCGGGTCGCCGCGCAACGTTCACATGACCTGCGCCTCTTCCTTCCGCACCACCTGGCGCGGAAACTGATGCGGGACAGGCCGGGCGACATGCTGGGCCAGCCGTTTGACGTGTTGTTGGCTCGGCTGCTTGCTTTGGGAGATGTGCTGGGCACATCGGTGCAGGGGGTGATGGACATGGCTACTGCGGCTCCGGCGCTGCTGGGCAGGAATCCGGAGGCGGTGGGGAAGGTGGTTTCGGAGCTGGTGGCAGCAGCTGAGCAGGAGCTGCGAGCCAAGGAGTGAGTCTGCGGGTGATGAGGGGCGGCGGGGGGGGGTGCAATACTTGGTAGTCACTTGGGAGGAAAGGGGCCTGCAGCCTAAGCCACCAACTGCTTGGAAACTTGCACAGTTCGCATGTGCATGTCTGAAGTCGTCGTCAAACCTGTAATACACGAAAGCACTCGTACACGCGTATCTAAGTATCGACGCATGCCAACTTGCCAACCCCGGCCTCTCCCCATCTAAGCCCTTTCTCCACCCCACCGCCTTACCTCCTCCTCCCCTTCCCGCCCCAGGCCCCGGGCCCTCATCCTTGCAGTTCTCAAACGCCAACCCAAGCTCCTCGGCCGGCCAGTGGGCGAGCTGCGGGAGATCATGTCACTCCTGGCGGAGCACCGGGAGGCCTCCCAGCAGGCCAAGCTGCTGTACGACAAGGGATATGACGTGGACCTGGCTGCGGGGCCGCTGGGGGCCTGGCTGCATGCGGGGCTGGCTAGGGCGCTCTTCCTCAAGTACATGCACATGTGGGTAGTGCTGCTTGTTTAGGGTGGGGTAATGCTGTGCCCGAGCGGGGGGAAAGGGCAGAGCCGCCTTGGTCATCGCTTTTCCGGATCTGGCCGGGCATCCCTGCATGGTTGCTCTTCACCATGGTGGTGGTGGGGGTGTTTTCTTCCTTGCTCAGGTGGTTGGAGTCGGGTACTTGGATGCTCTTGGGCCCGTCCAGCTGACAGAGCTGTGCCCCCTGTCCTTACATGTGCCCTGCGCGCCATACCCGGTTTCCTCCAGGAATTCTCCGCTGGGGGCCGACGATCTGTTCCCCTACGTCACGCCGTACAACGCGCGAGCCCTTCGAGCAGATCCCATTATGGCATACGTCCCTGCCATAATCTACTCGCCCTTCCACAAATGGCTGGATCAGGTTTGGTTGGAGCGGGACATGCTCAGTAGCAGCGGCAACAGCAGCGGCGGCAGCAAGGCTAGGCGCAGCAAGAAGGCCTAGATCATGCGCTTCTGCAAGTCCTGTTCATGGCTAAGAATTAGGGGTGGCGGAAGGCTCAGGAACCCAGGCGGCCGGGGTGAAGGGGGATAGGGGGCCATAGCTGGCCTGACTGCACTGCCTCGGGGGTTGCTGCATGTGGGTTGGTGCATGTGGATCTTGGCGTACGGTTGCCCTGGTGCTGCCTACGCGATGTGGTGGGAGGAGGGTTGGCGTTGAGCTGTTGGCGTTGTGTTGGCAGGTTGTTTGTTGTTCAGGTTGTCCGTTGCCTCCCTTCGGCATCGTGGGTCTGAGGCAAGCCGGTGTGAGGGAACAGTGTCGCTGCCCGTTAGTTTGTCATGAGGTGTATCACATGTTCATGAAGTGGTCATGAGAGTGCGTATGTTGAGAGTTGTCTGGTTTGGCCGCATGTACCGGTATCATGGTTGCCTATCTAGGTGTGCATCATATGCATGCATGTAGGGTGCATTGGCTTGTGTTCGTCGTATAGCCCCCCAGGTCCTTAGTGGACGGCCTCGCAACTGATCGTAGCCTTGCGAACGCCAACTGGCATTCATTACACACGTCATAGGTCATCGCGTAATCAACTGGGTTAGTCACTGTCTCTGCAGGAGGACCGGCCAACGGTTAGTGACCGTTGTGTTAACCCAACTGAGCCGCGTATCGGTAATAATACTGAGCTTCGTGTATGTTGTTGTTATAGGGTGTGATGCTAATCGGAAAGACCCATGGTTCACTGAGGGTAACACGATCCCTAGGAACAATGCAGGTGGCGGACCTTTCCTCAGTTCTTGGTGGCATCGGTCTGGGTTACCGTACAGGTTTGCACAGCTGGTACAGCAGCAGGTGAAACGATGCGGGGGGTAGCTAGTGTTCGATGACCCAGAGCATCTCTATGCTGTACTGTCTGCTTTTCCTTGCACCTTGCTTGACTGAGCTCCCGTGGGCTATTCGAATCAAGGGTTGATAAACCTGATGTAAATACTCTAGGAATTATACAGCGTTTCCCAACTGGAAGCAGTGTGAACGGATGTATGATTGGGTCAAGCCGACAACGGACCGATGGGTATGCGCTTATCCGTCCGTGCCCTGCGTCATGTGGTTAGCTTGCACCCCTACAAGTGGTGTGTCCAAAGACCTCAGATGTGTAGTGGCCTATGTTGTAATACGGGGCACGGTTGATAGGCGCTGGTATGTTAATGTTCAAGATCATGCTTTAGCAGTTGCCGTGTATGAGCCATGGTAGGCTTGCACCGCTGGCACATATGCACGGCCTGCCTCTGTGTCCGTTTAGTCTTGTGGACAGCGGAAGCTCATCGGATTTGTAAGGCTAATCGCTTCTTCAATACTTCAACCATTCATCAGTGCAAGCTTTGAGCTCCTGGTCGCCAGTCTTGCCCTCAGCTTGTGGAGACCCATCTCCACTTCTCCATCATCGACCCCGGGGTCACGCGTCGACATTCATGTAAAAACTTCACAATAGGCAAATCGAGCAAAATCCGCAAAGCATTTGCCAGAAGCATTACGAAGAGGTAGAATGGAAGGAATTACAGCGCTTTCTTAGGCATGCAGCCTTGGCGGGAGGCATTCGAGCGGCAACCGCTAGAGCTTGCAAATAATAGGTTTCTGTATGATCTTTTATTATGTCTAGAAACAGGGGAAAGCGGTTATCGCTGAGGACGTGGCGTCCGACAGCCCATCGGTTTTAAATCACCGCATGGAATTAGCGCACTTGTGAATACAGTACTTGTTTCAGGCGTCTACCCTTTTTATCCGGGACTCCTTCTTGTACATACTTCACGCATAATAAGTAGAAGCTGCGAGTAACCATACGTATGAGCCGATAGGAACATTGAATCTGAAGGGCGTCGCCTAAGCCCTCGCTACTCGTGATCAATATGGCTGACGATAAAGACGTTCGTGAATTAGCAGAAGCAAAGAAACTACCTTTGCCCGACCGCATCGCTCACACAAATTGGAAGGCGAGGGTGGCAGCATATGAGGATATCACCGCAGCTTGCAGGGAAATATATGACGATGCGGATCCTCGCCTGTCGGACTTTGGTGCGTCGCGGCGCCTTGGATTTTTGCGGGTATTTCGAACCGTCGCAAAAGGCCATGTCTTCTTGTTTTGCCGCAGCACCGCTATTCCCCAAGGCCGTCTCAGAGTCCAACGCAGCAGCGGTTGACAAGGCCCTTGACGCACTGTCAGCTTTCTTGGCTAAGGCATCGGAGCAGCACGCCAGCAGGTGCCTGATTCTTGCTATGGGGATGCTTCCAGGCTAGCAACAGCCTGACCCGATGTTGGGGAGGAAGTGCGTCTGGCCTCTTCTCAGTATTCTTGTGCAAGCGGCCTTTGCTAAGGGTTTAGATGGTGTTCGTGTCTGGGTATTGGCACATGTCTGGGATGTGGGTACATAGTATAGGGAGCAAACCCCTTTCCCGACTTTGTTGCATGCAGGATATGCGAGCGCACATGTGCGAATATGGTCGCCAAGTGTTTCAGCGCCAGGACCAGCACCCTCACTCGATCGCTCGAATGCTTGCTGTTGTTTGTGGAGTTGGAGCAGGCGGATAAAGTGACGGTGGGTACCACATGCCTCCGCATGGACACTGCTTAGGCAAATAGCAGGGTTCTCTAGCGGGGAGCAGCGGAGATGGCTAGCCATAGACGCAGTAAAGGGCAGTCACAAGCTTCCCATATGGGTTTTGTTCGCCGGCACCCTCACCGTTGTGTACTCCTGTTGTGTTCTCCTTGTGCAGGAAGCGCTGGTGTCGGGGCTGACCAACAAGAACCCGAAGGTGGTGGTGGCCTCCCTTGAGTTCCTCTACAACAGCATCAAGTAAGGAACTGGGAAATACAGCAGCATGTTTCTTTGAGGTCTGAGTCATTGGACCTGCGTGGAGTTGTTTCCACTGCTTTGGTTTGCGACCACCGAACGATTAAGAAACTAACGCCACCCTTCACCGTACAATTTGCATTGTAGCCACTTCGGCCACCGCGTCGTGGCGCCGCAGCCCATCATCAAGGCGCTACCGGCACTGTTCGAGTCCAAGGATGGCAAGGCGCGCGAGAAGGTCAAGGAGATTGTGGTAAGCAAGCTATACCACCTTTCGGCGGCAACACCTCGTGCTCCTTAGTTGCTACCCCTTTCTGGTATTGCTGGCACGTGGACACCTGCGTTAATGGCCTTTTCATGCACATCTTATGCATATTTCAGGTGGAGCTGTCGAGGTGGATGGGTCCGGACGCGGTGCGAACCTTGCTGTTTGACAAGATGCGCGACGCCATGCGCGACGACATCAACCGCGCAATGGAGGCCGTTGAGCCCGCGCGGCAGCCGGCACGCCTCACACGCAAGCAGCAGGCAAAGGCAGCGGACGCCCGGGACTGTGGCCCCGCCGCTGTCGGCGATGTGGCGAGTGGCGGCGCCGCGGCCATGGAAGTAGATGAGGCACCCCCAGAGGTAGATACAGCATGAAACAGAGTGAAACGACAAGCAGAAGGGTATAGTAGCTCCAGCTTGAAGGTCGTGGTGTGTGAGCTGCTTGGGTATGCCAGTAGCAATCATATGGCATGAACGGTGTCAATAGCATTTGGGCGCCCTACTGCCACATGTCCGTTGCCGCTGTCGACCTGGGACTCGTCTGTTATCGTTGCCCTGGCGTCCGCTGCATCCTAAGGGCTCTCTCATTGCTGCACACTATAGGCTGATCCATACGAGTACGCCGAGCCCAAGAAGGTTCTGCCCGAGCTTAAGACGGACAACTTCTGGGAGAAGCTGGAGTCGAAGAAGTGGACGGACCGCCGTGACGCTGTATTGCTGCTGAAAGGGCTCGCGGATACGCCCCGCATTGCCACAGGCGACTACGGTGACTTGATGCGGGAGCTGCGTAAGGTGGGATAAGGTACCCGACGGAAGGCTTACGCAAAGCATCGACGGTCTCAGATTACGCCATCCTGTTACCATTACTAATCCTGGTACGGCGACCTGGCTTCTTGATTGCGCTAGTTGACATCTTCCTCCCGCACCCTCTTCCTATACCCCAGCTGATTAGCAAGGACAGCAACGTTGTCGTGGTGGCGGAGTCTATCAACTGCTGCGGCCTGCTAGCACGGGGACTGCGGAAGGAGTTTGCGTCATGGGCGCGCAACCTGGCGAGCTTGCTGTTTGAAAAGCTCAAGGCAAGTTACGCCCCCCAACATGACATCAACTTGAGCACCTCTGGCCTCTGAGTTGCCTCAAAGTACGCCCCTAAGTACCGCCCAATGCCTACACCCTGCATGGTGCATGACCCACTTTGGGGTTCGCCACATAATCTATGGATGGAACACCACTAGCAATCATTGTATGCGAGCAGCCCGCATGCCGCGAAAACAGGTCAGCAAATAGCTCATGTATCCTCCGAACCTGCTTGTGTCGTTGTGCAGGAGAAGAATACCAACGTGGGCAACGCCGTCAACCAGTCCCTCACGTACATGCACAAGTACTGCTGGCACCTGATGGAAGTGCAGGAGGAGCTCACGGGTACGGGGGTTGACCGCTGAATAAGGTTTAACACTCATGCAGTTGCGTGACGATTACGGTTGCAAGATGCGGGCCTCATGAAAGAGGCTTGCCCATGGGTTCAAGCGTTTCCTTCCTGCCATTTCTTGTTTGGTGCAGAGGCCATGGGCCACGCTAACCCCAAGGTCAAGGAGGATACCTACAAGTGGCTGACCGGCGCCGTGTCCCAAGTAAGGAAAAGCTCAACCTAGCTCATTGTGCGTGGGACGAAGTGCGTGCTCCTTGGGCGCTCAAGTTAGTTGGAATCTAACTCGGTTACTATAACTTGCACCTGCGCAGGAGCCCAAGGCTAACCTGAAGCAGCTGGTGCCCCCGCTGATGGGCGCCGCCGCCAAGGGCGCGGAGGAGGCCACTCCGGCGTTGCGTGAGGCCGCCATGGCTTTTATGGCCGCCTTCACCGTGCGGGTAAGCAGGGAGATTGGAGCTGGAGGCTTGGGTACATTCCAGCATACACGACCGCCGCTCTATCTTTGTCCCTACGGCCCCGGCATATAACAGACGTCTGCAACATATATGCCCTTATGTGCAGTTCGGCAATACGGCCATCTTGGAGAAATTCGGCGCTAAGCTTGACGATGCCCGCAAGAAGAAGATCCAGGTATGAGTGCGGGGTGTACGATCACTCTGCGCCTGTACGGGGTTGAATTGGGTGCGTGTGCAGCATGGCCCCAACACCGAACGTCCAGATCTTTGTTTGAGCTTGCGTTCTTCCGTGTGCAGGACATGGTGGCGGAGGCCATGGGCGGTGGTGGTGGCGCCGCAGGTGGCGCCCCCGCAGCTTCAGCAGCCCCCGCTGCTTCCGCGGCCTCCGCAGCAGGGCCAGCCGCTGCTCAGGTATCCTAAGCGGCTCTTCCTTGGCGTTTACACTGCTGTTTATCACTGCGGTGCCCGAACATTGTTATATATTTTAGCACCCTACACAAGCTGATTGTGCTTAACATGGGATTTGCAGGCTGCGCGCGCGCCCGCACTCAACGTCTCCCTAAAGTCAAGGCTTGGTACGACAGCTCGCCCTGCTGCCGCCGCCAAGCCGCCGGCTTCCGGGGCCGCGCCCTCTGCGGGAGCTGCCGGCGGAGGTGCTGGGGCTGGGCCAGCGGGAGCCAAGAAGGCCGCGGGTGCGTGTAGCATGGCACCTTCCAATGTGTGCCCTATACCATGCTGCGGCTTCTTAACCTGGCGGCTTGCATGCGCAGGCGGCGGTGACGGTGACGATGAGGCCAGCCTTTCTGCTGGATCCCTGTCCAAGGACCAAGCCGTTGCCTTCCTGACCGAGATGGCTGGAGAGGCAACGGTAAAGGGCCTGCAGGACGACCAGTGGAAGGTAGGGTTGTGGCCCTGGGAGGTCACCGAAAGGGGGGTCACCAGCTGAGCAGTCGAGGTTCGAAACCTCTGTCTCGCAGTCTTTGTTGCTTCGGCGATGTTCTGACGCTTTTCCTCTTGGCTCCACCTCTGCGCAGGCGCGACTCGACGCAATGGAGCGCGTTGTTTCGCTCGCTGGAGAGCCGGGTGTGGCGGCGAGCAGCGGAAGTTCCATTGTGCAGGCGCTCTCTCACCTCCCTGGTTGGGGTGAGAAGAACTTCCAGGTTAGATGCTGTGACGTAGCAAAACGTCCCCTTGCTTGACGCTCTTCGTAACACAACCTGGACTAAGCAACCTGCCCGTATCCCGGCTTCAGGTCATGGCCAAGGTGTTTGAGGGGTTGCGGGTCGTGGCGGCGAACTGTCCGACCTTCAGCAAGCGGGACGGCTTTGCATGCATCGTGGGCGTGATCGACAAGGTAAGGTGATCGTGTGAACGGTTGCCTAACAATCTGGTCCGGCACCTCACCCAAGGCCCTTCCTTGAGCACTGTGTGCTTTGTCGTCTGTTTCCGTTCAGGTTGCCGACATTAAGCTCAAGCAGCCAAGCTTCGACACGCTTACGAGCGTGGCGGAGGCGGTGGGGCCGCAGTTCGTCATGACGCAGCTGCACAAGAAGGCCGCGGCGCACAAGAACCCGAAGGTGCAGAGCGAGGCAATCAACTGGATTACGCGCGCTATCACCGAGTTCGGCATAGCTGGCACGGACGTGCGCGCCCTCCTGGAGTGGGCGAAGGAGGACCTGGCCTCCGCCAACGCCGGCGTCCGCAACGCAGCCATCCAGCTCCTGGGCTTGATGTTCCGGTAAGGATGCTACGTGTACTTCATTGGGGCACACGGCTGGTTCGCCTGCGTACGGCTCATGAGCCACTAGCGGGGTTTAGTCGTAGCATCTCTGCTAAAACGGCTACAATGTTGCCATCTGAACTTCGGAGGGTTAACATGGGTTCTGGTTTGTTCCCGTTCGCCCCCAGCTTTCTTGGGCCCCCGCTGGGCGACATGATCCGCGCTGACGTCAAGCCAGCGCTCATGACCGCCATCGACGGCGAGTTCGCCAAAAACAAGGACCAGCCTAAGCCTGAGCCGACACGGTTCTCGCGCGCTGCCGCGCCTGCCCGTGGAGGCGCTGGTGGTGGCAAGGGCGGCGCCAAGGGTGGCGCTGGTTCAAGCGGATCCGCGGGCGGCGGTGGTGGCGGTGGTGGTGGCGGGTTCGACGCTGATGACCTGCTGCCGCGTACGGACATCAGCAACCAGATTACCAGCGAGCTGGTTGCGCAGCTGGGAAACACTAACTGGAAGGAGCGCAAGGCTGGCTTGGACGCCATTGAGACCATCCTCACGCAGGCCGGCAACCGCATCCAGCCGCAGGTCGGTACTGGGGACTGTCGTGCTTGCGCTGACTGACCCATGGGTCATTTGGGACAAGGAGAGCTGCCATGCCCTTTTGCACACCTATTCGGGTCTTGAACATTGGTCGCACTACCACCAACCGATTCCATAGTGACTGAACTCCATGAATCGCCATCTTGCAGACCGGCGACCTGCTTCCGGAGCTGAAAAAGCGCATGGCGGATTCGAACAAGAACCTCACAACTCAGGCTCTTATCGTGCTGGGCCGCATCGCCAAGGCCATGGGCCGTGCCATTGACCGGCAAGCACGTCCGCTGCTGCCCCCGGCCGTTAAGAACATTACGGACCAGAAGCAGACGGTGAGTAATGTTTCGCAACCATCGCCGCTGGCACCGCATGAATCCGACCCCCTTCCCTCGGGTTTAGGGCGTCCCTTTAACACTGCCCAACACTCTTGAAACTAAACCTTTCCATTGCCATGTGCTTCATAGGTTCGATCGGCGGTCACGGAGATGCTCGATGCCTGGGTCGGTGTCGCAGGCGCGAGCAGTGTCATGCCGGACGTCATGGAGGTAAGCACGATTGTTTTGCTGGGTGATACCGTCTTTACAACACCCTTATGCGCTCCTTACCCATACTGGCAAGCTCGTATAGCCAGCATTCCAGCATTGCGTGCTTACACCTGACACCCACCAAACTTGCCATAGTTCTACACGAGCAGCAAAATCACAGCGGACGGCAAGGCGGAGACACTCAAGTGGCTGGCGGCGCTAGTACCTGGAGGAAAGCTTGGGGACTGCGTCCCGGATGCGCTGCGTGCCGCGGCGATTGGTGGCGCAGACAAGGCGGCGGAGGTCCGTGACGCGGCAACCAAGCTTATGGCCGCGCTTCTCGAGGTACGGCCACCCCACGCTGGACTTGCAGTCGGATCCCGCATGCAACGTGTTCTTGATGATCATACTGGTGTATGCTATGTTCCATGGCGCAGGCGGTTGGCGCTGCGGAGCTCGGGGCGGCGGCACAGAGCCTCGATGGTCCGTCGCGCAAGGCCGCCCTGGAAGCCATTAGCAAAGCATCGGGCGCACCGGTGCCTGTCGCAGCGGCGCCGGCGGCCGCAGCTGCGTCCACCACCACCAAGGCAGCTGCATCATCGGCGGTAGGTACTTGAACTGGTTTGGACTGACGTTAAATACGTTTGCGGACCCTGCCACTCTTACGTGTAGCCCTGTGCAACACTGTAAGGCCTCGGTTGTTTGCAAAGCTTACCAACATCCGATTGGGACCCTCGCCTAGGTGCGGAGCTCTACGGTCTCCCTGCGGTCCTCCACGTCGAGTCTGCCCAAGTCGGGCTCTGTCGGCGGTGCCGCAACTCGCGCGTCCATGGCTGCTAAGCCGGGCGCGCTGAACAGGTGAGTCTTCTCCCTTGTACTGGCTGTGGTCTTTGTCGTCAGCCACATGTCATTACATGGGGTTTCTGGTCTGAATGCGGTAGCCGCATCATAGTGATCTTCATCTTCGTGTGGCCTTGACAGGTCCACAGCGGGAGGTATCGGAGCAGCAGCTGCTGCGGATGCCGGGCCCCTGATCGCTCCTGACAACCGCAAGGAGGAGCGAGCCAAGAAGGTACGCTGATGTGAAAGGGTCGCTGGTGTTGCATGATGTCTTTGCATGTTACCGCCGCGTACCATGTCCTGCGATAGACGCCTCTACCTTGAGCCTCAAAGTGAATTTACTTTGCTATTGCTTGCAGGGTCGTTTCCGGCCTGCCAAGCTGCAGATCATGCCGGATGAGGCGCAGACGCTCGAGGCGGAATTCAGCCCCATGCTGAACCCGGCCCTCCGCGCGGCCGCCTTCAGCAAGGTAAGGGCTGAGCTAGGCATTGTGCACGTATCCTCAAATAGTTGCAGTGCACTCAAGAAGCTCACTGCAAACACCTACAGGACTTCAAGAAGCACTGCGAGGCGGCGGACATGATCACAAAGGCGTTGCCTGGCCTGTACGACGAGGTCATTGCGGTTGTCGATCTGCTCTTCAGGTGACTGGTGTCTTACTGCATGTGCAGTGCCTTCAGGCAGGCTGTATTTGTGTGGTGTGACCCATGCTTGCCCTACAGCTGACCTTGATGCGTGTGTGCCGTCGCCTTTCTTCTGTTAGGTGGGCAACGCTGCGCATCCTCGAGTCAAACACGGCCTCTCTGGTCAAGGTGCTGGACCTCCTCAAGGCCCTGATGGACCTTATGGTTGAGCGCAACTACCGGTGAGTAACAACAGATTTTCTTTGCATTATCCGAAAGTCGTTTAGGCAACAATGGGGGCGGGTGAGTGATTATGGTCAAATCGGTTGCGAGGATTACGGTGTTACCCCACCATGCGTAGGATCTCGGAGTACGAGTCGAAGTTAATCCTGCCGGCGCTGGTGGAGAAGTCAGGCCACAACCAGGACAAGCTCAAGGTGAGGACTAGCCTTGATGCCCTCAATAACTGCTCATCAGGACAATTCCGTACCTAACTCGGTCTTCCTTTCCACCAGGCCGAGCACCGGGAGCTGCTGAAGCGGCTAGCGCTCCTGCACCCTCCAGCCAAGGTGCTGTCGTACGTGAAGGTAGGACTGGACAGACAACGGGCTAAACCACCTTTGCCTTGTTCCTCTGTCTTGTTCTGCGGAGATGTCGCCCCATATTTTGCCAAGCAACTCAGGGCACATCACACACCTTTCCAACGTGACCAGGATGGCCTCGAGTCCAAGAACAGCAAGACCCGCGTTGTCTGCCTGGACGAGATTGCGGCAATCATCGACCGCACGGGGCCGGTGGTGTACCGCGGGTCGTCAAGCCAAGGGAAGTCCTCGGGCAGCGGCTCCAGCGAGAGTATTATGGCGGCGGTCGCAAAGCTGGTAGCGGAGCGTGACACGGCCGTGCGTGCCGCGTGCCTGGGCGTCATGGAGGTGCTCTACTGCATCGAGGGCACCGGTGAGGCCCCTGGGTTACGCCCGCATATTCGACCTAGCGCATCTCAACTTGCTGTGCTACTGTTCCTTTCAATGCATATTAGGTACAACTTACAGTTACAGGTATATAGGCAATGGTTGCGGTGCCTTAACACTTTGGGTTGTCTGTCGTACGCGCAGCTATCTGGGACTACCTGGGCCGCCTGACGGACCAGCAAAAGTCGCTCATTGAGGAGCGCATCAAGGCCGCGGGTAACCGCCTGTCGCGAGCGGGCATGCAGCCCGGGTACAAGGCGGCGGAGTACGGCTTGGTTGCGCAGGTAAGCTTCATGGACCTTGTCAGACGTGCATTTCTTTTCGCTTGCTTCAGCTAGGGTTTGCAACATAATGTGCACTGCCCTTCCTTGCTTTTGTTACCTGAACACGTTGGGTGCCCTGGTAGGTCGCCGATGACCCCATGGTCATTTGCCAACAAGGAGGCGGCACACCGCCGCGTCGGCCTGCGTCACCCATGCGCCGCTCCATCATTGGAATGGCCACCTCCAACGGTGGCGTCGGTGGTGTGGCGTCGCCAGCTGCCGCCCGTGGAGGTGGCATTTTGGAGGCCGCAGCCCAGCGTGCCGGGGTGGTGGCGCCTTCAGGCCCCACCCCCATGGAGGTGTGCAGCCCTGTGCCCGCTCCTGCGCCACCGCCGGTGTACGAGGCTCCGGCTCCGGTGCCGTATGATGCGCGACAGATGGGTTCGCCCGTCGTAAACCGTTTCGGCTCAACCACATTCCAATCGGGACAGCTTGCCAACGGACCTGGCGTGCTCACGTCTCTTGAGGTAGGTGGGGCTGTAGATTACAAACAGTGCACCTTGTCGGCAGCATCTTCTCCTCCTCTGCGTATGCAACCCTTTGGCGCAAGACTGACATGGTGCCCCTGTTTATTGCAGGGTGCCGATGAGGAGGCCACCATGCGCAACTGGGTCATCCTGCATGACCGGCTGCAAGGTGAGGTTGATACTGGTCTCTCGACTCGTATGCATGGAAGCTGCCACATAGGAGCTGTATTAGAACGTTTCTGCAATATGTTCACCTGCATGTTCTTCCCGGTGTGTTTGACCTGAAGGCGACGACTGGGAGGCAACCATCCAGGCCATGAAGCTGCTGTGCTACAGCTACATCGAAATGGACAAGCACAGCCGGCACGTGGCGGCCCTGCTGACAGATCCGCGCAACGTGGACGAGCTGGTGCAGCTGCTGTCCCAGAAGATAGAGCAGGTTGGCGCATGGGCTCGAAGAAGCAACCTGCCCTGTCGTCGGTGCCCCATGTACTGTATAGAATATACAATTGACCTTCACCTTACGTTCCCCCTTTTGCCTGCAGTCCTTCTCCGACGCCGCTGCCTCCACGCTGTGCCTGCCCAACGGCCCCGCCTACAACGCCCGCGCTTGCAAGTATAGCGTCAACTCGCTCATGAACCTGTGCAACGTGGCGGCGCTGGCATCGGGCCTGGGCGACAACGCGCTGAAGCGGCTCTTCAGTGTGCTCCTGGCGTGCCTAATCGACGGGCGCCTGCGCCAGGTACAACTTTGCGTTGGGACTCACTGTGTTGTTACCTCATGCTACGAAACGCTCACGCTGTGTCGCCTGTCCTTACTCTGTGTTCCAGGTGGCCGACGGCGATGGTCTGCTGAAGGCGGTCAACATGCTCATCATGCGGCTCCTGGAGCACGCCAACAGGTACGGCGGGTCAAGGTGTATGGACCTCCGCCCTTCTGTGTTGCGCCGTACTATGAACAACAAATTAAAATTTTTAATCTGCGTCTTCTCGCGTGCAGGCCGGGCGTGTTCGGCGCACTGATCGGGTTCCTGCGCACACCCAACCCTCGCATCTACGAGATGATCCCCTCCTCAGTCGCCTTGCCGGACGGTGGGGCGTCGGAGATGCTCCTGCGCTGGAACGACACGGTCGTCAAGTGCCTCATCAAGATGACCAAGCAGCTCGGAGCAATGATCCCGGTGAGGATCAAACCAAGATCAGAACGGATAATCCAAGCTGCCTTTGCTGGAGCACTTTCCCCGACCACCCAGTAACAATTACACCCATTCGCACCCCCTTGGCAGACCATCAACGTGGGCAAGGTGCTTGTGCACATCCACCACTACATGCAGGAGCTCGGCGCTGAGGAGGTCCGGCGCCGCAGCTCGCTGGTGAGAGTGCCAAACCTGTACCGGATTGCCCTGGTTTTAGTTGTGGCGTACATGCATATCCCATCTCTGCGCCGCCCCAACCCACGTTGCTGCGCTCTGACGACCCATGGCTTGGCTTGTGACAACAGGAGGACAAGCCGCTGCGCATGATCAAGACCATGCTACACGAGCTGTGCAAGCACCGCGGCTTTGACATCTTCAAAGACGTTGAGGCCATGCCGGGTAGGTCTAGTGGTTACAGGGTCCTCCTGTCTAGGATCTTAGGGTCTACACGGAGCATTGAGATGCCAATTGTCTTTTTAACATCTTGCTGTTGGCCTTCCCAAGGCGTGACCGAGAGCGCGGACGAGATGGTGATGCTGCCGTACATCCGGCTCAACTTGAACACCATCAACATCGACAAGCGGCCACCCGGGGAAGGCGGCCCCGCTGCTTCCGCAGCGGCAACAGCAACAGCTGCGGCGGCGGCAAGCGCGAGCTTGATGGCGGCTGCGGCGGCGCCCCGGCCTACCACGGCTCCCAGCGCCGACGTAGCATCCACCTCAGCAGCAGCCGGGTCGCCTTCCCAGCGCGCGCGTGTGGTACCCGGCGGGGCAGGCAATGTGCTGTCGGCGTCGTTGCCGGCGCCCGTCTCTTCCTTGGCTGCGTCAGCAGCGTCCGTACCAGCATCTGTGGCTGTTTCTCAATCGGAGCAGCAGCCGCCGCCACAGTCTCAGCAGCAGCAGGTGCTGGTGCCCCTCAGCACGAACGCGATGCCTCCCGCCACAGGTGCCGCCGCAGCCCCGAAGGTGGCTACTGCGGCGCCTGCGTCTTCGGCTGCCCCCGCTCCTGCAGCTGCGCCTTCGTCGGCAGCGCCGGTATCAACCATTAGTCTTGAGCCCTCCAGTCGAGACTTTACACGGCCCGCAACCGACGAGCAAGAGGCACGGAACACGCTGGCCGTCATTTTCCGGCGAATTGGCGACAAAGGGCAGTCACAGCAGGTGTGTTTAATAGTCCTGACGGCCTGCAGGTTCCATTTGCTGCCACATGCTTACCATGCGTTACCGAACTTACCACGCACGAACGCACCAACGTTGGTAGAATGATAACCGTTGCGGACTCACCGCCGACTCCCGCATGTACCCTCGCGCAGGCACTCGTGGACCTGCACCATTTCATTGAGGCCAACCCAGACCTCGACGTGCTCAACCAAATGCTCAGCCAGGTGAGGTTTGGTCCTGGCCTAGAATCTCCGCTCCCCGACGACTGCCGTTAGGGCCGTTTTGGCCTTGCTAAGAAGCTGTACTTCTGTCTCCAACTGAACGTGCCATGCCCCGCGCAGGTGAGCCCTTACTTCAAGACTTACCTGCAGCGCGGCCTAGGTAAGGTGCGCTTGCAGATCCAGCACGCGGCCAATGCAGCGGCCGCAGCGGCTGCGCAAGAGCAGCGTGTAGCGTCACCGCCAGCTGCAGCGAAGACGGCCTCTGACGGCGGCGCCTGCCAAACAAGCGGCAGCACCTGGGGCACGCCAGACGGCGAAGGGGCACCCATGACCGGTAAGCTGCTATACATGGCTGCGACTGATGTACATCGCACAACAGCACTTACATTTTACTTTGCCGGACCTCTGTTCCTGTCGCTGTGGTGGATTAGTCTACTGTTGAATGCCAACATGTGTGTCCCATGCAGCTGCCGAGAAGCTGGCGGCGGCTGAGGCGCGGCCACACAGCCCCAACTCTCCAGGACGGCTGCGCGGTGTGGGCAACCTGGACGAACTCCGCAACCGCATGAACAGCTTGAGCGTAAGTATGGGCATTGCCTGTCAGAGTTCTTCCGCGTTCTGGGTTTTGCAAGACTTATCTTGTGGCAGGGTTTGGATTGCTATGAGGTCATGGTTGAGATGTACGGTTGGGTCGACTTGGTCGTTAAATTCTTCCCCTTGCTTGCCCGCTTGTAGACGAACCTGCACGACCTGCCCCTCCGCAACTCCACGAGCGTCGCGGTGCCGGGTGGCGGCGTCGGCGTCTCCCAGGATCTCCTGGACTTGCAGGAGCGTATGAAGAAGATCCAGAGCATTGCAGCAGCAGCGGGTCCGGGCAACTGAGCAGGAAGTGTACGGTTAACTGGCAGTTATCTGCTTGCTGTGATGGTTGAGTGTTTAGTATGGTGTCTTGACGGCTAACTTGTATTTCATTCGGCTGGCTGCGTGGCTTGCGTTTCTTTCGGTAGATGGCACGTGCATATAGTGAATGCAGGAAGGTAGCTGGAGCTTTTGCGTAGGCATGACTTATGATCTCATTTATGCATTTAGTTAGGTCTACTAAGGGAGGGGGGGCATGACGCAGGACCTGACTTGGGTATGGTGATGAAATGGGGAAGCACACGGGAATACAACCCCATGCTTGTATGTGGGGTGCCAGACCCACCCACCAACGCTGTCGTAACAGCCGTGCCGTACGATAATGCTGTAGCAACGTCGAAGTCGCCCCCAGCAATGCACAATTCAATTGCATTTCAATCACCCAAATCATTTTATAAACTGGCAATGTCTCCAAATCGCTCGCCAACAGGCGAAGGCGCAGTCTGGCTGCTAGGTTTGTTGCTTCCGGCTGCTCATAGCCGACGTTTCTCGCCTTCATGTTCACTTGCAGTTGGCTTCGCATGCACCATTGGAATGCCTGCATGCATGTTTGCGTTGGTTCATTTGTTCCAGTCACTTGGTCCCACCATCGGCACGACCTTTTTTGCGGACCCTGCCCAGAGGTAGCAGGTTTGGTTTCCACCCCGCCACTTTCAAAGCAACATACGACGTCCCTTGCCCGGTACGACAGCTGCAGTTACTGATGCGACAGTTTCCAGGTCATCTTCATCAGCAGTGGATACATCGTCGGACAGCCATTTTCCCCTTCCGCCTGGCTGAATTTTCGATTCTTTATTTATTTGAATCGTTTTGCGTGTGGCGCGACAGTGTCTTGAATGGGAAAAGAAGGTGCCGGTCGTCATTGTACTTCTGTGTCGTACATAATTACTGAACTAGGGATGTCGTACATAATTATCTCCATATGTAGACATTTTCATATTATATCCCGTCATATGTATATTGGTGTTATGAGTCAGGTATACATCAATCTCCAACCTCCTTACATTCGAAACGCTGGTGCAATTGGGAAACACCAATGCCCACATAACCTGTACCCCTCCCAAGGCTACCTGAGCTGTGTATGGGAGACCCACATGTCTGTCAGATACCAACTGCGCACAGCCCCTCAACGGAGGTGTGTAGGGGTCCCTGACTCAGCCTGCCACTGTTTCTTAGTGTCCTTGCCCCGCCTGGCTCGTACGGACACACTGTACATGCGTACAAATTGTAACTGTACTTGCAATTTGCCTTGTTTTGCCATTTGCCAATTGAATGGAAAAATAATCAACTCCATCTGTGATTAAGGTCAAACCTTTCAACATAGCGCTATACACACTTGTGCTTCGACTAGTCCTCAGTTTGCAGGGGATAACAGCACATATGCGTTGTCTGTTAGCTGAACACGATGCAACATATCCTCAACACAACTTCACATCTCAACTACAGGAGATCAAGAAAACGTACCGTACCCCCCCCCCTTTCTCATCATATATATTTTTTACCCCCCTTTCTAATCGCAAAGCATATCATTCACAGTGCGGTCAACAGCCGCAGAAGCTGAGGCGCAATGTCAGCCGCATCCTCCTTCACATCCTCTTGCAGCCCGTGGTAGACGGTCAGCGGGACCGATCCTCCGAGACCGTTGCCGTTGCTGTGGCCGTTGCTGCCATGGCCGTTGCCACCGGTAGCAGCGGCGGATGCGGAAGCGGACGGCGGCGGCAGCTCCTTCTTCTGGAACAGCACTCCAGCTAGCAGATAGGTGTTGCCGCTGTAGAAAGCCTCCCCGCGATCTCGCATGGCGGCAATCCACTTGCGCACCTGGGGGAGGGAGGCATAAAAGGGGGAAAGAGGGTACCATCTTTTAGTTTGTAATTCAGCCAACTTTACCCAGCCTAATGGCAATCCATGAAGCAAGGCATCCCTCTTCTGCCCCTCCCATGCAGTTCAACAGGATAGGAACGGCGGCGATCCACTCCACCTTGGGTTCCGAGGAGTAGGTGCCGAAGGGCAGCGGCGTGATGAGGAAATCCACAACCCGGTAGCCCGCAGCGGCGGCGTGGCGGAGTACGGAAGCCGGGTTGGAGTACGACGAAACCAGCAGTACGGCATACGGCAGACCCAGCGACAGGAGGTCCTGCACGGAGGTTGCAATTTATGTAATAGGTTTTTGGGGTAGGTAAGTTCGGTGTCGTGGATAGGTGCAGAGCAGCAGATGCGACACAGGTATGACCAAGCATGAGCACTAACCTACATGCCATATGTTTAGCAAGCAACATGCGGCCCCAAGGGGTGAGTACGACCCAAGGGGTGAGTACGGCACTTTTAGCAATGCACGTGCAATAGGAGCGCTATCTGCCGGATGGCCATCCCACACCACCCACACAGCCAATGCATGTCCACTGCCCTCGTGCCTTTGTCCTACTCTGCCCCTCTATTCGGTTTGGGATTGCCTCGCCATACGCCACTCACCCGTGTCAGGCCCGCCCCGTCCATGCCTCCGTACAGCTCCGGCATGAGGATGTTCGCATCCGGGGCGGGCAGGTAGGGCGGGTTGGCGATGAGGCAGACAGCGCCGGCAGCGGGCGAGTCGGGGTGCGAGGTGCCCTGGTAGAAGCAACCCGTGTGGATCTGAGGGGGGAGGAGAAGGAAGGCAAGGGAAGGAGAAGGGGGTCAAAGACCATACCAAACCATACGGAACCACAAGTTCGGACAAAGCTATGGGGATAAGAGCATAAGTCACACACGGTCAATGACCTTGCAAGCTGTCCGGACAGACCCGCGACACCTATCCCAACCCAAACCCAGGTCACCAAGCAAGTCACCGTCCAAGTCACGGCCCCAAGTCGCCACCCACCTGATATTTGTCAGACAGCCCGAATGCCGCCGCGTTCTCAGCCGCCAGGGCCGCGGAGGTGGGGTTGAGCTCAAAACCGTGGATCACACCCTCGAACCTGCTGGTGTTTAACATGGAAGGGAGGGAAAAAGAAATTCCAAAGTGTGGTGTGAAGGGAGGGAGGGAGGGAGGGAAGGTGGGCGGCACAGGCCACTGCATGTAAGGAGGGACTCAAATAGTCCCCACAGCGGTGGTGTGCCTAGATAACGGTACGGCGAGGCCTTAACGGACGGGGATGGTCAGACAGGCGGGGAGGGGAGGGGGCAGTCAAGGAAACAGTGTACACCCCACTGCACGCTCCGCATCCCATCCCATCCCAGGCAAGCCCTCACCTGATCTTGGACAGCGCGCTCACCACCGGGGTACCATCCCCCGTGCCGAACTCCACCACCTTGAGCTGCGGTTGGGGAGCCGGAGGGACCCCGCCCGCCCCCTCGCCACCCCCACCCTGCTGCGCATGCTGCAGGGGCGGCTGTGAGGAGGAGGAGGAGGCGGTAGCGGGTGCTGAAGACGTGGACTGGTCGTCCGGGGAACCGCTGCTGCCGCCGCCGCGCTGTCGGTGTTGTTGCTGCTGTTGATGCAGTTGCACGACAGCGGGCAGCAGCTTCTCCAGGGTTTGGCTGTAGAACAGCGACTCCTCCGCGCATTGGAACACCTCCGCAGCGGTGTAGCGGGGGCGGCGGGGGCTGTGCAGGGGAGGAGGGGTGCAGGCAGGAGGGGACGGGAAGTCGGGAGGTGAGAAGGCGGACATGATAGGACAAGTGCCACTCAGTGTACGGTAGGCTCCATCGCCTGCCAGCCACCTTTCAATCCCAACTCTGCCCACCAGAACCACAACGACGTACAACGCTACGTTAATGTCAACCAACACAGCTGAACCCCCCCCTACGTATTCCCCCCACCTGACGCCCTGTAGCAACGAAGACCCCTCCACATCCGCCAAATCAGCAGCGGGCGGCGTCGCAGGAGCCTCAGGGAGGGCATCCACCGGCTTTGCAGAGGTGGCGGCGGCGGCAACAGTAGCAGGGCGGGTGTTAGCGGCGCTAGGGGCGGCGTGCTTAGCAGCAGCAGCGGCAGTAGCCGTTCCGACGCTGGCGCCTCCGAGACGAGTCCTAATGCCGAGATTGCCGACAGCAATGCCGCCGCTGCTGGGTGGGGATGACGGCATCAGTGGCGGCGACGACATGGCGAATGAGGCGGAATGTATCCCGGATGGACCCATGGGTCGCAGCGACGCGGGCGATACGGACGAGATCGCCGCTGGCGATGTGGCGGGGCTTAGACGAGCAGCGGACGAGGTGGGCAGAGTGTTGTGCCCGACAAATGAGAGAGACAGAGGGCCCAAGCCGGAATGGGGTTGGGCGTGGCGGTGTTGGCTTGGGGAGCGAGACAGACGCGACATTCGCACAACAGAGCGACAGTCCCAGTAATTAGGCTGCTTTTGCCTCTTCTCCTGGCGCGACAGGAGAAGCAGCTTAAGTATCGAACACTTCGCGGCAGGAATGGCCAATGTAAGGCTGCAAGCGGCAAGAGGTTCAAGCAACGGCGGCGGTTGTTGACCGAGGTAATGACCGCGCGATGGGCCTGTCGCCGGCTGCGCTTATATAGGCACGCAGGAAAAAATGCTCAAATTATCACAGCCAGACAATTGTTGCATAAGTAATTATAAACTCATACGGCCGCTGCACTGGCGTGGCCGTTTAGAAGGCGACAGATTGTCAGGTACGAAATGACGGCGGTGGTTGAGATTGTGCCTGGGATGCGTGACATCATGGGCCAATGAGACGCAGCAGCAGCAGCCGCCACAAGCGCTAGCGCTTTCCACGCTGACAGCTGACGCAAAAGGATATAGCTGTTAGTGTTAGCGAGCGATTGGCTGAACATTCGCCTCCTGCGATGACATAAAAAGAGACTTTGTGCCGTCAAACAACCAGTAACAGTGCCCAAATCGACTGTTTGTTCCCTAAAGCTGCTTCAAAGCTTTAACGCCAGTCGGCTAGCCAGCAACTAGCCGATAGCCGAAGCGCTTGCAACTCTTCTCTCTACTCGGCCACGAAGCTCTCAGCCCGTGCGTGACTATTAATACCGCGCGAAAAATCTGCTACTCCTTACACTTTACCTTGGTTAAGCACACCGCAGCAATGCCACTATCCGCAACAACGCGGCGGCTGTCCCCTCCCGTCGCCGCCTCCCCGCAACCAATGCCCTGCTGCCCAAGCCCAAGTCGCATCCACCTACGTCTCCACTACCCACACAACAGCAACCCCCACAGCAACCGCAGCTACACGTCCACTGCCAGCCAGCAGCAACCACCCGCACCTCGCCAACTGTCCTCTGCCCCCCTTCTTCACCGCACCCGCGCCCGGTTGCATGTCGTGGCCTCGACATCCGCCAACGCCACCACCACCACCGCCACTCCCACCACCTTTAGTCCCACCTCCTCCTTCGCCCAGGCAGCTGCTGCCTCCGCCGCCGCTGCAGCTCAGAGCATTACCACCTTGAACTCCTCCGAACAGGTGGGTGCATGGGAGGGGTGTTAGGGCGCTTTGCGGGGTGCATCTTCGCCGGTGCGTATTGGGCCGTCCTCGGGCAATACCCGGGGACTGGGGGGTACAAACATACAAAGAGGGCGAGGTGAGTGCGAGGAAAAGGGCACGACAGTGTGTTACACTCGCACAGAGTGCTTCTCATCTCGTCTCCCACCCTCCTCTCCCCCTCTCCCCCCCTTAGGTCGCCGTGTGGACCTCCACCCGGCCCCTTCGCCGCCTGCCCGCCTCCCTGGACGCCCCCCAGCAGCTGCAGGCGGCTGCACGACACCTGCCCGGGTACGAAAGCAGCGGCAACAGCAGCGGTGACAGAAGTAAAGGTGACACGGGTGAGGCGTGAGGGTGGTCCTGCGTCCATGGTTGTGCTTGATGGGTAGGTAGGTAGGTAGGCAGCCCCTGGGACCTCCCGCTTGGAAGGCTGTGGCGCGCCGAAACGCCAATTCACCCCCGCCCTCCCCTTCCTCCGCCCGCCCAACCTCCCCCCCTCCAGTAGTTGACTTCTCCTCCGCCGAGCGCTGCCTGCTGCGGCTGCTGCGCACTCCGGCACCGGGACTGGATGCGAGGCTGCGTGCGGGGGAGGCTGAGGTGGCGGCGGCGGCGGCGGAGGTGGAGGCGGCGGTGGGGGCGGCGACAGAGGGGGCGTACGGGGCGCAGGGTGAGTGGGCGGGCAGTGGGCAGTCAGTGACTAGGAACTCGGGGCAAGGAAGAGGCGGGGTCATAAAAAGGAGTTCATGCAGAAGCTCACATACCAGGACCGTAAGTGGCCTCGGGTGCTAGGTGAGACAAGCTTGCGGTGCGTTGATGTGTCGTGGGGGTGCTGGTGCTGCCCGGCACTGCTGTTGACGTTGCTGATGTGCATGGCGGTCCCCACATCCAATCCAGCAGGCCGCGACGGCAGACCCAACGACGACCCCTACACAACCGCCTGCCACACCTTCCTGCAACGAACCTTGTACCGCATCAACCGCCTCAACCACTTCTGGTGAGTAGCGTGAGTGGCCGGTCCATGCGCGCAGGTCCGCGTGGGGTGGAGCAAATCCATGTAGACATGCAGCTGACGCAGGTCCACGCATATGCACGCACCTTCCTGCTCACCGGCACTGGCGGCACATGCCCTCCAATGTCCAACTAACATCGCGTCAGTCGCAATCCCAACTAACGATAATTGCTTTGCTGCTTGCGTACCGCCGCCGCGCCGTACCCGCCATGCCGTGCACCACGGCTAGCCTTTAACTCGCATGTATGCCTGCCTGCCTGCCTTTGCATGCATGCCTGCAGGTACGACGACCTCTCCCACTACGAGAACGAGCGGTCCGCCTGGCTATCTGCGCTGCGAGACCGCGTGGAGGGTCCCTGGCAGCGCTGGGAGGTGCAGCAGCTGCTGGGCGGGGAGGGCAGGCTGGAGCAGTACAGGCGCATGAGTGTGGAGCAGGTTGGGGGGGGGAGGCAGTGGGCGGGTGGGTGGGTTAGTGTGTGGTGGTGGGGGCAGTACACCCTGCCTGCAAACCTGAGGTTCAACCGAACCGGCAAATCCCCACGCCCACCATGCCCCAATGTCGTGCCCCTCCCCCCTCGGACCCCCCTCCCTGCCTTCCATGCCCCCATGCACGCAGCTCTGCGAGGCTGTTCGCGCGCGCGCCACTGCTGACGTCGACCCTGCCCCCGGCCCCACTGCGCTGTTCATGCGGCACCACATGAGCCTTGGCGGCTACCGACACCTGCTGGCTGTGGGTGGGTGGGTGGCAGGGGGGAGGAAAACAAAGGGGCAAAAGGGAAGAAATTGACAAGTTGAGAAGATGGGGAAGGGGGGGAGAGGCCCGAGGCATGCGTCTAGGAGGATGGTTTATATCGGTGTGAAGGCTAGTGCGGTTTGGGCTCGGGTCAGACCTGGATAGATGCTGGCAGGCAGGCAGGTAGGCAGCCACGCCTGCCCTACCCCATATCCTCTTTCCGCTCCTCCTGCACACACCCCATGCACCCCTCGCCTTCTTCTTCCCCTCACCCCCCGCACTCTCACAAGGCTCCCTGGACGGGTTGGTGGAGGCCAGTCGTCAGTCGCGCGTGTGCGCGGGGGCGGCCAATGAGGTGGCAGCCACCGTGTTCCGAGTGCTGCTGGAGGTGAGAGGGAATCATAGTTATTAGGGAAGGGAGGAAGGAAGAGGATAACCCAGAAAGGAGGGAGCAAGGAGGAGGGAGGGGAGGTGTCGTCCTACTCTCTTTGCATCACCCGCTGTGTACCGCTACTCCCGTATTTTGCTCCGAAACCCACACGCCCGCCCGCGTGCACAGGAGTACGGCGGCGGCAAGCTGCCTCGCAAGCACTCCACCTTCTACCACTCCATGATGGCTCAGTTGGGGCTGGACACCCGGCCCGAGGCGTACTTTGACTTGGTGCCCTGGCAGGTGGGAGGAGTGGGGTAGGGACGGGGGTCGGCTTCAACGAGGCTGTCTGACCCATGGGTCACCTTGCCTGATGACCAACGTCCACTAAATTCCCTCTCCCACCTCCCTATCATGCCCCCCACATACACACACACACAGTGGCTGGCTGGTGCCAATCAGAACTTCCTGCTTACGGAGCGGCGGCGGCACTACCTGAGGTACCTGGGGGGCCTCACGTTCTTCGAGGTGCGCGGGGGGTAGGATGGTTGCGGGGGTTTTGTGGAAGGAAGGAGGAAGAAAGTAACGAACAAGGTGGGGGAAGGAGGCGCAGCTGACAGGCAGATGGCGGTTTTAACTTTTCCTCGCCCCTCTACCTGCCTCTCCACATCCATGCTACCCCCCTCACGCACCATGCTACCCCACAACGCCCAACTCATGCCCCCCCATCCATGACCCCCTCCCCAGGTTAACGGCCCCTCCGTCTACCGCACTTACTGCGCCGCCGCTCAGCGGCTGGGGCTGCCTGCCAGCGGGTGGGGTTACTGGGAGCTGCACGTGCGTGAGGACGAGCGGCACGGCAGGCAGATGGTGGAGGAGGTGGCGGTGCCGCTGATGAAGAGGTGGGGGGAGCGTAGGGTGGCATGGGGGGAGGAAAGAAGGAATCGCAATGTGTCGAATGAGAATGCAATCCAGACGACAAGCTCCGGGGGATTGGTGTTGAGTTAGGCGAGCCGAACATCGATAGCTGCCCTGACTGCCTATGTTGTTGTGTTGCATCTTACATGTGTGCATCTTACATGTGTGCTTATGCGTGCAGGTACGGCAGTACGGCCGGCTGGGAGGTGCTGTGGGGGTATGACCAGGAGGTTGCGATGGGGCGGCGAGCGGGGGAGGCGTTGGTGGCTGATATCCGGGCAGCTGAGGAGGAGGAAGAGGGGCAGAATGGGGAGAAGGGGAAGGAGGAAGGAAAAAGGAGGTGGAAGGGAAGAAAGGAAAGAAGAGGGAGGATGGTCAGGTAAGGCGGCGGCTCGCTTGGATGGTGAAGGTAGAGGGAGGGAGGAGTGGAAAGGAGAAAGGGGGAGGAGGAAAATGTGTAAGGAGGATATGGGAGGTGAGGGAGGGAAAATGGTAAGGAGGACGGAGGAGATATAGGCGGAGGATGACGGAAAATGCCGGTATGTAGTGAATCGAGGGAGAGAGGAGAAAATGTTTCAGTCACACGAGGGTTTTGAGTGATGAAACATGAAGTTGGTGGGTTCACACTTCATCCTATATGTACGGTTTGTGTCCAACACGCGCAAACACGTGACGCATGTGTTACACCCTTGGTAGCTCTTGGAAACAACTTTTGTGGGCGACTGGAAAGAGAACGATTATTTGCTACGATGTCTCAATTCTCCTTCCTTTGCCTGCGCTGGTTGGAACGGCGACGTTACTAGTACGTTACATAGACATTATTGTCAACTCTGGCATCTTATCACTAAGGCGGTCTGTGAAAAGCAATGGTGGCATACACTAAAAACAGAAACTTGAGAAAGCTGAAACATAGATAGCTTGACAAATTAGTTACTGGTGTGGGCCCGCTGAACAGGGACGGGACGAGAAGGAGGGATGTGACGGATGGATGTATGCAACCAACGGCACTCTGCTGGTAGGCGTGGCTAAAATTATAATAGCATGTGTAATCGTCAACCTACATAGGCATTGATGTAAAATGGAGATTTGCTTTGTCTAGCGATAGTACGAAAACATGAACCGGTAATGGCAACTGCCCAGCTACGTCTCGAGGCAAGCCTGCAAGCTGCGTGGAGATTTCTAAGCGAAAGGACCTTTCTGAAATGAACTAGAGAAACAAAAACTTTGTTCATCGGACAGTACAGGGCGCGATTAGTTAAGGACAAACACTGTGTTTCTCTAGCCCTATGATATCTTCTGAACTTCAGATGACGATATGAAAGTAACACCACGCGTATTTCCGTCAAAATGAGCACGCTTTCCTTAGTTGCGCTTATAGTTGTAGCTTTGGCAGCATTTCCCAACCGCTGCATCTGGAAAAGTAGAAGTGGGTATGGCGTTTTGGTTTCAGGCCAAGTCGCAATCGCTGCATCGGCCTGCCAACCTTTGCGATGGAACCCTTCGGCCGCTAGCTCTTGCACCGTGTTCGACGACATGTGTGTGGATCATGGCTCTATGTTGATTACGCACGAACATCGCTATCAAATAGAAAATGTAAGACGGCAAGATACACCAGGCTTACCAGCCATGAAATGGAACTTACCAATGCGCGTCAACAGCTATCCTGACGCGTTGGGAGGCTGGCAGCCAGACTTCCAAGTTATGATCCGACCAGTTAGCAAGGTGGAGCCAACGCCACCCTTAAGGCACCCGAACTGGTCAAATTGTACCCTGCCGGTGATTATCATGGGCGACTTCTTGTACAACTACAAAACGTTCGTGACCAAAGTCTTGACGGACGTGGACAGCATGTTCCGCATTAAAGGCTTGGCGCCGGGTGAGCATGGGGCGAGGAGCGGGAGTGAGGAGTTTGGACATGGGATGCGCCTTGTTCCTCTTCCCCAAGCAGCCCCACCGCATCCGCGTCAGGAAAACCATATCCCGGCTTCACCCCTCCAATCCCCAATCCCACGCAGACTACGACGCCACGCTTGTCCTGGCCACCCCCAGCGGTCTCGCCCTCGAGCCGTACCATGCCGCACTGCTCTCGCCGTACAGTCGCAGGCCACTCATAACCCTCGCGGAGCTGGGTCGACGCGGCCTGGAGGGGCGGCCGGCGCAGTGGGCGACGGAAGGCGTGCGAGTGCACTGCTTTTCCAAGGTTAGTGAATGAGGCATACTAAATGACAGACCCGTGGGCAATTGTGTAGGTTAGGAGACTCTCTCTCTTTCCCTCCTTTCCCCATCCCCTCCCTCGGCCCCTCCCTCCCCACATCCACTCCCAAACCACTACCGGTACATTACCCCTCCCATACTTTCCGCACCTCTCTCTCCCTCCCCACCACAGGTGCTCGCATGCAAGCTGGACCAGCGGGAGAACACCCCGCCCCACCACGCCGCGAACGCCGTCATCTCGCACCTGGGGGCAGCCGTACCGCCCGACCCCCTGGGTTTCGGAGCGGCAGGAGCCGCAGCAGCAGCAGGAGGGGGCTGGGACGAGAGCGTGCTGCGGGTGGTTGTGGAGGCGCGATCAGCCCCCTGGCGCAGTTTGAAAAACGTGGAGGAGATCCTGAGGGCATGCGAGCAGGCCAATGCTCAAGGTGAGGGCCGCTCCTGCTCTGTTCAAATCCCGATGTTGGTGTTAACCCTATCAGGCGGTTGTGTTTCCAGGATTACCAGGGGTTAGTTGACCCGCTGGCGTTTGTCTTCCCGTCCTCTCTCTGTAACAATCCACATCGGGAAAAAGCCCCCACACAGCGCTCCCTACCCCTTATCCCTTTTCCTCCACCTACTCCTCATGCTACGCTCGCCCTACATACCCCTTTTTCTGCCCCTCTTTTTGCAAACCCTCGCGTGCAGGTTTCTCCGCGGGCCCCTTCCGGCGCATCCTCTGTAAGCCCCTCCCAGCCTCGTACGACAGCGCTCTACCAGCCACCGGCTCCGTCGACCTGTCAGGACCCGCAGCAACCGCTCTGTACGGCGTGCTAGGTGCCGTACGATCTGCGCATCTCTTCATTTCGATTTCTGGCTCCAGCGGCGCGCATGCGTTCTTCATGCAGCATAGCAGCGGAGAGGCGGGCGCTGGGCAATCTGGGTCGGGGCTGATTGAGGTCCGGCCGTGCGGGTGGGGCTCAGCGCATGCGGGGCGGGCAGATGGGGCGCCTGATGCTATGATGGGGCAGCTGCAGAGGGGAGGTGAGTGGCGGGCGGGGAACAGGGGAAGGTGGAAGGACGGAAGCAGGGTGGGAAGGGGAACGGGAGCTTTGTGGGAAATGGGAGAGTGGGCGAAGGGTGAGGCTGCCTCGGGGTGTGGTAAAGCGAAAACCAAAGACGACTGGATAGGAGTGCGGTGAGATTTACGGTTGATGTGTTGCTTGCTGATATCGGTATAGTGTTTGGGATCTGTGGCTGGAGCAACCCGGCGCGTTGTACCCCCACTACCCACTCCCCCGCCCTCCCTGGCACCCTTTGTTCCTTTTCCCTCCCGCCAAAGACGACGCCATCCGCTTCTTCGCCTACAATGTGGAGGACACCGCGCAGTGCTCTCCGCCCGACTTCGAGCCCGCACTTCGAACAGCCGCCGCCAACGGCTCCTCCTCCTCCTCTGCCTCCGCCGCCTCCTACATCCAGCCGCAGCCCATCCACACGCTGGAGAACAAGTCGCCCCCGCGCTACTCGCCGGCTGAGCTGCTGGTGCGAGACCAGCACCTAACGCTAAAGTGAGCGCAAAAGAGGAGAAGGGGATGACGTGGACAGGATTAAGAGACGGGGTGGGGGTTAAGAGGAAACAACTGGGGTGGGGGTGGAGGGAGGGAGAGTGCGCGGGGCGGGTATGTAGTGGGACATGGTATGGAGAGGGATGCCTCCAACCCCGTATATGTAGCTAGCCATGCGTCGTTGGAGTGCACGCACCAGCAGTCGCTTATGCGCATGCTAGCGTCATTCCTCGTCCTTCCCAACCCATTCTTCATTCGGGTTGGGCGGGTCGGGCTGGCTCACATGATGCAACCCATGTTGACGCCTTATCCCTCAGTCAGTTAGTTGTTTCCTCTTTTACCCGCTTTCCCCGACCTCCCTGCCTCCCTCTCAGGCCTGCTCCGCTGCTAGCCATGGTGCGGCACGCCGCCGCGCTGCTGCCCGACAAGGCCGCCTACCAGGCCGCGCGGGGGGCGGGCAGGCTGCACGGGTACGCGGTGGCGGAGGGGCTGCTGCTGGGGCCGCCCGGGCTGACGGACGCGCCGCAGAAGGCGCAAGCGGGCGATCCACAGCTGATCAGAGCTTGATGGAATAGGTTTGACATGGATAGTTGAAAGGGAGGGTGCCGTTGGTTAAAAGTGCATACGACGGAGTGTGAGAGAAGTCGCCTAAGCTAGCGAGGCCCACTGTTGTTTTCGTGGTGTTGCTGCTGTTGGAAGTTCTAGGGTCGCTTGTGAACGTCTTTGCCATACAGGGACGACTTTGTCCTCGCTCCAATGATGCAATGCCATTAACCAAACAGTGCCTTACAAAGGTTCACACATTCCGGGACACCCCGCTATAGAGTTTGAACGTATCAATTCAGCTCAATGCACGTCCTGGGCACATATGCCTGCGCAAGAAGCTCTTGTCCCAACCGCATAAGCCTTCAATAAATCGTATTATCGTGTCGCAGGGACCTGTATCCTACCCCATGTCGAGACCCGGCCTTCAGAGACCACGACACTCCAAGCCGTAGCCATCAGCCCCAAACAAATGACCACATAACCGTGCTTACGTGCAAATTGTACCAGCTACTAGATATGTCATCTCTGGCCGTGAGGAAGATTGTCCGGTCCCCAGACGTCACCATCAGTCGATACGAGGCTTGTCGGTAGCCTCCACCGGCATGCAATCCGATGCTCAACGCGCTACACCGCTACCGAAATCCAGTCCATTCCGGAGGGGAACGCGGTCGAAAATGTGCGGAGTGGTCGGAGCGAGCGAACGAACACGACATCTATCGAGACGGCAGCACAGTCTATCCGTGCAGAGAACGTTTCCCCACACGCAGCTGTGTCGTGCCGTACCACCGGGAGCCGCCTTAATAGGACGAATAGAATAGGAAGACACGTACAGGAACATGCCGGCAATGGAAACAAGAAACACACACGACCGCAGACCCTTCCCTCGCAATGCATGTGGATTATGAGAGGTTAGGAATCCAACACTAGTGTTGGAATCAACCGACGCATTGCACAGAGACTCTTGCACTCACTGACACGAAAAGGGACAACTTGAGGACATCCCACCAATACTAGTACACCCTAAAGAGATTCCCTACCTAATAATACACGCACCTCGGTTTATACAAAGCTGGAAGACGATGACGACAATTTGCCGACAACAATCACACTCGAGAACGCATGGATGTAACCTGCCATGGGAGCAAATGCATGCGGAACCCTCCAAGCCTTTGGCCGGTTCAAAGGTATCCATGGGTTTCGGACACTGCGACCTTCCTGTGCCGCAACAGAAACCTCGTGAGCCTGCCTCCGGCCGCACGTCAGCAGCAGCATCCATCCCTGACGCAACGCCGCCTCGTTAAGGGCCGCCCAACGCTCTTACTGCCAGTTCTCGCCAGCAACACGGCGGTTGTAGGCGTTCGAGGTCGGCAGGTGGGCGACAGTGTCGGTGCCTGCAACAGGAAGGTAAACAGTAGAGAGCGTTAATACCCCTTAATAGGCTTGTACGACAATGAAAGGCATGCATCAGGTCCGCAGAGCTACACATAACCGCTACCCACCTGTCTAATCCAGCTCATTGCCATGCCCGCCAATCCAACAAGTCAGCCAGTACCTACCCTCTTGCCCCACACGTCTTCTTCTTTACTCTCCTGCCCCCCACCCTCGCACCCTCCCTTACTCCCCCCACCCATCCCACACACCCACCCTCGTTGTGGCGGTAGGCCATGTCCGCGTAGTGCCGCAGCCACACGCCCTTATAGTCCTGCTGCGGCCGAATGATCTTGGTGTCGGGGTCCGTCAGGGACTCGCGCCAGTGCGCGCAGTAGCCCACAATGCTGCGCGCGACAAGGGGAGATTGGGCCAAGCAGGAACGTGTTTAGAAGCGGTGCAATAGCTACAGACGATTTGGATTGCAGTAACCCCGTTTCACCAACCATGTTTCTTCTCTACTCTCTCTATGAAAGTCATACGCATACCCACAAACATTACCCAACTGTTGTTTTTACCCTGCCACATTCCTACCACTACTAGAAGTGTGTCGTGATACCGCACTGCGACTCACCGCGGGATGGCGAACAGCACGGTGAAGAACTGCGGAGGGAAGCCTAGAGCGCGGTAGACCAGGCCCGAGTAGAAGTCCACGTTGGGGTAGAGCTTGCGGCTCACAAAGTACTCGTCAGCCAGGGCGGCGTCCTGAAGGTAAAAGGTGTGGATATGTAAGGTAAACCTGAGAGCGAATAGGAGTGAAGCACTTTTAAGAGCAAGCACAACCGTGTCCCCTTGACCCATTTCTCCACGCCCCTTACAATCCACGCCCCTTACAATGAACCCCTTAAACAAAAGGCATGACCCACCTCGACCTCTTAAACGATCCAACACGAAAAACCACTCACTGCCCACCTGCAGCGCCTTGGCCACCTCGATGAGCGGGTCGATGCCGACCAGCGGGAACACCTCCTTCTCCGCCACATCCTTGATGATCTTGGCGCGGGGGTCGAAGTTGCGGTACACGCGGTGCCCGAAGCCAAAGAGCTTCTCCTTGCGGTTCTTGACGCCCTCGATGAAGGCCGGGATGTTCTCGACCTGTTCAGGTGGGCAGACACAGTGATGAGCATGGCGCGGACATAAAACCACGGCATCATGTACGGTGCAGGCAGAGGGAAAGAAGAAACTTGTGAGCAACAAGTCCATTCTTTTCTCCACATCCTTACCGTGCCGATGCGCGCCAACATGCGCAGAACCGCCTCGTTCGCGCCGCCATGCAGCGGTCCGTACAGCGCTCCCACCGCACCCGCCACTGCAGTGTACACATCCACACCCGAGGAGCCCAGGTGCCGTACAGCCGCCGTACTGCAGTTCATCTCGTGCTCCGCGTGCAGGATGAACATGATGTCCAGCGCGCGCGAGAGGCGGGGGTTGGGCCGGTAGGCGGGGTTGCTGGCGCCGTCCAGCATGTAGAGGAAGTTTTCGGCATAGTCCATGCGCTGGTTGGGAGGTGCGGCGGAGCGGCCGGTGGCCTTGTGGTAGGCCAGAGCAGCCAGGGCGGGGACCTGGAGAAAGGCAGGGTGAGATAAGAAGGGAAAAGAAGGGTTAGGAGGGTTGCCAAAAGGGTTAAGGCCAGGCACCCATCTGGGTTGCTACGGCCACATCGCGTGGCCATCTGGGTCGGTAGTAAAGAGGATGTTGTGAAAGATAGCTAAATCCGGGCTGTCAAGATACCATGCTTTTGGTATATCCCTCGCCTTCCAACCCGTTCTATTCCTCTTGTACCACCCCACCAATCCAAACCTTCTCACCTTGCCGATGAGGCGCACAATCTGCTTGTCCTGGATCTCCCGGCTCTTATACACGTTCTGGCCCGCCAGCGCGGGGTTCTGCTCCGGGTGCAGCGTGGACAGCGCGCAGATGCCGGTCATGAGGACGCCCATGGGGTGCGCGTCGTGCGGCATCGCGGCCACAGTGGCGAGCACCGAGGTGGGCAGCGCAGTGTGGCGCATGACGGACTGGAGGAGGGCAGGAACGTTGGATAGAGATGTTTAGAGAGGTGCACAAACGCATGGGCATGGAGCGCATGTTCGTGAAACCCTTATGAACAGCGTACCTCGCGGAAAATGGAGAGCTGCGACTGCGTAGGGAGGCTGCCATACAGCACAAGGTACGCCGTCTCAAGGTGGTTGGATTTTGCCGCAAGCTCCTCAATTGGGTATCCGCGGTAGCGCAGAATGCCCCGCTCACCATCGATGAACGAAATGCGGGAGATGACCGCGCAGGTGTTCAGGTACCTGTGCGTAAAAATAAGATAATGCTATTGCTGCAAGGTCTAAGTAAGGGCAGCGTAAACCTATGCTGTCTGACAAAGTCAGAAGGTCTCGAACCAAAACAGCCCATCTCAGTACCCACCCTGGGTCATAGACACGCAGGCCAACGCCATCACCGCCTGCTTTAATCTGCTTCAGCGACTGGGCATTAATTGTGCCCCCCTCAGAAATCTCAATCTGCGCGAGGCACCGTGCAACAGCAGCAACAGATGTGAGCTTCAAATTACCATGGGGAAAACCTTCAACTGAAGGAGACAGAATAGCAATCGCACCGTGTACTTCTTCCCGGTGCGGTTGTCAACGACGGTCAGGGTTCCTCTGCCGCCGCCAGGGGCAGGGCGCTCCTCAACCTCCTGTTGAGCAGTGTTGTTCCTCGCCACGGCGTCCTCCGATGCCGTCCCCGTCATCTGACGAGACAGGACGGCCAGGCGTGAAGGCGCCGAGTCCATAGCGGGCTCTTCCTTAGGAGAGGTAAGTAAAGCTTTGCAGGATTTCCTGCACTGTGTAGTGGCAAGGTAGACTATTACAAGTCCGGCAGAAGTGCACTTAATAATTAACTGTCCATGCGGAGGTTGGCTGACCTGGCGCAGTACGGCAAGGAACCTTCATCCCTACCAACGTTACGGTTCTTCCTTGTGGCATCCAATTCCCTAAGCGCGTTTCGTAGTAGGCCCTCTATATAGGTAGCGAGGTTCGCCATGCAAGGCCGATCATTGATTCCTGGTGGACGGCCATGCACCGCAAATAGAAGGTCCGGTGGACAGGCAGCTCAGGAATGCACTCAACGAAGGATTACTTCCGTTCTAGCATTACCGCCAGCCGTTAGCCAGCTCGACGGTGTGCTACGAAAGGCTGCACGCAAGCACAGGCTAGTCCACCCCGCTGCTCCGCAAGAGAAGCCACATCCGGAAAACACATCAAAAGGCACATCTGCACCAAATGTAGCTGAGCATCGGGACAGTAGGCAGCGCAAACAGCGCCTGCTTGTACACCACAAACAGCAACCGCAGCCTCCGTACCAACAGCAGCAGCCACGTTTAGTTGACGCGGGAGCAATTGATGACGACGCGATTTTTCGTGAGATTACGGAAAGCGAACGCGACAGCGTTTGGGAGGACATTCGTTTGGCTGTCGAGGGCAACCAGGATGGACTTGAACGCCGGGAATCCCTCCGAAGCGGCAGCAACAGGAAGGAAAGTACTAAGGGCGGCCTCCCCCCGCGTAACAAGCCACGCAGTGATCCCCGCGCATCGATTCCAGCAGCGCAGCAACAGCTAGCTAGCACCCATGGACCTTTCAAGGGCTTTGGAACTCCCCCACCCTCACCGTCGGGGCACCGCGCCTCAGCTCCTACCACCCGCTCACCCTCAAACTCTACCAAGCAGCACGTTCCCTCTCACGCCCCACCAGCCTCATCTCCTTCCTCCTCCTCGTCCTCCTCCTCTTCTCCTCTCTCGCCACCACCACCACCTTCCAGCAACCCCACCCGCCAGCATCAAGCTTCCACCTCTAGCCCCCATTCCTCTCCTCCTCCTCCTCCCTCCCCTTCTCCTCCTCCTCCCCGCGCTCCCTCCCGTTCTTCCTCCCGCCCCCTGCGGCTTTTCCTGTACAACGCGGAGGCCGCCCTCACCCGGCAGCTCCTGGAGCAGCTGGGTCTGGGCAGGCGGGTGGAGGTGGTGGAGGAACTGAATAGGGCGCAGGCGATTGTGGCGGCGAAGATGAACAGGAAGGGCAAGCACGTCAACCTAACACAGGTGGGGAATGGGTGGGAGGAGGGGTGGATGTATGATGTGTGGATTGCAGGATGGGGGTTGGTGGGGGCCCAGGCGCACAGCATTGGGTGGGTCGGCAGAGCTAAGCCGAAAAGGCATGGAGGGCCCGTTGTCCTGTCTCTACCCTTTCACCTTAACGGCGCAGTACTACACGTGACACACCACTCTGCCGCCTGCCTCCCTGACTTCTTCGTTTAGGTTTGCCTCCTACCTCACCCACATCAGCATCCTCTCCATCCCTCCTCCCCACCCCTCCCGCCTCGCCTCCTGCCCCCCCTGCAGGGTGAGCGCACGGCTGCCAACACGGGCCTTCCCTTCCTGGTGGTGGGGCGCCACATGACGGCCAGCAACCTGGCAGCCGCGCTGCAGCCGCTGCTGCCGCCCGGGCTGCTGCCACCTGGGCCGCAGGCCGGCGCCGCGGATACTGGGACGACGGCAGCAGCAGGCGGAGGAGGAGCAGCCGAGGGTGGTGATGATGGGGTTGGTGGTGGCAGTGGTGGTGGTGGGGCTGCAGGAGCGGCAGCAGGGGGCCGGGGTGTCCCCAGTGCGGCCGAGCTGAGGGCACACCGGGCGGAGATGATGCAGGGCTTTGCGCAATTCGCGAGGGCATCGCATCAGCAGAAGCAGGAGTTGCATTCGTAGCATGGGTGTGGTGGTGTGTGCAGTTTCAGCAGGTCAATAGCAACAGATGTAGGAGCACGAGGGCTTCGTCTCATATTAGTAATTGCAGGAACGGCAGCAGCAGCAGCAGCAACGGAACCAGGATGGCGAGGCAGAGCATCAGAGAAGGAGCAGAGCTACCTGTCACAGCGGTGGCCGCCGTTCCCGCTGCAGCTGGCAATGGCATGACAGCATGAGCGGCAGGTCTCGGCAGCAGCTCTCGTACACGCCACGAAAGCGGTTGGCAAGGGAGAGGGTGGCGACGAGGCTCGGAGGGCAGCTAGGGAGGGGAGGCGGGGGCGGGGCATGAGGTGTACGTAGGATTCTGGAAGAGGTGAGAGAATAGGAGGGCGGAAGGGAGGGATCTACGTCCTGTGGCGGTGTGGAGGGAGCGTGCAGGGTGTACGAGCAGCGGCGAGCGAGGGTTGCTGCTGTGCCCGGGACTGCGCCTCAGTGCAGACGTCGCGGTGCTCTAGACTTTAATCGATGGATGCTGCGCAGGGGGCTTCAGTCGTGGTTCGAACCACCGGTACCCGTTGGCAATCCTTGCCCGTGTAAGGTTCCCTCTCCCTGACATGTACGTGCCTCTTCTCTTAGGCCGCCTAGCAATAGCCGTATGCGGATGCATAGTAACGGTACGCCAAGCCGCCTGTACTGCAATGCACGGCAGTATCCCTTGGAAGGGAAGCAATTGCATAAGAGCTTAGGGAAATAGGGCAGAACTACTAGTACTCTCCATTCTCCTGTCACAGATACGAACGCGCCCTTACTGCGCCCCAACATGCGCACAACCATCACCGACATCAATTACTAGATGCGCACGACAGTATATGTTGTAGTACGGCAAGCAACCGGTCACGCAAAGACACAAATACGAAGAAAACTGCAAGCCCGCAATTCCCACGCACAACGAATTCCTTTTCAAAGCACCCCGCCTACGAGATTAGGTTCGAGCTCACATGTGCCCACAGTTTCGAGCAACGCTATACTGGTTAAGTGAAAAGCGCACAGTGCGGTATATGTAATTGCAGTTCGTGATCGCATGGCAACAACGATAGCCCGCTAGCCCTCGTGTGCCAGCAAACCCTAACTAGTCAAAGAGCCGCGCGTAGAAAACCCGTCAACATGAAAAGGGAGCCGGACCGCTCTAAGATCAAGATGAGCTGTGGGGGGCGAACATGCAAAGTTGTCGGGTTTCAGTTAGCATGGGCCCTGCTCCTGCTCGCGCTCAAGGCGACGTCACGGTCCACTCCACCGCGCCCTGCGCCTGCTGCTGCCTCAGCCACTCCGCGTACCGCTGCAGGCCGTGCTGCGAGGTGTGGGCGCGGAAGGTGGATTGCAGCCAGGCAACCGACAGGGAGGCGGCGGTGCGGGAAACCTCCTGGAGGAGGAGGGGGCAGGGGCGGCGGGGAAGGAGGGGTAAGGCAAAACGGGACAGGACATGATATCGACACACCGGTATAACGGCCTGTCCTACTGTGCTCTGCCGTCCTGATATATCTTGCTGACCTGGGTCACCCATACCACCTATTCTACTACGGTAGCAGCAACGACCCTGTGCTGCCTCAGTAACCCATTCCTGGCGCTACGCTACATGTACGGCGAAAAGACTGCCGCTTTCCGTACCGGTCGTGAGATCTTGCCGATCTTGGCAACCAGATCCAGGGTTTTATCCAGCACAGAGGAACCGGTGTTGAGGAAAGACAGGTGACCCGCCTGCGGGGGTAGAATGGGCAACGGAGGCACCCCTTCTTGGTTTATTTCAGATAAGCCGCGCTTGTGTGTTTAGACAACTGGATATTGTGGTGCATTGGGGACCATGCCGGGGTCTACGCATGCATGCATGCATACATACGAGACAAAGCGCGGGAGGGGAGGATGATAAAACAAGTAGCTATCGTGAGTAGGCGTACGGCGGTGCTGGACGGGTTGAAAAGAGGGACATGCATTTGCGGCATGATGCATGCTCCGCCCTCTCAGTACACCCCACCTGCTCATCACCCCACCCCCTCAACCCTCTGTGGGGTCCTATGGCTTGGTCTCTCACACACACCCCAACTTCCCGCAGCCCACCTGCTTGATCACCAGCTGCCAGCTGCCCGGGGCAAGTTCGGGAAAGAAGTGACGGAAGTTCTGAGCGGCAGGGTTGGTGGGCCCCGTGATGCCCGACCCTGCAGTGCAGGGGGACATTGCGGTTGTGACCGTTGCAGCTTGTGGATATACGACAGGGCTGCTTCGGCGGCATAGCGATGCTATCACACTGCATGGGATGTCACGCTTGGCATGCAGATCCAAGAGAGGAGGGTATCCGACATGCGCAGTGCCGTACGACGTACGACCGTACGACATACGTGCATTAAAGACACACCTGCCGGGAATCACAATTGCGTTCCTACTCGCGGCCAGTTTTCTTGCCGCACACCTCACGTGTCCCACCTACAACAGCCGCAGTACGATTGGTGCCCGTCAGCGCCTTGACCGCCGCGTTGTTCGTCCAGTCCTGCGGGTCGACCAGTACGGCAGTTGCCACGTTTACCGTACTGGCGCCCAAGTAGTGCAGTACGGCAAGAGCTCCGCCCCAGCTGTGTCCCATGGTGGCCAGGCGGGAGGTGTCTGCGAGTCCGAGCAGCGGGTTGGCGGGGAGGCGGTCGGCGGTGCTGCCGGCGTTGCCTGCCGACTGGGCTGACAGCCACTGCAGCAGCGGCGGCAGGTAGGCCAGCTGCGGAAAGGGGGGAGAGGGTCAAAATGAATGAAAAGTGAAGCAACGGAATCCCAGAGAGAGAGGTGTTAGAGAGCAAAGCAGGGTGGGAGGCTCATGTCCCAAAAAACTAAAAACCGGATGTCCCGAATTCTTCAAATGAGCCATGCATGTGCGTGCTTTGGTGGTGCATTTCTCGCACATGACGTATCGCCATGCCGTACCTCATCAGCGACTGGCAGGAGAGGGTTCATGTTTTTGTACTGCAGTACGACGTAGCCCCAGGAGGCCACGTGGCGCACGATGCTGCCGTACCAGGCAGACTTGGACTGAAAGTTTAGAAGCGGGCGGGCCAGGGGAAGGGGGGTGGATAGGAATGATAGGGACGGCGGGGGGAGGCAATTGGGTCGTGTGCCTGTACGTAAGGAATGCGGTGGTGGTGATGATAGGGCCTGGAAACGTTGAGCGACTCTAAGATAGCGCAATTGGATAGAGGGACCGTATTGTAGGTACGCTGTGCGCTGAATCTGCGGTGCTGACTACCCTGGTTACTGAAGGCTAATAAGGGTTGGCTTACCATGAGCCCATTGAACCATGCGACAACCGGGAAGGGCGTCTCCGAACCCTTTGTCACATTTGATGGATACGTCACAGTAACTTCGAGCGTAACGGTTTTGCGAAGGCAGCCTGGAGATTTGCTGGACGGAAGAGGGATGTCTACGCGCTGCGACATGCTGTCGACAGCGTACTTCCCGGGACTAATAAATTCCTCGCTCATTTCTGACGAAGTTAAGAGCAACAGAACAACAATTTGAATTAGCACCCTCTTGCACCTTATGCGCTAGCGGTTATCGCAGGCCATTAGCTGTAAGACGTGTGCGCAGCACACGCTAGTAAAGCAGCAAGGGCTACAGTGCGGGTATTGTTAGCGGCGCCCCTTAATGTGTCCATGCTACAGTAGATGAGGCCCATTACGCGCTTATGCGGTTACGTAAGTAACCCCACCACCATGCCTTGGTCTGCACCAATTAGTATATCAATCCTTGAACACATCCTTTATGGTCTTCATGGCTATCCACGTAAAAAACTTTACACTGCCAGTAACGAAGCTTTAAGCCGTACATGAGCGGTTGAGGAGTTGACCGCCATTGCATGCAACGCCGGGATGTGCACGAGGAGTGGGCTGTCACACCAACACAGAATACGTTCCAAATGTCAATGGAGTACAAAGTAAAGCCTGATCCAGGTCCTATCCTTGACCTCATAACAGCCTTTCGTGCTTCTCAGGCGCTCTTTGCAGCCGTGGAGCTGGGGATATTTGACTGCTTAGCAGCATTGAATCCATACTTGTGCTCAACGAACATAGCAGTATTACCCGACCGCAACGACGGTTGTGTACATTGTGACCTACAGAACCTGTGCGATGCGGTATCTAAGCGACGAGGCGAGCCTGTTTCCCTGGATGGCTTGGATCGGCTCTGCCGTACCTGCGTTGCTCTTGGGATGTTGCGTTGTCCTGAGCCAGGTCGTTTCGCATTGACGCCGATGGCTGCCACCTACCTAGTCAGCACCTCCCCTGATTCCTTAACTGGCTACTGCACTCACTCCCAACAGGTTAGTCAGCATGAAGCAATGCCGGCAGCTGCTAATAAGTAGGATTGTGGTCACCGAAAGCTTATCCCAGCTTGTCACGTGCCCCAGGCAACACCCCCCCCCTCCATCCGTGCCCCTTCCACACGCCCTGCCCTGCCCCGTCCCGCACAGCCCTGTTCCCCCCCCCACTCAGCTACCTCAACTCCACGTCCCCCCCATCTTCCTAACCACAGGTGGTGTGGCCCCTCTTCGGCGGCCTCACCGCTGCAGTCGTAAGCGGCTCCCATGTGTGGTCCCGGCAATTCGGCACCGCCGCTGCGACCACCACCGCAATCACCATCAGCAACGCTGCTGCTGCTGCAGGGAGCCCTCCTGCTGCCTCAGCCGGCTCGAGGGATTCCATGGCCGCCACCAGCAGCACCAGCACCCCGCCTGCTGCCCCCGGTACTGCTGCCACGTGGGGCCCAGAAACCTCCGCTGCAGGTGCGGCTGCGGGTGCTGCTGCTGCTGCTGCCGCCAGTGCGCTAATCCAGGTGGAGGGAAATCCGCTGCTTCCGGTACCATCGTCTGCCGCCGCCACAGCAGCAGCAGAGGTCACACCCGCGCCCGCCCGAGCCCCAGCTGCCCCCGAGGACCAGCCCAGCGGGGACCCGCAGCCGCCCTCCACAGCGGCAGCAGCAGCAGCGCCAGCTGCCAACCTGGCCTCCCCCGGCACAGTGCCTGCACCCTCACCTAAGCCTCCTGCTGCTGCTGCTGCCCCACCTGCTGCTGCCGCCCCGGCTGCTGCTGCTGCCCCACCTGCTGCTGCCGCCCCGGCTGCTGCTGCTGCCCCACCTGCTGCTGCCGCCCCGGCTGCTGCTGCTGCTCCTTCGCACCAGAGCACTAACATCAACAGCACCCATGTTGCTGTCACCCCTGCTGCACCTCCTCCTCCTGCACCCGCGCCAAGCACCAACACCGCTGCCGTCACGGCTCAGGACGTCTTCGCCCGCATCTACTCCACCCCCTCCGACGTGCTTCGCTTCCTGCGCGGCATGCACTCCTTCGCAGCCCTGTCGGCAGGCGCGGTCGTCACCGCCTTCGACCTCTCCTCCGCTCGCACGCTGCTGGATCTGGGAGGAGGCACGGGGGCAATCGCTTGCGCCGCGTGCGAATCGTATCCGGGCCTGGCGTCAGCGGTGGTGGTGGAGCTGCCGCATGTGGTGGAGGTCGCGGAGGCGAATTTTGCGCCGGGACTGACCCGCGGGTCACCGACAGCAGTGGGGCGGGTGCGCTGGTTGGCTGCGGACTTCTTTAAAGAGGAAGACAAGCTGCCTCATGGGGTGAGCGCCCTGAGGGGGGCGCAAACTTGGGGCTAAACGTTTTAAGCATACAAGTACCTGTACACGGTTGCAGCCGCTTGTCCAGGTTTAGGGCAGCGTGGCTGGCTGCCGTATACCTGCCGTAATGACATCGCATGTAGGACGTGCTGCACCACGCTCTCTTGTCCCCTCAACCACCGGCCCGCTCCTGCCCAGCCTCCCTCTTCCCCCTCACACCTACACCTTACACCGGCAGGTGGACGTGGTGGTGCTCTCCCGCATCCTGCACGACTGGGACTCGCCCCGCTGCTCGTCGCTGCTGTCGCTGGCGCGGCGGCTGCTGCGACCCGGAGGGTCGGTGCTGCTGGCGGAGATGCTGCTGCAGCCGGACAGGCTGGGGCCGCTGCCGGTGCTGCTGCAGGTGTACCTTGGGGAGGGGAGTACCGGTAACAGTTCTGAAGTTGTACACCATATACCTCCTTCCAGGGACCCCAACCACCATCGCATTTGCCCCAACAGTGCTGGCTACCATACACCCCAATAGTAAGCTCTGCATGCTGTGCAGCACTGCGCACAATTTCCCCTTTTCATGTCACTCCCGCACCCCACCTTTTTCACCATCTTCACATGTGGCAGGACCTCAACATGCTGTGTCAGACGCACGGCAGGGAGCGAAGTACGGCACAGTACGGCAGGTTGTTGGAGGCGGCGGGGTTTGCTGCGGAGTCGGTTGAGGGGCGCCGTACAGGTGCCTATCTAGATGTGGTGCTAGCTCGCAAGCCGGAGTAAGGAGTGGGGGAGGGGAAGAGGAATTTCGTGGTGCGGGATGGTTCGGAGGGGGGGAAGGAAAGCGTTGGCTACGGGGCTGTTGCTAGCCACGTTTCTTGTAGTGTCTTTGGCACCCTGTATCGTACGGACACGCTGTGCGCGCGTACAGAGCGTAACTGCATGTATGTATGTGACGCAGCGGGTTAGGGCGGCCCCCAGCGGGGCGGGAGGGCGGTTTGGGTCACTGTGGTAATGATGTGCATGCTTAGAGGGGCTTTGCTGTATGGCGTGTTAGATGTGCTACCGTACGAGTACGGGAGCTGACATGGAAAGGTTTGGGCAGCACGCATTCCCTGTTTTCTTGAGGGGGGGGCGCTGGAAGAGTGGACGACGAAGGGATCCATTGACAGGGGTGTTATGGAGGGAAAGTGGGAGAGAGAGAGGTTTGTGCACGGGAGATCAAGAGGAAGGAAGAGCGAGGGTGTGGGAGTGTGAGCTTGCCCGTTTAGACAGCTGCAAGGCACAGTATAGGCAGGAGCATGCAGAAGGAGCGTGTGTAAAGAAGGAGGACTTTAGGGTTCGGGCTGGGTTCTTAGACGCCTGGGTGCGCTGATGATGTGTTACGCAGGAATGGTGGCGGGTGGAGCGTCAGCAGGATGGGAGCGGAACATACCGGCAGTCGGCACCCGTCGGCATGGGCGAGCACGGGTTCAAAGGCAAAACCACTTATTTACAAACTTAACACAAGTGAAATAATGGCAAGTACGAGTACCGGTCCCTGAAACCCACTACGGCCGGGTGCAATGTAATCAGGGTTATTGGAATGGAGGGAAGGCTTGTTGGCGTAGACGGAGACTGGTGGGCTGAGGCACAGTTGTCGTTGGCCATTGAAGCGGGCAGTGATCTACCCAGTTGCCGACACAGCTGCCTAACTCTAGAGGTCGCTACCGATACAGCTGCTACTTACCCTGACGTACGTACGTGCTGAGCTCTGGGCCAAAGACACGCGTAGAAGTCAGGCTAGCAGGATCGCCGTTACATGGCATCGCCTCTCATGTCTGATAGCCATGGGGCTTAACGTCCCATTCAGACGGGTCCGCTGTGTTGCGCAAGTTGATTCCGGGAACGCACAATTATACGTGTGAAACCCAGCAGCTTACGCATTTTCTATTAGGCTAGGTGAGATGTTGGCACGTCCAACTGAACCTCAATAAAAATCCTTACTTGGGGACCCCCGTAAAAGCAAATAAATGCAAACATTACAGTACAGCGCAACCACCCCAGCAGTGCTTCCATGCACCACGTCCTGCAAACGGATGCTGTTGAAGACAACGATGTACGAAAAGAGATTGCGAAAGCATTCCAGCCCCAGTCCTCCTCCAGTCAGCCAGTAGGACTGCCTGTTGCCACCATGCCGCTCCAATGACAATACTTCGAGCGTACGACAAACGCTACCTTGTACGGCAAGCGGTACAGGTAGGACCAATCTTCGAGTCATGGCACGCCTAGCCGAGGTCTTTTGCAGGCATGCCTGCTTTCCTCGAAGAAACGTTAAATTCCCTGCCCTCGTCAGTCATTCATCCGCACACATGAACCAAGTCCCATCTGAAGTATCCGCACCGATGCATCTGCGTGCACATGCACAATGCCTGGCAATTCTCCTCTAGAAAGAAGCAACACTCTATCTGGTTGACAAACATTTCAGCAGTAGGTCCATGAGGGAGATTGTGACCTCTGCCCCTCCCCAAGCTCTGGCCAGATATCTTAGCCGCGTACGGGAGAGCCGCATGCCCGTCAGGAACCACCCGCGCAGAGCCCCAAAGCGGCGGTCCGGTAGGGGACCTGACCCGGACTAACTTCATCTCTCATAGCGTCCTGGCTCTTCCGGACACACTGTACACGCATACAGAATGCAACTGTAACCAACCACAGGCTTCCACCAAACCGAAGGTGAGGGGCAATCGTTTGCCATCTGCCTTACTGGTAAGAAGGCAACCATGTCCTGAGGATGACGTCCGCGTAAATTCTGTGGGCAGAAGCAGCAGAAGCGATGTACGGCCGCGATCCGCGCCGTTGTTGTGATATCGTGTGCTGCCTCAACAAGCCACCGGGTAGTTAAGAACGCTGGCCGGCAGCCTCTCCTCTACCCAGAACGTTTCCATGGGCCTGGGAAGGAAGGAAGTTAGGGGGCAGGAAGGTAGGGGTCAAATGATTTCCAACCCATCAGTGAGGGCAAGACAAAGGGGATAGGAGGCGGAAGGTAGGAACTCTAGGAGGGTACAGGGTGGGCTTCTTGGCGGACCATAACTTCACAAACTTATATCAAATGCTACCACAGCTCTCCCCCGCCCTCCTCAGACCATGCCACAAACAACGCCCCCCCTCCCGCCACCACCGCCGCCGCAACACACTTACCCCTTGCCCTTGATCTGCCGGACACCCCGGCTGGCCACCCGCGCCCCCTCCGGCCACTGCTCCTGCAGCAGCACCGCAAACGCGCTGCTGCAGTGCACCCGGTCCGCCTCGCTGTTGTGCTCCATGCGTGCTGCCGTGTTGACCGCGTCCCCGAACAGGCAGTAGCGCCGGTTGAGGGTGCCCACCACGCTGCCCACCACAGGGCCGCAGTGCAGCCCCACGCGGAGGTGCACGCAGCCCAGCTCAGGATGGCCCGGGTGGATGGGCAGGGAGTTGGCGGCGGTCACGGCGGCGAAGGCGAACTGTGTCATGAGGCGGGCGTGGGTGTCGGGCTGCGGGTAGCGCAGGTTGCCGACTGCGAGGTAGGCATCGCCCACCGTCTCCACCTGGGGGGTGGGTGTGGGGTGGGGACATGCAAGACGGAAGATGTTGGAGGGAAAAGGCGGGGGGCAGGAGCGAGGTTCTAAAGGGAGCCAACCTGAGAGGCGATGTAACCGCGACAAGGATGACAAGGATCCACACGAAACCCAGCAGCAGCAGCTCCTGACGGAAGGTAAACATCCCACGTACAGCAGCAGGACATGCAGCGTGTGATGACTACAATGCACCAGTAGTACACCGGCCCGGCAGCGGCCCCATCGAACATACACCCACCTTAAACAAGTCCAGCTCGCGAATGATATCGTCGAACCGCGAGTAGAGGCGATGCATCAGCTCCATGACCTCATTGGGCTGCAGCTGGCTGCACAAGTCCGTGTAGCCCACCTGCCGAGCGACCCATGGGTCATCCGGAACGCTTAGATGACCGGATCAGACTATCGATGCCGCACGTGCAGGTGAACGCGGTGAGAGAAAGATATGCTCATCAGTGCTGTTGCCGTGATGGACGTGTAATGAACGACTCGCGTCACCACTGCCTCGACCGGCCATGTCAAATGCATTCATGTGTTCCGCTGTGCAGATGAACTCACTTTACTTGGCGGGCACACAGGGCATCCTAACTAAGGAAAGACTGTGGAATAGCTATTATTGTTGGCGCGTCGTCAGTGTGAGTACTGCCTTTTCCCGGTTCCCCCGCAGCCTTACCACGTCCGAAAAGAAGATGGAGACGCAGTCGTAGCGCTCCGGCTGCACCGCCTCGCCCGCCTGCAGCGCGCTGGCGACCTGGAACAACAGTTGGCAAACATGCGAACGTAGGTGTGCCAGTTGACCAGTCAAATGACCGGTCTGCTGGAACCAAAGAGCTGGCATCGACTCTTGGGTAAAAAGGGAGAAGCTAACTGACTAACTGCCCTTGGGTATGTGCCTCCTGAGTCGGGTTAAGGTGCCGCACGTAGGCCTACATTGCTACATACCTCATGGTTGGGGAAGCTGAAAGAGGATCTAGTCTAGGCAGTTGGCGCCAGCGGCAGCAACACGCTGTACTTTACTAACTGCGGCATATGCATTTGGTGTCAAGTCCAGCTCACCTTGGGAGGAAAGATGTCGAACAGTAGGTCCTCCCGCGTGAGAGGGTTGGGCTTCTCAAACCTCCTGTACAGCCGGGAAGGTCCACGCACACCCAAAAGCCACGGCCAGTTTTCTTAACACACAAGGCACGGAAAGCAGGTTGGCACAGCCCAGCTTACAACGTCACGCATGGCTGCTGGCTAATAAGGCACGTAGGGGCAGTCGTCCGGAGCATGCAGTCTTAGAATCTGTCCGCATGCGGAATCCTGCCCGGAGGAGCCATCCCCTCCACAAAATCGCCGTTGAGCTTCCCCAATCATCACCATTGCGGACATCATACCTCCATTGGGCGCCCGGAATCCGCCTGCCGGGGTTCACCGCCGACAGTGCCGGTGGCGGGGGGCTCGTCTGCATAGTAGCCCCATGTCCTCCACAGCTGGCCCGTATCCCTCCCCTGCTGCCACTGTCCTGCGCCTGGTCAAACAGCATTGCAAGCTGCTGCTGCTGCTCCTGCTGCTGCTGCTGCTCCTGCTGCTGCTGCCAGCCCAGCTGCATACCCGCAGCCTTAGTTGGGAGAAGTTTCCGAAGCGTTGTCGACAGCTCAGCTGTGCCCTTGGCAGCTGCTGCGGCCGGAGCCGACGATGTAGCAGTCTGACTGCTGGACTGCCCGCGCTTGCTTGAGGGCCCCCAGGGTGCCGTAAGAACGGGCAGGACCTGCTCCTCAAGCGCCTGTAGCACGCCGGCAAGCGTTAGCTGCTCAGCTTGCACCATGCATGCGCGTGCGAGGTCGCCCAAGGCGGGGCATATGGCTGCCAGTTCTGTGAACGACTCCTCCAGCTCGCTAGCAGAGAAACTCTGTTGTTGTTGTTGTTGCTGCTGCTGCTGAAGGGTGTTCGCCGCGGTGCTCATGCGGGCTGCCTCCAGGGTCTCATCAGCGGTGGACAGGAGGTCCGGCCCCAGCGGCGCATCACGGCGCCAGCGCTGGTCCGGGAACGACGTCGCGAAGATGCGGCACAGCAGCAGTCCAACGGAGGCGATGACTTGCTGCTCGCCTGACGTGTATTGTGGGGCATAACAACTCTCAACAGAGCCCATCGCGAGTTCAGCCTGTGTTGCCCGAATTCGTGAGTCGCTGCAAGTGCCAGACACGCCCTGCCCACCCAGGTGTAGCTGCTTGTAGGTGCGGAGCGAGTCGAAGGAGTTGGAGGGAACATGGGAGCTGAGTTCCAACAGCGATGAAGGCCCAGAAAGCTGCGGCTTGCTTTGCGGCTGCTTTGCTGGCGGCTGAGGGGGGGCTGCTGGGCCGGCTTGCTGGCTTGGAGCTGTGCTTTGCCGCATAAAGAGGCTGGATCTTCGCACTCTCGCGCGCTCGCCGGAGGAGCGCACAGGATGGGGTGCACATTCGGGGTCCAGGTCCGATAGGCGCAGGGAGAGGTGCGGGTTGAAATCCTTGTCTACCATGATGCGGGAGGCGCAGACGGGCGCTGCGGCGATCGGGGGCTCCTGCCGGCAGGGCGTAACAAAGAATGAATGACCGTTACAATGGTAACAGGAAGTGTGCGTGGGAGCGATTGCATGGGAGCGATTGAGAACGGGCTTTTCATGGGACCAGGATAAGGAAGAGGGGGTTGTGACACGACTAGGTGTGTTCTGCGTTCAGTTAAGGGACGTCAGGACGTCGAGTCCCCTAAGTCAGTGCAGGGGATAAGCGCACTACTGTGCCATGCAGCACATCACGAGCATACGAGTAAATGCCTTTTTGCCCCTGACAGCGTCACATCCACGCAGCATACCGGTACAACCACGCTCCATGCCAGTGGGGTAACCCCGGATTGGCAGCACGGTGCTTTACCTACCTGGGCGCGGAGGTACTTGAGGGCCTCTACGACGCCCTGTGTAATGTTGGCCTTGGTCACCAGCGGCACGGGCACCGTCTCATTCTCCAGCAGCCGATCCAGGCTGCCAAACTCATACCACTGCCGTACGATGACCGGCGCTGAGCCGCCCCCTTCAAGCAGCCCTGGCCATTCCCACACGATGCCGAGGATGGGACAGATGCGCGGGTGCTGCAGACGTACGGCGCGCCACAAAGCGGCTACAAGCAAAAACAAAAGGGTTGAGTACACCATGCGCGCGTTAGCACGTTGTGGGAAGGGAAGCAGCGCTTTGATGGGCGGGCTCAGCCAGCCAGCAAGGCGGATGTAGGAAGTGCCAACCCCCCGGACAACTGAATACATTCCACAATCCCTTCTTGACAGCACCATGACGACTATACCTGCCTCGCAGCGACGGCCGCAAAAACTCTTCGAGGAAAACCTTTAGCAGAAATGTGCACAGCAAAGCCGCACCAACAGCAACGGATCCTGAGAAGGCCCTGGCCAACAGCAACGCATCCCCATCGTCTGTATCCCTCTCCAATGCGCGTGCAGTTTCGGAGTAGTGTGTGACAAGCGGTGGACCTAACCTACCTGAGATCACCTTCCGTTTGCGCGAGCTAAGGAAACCCAGCAATGGGTTACCCGAGAACACTTGACTGCCCGCCGTTTGCCCATTGACAGTCAATGCTAGGTACTCTGGCTGCTGCGGTTGCAGCGACGGCGTTGGCGGCGGTTGTTGCGGTGCTGGCTGGGTATCCAGATCGGGTGGTTGCTCACGGGCACGGGATGCGCCGTACGGTGTCGAGGCGAACGACGGCTCGGATGTCGTGACCGAATGGGCGCTGCGATGTGCTGCACCAGCTCCGACTCCATTGGCGAGGCTGCCGAATGCTGCATGCAGTGATGTACGGGAGCTGGTCTTCCTGAGCTCCCTGTCGTGTGACACGCGGGCGTGGCACAAAGGTGATCGATGCGCACCATGTGGACAAGGGTCTTAGTACTGGCGCCGCTTATGGGGGGGTTACTGTAATCAGCAAAACGAAAGCAGCGAGGCGGGAATGTAGTCCTAGCCTACACATCTGGAGCGGCTAGCCTCATGCACTGTCGTATGTCGTGCAAGATTTGTCACATAGCGTACAGCCAGCTGCATGCCCAGCTGGCGTCAACTCACCTAAACCAAGCCCTGGCAGCTCCAGCTGCTGCCTGCGCGCATTGTTAAACAGGGCAATGTCTAGCTAGTTGCTAGGCAAGAAACCAAGCCATGTTCGACCTGTCCCCCTAACCGACGAACCCAATCAGGTAACCAAGGAAAGGAAACAACAGCTCGGATGAATCGACCCGTCGCTAGACATCTGAACTCACCACACTTCTAGCGTCAGCTTCAGCACCCATTGCAGCTCCGGCATCCGTTGCAGTCCCCGTCCCAGCAGCAGCAGAAGCATAATCCGTCAGTGTCATGCGAGCACTCGCAAGTGCACCAGCATGCGCACGCCGCTCCCTTGTGTCAGGCACCGGCAGCAGCTCCGTAGCAACGACAAGCGCCACCCTCGCGCCCTTGTACACACCCTCACCCGGCTCAGAGGAACCGTCCGCGTGGAGCACAGGGCGGATGTCCACCTGCGCTCCAGGGAGGATAGCGGTACGGCAAGGAGGGGAACTCGTTACGACATGCCTTCTGATGTCAAAGGGCGATTGTGACGTCGGATTCTTTTGTGGACGTTGTTCAAGGTTGGGACAACGAACGCAAGAGTTGCTGTTGCTGCCTTGCAATGTTTGTATCGCTGAGGTAAGGCAGTACCGGTGAGGTTAATGGGACAATCGAACTAGCGCTGAACAAGCAATCAAGGTGTGGTGGTAAAGCAGCCCACAAGTGCAACATACAATCGTAGGGACAATAATAGGCTTCCCTTGTGCCTGGATTGCTCCATGCGTACACAGTTGCCGGCACACCGAGACCGCCCTGGCACGCTCCAGCCTACCTTCACGGCATCATAGTCAATGTCAATCCCAGCAACTGCTTCAGGACTCCGCCTTGGCGACCGCCTCCAAAGAGCAACAGCCAGCAGGCAGCCGGCCATCACAAGCGTAAGACAGCATGACAGCCCGATGATGACTACCACATGCTTCTTATGGGGGCCGTTTTGGGCAGCAGTCGCTTGCGTGGGTGCGGGTGCGGGCACGGGCATGACCAGCAAGCGCTCCGACACATCCAATGGAAGCACGGCTTCCAACCTCCCGGACATGACCTGCAGCGCATCGTGCAGCAGCCAGGGAGCTAAGAATGATTTGTTGGCCACCTGTAGCCACAAGCAGGTAAACGTAAGCTTGCCCAGAGGCGAGGAACCCAAAGCAGACGCTAGCCGAGCATAGGGCAACATGCATGCCGGCCCTAGGCATGACATCACTGACCTGGGCCACAATCGGTGGGTGGTTGGCGTTTTCACGGTTGCCGTTGAGGCCCATGGGTCCAAAGAAGGTGTCGAGACTCATGGTGCTGAGCTCGTGCCTCAGCGCAGCTTCACCACTGGTGCTGGTCGCGTTCATGTGCAGCCGATCTGCATGCCAGCAGGTCAGTCCACCATTGTCCCACATGAAACTGTCAGAAGCGCCGACGTCAGGGATTTGGCGAAGATCGCAGCTGGATACTACGCGTTTTAGCACCGACAGCAGCACATAACCGCTGGCGGAGGCAGCAGCGCTGATTTGAGTCGCTTCCTGGCCCGTCGCGTTTTGGAATGCGACTGCATAGTCGGCTGCGGTGCCGAAAAAGGGATCGGAGTACGGCAGGTTAGGCAACCACTGGACGGTGGTTAGGGCGTAATCAGCATTGCTGGCCAGCACGGTTGGGAGGTCGTGGATGTGATCACCAGCGGATAGCCAGAGGGCGGAAAGGTGGTGGTTCAAAGTGTTCAGGACCCGTAGCAGTTGAGAGGTGCGCTGCGGCTGGTCGCAGGCTAGCAGCACGTCGGCCCTCGCTTGGACAATGCGCCGACCTGAGCACGTGACGGAGGCAATGGAGCGGTGAGGCGCTTAGTTCAAGGAGCCTCAGCTAATGGTAAATGCTGAACGCTTTTGAGCGTTTCTTAACCATAAACGCACCTGCGGCTTCCCAGAATCCCGGCGCCTCAGCCTCAGCTCCGGTGTAGTTTAGCACTGCCACGCTTCCATAGCCGGGCTGAACTTCACTCACTGGTTGCAGTTGTCGAAGCGCGTCCTCACAGGGTTGTGCGTTTGCAGGTGAATCATCGTTGTAGACTACAGCGACGCGCCTCAAGCCACGAAGTACCATGATGCGCAGTATCGGGGACATGTACTTGCTGGTAGGCGTAAATAGGCCAAAGACGTGCGGCAGGTCCTGTTGGAATACTGAGTTATCTGCTGTGCAGCAGTGCAGCAGCAAGCGGGACGCAGCATTGGCCTGCAGTGCGTCTTGAAGGGCGTTGACGCTGTTGCCGCCCAACAGCACGTGAACAGGTGGGTTGCCCGGCGCGCCAGTCGTAGGATCCGATGGCATGCCGTTCACAAGGGATTGCATCGCGGCAGCTGCACCGGAGTCTGTGCAGTTATGTGAGGTGAGCCAGAGCTTCATGCGCAGAGAAAACTGCTGGCCGCTGGCGTCGCGGACCACCATTGCCGGCTGGTTGCTCAGCAGATTGAAAAAATACTGGTATCCAAAGACCGTCTCGTTATAGAGGGACGCGCAAAGCCCTGCACGAGTGCAGGGCAATGACAATATTGTTGTCAACCTCCAGGGCGCCTTCTTAGCATTCTGAAGAAGCGACGACAAACGAAATCGTTCGAGATTTATGGGTATCCCTATGTAAGGCGTGGTCGTCCTAAGCAAGGAGCACAGGTCACAGGCCAAACATGTATTACGTAAGCCATTTACGCACCACAGGCAGGATAGCCATGGTGTTTTGCCTTTGTTGAGGTAATAGTATAAAACATGAGCATTCATTGCTTTGTTTGCCTGCATTTACCGGAACAGAAGGTTGCGGCCATTGCTCGGCTGGAATGCACTCACCATCACGCCCCACCGTTGCTCCAACATGGATAACAAGCTCTCTTCCTAATATCTCTGGAAGCCAGAATACCCCGATCAGGGCGTAGAGGACGAGTACTGACGCCATGTTCTATGGCGTCGATTGGACGGGACAACTATAGAAAAGCGAACCTTTGCGTTATAAAGCAGCCAGATGGAAAGCAATGGTCCTTAATATGGAATGCTTTGCGTAGTCGTAGTCGTAGTCGTGACTAAGTTTACAAGGCTACTCAATCTCCGACTCGAAAGCCATTAAGCGTATGTTGTGGCAAAAAATGTGTCTTTCGCAGTTAAATAGTTGCGTTCAAGCGTAGGGGCGGTAGTTATAGGAATTTGCCGAATTTCCCTAACTTCCGTACACGCACGACATGGAGTGACCCGTAGGTTGCTCACTTGGTCGCCGGGCGGCAGTCATGCGTAGACAAAAGCCATATTCTAATCCCTCATGTTTTGTCGCGCACGTGATGCATTAGTAATGGCATATCTTTAGCGTATCATCTCCCAAAGCTTCCCAGTGCATACCGCTAAAACCTTGCCAGTCAATAAGAACAAACGGAAAGGAAAGCACTTGAATAGGACGGCGCACTGAAGGTAATCACTTGAAGTTGCCTTTTTAATACAGTAGCTCGTATGGTGCCTAATTTTGGGCAGTACCAAATTTGGGACAGTAACTGTTTTGCCCAATGTCACCGCGTACAAAGCTCTTTTGGCTGTACTTTCGCTGGCAAAGCTTCTCAATAGATTGAGATAGAGGTCGATCGCGAATTGGTAGTGGGACTTATGAAGCGTAACTAGCGTACTTGGCGAAAAGTGCATATCGCGGCTTCAAAAATTTGGGACACTTAACAACTGGACCATCAAACTTGCACTAATGCGGTTGGCGCGCGCCCCATTGGTGACTATATGATTGTTTAGTTGTTACTCATGGCTAGGAGGGGACAGAGCTCTAAAGCGAGTAGGAAGCGAACCCTAGCATTGCCAGCCACATCCATCCAAGTCACCAGAAGCACAGCCACAACCGCAACCATCGCCTCCAAACCTCACTCCCAAAGCAAAACATGGAAAGTATAACCAATGGAACATGCCTGCCTTCTGGGCTGCGAGCGCCGACTTCAAACGACAGCAGGATGAGCATGCGCGCGACCGGGTTGACATGTTGACGCTAACAGCACCAACGACGTTCCTAGGCCCACCAAACGGACGTGGGTGAGCTCCGTATTAATGTTGTAAGAGATTATGATGGCCGGTTTGTAGTATACTTGCATTAAACGACATTATTCGTAGGTCCCAACTTAGGTCGCCGCAGCGATTTCGCTGGGAATTTATTTTGGGTCATAATGTTCACCAATACCCGCCCAGCGACTGGCTGCTTCTATACGGTTATTACTTACATATAGAGGATCCTTTCTATTCAATTAGGAGTGCGAATGAAGAGTTGTGCAGCGTACATGAGCCCAAAAACATAAGTGTCCGAAGTATGGCACCATACGAGCTAGAGGCGCTTGGAGGCAAACGAAAAAGCCGAACGAGAAATCCCACCCGAGTTGTATGCAAGGGGTTAGAGGGAAAAACCTGGCATACGTAGTGATAATCGACATGTGTCGGAAGACGGATGACGAGCATGCTCATTGCGTAATGCGCGACTTAAGGTGAGAAGCGCCGTTCCACCTGTAACGGCTTGACAATTGCATCGAGCCACGTGCGCAAGATTTTGGCTTAGTATTTAACAGGGCCTTTAGGGAGCGATCAAGCTGCCACCTCTACGCTGCTCGGTTTCCAAGACGTGTGAAGCGGTGCGTGCATGACGCATGTCTGTTGGGATGTCCGTCGTCGCGGCGGGGGTACACCCACAAAGGGTTGTTGGTTGCATGATGGGTTGCCTGACTTGCTGCATGGCTGGGTGTGCAGTCGTATTGTTGCTAGATGGTATGACAACTGTCGGTACGTGCTTGCCAAACACACGTATGACGTAGGCAATGTGCAGACCACCACACACGTGCCCCCTCTTCCCCGCCGACCCGCTTGCAAGGCTCAGTTGCGCATAAGGGTAAATGAACAACACACAGCTCTAAAACACGGTTACACACATCGTTACCGGTAGTTAACTAAGGTACATTTATAGTGTTCATGCCTTAGCATAAATAATAGGCCTCGTCATCTGTTATACCTCTTGTATTACCCTCCGCACGCACCTTGAACCCTACGATGGCAATCTAACAGGTGCGCGTACGCATACAGCAGACCTCCCTACCTCCCCCCACCACCCCATCGGGCAAGCCAGTTTGATGAACCAGCCTTGCCCGATCCTGCAGCGCCATCGGCTCAGTACCGCCTTTTGGTCATTCATCCAGCATAGTCCCCGCTGCGCCCTCTTCGTGCAGTTAGCCCTCGGCCCCGCATTTTCCCTGCGCGTTTTCCCCTTCAAAAGACGGTTCTTTTCCTAGCCTCCACTCCCTGCAACTCAGCCCGCAAAGAGTCTGGAGGCGCGCTGACACGCCTCAGGTAGCATAAGTGCCTCCTGCGCCTCCGCCTCCCGCTTCGGCCCTTTCCATCGGCAAAGACGAGGCTGCGGCCGACGTCACGGTCCACTCCACCGCGCCCTGCGCCTGCTGCTGCCTCAGCCACTCCGCGTACCGCTGCAGGCCGGGCTGCGAGGTGTGGGCGCGGAAGGTGGACTGCAGCCAGGCAACCGACAGGGAGGCGGCGGTGCGGGAAACCTCCTGGAGGAGGAGGAGGGGGCAGGGGCGGGCGGGGAAGGAGGGGGGAGGGGCAGGGGAAGAGGGGAGGAGGGAGGAGGCGAGGGGAGAGGGAGTTGATGGTGCAGTCGGGTTCGAAGCTCCTAGCTTGGGGGGATGCAGCGATATGCGAGGAAGGTGGCAAGTGGCTTGCGAATGCGGGGGCTGGAATGCGTGGGCTGTGCAATGGAACGGCATGGTGTGGAGCGGCATAAGTGCAGGGGTGGCTTACATGACCGTTGTGGGTATGGGTCAGTTGATTTGTGAACAGCGCACGAAGCGCGAACGCATGGAGGGGTTGCCTCGCTAGCTACGTATGCCGCCGCCGCTGTTGCTCCTTTATTTCCTATCTAACAGGCATCAACAGGACCAACGTTCCTCACCTTTCTTGATATGTTCCCCCTCCCGCACAGCGTATCTAGGCCCCAGTCGAGACCCGGGTTACCGGTGCTCATGAACTGGGCATGGCCCGCCTGCAGGAGGGAGGGCAGGTTGGGGTCCAGGGGGTTGCGGCGTTTGCAGGGTACGCGGCCGACGCCGCGTACCCTGTTTATACCAACCTAGCCTGCCTTTTTGAGGTAAAAGCGGCGGCAAGAAAGGAAACGGCAATACCGGTAGCACCGCATTTACAGCATCGCAACAAAGCGCTAAAACCTTTCAGTCTCTTGGATGACCTGGGATGACCTTGGAAGCCCTTTAAACACTAACAAACACACACTCCCTCAAGCCCTCCCAGCACCGCACCTGCCGCACCACCAGCTGCCAGCTACCCGGAGCCAGGGAGGAGGTGAAGTGACGGAAGTTGGATTCCAACGGATTGCAACGACCGGAGATGCCGGCGCCTGCATGTTTTGTACGGAGCAGAAGGATGAGAGGGGCTCGATGGCGGTATTTATGGACTGGCTCCCTCCTTTTTGAGCTGTTCGGGCAAACGGGATTTTGTGACCTCCTCACAAGTCAAACGCCTCCATCCCAGCACAGCCTTTGTTCTGCCGCTGGCCCAAGTAACCTGAAGACTCGACCCAGAACACTGTGCCTGTCACGCTTTGGTACTAACAGCAGCAGCAACAGCGCCAGCGTTTAGGGCTCTCAGGCTAGTCAAAATAAGGCGCCATGCAAGGTACGACAGACAAGACCGAAGATCCCGATACCCCGCATGTACTAATAACTGCCATACCTACAACCGCTGCCGTACGATTGGCGGCTGCGAGGGCCTTGCATGCAGAGGGGTAGTCCGGGCCCTCCGGCGCCCGGTCCGTGTTATCAATGGGGTCCAGGAGTACGGCAGTGGAGATGTTCAGGATGTTACCTGTACGGCACGTAAGACTGTCAAAGCAAGACATGGTGCGATGATATAGGGATTCACGACCTCCTTCCCAAGTCCCCTGGAGTCCCCTACCCCGGTCCACACGGACTTGCCCACGCCATTCCCCCCGCACCATTTCCCCCGCCATTTCCTACCCGCGTAGTGCAGGGCTGCCAGCTTGCCGCCCCGGCTGTGTCCCATGGTGGCCAGGCGGGAGGTGTCTGCTAGTCCGAGCAGCGGGTTGGCGGGGAGGCGGTCGGCGGCGCTGTCGGCGTTGCCTGCCGACTGGGCTGACAGCCACTGCAGCAGCGGGGGCAGGTATTCCAGCTGCGGGAGGGGAGGAGAGGAGGAGGTGAAAGAGGGAGACCGGGACAGAAGGGAGGGCATTGAAAACGGGAAAGGTAGGTGTGTAGGTGTGTGACAAGGCAGCTCACGGCGCTAAGCACTACCACCTGAACTCCCTCCCCGCCCCTGCAACACCACCTAGGCCCCGTAACAGGCGCGGGTTCGGCAGTACCACCTGCCCCCACCTCCGCAGCCGTACAAACTTAGCATTTACCGGGCTACCGTACCGTACATCTGTGATGTCGTACTTCTTTCCCAATTTGTACTGTAATGTAAGCACCGTATGCGTACCTCGATCCTGTCCGATACGACGGGGAACACCCCGAGTGACGTGTACTGCAGTACGACGTAGCCCCAGGAGGCCACTTGGCGCACGATGCTGCCGTACCAGGCTGCCCTGGCCTGCATGGGGGTTGCCGTGGGGGTGAAGCAGGAGCTGGTCCGGGGGAGACGGCCGGGGGGGGGAAATGCAGGTGCTCCACAACAGGTAGACCTTGCCGAAGAAAATGATGCCGAGTCCTCCAAATCCGTTATCGGACGTGTGGGACTTGTGTTTGCAGCTCCCAAAGTGCAACGTGTACGGACAGAAAGACGAAAGGCTGCATTGGCGCTCCCTCAAACTCCAGGAGTGCATAAAACTGGGCACACATGCCCTGTGCTACATCTCGACTTGTTAGCTACCTGAAATCCATTGAACATAACAACAACCGGAAAGGGCGGGTCGCCGGATGTGGGGTAGGTAACCACCACGTCCAACGGTACGGCAGTGCTGGTACCCGAAGAAGCAGGAACCGCAGCCGTTACATTCGCAGCGGTTAACGTTAATAAAGATGATACAGAGGAGCCGTCTGGAGCAGTATGCGAGATAGAAGCCGCGTCAACTTGTAGCTGGACGCGTTGCGAAAGACTGTTGATTGCAAAAGGTCCAAAGGATGTGAAGTCATCAACAGCTGTTCCGTGTTGATGTGTAGGAATAGCTATGAAAGCAGCGTTGTTATCATGTTGTGTAAAAGAGGAGGCCGGACGGAGCAAAGGAAGTAGGAGGGCCGCGAGGAAAAGCAAAAGCGCGGCTGCAAAGAAGCCGCGTTGCTCTAAGGCAAAGTACCTCATCGTTATCTTTTACGATGTGTTGCTACAGTGTGGATTGCCTGCTTAGGACAATGTGGGCGTACGACAGCTTTCGGTCGTATATACACAACGGACACGCATCGGAGTAGAACGATGACTTGACTGGCCTTGCTGGCTTCGTTCTGACTGGTGCGCGTAAGAGCATAGCCCCAATGCTGGCGGGCATACTTACAGGCATAGCCGAACGATAATGTGCTTCCTGATTACCGGTACAGGTAAGCGATGACCCATGGACCATCTGCTACATGTCCTGCAAACCGCGCCGTGTGCTGGCTTGTAGCCTTGTAGCGCAGCGTTGGGTTCCATCAAGGCAATCCTCACTCCCTTTACCCTGGCAATAGCGCATTGCCCCTTTTTGGCACGACCCTTCACTACTATGACCGAGGGTCGCTAGTGGTGGCTCTCATGGCTCACATTCAAATGGAGCACTGCCTCTGCCCTACTGGACCGCGCTGCCCTTTCGCTGCAGGTGTTGCCTGTTAGTGCTATAACGCCGACGCCAAACTTCGCCGCATGTGGACAGGTGGCACGTTTCAGCTGTTTCCCCCGTAGCCGAGAGGCAAGGGCGAATCAAAGGACGGGGCGATTGCGGACATGCAATGCCCATTACTCTTAACGGCAACAGTGCGTCTGGGGACAAGAAGAACTTCCCGAGTGTTTACAATTAGCGTTCTTCTTCTGCTAAACCGGTCATGCTCCCGGTTTTCCGGAGCCAGAAAGCAACAAATATGCAGTCTTGATACAGTCAAAGCAACAATAACAAAAAGCGGAGAACGAACACAATTTCGAGCATTTCTTTCTTTTTGCAGAGGCGCACACAGACGCAAATGCTGTGCGCATGACCACGTCATGACCCTCATGAGAGCAACATACACGCACCAGGTATCACCAGCACAACCGCAAACGTGACAACAGGAAACCCTGCCTAAACCCAGAAAGGAACAAACCCGAACGGCGGCATATGTATTGTGTGACGGTGCCTGCGCCGGCAATGTGCCAAGCTCGCCTTCTCGCCAACCGCAGCACGCTTGCCATGCGCTCTGGGCAGCAGCAGTCGGCAACCCGGCACGTCACACATCATACACCACCCGCTTACTGTCATGATGCTCTAAACGCTTGACGATGCCATGTCGAAGTGCCAACTCTCATACTGACAGCAAAATCGCTTCAACTGCATAGCAGACGCCTCCCTATACTAAATATTTGCCACGCCACAACAAACACCTGAAAAACACCGTATTGAGGGCAGCTTATCTTGCTAATCATCCACCCAGTCCATGCTTCCATCAGCTAAACCAGCCTGCTTGCAGACGTATCCCAGCACCTGCCGCCTCCTAGAGAGCAGTGCAACTCTCGCCACCCTCACGCCACTACCTACTTGCGGCCAGTTTTCTTAACTCACGCCACCTCAACGGCTGCTACCGCCCTTATTATTATCCTGCAAGACGCCAACCCCAAACACGAGAAAGAGTGTTTCCGAGGACAACAGGAGCTGGGGACTGGCCAGTGCTCACAACCCCGCAGGGGCAGAGATGTCAGCCGCGTTCAAAAACGTTTGGCAGCTACCTGCGTAACCCTGCTGCTTGATATGTACGGCACAACACAAACCGCTCAAAGACACATCATCCACGCGATGAGAAAACTCTCGAGAGATCCCGCCACTGTCGTACATACAAACACACATAACACAGCACACCGCCTGGCAGATTGCCAAAACCCAAAACAACCAAAACGCCCTTCAGCTAACCTTCCTCGCGCAGCACGTGGATATTGCTATCGGACAGAAAAATAGCAACGATACACTGCAGGACGTGGTCCAACATACCCAGCGGCACGGTCCCCCAAGGCTGGAGAAAGGGGCCGGTCGCGTCTTTCGCCCGAGCATACCCCCAACTCCATCAGTTGCCCTCGGGCAATGACAGGCAACTCCCGTCATATCACATCTGACATGTGGCATCACAACGCCAACAACAGCATATGACAAGAACGCAAGGCCCCTTCCCTTGGTCTAGAGGAATGAGGCTCCTGAAAATGGCAAGCTTGCCCCATCAGAACACATGCGGAATAACTGTGCATTGTATGCTGGCGGTCTTCAGGTCCGAACAGTCAGCAATCCCTCCCGTTCTGAGGAGCGCCAAAAGAAACGTCCGAATATGCAACAGCAGCAGCTGCGCCGTAAACCAACGAATGGTGGTAAGGAAATAGCCAGGCGAACCGCCAAAACCACCCGCCAAAAACCACAAAACATGGACACGTCGACACAACCTTGCTTGGCTTTTCCATCTCCGTAGCTACGTCGACATCGGGTAACAGTGGAGGACAGAGTCGAAAGTACTGAGAAGATGCAGAAAAAGGCGGCTCCAAACATATAGACAACCTCAAGCCGCCGCCGAACTATGCGCCGTAACACTCTTGATGGCGCTTCAACCCTCAAGCCACTCTCAACCCTCAAGCCACTCTCCCAACAGGGAACACAGTCCCCGCTTCCAAATGCAAAATTTTTGCCTGCCACTGTACGGATACTTTTCTGCAATGCAACACATTTCCAGCTGTATGTATCATGAAGGGGGCACACACATGCGCACATCGAAGGCCTGTACACAAACACTAGCAACAAAACGAAACAAGAACAACAGAGTGCAGAAGCGGTTGATCAGGGGGTGCTCTCACACGTCGTGCCAACGCTGCACCTCGGTATTGCAAGCTACACAACACATTAACCGCAGTGCCCCGTCCTTCAAGAAGCCACACACACGCCACAACACGCGCGCACGACGGCCAGTTTTTTTAACACACAGACACCCGTCTCCTTGCACAACCGCTACACACATACATACACAGAAACTAGACCTGAGCACACATACTGACATGTTCTTTGCCTTTGATGGCAGGGCAACTCCGGCAGAACAAGAGGCAAGCAACATCACAAAGCAAGGCTTTGGGCATGAGTCTCCTTCGCCCCTCCCAGGTATCGCATCTTCGTGCCTTCCATCATCATTGTCGCCAGCGCCGACGCCCATGGGTACTTTGCCAAAGCAAAATTGCAAGCACACCCCACGCGATTCAGCCATCAGTCATATGCACACGCTGACGCAAACTGTCACTCATAAAGCAGACTAGCATGTGGGCACATGTGTGTGCGTCATCAGCACGTGCTCGCACATGGCATGCACCTCTCGCCAGTGAAGTAGCACCCCACAACCGCCCCGCGCTTCCGGCCGCCGACCCTAACGTCAGCCAACCTGCCTGCTCCCTTCGCTTGGCTTACTTATATCGACCTCCAACTCAGGCTTTGCACCCTCTCCTCGATCCTACCTACCTCACCATCTCAAAAAGCGGGGCGGCTCTCTCATCGCACCAAGCTCAAAGCAGTGCAGCCTCTCTTTATGAATTTTTTGATTGAGCAGACCTTTCCTCCTCCTTGGTATGGAGTAAAGAAAGACCGTCCATGAAACATAAAGCCAAATGTGTGACTCCAAGCATCATCAATTCTTTGACACACTCGCCTCTGATGCCTACGTTGCCATCTCTCTCCCGAAACCTGTTCCACACCAACGTCCCTTCCCTTTCCCTCACCCTCCCGATCTGGCAGCGCTACCACACAGGGGCACACACACAGCCAGTTTTTTTAACACACGCACTATGTTTTATTTTTGCACATCACAAAACACATGCGCACATAAAGACGCAAAAGAGGCGGCCAACCCGCAACCAAACATCAGCTACTGCTACCAAGCACGTCCAACTGTAAAAGAGCGCCCAGCAAGAAACCGCGCGGCGCCGTCCCGCGCAACAAGGCGTGCAAGGCGGCAAGCCATGGCTCAAGTGGGAACCCAGGTGCCCAATAACAACATCAAACGCTCGTCTAAACCTACAAAAACGTCTGTACTAGAAGGAAGCCGAGGTCTAGCCAAATGTGGATGATAGAGCCGGCAGTTGGCAGCAGCAACAGCGGTGCTGTTGGGATTCCCGTTTTCGCAACGGAATGTCGTACCGTACTGCCAATGAACGTACCGCAACTAGAAGGCCTGATCGTTGAAATCCCGCATTCGCGAAGATACCAACGTCCTCAATGTCCTACTACCTTATTGGCAACTTGAATCGGCAGCAAGTATACCCAACATACTCCCATCACCCGCTCTTTTGCACAGCAAACACAGCTGCCCGCGTGCTTGCTGCCAGGCTACAAGCAGGCGGGCAGGCAGGCAGGCTTACTGTCAAGGCAGCCAACTACGTCCGTACCTACCATCCCGTTGGATCGTTCTCTTCGCTTCCCGTGAACTGTTTGGACCTCAACCGCTCCAACAGCCTATGTAAGCAATCGTATATAATAACAACAAAGCACCGCCGCATAACTTCGTCGTCTGCAGCAGAGCTTCTTCCTCTAAAACTACACAGATCCTGGAAGTTGCAGATGCAGCTCCTCGCATCTCGCTCCCTACCATCACGCACATGCAAGCCCTCTCACTCCAGCAGCGAAAAGCAACTAGGACAAAACCGGCTGCAGATTAGCATGTACGACAACAGACAAGTGCGATGAATTTTGCAACGAATTTTATGGCCTTTACCTCTTGAACCAACCAACACCAATACAAAATCCTGACTTGCAACCTCACGGGAAACCTGAACACGGCGGCCCCGCCAACGAGCTCTGCTAAAGAGCAAACCCCCTGTGTATTTCTGTCATCCACAGCGAATCACGTCAAGACATTCCCCGAGCGAAGAAATTCCGGCTGTCCCCTCACGTACAAATGTAGGCAAGAGTAAGTACGCGCCGAAACAGGATGCAAGCAGCAGGGAGCGTCCGGAAGGCGCTTAGACGGCCTTGGCAGCAGACCAGCGCGACAGGACACTGCTGGTGCTGCGCCATGGCGGAAGGGAGTTGCCAGTCGCCTCAAAGCTGAACTTCATCTCGGCGCAGATGAGTTTAACCATGTCCTGCAGCTGGCTGTAAGGTGCCACAAGCTCCTCGGGGATTGCTGCCAGAAGCTGTCGGTAGCGCTCCGTCGCGTAAACCGAACCAATGCAAAAGTGCTCCCGGAAGTTGGGCTCAACAACAAGCGGACCGGCGCATCCACAGCCGGTCACAACAACGAAATCGTGAGCTAGCCGCAAAGCGCTGGCAGTGGTGTGCGAAGCGTTCTGCGCGACGCGGGAAGCGTTGTAGCCCATCTCACGGAGGCGTTGAGCCAATGCCGTTGCGCCCGCCGCCTGTCCCTGATGTTTCAGAGCGCGGACGTCGTTCAGCAACTGCGAATAGGGGATACGGGTAAGGAGAATGGAGAAGTTAATCAACACAACATATCAACAGCCAGTCAGATCCGCCCCATAAAGTAGAAGCGCTTATGCATAAGGTTATCAACAATTAAAGCTAAAGTAGGCTGGCCGCGCACACCGCCTGAGGGCTTAACAAGACCCTTGGGGGAGGTGAACCGCCGCTATCCCCATGAACAAAACAACTTCTAAGCACCGGTGCGAATGTCTGTAACGTGCAAGTCGTGCGGAATGTAAAAAGTGCCAGGTCGAGGAGTTAATTCCATGGCCGCCGTCCAGGCAACCCCTCCAACTTGCACAGTAGATACCATCTGAAATCAGTTTACCTGCATGCAAGCGGCAGACGCTTGCCAAGATTGTGCAACCTCCTCCAGGTCCACCTCTTCGGATGCACCCTTTCGGGTACCCCGCGCCCGAATTCCCCGGTTTGAGGATGCAATTGTCTCGTGAGGCCGGACATCATCGAGGCCCGATATCTGCAGAAGAAGTAAGGCGTTGTCGTTAAAGTTAAAGACATCAGATGTGCACGTGGGCCCCGTTTCTGGTACACTCCTACCTAGCTCTGTGCAGCACTGCATACGAACAAGGCAGCAGCGCATATACCACAAATTCTATTCATGGACACCAGAGGCGGAGGAAGGAAAGCGCCGCACTTTCATGCCAGAGTAAGACAAACCGAATTCGTCGCTTTTGAGCACAAGCCCTGTGAATAACAATACACGCCCCTTACCTCCACAGGAAATAGCAAGCTGCCTATAGCAAGCGAAGCCGGAGGCGCAATACACGGAGTGAGAAGCCGCGTCATAGCGTGCAATCGAGGACTACTAGGGGTCACCGAAAGCAAAAGACTATATAGAAAAGGTAGTTAGACGCAGTGATCTTCGCCAAAAAACTGTGGAGGAGGTGAAGGGTGACTGCTCTATATCTTCTCACCCGAATATCTCCGCACAGTACGGCAGAGAAGAAAACCTGGCAACCAAAATGGCGTTTTGGCATTAAGCACGTCGAAAAGCATGAACACGGCGGGGTCTCGGGTGGGAAACAGGATGGACCCAAGCCTGCTGGCCTGCCAGGCCTCCAGGACCATCCAGCCGATTGTTAACTCGGCAGGGACAAACACCGAAAGCCAAGATACTCCAGACAAAAATAGAATTGATGACTTGCACTATAGGGTTTTGCGGCTAGAGGCGCTGTTGGAAACGCTGATCACTGCTGGCGTTTTCAGGGATGTCTCCCTACCTTCGCCCTGCGGCATTCCGCTTACGCTCAGACCAACAGAGCACTTGCGAGGTGGGCACATGGGCCTAGCACGTAGCAATCAATTGGGCATCCTGGTGTGAGGCGCGACGTTTCCCGCGTCGCACTTTGCCTCGTAACAGTTCCCAGTCGAAGACGTAGGGACCAACCGGAATATGCTAAACGGGCGATGTGTGCATGTTTTGGGCTGCTAACGGCACGACAACAACCGTTCCTTATTATTCTGACATAATAGGCTACGACCTAGCTCCGAGGCAACACGGTGCAGCAGTGTTTGTCCTTGGTCGTCCGCCGCTGGGCGTCTCTTTTGTTCCTTTGCCATGAAGTCATGTACTTGCTGCTGCTGGCACTCCAAGCAAGCTCCATGCGCGGTGCCAGGCAAACCCCACACTTCACCGCCAACGGGAACCTGTTCTGCTGCCGAGCAATGCCGTATCCTTGCCATGCGTGCAAACCTACTCTTAACCATGTTCCTGCGCCTCCGCAATTCCTAGCGGTAGGCCGGCACCAAGCACGCCTCCAAGAGGCGATGCACCCACCGTTGCAACCGTTGCAACAGCCACAAGAGTTCCAGCAGTCGCATGGGGGCAGGCGCATACCCCAGGAACACCCCAACCCACACCTGTTCCCACTACCAGCACCGCCACCTTCGTACCCCAGTGCGCCCCTCCAACGCCCAGTTCCCCCGCACCCTACGTGTCCTCCGCATTCCCCCACACGATAGGGCCGCTGTCCACCGAGAGTACAGCAGCGCATGCAACAGCAGAGCAGACGGCGTCGCCACCCGCACCTTCACCCCCGCCGCCGCCGCCGCCGCCATCGTCAGCGCCCCCATCGGACGCCTTTGGAAGCGCCCTGGTCGTACACCCACCCCCACCTCCGCCGCCGCCGTCGTCGTCGTCGTCGTTGCCCTCTGCTATCCCTCCTTGTCCCCAGCCGGGCCCCTCTGCCACTGCTGTCCCCGCCGCTCCTGCTTCTCCTGTTGCTCCTACTGTTCCTGCCACTTCTGCTCCTGATGCCCCTGTTGCTGCCGGCGGTGTGGCCTCGGGCGCCGCCGCTCCTGCTCCCATGCCTGCTCCCACCGCCGTCCCCGCTGGCTCTGCTTCGGGGTGGTGGTGGGGGTGCGGCGGCGGCGGCGGCGGTGGCGGTGTCCCCATGGGCGCCACGCGTGTGGTGATGCAGCAGCTGGTGATGCCGGGGGACGTGAACGCACTGGGCATCTGCACGGGTGGCCAGGTGTGTGTGCGGGGAGGGGCAGCGGGGGGCGGTAAGGGGAGAGCTGCGTGGGACAGCTGCGGGGGACAGCTGCGGGGGACAGCAGGGGGGCACCGCCTCCCACCGCCCCACTCACACAGGGGAGCTATACTGCGCCCCTGCCGCCTGGTGGCAGTGCCTCCTGGAACCGCTTGCCACCGGGACCGCACGCATGCGCTTGACAACGCGCATGCCGGAGCAAGCATCCACAAACCACCTTCACAAACCACCTCCGCAAACCCATTACACCCATCACTCCCCCCTCCATCCCCCTTCCCTTCCCCTCACTGCGCTCACTGCATGACTTGGGATAGGGGATTGGGACTCGTCGCTGCACATATCATTTTCTTCCCTCCTCCCCTCCTCCCCCCCTCCTCCCGGCCCCAGGTGCTCAGCTGGATCGACCTGTGCGCCGGCCTGTCCGCCAAGACGCTGGTGCAGGGGCCCTGTGTGACCGCCTCGCTGGATGCCGTACACTTCCTGCGCCCCTGCCGCCTGGGCTGCGTGGTCATCATTGCGGCCATGGTGTCCCGCACCTTCACCACCAGCCTGGAGGTAGAGAGTGTGTGTGTGTGGGGGGGTAAATACTTGATAAGTGCAGCAACGATTCCCAATCCCAAATCCCGACTCATGCAGTGAGCGCATTCGGAGACACAAGGTTAGAAACTGTGGGGGGGAGAGGTTGGGTGAGGTTGCGTGAGGATGGGGATTGGCATGTACGCTGCGAGGCTGAGGGGGGTAGGAGTGTACTGGTATGCCTGCATGGGGGTGGGTGGGTTGGCACGCTGAGGAGGGGGGCTTGCGGACAGATATGCACAGGAAGCGAGGGAGGGGACAAGGGAGGGAACATGAGGGGCATGCGGCCAGCGACCTCCCTTGCCGTCCTGCCAGTCCCCCGCACTCGCCTTCCCACCTTTTGTCACCCCAAGCCGGTCGCCACCCGGCGCGCCCCCTCCGCGCCCCTCTCCGGCCCCCCGCAGGTGTCGGTGGTGGTGGAGAGTGAGGACATGCGCACGGGTGTACGGCACCATTGCTGCTCCGCCCACCTCACCTTTGTCGTACGACCCCGTAACGGCGCCACTGTAACCTCCATCGCAGCCTCCACCACCGCCACCACCGCTGCTGGCAGGTCGGCACTGCCCCCCGCACCGGTAACGACGTCAGCATCAGGCGATCCTGCCCCCGAATCCGCCGGTGTCACAGTCGCCAGCAGCAGCAGCGGCAGCAGCAGCAGCGGCCGCCCGCTGATCCCCCGAGTGTACCCCACCACTCCGGAACACCAAGCCATGTGGGAGGGCGCGGAGGTACGGCGGCAGCAGCGGCTGGAGCGCCGTACCCGGGTACGACGGAGTCCCGAGCTGCAAGCCGCTGAGCGGGTGTGTCGGCTGCAGCCCATTACCCACCGGGAGGGGGGAGCCATCCTGCCGCACGCCGTCACACTCAGCAGGCCCCCGGCCGGGGCTGCTGTTGCCTTCCCCGCTGCTGTCATCACCGCCAAACCGCCAAATGGGCCTCCCATCGCCGCCGCGGAAAGCAACACAACGCCGGAGAGGGCGGCGGAAGGCGCCAGAGCCCCTCCCCGCCCTCACTCCCCCGCCAAAACCGCCGCCGTCGTCGACACCCTGGCTGCCGCCGCCGACGACCCTGAGGGAACCACCGCCGCCGCCGCTGCCTCCGAGCTGCTGCCGCCTCCGCCGCTGCCGTCGTCGCCGCCAGTGCCGCTGTCGTCGCCGCCGTGGGCGCCGTCACCCTTCCTGACGCACGGCCCGACGCCGCCGTCACCTCTGGCGGCACCGCTGCCTCTGCCGCCGCCGCTGCCGCCCCGTCAGCTGGTGCCTCCGGGCTGTACGGCAGCCTACATGACTCAGTCCATACTGCCGCAACACGCCAACACGCTGGGGATTACGTTTGGCGGGCAGGTGGGCTGTGGAGGAGGTTGGATGGAGCAGCGTTCCTTGTTGTTTCTTACCCACCTTCCCTTCCAAGGGTTAACCCCATCAACATTACCCCCCTACATACACACACACACCTCATCTCCTAGCTATCACAGTGCGTTCCGACTCGCGGCCAGTTTCCTTAACACACCTCTTCCCTCCCCCCCGTGATTATCTATGGGTTGTTAACTTGTTATACTGGTAATTTGACCCCGCCTCCCCCCCTGCAGGTGATGGTGTGGATGGAGCAGTGCGCCTATATCTCCGCCTCCCGCCTGCGTGCCCCCGCGCTGCTGACGGCCGCCATGGACAGTGTGGCCTTCCTGCGCCCCACACGCGTGGGCGACATACTGTACGTGACAGCGCAGGTGGGCGGGAGGAGAGCGGGGAGGAGTGGGGGTTGGGGGGAGGGAGGGGAAAACAGAAGAAAACCCATAAGCGTAAAGTGATGGCGGCAACGCTAGGGTAATTTGTGTGGAGGGTGGTGGTTGGCGTGGGAGACGCATGCAGGCATGCTGTGCGTCCCTCCCTCCCCCCCCGACTACCGGTACCCGTACTCACCCCCACCCCCCACCCCTCCCCCCCAGGTGACTGCCGTGTTCGGCAGCAGCCTGGAGGTGATGGTCAGTGTGTTCGGGGAGAGCCCATACGCGGGGGCAGGCAGCAGCAGCAGCGGCAGCAGCGGCAGCGGAGGAGGAGGAGGAGGCGGTGGTTCAGGGGCTACAGCGGGAGGTGTGGCAGCAGCGACAGACAGTGGCGGTGGTGGTGGCGGTGATGGTGCCGCATGTGGCAGTGGTGGCGGCGGCGGCGGCGGTGTGTTCCATTGCGCGGATGCGTTCGTGACGGTGGTGGCGGTGGACGAGCAACATGCGTCACCCGTGCAGGTGGGTGGGAGAGGCACCGTTGGATGCACCGTGGGAGGCGGTGGTGAAGGTGGTGGCGGCGATGCTGGTGTTGGTGGCCCTTTCTGGGTTTTCTTTCACCGTGTGCTCCTCTCACGGTCGCACTCATGGGTCCGGTCACCACATGTTCTTCCATGAGCTCCTGAACAGCTGCTAACCCCCGCAAATCCCACACCACCCCCCGTTCCCTCCCCTCCAGGTTCCCTTCGAGCTCGACCCGCAGGAATACCCCGACGTGCTTCGATACACGGTACGCAACATGCTCGCTCGGTTTCCGGCCATTCAATGATGCGCACCGTATCTGCAGCCCAACTTGCCGGTACTCGCTGACCCACGGGTCACTTGGGGTCTCTGCCACCCACAAGGCGTCCTGTGACACCTACCCTTCATTCGCTTATACCGCAACCGCTACATAAACGTACTTGACCCCTCCCTGCATGAGAGCACGATCCCTCCCTGCCTCGCCCCCAGGGTGCACTGTCCCGCCGCTCCGAGCGTCTGTCCCTGCGCGCCCACTTCACGGCTGCAGAGCCCTCCCGCGTGTCGCTGGACGGGGACCGCACCTATAGCCCACCTCCGGAGCTGCTGGGAGCGGCGGGGCTGGCGGGGAGTGGCGGGGAGGCGGGCGGAGGGCCGGGCAGCGTGCTGGAGGGGCTGCCGCCGCTGTGACCTGGGGGCGGGGAGTTGCTTGCTGCGGCCCCTGCAAGCGGGGTGCGGGCCGGCAGGCGTTCGAGCTGTTTGAATTGTGTAGTCGTGTCATCGGTTATGGATTCTACGAAGCAACGAGAGGAGTGTCAAACGAGAGGAATGTTAGAAGGACAGTAGATGCGGGGGGAGGGCCCTGCCATCGTACATTTGGAGGGCTGCACGGGCGTGCAAGAGGGGCCGCGCTAGAGCTCTAGGAGAACGTAGTGCGTGCATGTGCTGTCGGCCTGCTGGCGGGCATGCACCCATCCGAACCCGCCATAAGCTGTTGCTGCCACCGGCAAGGCAGGAGAAGCCGTCCAGTGACGGACATTCTTTCTTCAGTTGATGTCGCGCTGCACATGCTGTGTGTTTGTAAAGCGTTCATAGGTTATGATTGTACAAATTGACTGCTGTTGCGTCTTTAGTCGTTAACCCTGAGTTGACCCTTAGTAAGTTGTGCCGTTTATTCCTGTCTACGTTCGGGTTCCTTCATGCCCCTTCGGGCTTAGCTCCTACTCGACAAATACACTGAATCGCCGTTGTCCATGCATTCCTTCTACCGGAATACCTGTGGAATGTTCTATTTCGTGCTGAGGTGGATTTGGATTGCGGGATTCGCGTGCGATGCCCTGCCCTCCCTTCTTCCTGCGTGTATGGAACGTGCACAACGCGGCAGGGGTGCCATTGGAAGGGAAGCGTTGCCTGGGTGCAGGGCGAGCCGAGGAAGAAGCCGACTCATTTTGCCAAATGTTTTAGTACCGGTAGATTGTTTCCAGCTCTGTGTTGTTGCTGTTTGCTGGTTGTCCAACGTCCATGCAACATGCATGCGGCAAACTCAAACGGGCACGTTTGTATGTTCCTGCTAGCTAGGTGTCCAGTTGTCGTGCATCCTGTTGCTTGTACGGTGCAGCCGCCAATGGAGTAGTGCGTTACATCTCTGCACGCAAGCCATTTTCGTGCTTCATCATGCGCCACATGCTGCTTCGCCAGGTATACCTCCCCAAGGGCAGACACGCAGGGGCGACATCACCGCACGCATGCCCAGTGGGCCTTGCTACCCACGCTTGAGGGGGTGTGTGCCTCATGGCCGGTTAGCAGGTAGTGGGCTTGATGGGTACAAAGCTGCGGTTGTTGCAACGCTGGTCGGGGGTCTCCCGCAGGTGGATGGAATGGCTGTTACAGTAGTCCTGGAGGTGAAAGAGTTTATTACGTGGGTGCAGGTAGGGGTGTCTTGTCGCAAGGGGTGCATGCTGGGAACCCGCTGGGATGCAAGGCGTACGATGGTGCCGGTATGTAATTGCAATACCGCGGTGTATTGTATGGTGGGCAGGCAGGCCAGTGAGAAACAGCAACACACGAGGGTACTCCTAAACCTCAGCGTCCTCAGTGGGGCCCTGGCAGAACGGCTTGCAACGCAACTGCTAAAGATTGACATATTTTGTCAGACAAGGGGATGCACCACCCGAGAATGGGTACTAAGACATGTCTCCCTCCTGTTAGCTGTCGCACGCGTTCCTGAGGTATAAAATATTCGCCTAACCGGATTCCCACACACTGCGTACGCAAGCAAGTAGCAAGCAGGCAGAGAGCTTGCGGCACACGAGGATTACTGATTTGGCCACCGGATGAGCCGCCCAGGCCAAAACAAAGCCGCAAACACCTCCTTTGCACACATGCCCAGTATAGCAGGCCAGCAACACGTACGACCTTGCCAGGCTGGCTTGTTGAGCGCCGACCAGCTTTCAGGGCGCACTCTACCGGCTATGTATGTGGTCCTGGCAGACGGCTTGCGCATGCAACCGGGTGCGGCGCCCTTTGATAACGCTAACATTAGCATGGACCGCCAGCTCGCTTGCAGCTGGGCGAAAATGACCCACGGGTCTTGTTGCGAGCAGAGTGACGCAAGTTGACGAGTCCTGGCACCGCGTGCCCGCGACCAAGTCACATGGCGCATGGCATTGTTGTATGCGGAATAGCAGACGTGTTATGAGGTGACAGGAGCGTATTTCGTGCGCATTGTGTGCAAGAATTTAAGGATCGTACTTGAATCCAAGGACGATACGGTAGGCTACATCGGGCATAGCACCAGCGCCGTCGACAGTTCTTCCTCTACTCATACACAGTTCCTGATCACTGTAAAGGAAAGCAAGTTCCTAGGCAAATTGTACTTTGTGCAGTTCTTCGGCCCTCGGCCCCCGGTATCTTCGGGCGACAAGAGCAGGTGCGGTGGCGCCTTTGGCGCTAAGGTTGCATTCCTTTAAGTGTCTGCAACGCCCAGTCTCAGTATCACGTTCAACCGCCGTCTCTATAGCTGCCGGATATTCTGTCACACAGCTGTGACGCTTGTGCGCGCATGGCTGTGATGCAATCACCTTCCCTTACGAACCTGAAGAAGAGCATGTTGTCCCTGCTGTTTGGTCTGGCATGCACTTGCTTACCGGTGCATATTGGGCATTTGTTCCCGTCTGGAGTTTGGAGTCAGACTCAACTGATTTGCAGTGATCACATTTCCGACGCAGCGAAACGTGACGCGCCCATGGTCTGGTTCCGGTCCCCTTATCTCGCAGGCGTTTTGCCAAGGCCATAAGTCAAGTCCTGTCCGTCTGTCTCATCAGGCAAGTAAGTGTCAACTTACAGCTCCGCAGAGGGCTCACAGGCTAACCGAACGTAAGTGGTCTTGGTCCTCAGTTCGTTCAGTGCGTTAACATAAGCGTGTGAATCCAGCGTGTGAATCGCACCGCGCTAGCGGCACATGAGACAGATGAAATAGACTGGAAGGCTAAGTTCCTTCATGCCCTTTGCCCGGGACCATTACCACGCCGTTCCTTTGGTTCCGACACTCCCCGTCTGTTGCAGCCTTTGTCACTGGGCTCTGTCCAGCCGCGCAACACTCCCCGTCCCCAACAAACATACTTTGCACCCATCCAACCACTCAGGCTGCAACCCGAGCCATCTAGCGGTGTTCCTCATACCCCAGTAGGGGCAGCAGCCCAGCTAGTGGGCACATGACGCAGCGCGCGCGGCGCGGCCGCGCCGCCGCCGTGGCGGCGGTGACGGCCGCAGCGGTCCTGCTGGCGCTCGTCCCCCTCGTCGCCTTGCTTGCGACGCCGGCGGGCGCTGCCGCCGCCGCCACTGACGGCGGCGCTGATGGCACAGCTTCCCGCGGCCTTAAGTCTACCACGACTTGGACTTGGAGTGGACCTTTCAAGGGCTGGACCAAGACCGTTACGGTGGTTCAGAGCGACGCCGCAACCAACAGCGGTGGCGGCAGGGGTGGCGGCGGCGGCGGTGGTGGTGCAGGGTACGGTTATGGGTACGGTGGTGGCGGCGGTGGCGGTGGCGGTGGCGGCGGCTATGGATTTGGCGGAGGCGGCGGCGGCGGCCGCCGTAACCTGCAGCAGGGGGTTACGAGCACTGCGACGACGGCTCCGACTAGGACCTCGCCGGTGACAATTGACGCCGACGCCGACGACCCCTCTGACGCCGACGACGCCGACGACACAACCACAACCGCTCCGACGAGGACCTCGCCAACAAGCATGACTCGTCCCACTGGCGTTACCGGCTCCGGAAACGCTACTACTGGGTACGGCAGAACTCGTAATGCAACCGCCGGTACGAACGCCACGGGTGTCGGCCGTACGCGAATCGGCAGTGTTGGCAGCATCGGCCCCACTCGAACCGGCGCCACTGGGATCGGCGCCACTCGTAACGCCAGCGTCGGCGGCAACCTGACGACGGCCCATGCGACGACGGGTCGCGGCGCCGGCAGCACCGGCAGCGTCGGGCCGACTCGTACCGGCGTCGCCGGCGCCACTCGCCCAGGCTCCACTGGCGGCGGCGGCGGTACGACGACGGGTACGACCACCACTGGCACCGGCGTCGGCAGTACTGGCAGCATTGGTCCCACTCGCACCGGCACTACCACTACCGGCACGACTCCAGTTACCACTGGCGGCGGTACGACTTCCGGTGGCGGTACGACTCCTGGGGGCGGTATGACTTCTGGTGGTGGTACGACGTCGACCGGCACGACGGCGCCTGGAGGCGGTACGACATCTGGAGGCGGTACGAGATCGACCGGCACGACGGCGCCTGGCACCGGAACCACGAGTGGCGGCACCGTCGTGGGCGGCCGCAGGCTGCAGCAGGCCGGCGGCGGCACTGGCGGTACGACAATCGGCGACGTCAGCATGGGCGGCTCCACGACAAGCGGTACCGGCGGTAGTACCGGCGGCAGCAGGAGCCTTCCCGCCAACACTGGCGGCCTAACCGGGGGTGTCGGATCTGGCGTCACCGGCACTACTGGCGGTGGCGGCACGACTGGCACCACCGGCACTAGAAGCATTCCCGTCACCACTACCGGCGGCACGGAGAGCGTCCCTGTTACCGGTGGCAGCGCCGGCGGCACCAGGAGCGGTTCAACAACCACTGGCAGCACCACCGGCGGCGGCGGCGGTACGACAACCGGCACTTCCCGTACCGGCGGCGGCGGATCCACCACCACCAGGAGCAGGAGGAGCGCTACTGGCAACGCCACTGCTGCCACCGGCACCACCGGCACCACTGGCCTAGCCGGAACCACACGCACCACCGGCACTTCTGGTCGCACCACCGGCGCCACCGGCGGCGGCGGCACTACGGGCACTACTGGCGGCGGCACCACCGGCACCACTGACACTACTGGCGGCACTACCGGCACCACCGGCGGCACGCGCGGCCTGCTATCCCACAGTGGGAGCAGCAACAAGGGTGATAAGGGCGATAAGGGCGATAAGGGCGATAAGGGCGACAAGGGCGACAAGGGCGGCGGCGGCGGTTCGGGCTCTGGCGGAGGCGGCTACGGAGGTGGCTATGGGTACGGCAGTGGAGAAGGCAACAAGGGCGGCGGTTCG